TTTGCCAGCTGTTGCAACTAGTTAAGCGAAGGCAGCGAAAAGCGACCAGGTGGGCATGTCTCTGTCTTCCCACCCCTTGCTTTGATTTACTTCCCCGTGGCTTTCCTTAGGCTGGGGTTTTTGTTTCTCATGGCCATCTGCCGGGAGATTTTGGTACGCAACAGCAAACAGCCAAGAGGTGCTAGCCAGTCGTTGGCGTGTCCTATGATGATGTCAACATGCAAGGACGATTTAAGCTTTTGCTGACAAGGCGTGAATGGAGCGATGAATAGATCAGGCCAGTCTAACAGAGAGTGCTCCGTACGAGTATGTCTCGGCACATTGATGATACGAGTGCTCGCTGCCATGGCTTAACTCTTTTGTGTCCCCTCGCTTCGCCAAGATTGGCCTTGTATCATGTTGAGTAATCTAAACTCACTATCCTATCGTCCAATCACCAAGCTGGTATGCCCCCTTGCTCGATTTGTTCCAGAACTAAGCGAAGAAGGCTATCAAAAAGGAAAAAAGGAAGAAAAGAGTGTGAAAAAAAAAACGATAAAACTGCGCCGGACTTGGATGTTGTCCAGGGACCGGAGGCGACAGGGATCGGAACCCACCCCGAACAGACGCAGAGGAAGGTAACAGCGCGTTTAGATCTCCCCGAAGTGAAGTGGAATCGGTTGCGGGCTTTTGCTGGCGTGGAGCTTGAATAGCTTTAGCGTCGTGGCATTACTCATGGGAGGGAACCCTGGCGCGAGAGGAGAAGAAGTTAGACGAGATGAGAGTGAGAGAGAGAGAATTCGGAAAGGTTGCTTCATGTGGCTGTGCACGTGAAAGTCGAGAGGGCTGAAGGCCAAGAAAGTCCGGTTGGACTAGATTACAAGATTCCGGACTTGGGGTTTTGGCACTAGTATAGACACGATGGCGTTTTGGACAAGGGGGACGTGAAAGGGTGTATTAAAGGTCCAACGACGACAAGGAAAAACAGGGGTCTGTTAGTTATTACCCCGTCCTGCATGTACGTACTGTACAGTACATAGTCGTACGAAAGTATAGACGGATACTATGCTGCAGCAGGCTCGTATCAACGTTGCTCGCATTTTCCTCTGTGGCCGTCCGGAAAATAAAGTATACTACTGTAAGGCAAGTTGGGGATGAACAAAAATAAAACCAACCACTCAGCCCATGACAAACAACTACGTAAGAGGGGCATCGGATAGACGACAAGGGCGATAGCCGTAAGGCTCAAAGAGGAAAATAGCTGCCGATAGGGAGAAAAAAAAACGAGAACGGAATGCAAGTCTGACAAGCTTTCAAGGGTTTCGTTGGACCGCGTTGGATTAAGCGTATGCATCGCCTTGGCTAAACTGCATGAGGAACAGCGACGATCCCCAGCCTCGAAAGCAAGTTCTGAGTCTGAATGAGTGTCTTCTGTGAGCGCCCAGGCAGTTGAAGCTTCCGGCCCATATGTGTGCCAACTGCCATGACGGAGGTGCAAAGCTGCAAGCAGGGGAGGGGGAGAGTTTGCAAACTTGAGTGTAGTTTGCGGAAGGGGGCGGGATCCGCTTAGAAGTGTCAAAGGGCGTTGAGAAGCATGGACGATAGCAGGAAAGAAGCAAACTACGGCATGGAGGAGAGGCGAGACGGTCGTGTTATTAGCTCGAGACCGAGTTGGTCCGGGATTATTGGCTGGGGGACAGGGATCAGCGGGTGCGGGACGCGCATTGGTCCGGATAGAGATGGGGGGGAATTACAGTATGTAGTATAGAAGCGGGTTTTATGTTTTGTCTATTATTTGTCCGATTAGGCAGCGTACTATTAGAAGGAGAGTGATGGAGAAAGTACTAAGTGAGTATTAGTGAAGGGCGAAGAGCGAGAGTCAGTGTGAGAGAAGCAGAGGAGAGGAGAGGGGCGGACAACGAGCGGACAACGAGCGGCGGGCGGCCAACGGCGGCACATGAAAAGGCAATTTCGTTGAAGAGTCGAATGACTCGGCAAATCCTGCGAGAGCTGTTGGTGCCACCTTGGTGCTACAGTACCGTGTTGCGTGTTATTCGACGGCTGTGAGGGATAGTATCCTGCTCGTATTATACTAAGGTAGGTGGGTTACGTTGCGTGAAGGATTCCTGGGGATTGGGCATTGGGCATCTCGTATATCCACTGGGACGGGAGAATCTCGACCACACAGAAGAGAAGCTGGAGCAGTGCTAGGAAAGACGACGGACGAAGCAGATACGGAAACGGACGAAAGCAGTAGCATTGGCGTGGTGTCTGTATCGAGAGGAGAGCCAATTGAAGCGCGTGGCGGCACAGCAATATCGTCAGCTCCTTGGCTTTGTGTCTAGCTCCAGCCGCAGTCGTCGTATCGCCTCTCGTAAGCAATTGCGGATGTTTGTCCGCAGGCGTATTCTTTTTCTTATTTGTCTCATTTTTTATTTATTAATTAGTTCACCGAGTGACGACAAGAGGCAAATAAACGCAGCGGTGTGAATGCTGATTCGCTGACAAAGGGTCTCTTTTCATTTTTAGCCTTGCGCTTATTGATGTTTTTATCTTATGCTTTTTCTTTTCTTTCTTTTTTGCCTTTGTTTCTCTGCTCTCTTCCTTCAACGGTGAATGTATATACTGTGCTGTGCTACGAGTATTATAGCAGGGGTGCTAGAAAAGAAGCTTTTGTTTCCCCCCCCCCTTCTCCATCGATGGCTTCGGAAATGCAGCGCCCATGTGGACGTCGTAAATCCGCGGCGCTGCCGGGAACGACTATTGCCCAAATAGGACAACAATCGCCCGTCTCTATTTCTATTTGCCTATGTTTTGCTAGTTAGTAGTTAGTGCTAGGCAAATGACTAATTGGTGGCTCCAATTGATTGCAGACAAGGAGGCCCAGAAGACAAAAAAAAATGGCAATTAATGCGCAAAGAAAGACCCAAAACCCGTTAGATTGCCGCGCCCAACCTAAACCGATAGGCTGTGCTGGAGCTGGAGCGCTGCTGCACTACGAGGGATACGACATTAGGCTATCGCTTAGGGGCCTTTGCCCAACTCAGCGCTCGGCATTATCCCTTTTTGCAACGGCATAGTCGCTGGAGGGGAGAGACTCAGCAGCGCCTTTCGAAAATCCAGTACCCGGACGAGGTACCCGCCGCCGGTCATTTTTTCCTTTTTTTCTTTTATTCATCACATATTTTTCATTTTATTACATTTCAATAATTTATTACCTATCAAATTAATCAACAAGTGTCGTTTCTGCTGTGATTCCATGTCGTATTATTAATTCTTCGCTCGATTTCCTGTTTCTTTCTCTCCATCCTGCTCTGGCATCGCCCGCGGAAACCTGCCATCCTGCCTATCACCTATCATCTACGGCATCTGTCTATCAGCTGTTGGGCAAGTGGCAGAAGAAGCGCACAAAAGATACTGCCACTAGTAGTAAGTCAAGGCATTTCATTTCATTTCGTTTGCTTGCTTTTTCTTTATTTTTTATTTTTATTTTTCTTCCTTTCTTCTTTTTTGTTCCCTATCGCGTTGGCCGCTGCGCATCCTTGCATCGTCTTTCCCTCCTCCTCATCGCCTCTCTCCTCTCCGCCTCTCTCTCCCCTTCATTTCCTTCTCATCTTCTCCTCCTACGCACGCAATACACACAAACAAACAAATCCTCCTCTCCTCTCTCCCTTGCAGCCTCAAACGCCCTTCTCCAGCGTCAAGACGAATCTTCTCTCTCCTTGCGCCTACGTTTTCCCGCGTCGCTCCCAGTTTCCCGATCTGCATCGGACTCTTGCGGGAATAGCTCAGCTAAGCGACTATTCATCCAGACCAGACGACAATATATCAGCACCAGTATTCAAGCCCAGTGGAGCCGGATTCCTCGACGGCCGTCTAGATTGACGTGATCAGTAATATGAAAACCACCTACCAGGTTAGTCGAGGCTTGTTCGTTTTGTCTACTCCGTATTATATGCGCTGCGAGCATCGTTACAGTATCGTCCACCATCTCCCGCATTTCGGCACCCACAGCCGGCCATGGGTCGACCGTTTCTTTTCTTACACTCTCTCTTGTCTTCTCTTCTTCTCTGGCCCTCCTTATCATGCCCTTGCCCTTGCCCTGCCCTGTCTCTCTGCCCTGCTGCCATCGACTGTTGCCTCCCGTGGAGTCCGCACCAGAGCTCAACTTCCCTGCCCGCCCCTTGTTCAACACCGTTCCATCGAGTCTCCTGCTGTTCTCGTACGTCTACGCGTACCGTCCTCGTGCTACTGCACCTCCCCAGAGACAAAAGAGACAAGACATGGGTAGGAGACGTCCCTGGCCTGGCCTGGCCTTGCATATCCACACACGGATCCTCGACTCACTCACGTCCCCTTTGATATTCGTCTCTGCACCCCCCAGCTGCACCCCAGACTCTTCCTCGACTATTTGTCTGGTGACTAACCATGATGACTAGGCGTAGCTGTTATTGCCAAAAGCCACACCCCTCTCCACCTTGTTCCGCTTTGTCCTGGCGTCAAACAACTTATAGTTAATCATCGCCGCATGCGACACCAACGGCGCCCTGCTTTATGATTTCTTCCAGAGCCACCAATCTCGTGGCCATTCTTGCATTGTCATCACTCCTGTCATGGTCCAGACCGTTTGAAAGAACAAGAGCCGCCGGCTGCTACTACAAAGCATCATAGCGTCGAGATCCACGGGAGACTATGGTTGAGCCTCCCTTACATTACTCGGGGATTAAGACGATAAGAACAAGACTCTCTTGGCGATTAGCCGCACCGCGCTGACCTGCCGCCTTTCATTTTCATACTTGATCTAATTGGTCTCCATTACCGCCTTTACGAAACAATACGGGAGCGGAAACACAACAAGGCGATTCTCATTATATCTTCACTGCTCCCTTACGGCACTGCCAAAGGCTTGCTTCGCACCACGTCTCTGTAAGCACCTACTTCTTTCCTCTCATCGACAGCACATGCAGCAGTCTTACCAGGGAGAAGAACACGGACAGGCCAAAACAATCAAAGCAAGGAGCATGGACGAGGCGTCCACGTGGGAGCATCTCCCTGCCAACGAGCACAAGTTTGTCTGGGACGAGGCCGAGGGCAAGTTTTGGAGAGACTTCAACGCCAAACAAGAGGCCCTGCATTCCGAAAAAGAGCGAGAGTACCAGCTGGCCCTGACAGACGCCAAATTCGAGCTGGGCAAACTGGATGGAAAGCGCAACGAGCTGACCAAGGTCCGCGAGAGGCTCGCGCTGGAGCTGAGCAACCTCGACAAGGAACTGGCCAACGTCGTCACCGAGTGCAATGGAAGGTCGGACATGATATTTGCCATGGAGCAAAAATATCGCCACGATGAGCAAGACTTTCTACAACAGAGGGAAAAGGTGACAGAGACCATGATTCGCTGGTTTCAGGAAAAGCGAGATGCTGCCGCCAAGGCCCAAGGCGACGCCGGAGATGACCAGACTGTTAACAAAATCGCCGATGCCCCACGAGAAACCACCGACAGCGATGCTACAGAGATGGAAGGGGTTGAATACTGGAACGAGCTGCCACAGCGCCCGGCCGTCGTCACCCGGCAGGTCGCGGCAAAGACGCCCATCGCGCCCATCGCGCCGTCGTCCTCGCTCAAGGGCATTCTGCAGGAGCCAGTGGAAGCTCTCGTTGACCTCGTCGATGCCGACGGCCGAGTGATTGGACCCATCAACAAGACAGAGCCTTGGAACCAGTGGGTCAAGGCCATCCTGGGTCTGCCCATCAAGCGTTCGGTCAAGATTCGGCGCGGACGCAAGTTCACCACGGATCACCTCGCCGGCATCTACGAACACACAGAGGCCAAGGGCGTCAAGTGGCTCTCGTGCATGATCCAAGCCATTGGCGACATCCAGGCTCAGAGGTGCATATCTTGTGACAAGAACCAGGGCGCCTTTGATGACTGCATAATCATTGGCGGGCCGCTTTTTCAAAAGTGTGGCAATTGCGAGTGGAATCGCCAGGGCTGTCATGGGGCGGCTCTGCGCAAGGGCGGCGGTTCGGGAGAATCTCCAGTTGCAGACGATAATATCCCTTCCGCAGAGACTCCTCGAGAAGAAGAACAACAACAACAGCAGCAACCAGGAGAAGAAGAAGAAGCCCCAAAGGATATGCCCAACGGAAATGGTTCCTCAAGGCTGACGGCAGACGGAACCGCAGAGGAGGCAGACTCACCGCCACCACGAGAAGACGACGACATTAAAGGAAGGATATGGACGAACACACCGCGGGAGGCTCCCAAAGAAGTGGAGGAAGATGAGGTAGTCCCTGATCGATTCCATGATCGATATGATAACCAAGGACAAGAAATGGCCCAGCAGATACAGACTAGAAAGCAGCAGGCTACAGAAGAAGCGCTCGCCGTCGCTGCTGGCGTTGCTGAAGCAGTCAGCGCAAGGTCTGTGCAGAGCGACGAAGTCAAGCCCACAATAACAGAGAGGCGAGGATTGCCTACTAGCCGGCCGGCCTTTTATCAAACCGAGCAGCTGTTGAACCCCAAAGACCGCCCAGAATCTCGAGCATACCCCTACAATACGGGATTCACGCCGGCAAACGTTCCGAGCCGGCCATCCTCTCAGGATCTCAACACTCCTACTCCGCGATCGATGGAGGCTTCGCCTCAGCCATCGGATAACGCGGACGAGCCAGCTCTACCTAAAATTACCCGCGAAACCCTCACTCTAAGACATAACGGCAAGGTGTACACTCATCCAGAAATCATAGAGGGCGTACCTCTTGAGAAGATTGACCCAAGCCACCCGTACTGGGACCCTAAGTGGCCCGATATCAGGGGTCTGATTGAGACACCACTAAACCAATGGAGAGAGAAGCACCAGCAGGCCATGGAATCCAAGGACAAGGGCGTAGACAAGGCCTCTACAAGATTCCAGCTGGGGCGACAGGTGAATCGCGGCCTAAAGATTCTCGAGTTCTTGGACGAGGGCGAGATTAGCCCTTACCAGCTCCTGAGCAAAAAATACACCACATCTGGCAAGGGGAGCATCACCTCGTATGACACCCTCTTCCGCCTGTGCGAGACGCTGAGCGAGCTGGGCAAATACGGGCTCGACATCCACCCCCTGGAGTGGATGCGTCAGCGTTTGCATGAGTTGTGGGTTGAGCAAGGTGCCGCCTTTAATGTGTCGAGAATCATTCACAATTTTTACAACGACCCCAAGCTGGCTGCTCTGCGGACCAAGTCTGGATTTAAGAACATTGGTCGGCCCTCGGGTGTCAAGGCAAGCCGTCGCAGCGGTGCCCCGTCCAACGACACCCCTTATTCCCAATCCCAACAACAAAAGAAACGAAAGACCTATTATTCCAATTCTGGGGCGCCGGGAGATCACGACAGATCGTCGACGGATCTGACGTCCGAGGGTGGCAACGATGGCACAACGATGGCGCCCGAATCTCCAACTTCAGGAGGTCCAATCATCAAGCGTGCTAGGACGCTGTCTCCATCCATTCGACCGTATAGAACACTCGTCGATGATACTGAAGATTTTACCGACACAGATCTCTGGAGCGGCGCGCCCATCACGCAAAACGATTTTCGGGTTGACCAGATCAAGTCGCGGCTATACACGAGCTCGCCTCGGGTGACCCAGTACCTTCACTGGATGAAGGAAGGCCGATGCTTGGAGCACCAGATCTTGAGGGAGGGGCATCCTGTGAGATGGGCAAAGCTCAGGGAGCCCATCAACTTTGACGTGCGGCTGGATGACTTGGTCGACGTGGTTTGGAACAGGCGGGTGCTCAAGGCGCATTTGATTATGAGCGACCGCAACACGCAGATTTCTTCTCTAGATGGACGACCCAGAGGAGATGTTCTCGTGTCATTTAGACGGGAGAGGACGCTTAGGAGGTTGATTCGGGTTCTTGGGAGTATGGGAGTCAGGACCATTGAGGGATCCCAGTAAGTCACATTTTCAACCCCCCCCCCTTTTTTTTTTCTTTGCTTGGCCTGAAGAATCATGATACTAACAGTGCTGGTGTCACAGGGAGGAGTTGCTGCACCGCTGGGCAATCATGCAGTCTGAGCAGCTGTCGGAGAGAGACGAGGAGCTCGCAGGCGAAGATCACAGGAGACCGGCCTCTTCGTCCCAGCTACCAGTTGCCTATTAGTTTTGGCACATCTGCTGGAGCCCGTCATGACTTGATTTGAGTCTTTTGTTTTGCACGGAGCCGGAGGGCTGGGGGGTGTCTTGGCGAGACAGATTTGCAGCCTTTTATTTTCTTTGAGGTTGTTGGTCTGGATCATGATAAGCCGGTCCTTGGGGCTGGCCTTTTTTTTTTTTTTTTTTTTTTCGTTATGCGTTTTAAGGATCATATGGGGGGGTATAATTGCCGAGAGCAGGACAAAAGCATATGTTGTCTTTTTTTTTTCTTTTTTTTCTATTTCCTTTGTTTTGTTGAGGTGCTTTTCCTGCATTAGGAGAGGACCATAGATACCCAGTGGGAAAACGAAATCGGTAGCCTTGTTGTTTTGTTTTGTCTTTTTTTTTCTTTCATTCCTTGGAGGTTTCGGCCTTGGGTTGGAATCCGGGTGAGGCGGTAGTCTTTAGGGATAATAGCTGGATGGAGACAGTTTTTGGCTCAATGGCTTTTGTTCTTTTTTTTTTTTTTCTTCTTCTCTACTTGAGATTGCGTCGCTTATTTCTTGCGCCGCTTCAACAGTGCGCTTTTTGTCGCCGATATGATCTCTTTGTGTATGATTGCATATGGTATATGGATTTATGCACTCTCTGGCGTGTCCTGGTGGTTGTTTCTTCGATCAGCCTGGGGACTGGCTCAGATGAGTGGTGATGAGGGAAAGGGAGTATATAGGACCTCGGGGGTGGAAGGAATATATCCAGAGTTTGTACAACCTTTTGAAGAACTGTGATGTGTTTTGTGTGTTTGCCGAGATAGGGAGATGTGATGCATTAAAGTTGGCTGGCTCAACTATGATAATCTCTGTTGCGTGAATATGATTTGGGTTTTAATTTACTTGATGTATGAAACAGCGGGATATCATTCATACGTGTATTAATGCTCTTAATTCAAATTCATAAGTCCGTATCCGATATCCCATACATTGTCCTCCTAATTTTCAAGCTCATTGCTCCAAATATCATAAGCCCCCATCATTATATGCTTCCCATCTTTCTCTTTTTATTCTTCTCATACACGCATGGAACCCGTTCCTTCTTTTATTTTCTCCTCGACGACCTTGTGCGTCCGAGACTTTCTGTCGGTGCGCTTTCGACGGCACTGGTCATCCTGCTCATCAGCATGGCCTTTGTCTCCATGGCCTCGGGGTCGCGATACTCGAGCTGAGTTGCGGGCGGAGATTGTCTCTGCAGCCTCTCTTCGTCGACGTCTTCGTCCTGCAGCGCCCGAGGGGGAAAAGCCGCGCTATCGATGCTGGCTGCGCTACTGTCGTTAGAAGCGTTGCTGATGGCGCGGCCGAGGATTTTGTGGCGACGACGACGGAGGGCGCGGGGGTCGGACTGGTGATGGGGAGCGGCGGAGTCGGGGCCGGGGAGGGAGGTGGATGCGGGAAGGGGGATGAGGTCGGAGAGGGCTGATGTGAGGCCTTGACGGAGCTCGGCGGCGGCGGCGGCTAGCTGGCGTTGTTTCTCGACTTGTTCGGCGGATGGTTCTTGTTCTGTTGGAGCTTCGGGAGGTTGGGGGACGGGGGCTTCATTGGTTGGTTCAGGGGCTGGTTCAGGGGGTTGTTGTTTTGGTTGTGGTGGTGATGGCTCTCTGGGCTCAGAGGCTGAAGGGGGTCGAGGGGGTGCTGGGATTGATTGTTCTTCGGGTTGAGGTAGCTTGGCTGGCGCAGATATGGTGCGAGCAACGACGGTTTTGGCCGCTGGCAGCTTTGGCGACACGTTGAGCGCGGCCGACGACAGCTCAGTCAGAGGAGGCGTCTCAGCCGTCCACACAGTGTTGACCGGATGGGTTCGCGCAGTCAGAAAGTCTGCCGGCGTGATGGACCCGAGCGTCTGCTTGGCGCGGCCTTTCTCAGGCACGTCCTTGTCAAAGGCGGTGGTGTCGACGCTTTGCTTGGGAGGTTTTGCTGCGGGTTTTGTCTCCGGGGCCTTTCGAGGCTGCTTTTCTGGGCCGACGTCGTCTTCTTCGTTGACAAAGGGATCCCGCTTGACGCGCCGTTTCTTGATCTCGGGGAATACAAAGTCTTCAATAGGAGCCAGGCTGCCGCTGGATATGCACTCCCACAGCCAGTCTGCCGAAACGACGGGGACGCCCCAGTCAAGCGCGCACTTTAGTTTTTCTCTCCGCATCGACATGAGAGATTTGCATACAAGCACGTTTGTTGACCGCCGGAATGACTCTTCGTATTTGCCTCCCAGCTGGGCTACGCTTCTCGCAACTTGGTTGAGCTCTATTCCGGTAAACGCGGCGCTACACACGGTGATGCTTGAAAAGGCTGGGATGGGAAACAAGGGGAACGGCCGCCCTAGGACCTGCTCATTGGGACTGAAGAAGCGCTTGTTATGCAGACAGTTTTCAATGTAAAACTCGGTAATGATGTGGATGTGCTCGTTTGGCACTTTGGGGTGGGTGTCGGGCTGTGAGGTTTGGGGGACTATGAGAAACCGGTAGTGTTCGGGGTCTGTCGGCTGGGACAGCATAGCTGGAGCTTGCAGCGACGAGGCAATGGTGCCGCTGAGAGTCGCAATTGTCTGCTCCAGGATAGATGCTCTCTGCTGCGGGAATCCGTGGACGACAAAGACGCAGTTGGCAAAGACGCCCTGGTCCTCCTGGAGAGAGTAGCCTGGCTGCGTGGGAATTTCGGAGAGTGGTACTGGAGCTGAAATAGCAGCAGGGGCGGCAGCAGCAGGAGTAGGGTCCATGGTTGGTGCTCCAAGCGGATTATCGTGGGCAAATGAATACTCTCTCGAGGCAGATCTACCGAGTATGTCGCCCCAGAGGTCGTTTCTCTGCGAGCTTAGCTTCATACTGACCGTCTTGCGCAGCTTCCTCACGCCTTCGTCTGGCCCTCCGTTTAGGACTGCAGACCTTGCTCTCTTCCCCAGTGATGACCTCTTTAGATCTTTCTTGACCCAAGCGCCAACGCCTTGCTCTTCCGGAGGTAACAGCGGATCAAACTTGGTTTCTTCTAGGATCATGCCGCGCGCGACACTCTGCTCGAGCCAATCCAGCGTAACTGTATGCACACCCCACGACTTGGCTGCCGTAAACTTCTTACCCTCGGGCTTGCTGACGATCAGATGCGAGCATCGCCTGGTTAGATCTCCGGTATAGCGACCGCCGTTTTGCGTAATCATCTCTGCAATCTTGTCTCTGGTGTCGCCGAAGCCCGTCAAGCAGACGAGCAGAGACCCCCTCGCAGCCGGCGACGTTTCCTCCTGCGACGAGGGCTCGGCGCCGCTCGTCTCCAGCGCCTTTAGCTGGTAGCTCTTTTCCAGCGCGGCAAGGTCGAATTCGTCGTCGTTCTTCCACAGCTCGTTGACGGCGTTGATCCAGGCGGCGTCCATGGCCTTGATGTCGACTCGTTCGCGGGCGACATGGCGATACTTGGGCGTGTCGTAGTCGCCGACGACGAGATGCGTCACGTCAGGGGTGAGGTCGTACTTGTGCACGCCGCCGAGCTCGGCAACCTTCTGGGCAATGTCTGTCTGTTCGCGCCGAGGTTGAGGTTAGCAGTTAGCAGAGGGAATGGGCATGGGCATGGGCAAGGCGATGGCGGTGCTGGAGCGGAAACGAACCCGTTGATCAGGCGGGATGCTGGTGCAGCACACAATGACACCCTTGAACGGTACTGAGGCGTCGAAGCCGTAGCCCTCGTCCTCTGAAGAGTGCGATGCCATGGCTCATGACATGCTGTTTTGGCCGGATCATGTACACGAAGGGATCATGATGGAGTGCATGCAGCAGCCACTATAAAATGGGATGTTTGAGTGCTCGATAATGGCTATGGAGCACTACGATAAGAGACCAGACGCGTCTCAGTGCATGTACACAACTAAAGCGCGTTGATTGAAGTGCCCTGGAGGCTGTTGATACTGTGTTTCCCTGGTTGAGCCAGCGGCTACAGTGGGCAATGAAATGACCGTTTAGTGGCTGGAGTACAGTGCGGTATCAGTGTTGTTGCACTCCTTCTCGTAGACGATGAGCACATGACGGCTATATTCCGATGATTGACTCTGTCCAGGCACAGTTGATTAGAATGAATTAGCAATCTGCTCTATACGAGACTGGGTATACAAGCACCAGTAAGTCGGGCAGCTCTTGAAAGAAGCAGTTGTAGTGCTCTGCTTTGGGCTCTTGGATATTACAGGCACATGCACTCCATACAGTCCCACTCATTCCCGGGTATCACTGTATTAGGTAGTACCTGTGTTGGATCGGCAGATCTTCACAAGCAGCGTCATGTCTTGCATCTCGGCTTATGCTGGGTGAGACCTGCTGGGCATTCTCACACGCTGAAAGGCATGCAACTTGGGTGCATGTGAGCTCCTGTTACTCACCCAGCTGCGTGTAATTTATATTAGCTCCAGGTAAATTCAATGTAGCCTAAGGCAGCGTACTATGCCTATGTTAGTAGGGGGACGCTCCGGCTCCTTCATGTCATGTCATCATCAATAGAACCTAAAGTGGCAGATTCTCTCACCACCTGCACCTTCAGGTCAACTGTGATTGCACCAGCTCCCCCCCAAAGCCTCGCGCTGCAGGCAGGTTTAGGTGCCTAACCTGCTAAAACCTACGCCTGTAACCAATTAGCCGCCCAGACTCCTCCAAGGTTAGTACCTAAACCCCACCATCGCAGCCTTGCGTGAGTCGATCCAAGCCCGCTCCTCTGCTTTGCTCTGCTCTCTGTCAAACGCAAGGCAGAAACCACCAAGCCGCGAGCATCTTCCCCTCTCCCCGCATCCTCTCGACCCTCTGTCCTCTCTGGGCCGGCACCTCACAGCGGACAGACGCTCTCGACTCGCCGTCTTGGTGTCCTCTGCAGCAGCTCTCGGCGTGCACAACCGCTCTCCGCCACCCATTCGAAGGCCGCGACTCGTCGACAGCTGCGACCTTTACCGACGACGACGCACGATCGACATACCCAATACTCGCCGGCAGCCTCTCGTCTCCTGCTGGCACGGGCTAATAAGCGTTGGACCAGCGACCGGCAACCAGCAACCAGCAACCGGCAGCCTGCCAACACGACCTACGACGTTCGGGGCACTCGGTGCTTTATTCGACAGCTACAGCTCCCCCAAGGTCCTCGTGTGACCCGATCAGATCCCCCAGCTCGTCGACCTTCCTCTTCCCGCCACGATGCCTCCCCCTTCGTCGGCGCAACAAAAGGTGCTACTTGCACAGTTCGTTAACCTTACTGGGGCTACGGAGCGTCAGGCGACTCGGGTATGTCAGATAACGTTGCTTCCCCCCCGTGCTTGTCGGTGGCCTGGCCGAGCCCAACGGGGGTTCCTCACCTCCATGCCTTCACAACGTCTCGCTTGGGCTCATCCCGGATCAATGGGCCGGGATAAAATTGGGGCATGAGGCTGGCATGAGGCTGACCCTGCTTGCCGGCCCTTTCGGCTTCTGGCGCCTGCTGGACGTGAGGCTGGGCCCACGGCAGAGCAATCCTGCATCCCAAAGTGGTGCTTCTCAACCCGTCTGTTCGGTCGCTAACACGAGGTGGTGTGCAGTATCTTAAGTCGACCAGCTATAAGCTCAACGAGGCCGTGGATGCGTAAGTAACCCCCCCTGGCTTGCTGTCGTTGTCCCCTTGCGAGCCTCAAATCTCCGCCTTCGTTTTCCCGATATTTCCCCCTCCCTTCTCACGCTCTCCCCTCGCTCGCCCTTCCAGTCCGTCGGATATTCCTCGAATCAGACTCGCCACGGCGCTTCTCGGACAATTTCGTTGTGAGATGATGCATCGCCAGGCTTCCAATGTTGTTATCGGTGTGGATTGACTGTGGGGGTCCCACTAAGGCGAAGCCCGCCCGTCTTGTCGGACACTCACCAGAGTATGGCCGAGCGCCGCCGATGCTACTGAAACAGAGACGTCAGAAAGCGACAGCATGCCAAGATGCTACCTTGCAATATCGTATTATCTCATTGTTGGCTTCTGGATGCCTCAATCGTCCATTTCCAAGCACGCCTCTCTGCCATTTACCTGGCTCCCTGGCGTGCCCGGATCTCTTGGGAGCATCTCTTGACGAACCTGCGAAGCCACGCGCTCCTTGACTTTTGCGTTAATTTGCGCCCTCACTGTTGTGGAAACCTTCGGTCCCCTCTGACCTCTTCTTCATCGACCCGGAACCTTCACTCTGCCTTTTTTTTTTAATTCATTCCTTTGTTCCTACATCTGATATTGCGCATATCACCAACAAACATCCTGACCGGTGTCTTACTCTAAACGACAACGACGAAGAAGACTGCAAAGACACCGACTGCGACCCAGCGATTCGGGGACGCATGCATCCCGTGCATCGGGCCTCAGAATGATGCTGGGTTGGAAAGGCGTCAAGCACCATCTGCCTTCCAAAGTCGCAAAGGCCGTCCCCCTCTGGTTGTCTAAGAAGAAGCGAGAGAAGCATGGCGCCGACACTGCTGCCAAGGAGCAATCTGGACGGTACTATTTACTCCGGGCTGGGACGAATGGGGATGAGCACCAACATCTACACATGAGAAGACGATCACATTTTGGCCAAGATGGACCATTGGCAATCTGCTGCTTAGTGGTGGCGTTGCGCAATCTCATTTTCTCTCTTTGACATATGGCCCCAAGATGCACGGCCTGCTAGGTGGCAGCTGCTGACATGGCGTATCTAGGTATTACATGAACTCGGCCAGTGAAACCAAGGGCCCATCTCCGTTGGATTCCAAATTGGAGGCTTTGTTCGACTCATTAAGGGGTAAGCTTTGATGCTACCTGCTTGAGCTGCTTATCGTATGCTTACCAACCCTGTTAGATGACGAAAACGATGAAAAAGACCAGCTGGAGCTGGAGTCGACCATGGGTTATCTGAGCGAGAAACTCAACGTCAGTCTAGAAAACGCCGAACTGTTCGTCGTCCTGGAGTTGGTGCAGGCCCCTAGCGTGGGTGAAATCACCAGATCAGGATTCATCGACGGTTGGAAATCAAGCGGGTAGGTTTCTTTTTCTGGCCGGAATTTCCCTTCACCAAATCATCACCTCCAAAGCGGTCGTACTTACTATTGGTAGGGTTGGGGTATCGCACCAAGAACACGCCGCCCATGTACGGAAACTCATCTCTGAGCTCTCTCGTGATACGGCCTTGTTCAAGAAGGTTTACAAATACGCCTTTGTTGCTGGCCGTGAAAAGGACCAGAAAGCCCTGGCTTTGGACAATGCTCTAATCTACTGGAGCATGCTATTCTCGGCGCCTGGCGTGGTGTGGAAGGGCAAGCACGACTGGCTAGACCTATGGAAGACATTCCTGGGCGAGAAGTGGACTCGATCTGTCAACAGGGATATGTGGAACATGATTTTGGAGTTCGCCCTTAAGAGCATTGGCGACGAATCCTTGTCATTCTGGAGCGAAGACGGCGCATGGCCAAGCGTCATTGACGACTTTGTCGAGTGGTGCAGGCAGAAGGGCATTGGAAAGCCCGAGACTATGGAAGTCGATGGTCAGTGAAGCCTTTGGGTCTAGATGACCACATTTACACAACAATTGGCCGGGATACTGCGTATCGGCAAACTATTGGCTTGGCGGGAATGGATCCCATCTTTTTATTATGCAGGCACCCGCGAGGGAAAGGGGGCTGGCTTAGAAGACATGCTAGGCGAGACTTGAGAGTATACCTCGGCCTCCTAGCCTCTTTTGCGATGTCATAGACTTATAGCGACAATTATACGAAATCATGGAATGACCTGAAACTGAATGGACAGTGGTCTTTTTGTCATTATAGCATCAACATGGTCATGCCTTTGAAAAAAAAAAGATTGTCTATATCTTTTGACAAGTGACATTTATCATTTCTCCGTAAAGCACCCCAGGATTTTGTACAGGATATTCCGGATGCTCAATCTCCCTTTCTCCAAAATCGCACAATATCGCCAAGCATGAGAGGTTCCCTTGCCCCCCTGTCGACGCCACCTCTTTTTTTATATCGTCATAATCTTACACGAGGCAAAGCGCATTGGGATTCCCTCTAGCGTATGTACTCCTCCCATTTGTAGCTTTGTCTTGATTCAATTGATTCCACGCCGCAAAGAAGAAGTTTTTAAAAAAGGCACAAAACAGAACAAAATCGCCAAATCCCGCGGGGCTTTTTTACGCCTCGCTGCCCTGTGTCCTCCACTTGGGCGGGCCGAATCTCGAGACAGTCTCAAGCTTGCCGTCGCCGAGCTTGACGTGGGCGGCGCGGATCATGCGCGGCTCGAGGCGCAGCGTGGAGCGGACGTCGTGGTGGACGCGCGGGGAGGAGTCGTAGCGCATGACGAAGTAGTGGCCGTGGGTGTGCTTCATCTGGTGGATGGAGATTGGCTTGGGGAGGGAGAAGACGCCCCAGTTGGAGAGGCCGCGGATGACGCCGCCGTTTTTGAGGACGAGGGAGCCGACGGTTTGGGCGATTCTGGAGGGGGATTATGTTAGGAGATTGAAGAAAAAGAGAGAGCCAGGAAGAAGAGCTACGAGGGGGGAGAGGGGAAGGTTTTGTTGTTTTGTCTGGGAGGTTTTGAGGTTGGCGATGAGGGTGGTGGGACGTACTCTTTCACCTCGGTGAGGTTGCCCGGCCGGACCTGAAAGAAAAGGACGAGTTAGCAGGTCGAATTGAGTGTTAAGGAGAGTGGATGATTGCTCACAATGGCAATGAGTTCGTAGAGCATCTTTGCGACGGCCTACGGGGAGTCTGGAAGAGAGTTTGGGAGGGACATGCGACTTTGCGGGATCGGGTTGAAATTCTGAGCTGCGGCTATGCCGAGGTTTTGCCGTGGTGAAGGTGACGGCTTCTGGAATGCATGCACTCTGGAGCTCGCTCTAAGGGGTTAGGTAGTTAGGGGTTGGTGATGGTGAGCTGAAGCGGTGCAATTCGATGCTTGTGGTAAAGTGTTTCATAATATTACAGGGTTATTGATACAGCTACAGCTACAGATAGGAAACATTGGTGGAGTTGTTTTACAATCGTTGATTCTTCTCTATATCCTCTCTTTGGACAGAGCTTGCCAGATGCCCCACGGTAGCCTCCACCCACTACTCTTGACGGCAAATGGGTCGAAGTTGGCCTTCTCCAGGTTGAGCAGCCATTGGGCCGCGGGAACGGCCTCGAGCAAGACACCGAAGCCACGCCGCACATCGCGAGCAGTGTCGCTCTCGTCGTCATACTGGTGCTCGCCCTCGCCCTGATGCTCAAAGTCGTGGCCGGGATCCTGCCCCGCTTTTAACCTCTTGAGCATCTCCCGCGCTGTGATGAGATGGTCATTGGCGCGCGTGGCCACCCTGAAGATGGCATCCTGCAGGCCGGGTGCGTTGGGGCCTTGCCGGAAGACTTGCTCCTCCTTGACCCCCTCCTCGGCCAGTATGTCGAGGGGCAGCAGGAGCGCCTGGTTGCGGCTCGGGGTTTCGACACCGGAGGGCGTCTGGACGGGCTGCGCGGGGGCGGCGAGGACGGGCACTCCCCGAAGCACAGCGACGATGCCACACGCCTTGCCGATATGGCTGGCCAGGTGATCCACGTGCATTGACCGCAACGGCATGGATGCAAGAGTCGCATACAGCATCGTGGAGTACGTGTGCTCGGCATAGTCCTCCAGGCTGGCCAGGGTTGCGAAGGGCCGATTGTCCATGTGCCTCTCGCGCGTCCGGATAAGGCGCGAGACCCAGAATTTGATCGACTTTGTCGTCGAGCCGCCTGCCCGTTGCTCGAGCTGCTGTAGGCCCTGGTGGAGCAAGATGCAGATTGGCTCGCGCGGAGGCTGTCCGGCGAACGTCTTATCGATGGAATCGTGCCAGAATTTCATGCGCATGACGCCAATGGTGGGATTCGACACCATCTCGGGCAGCCGGACGAGCTCGAGATTCAGTGCGCGGAGGGCGGCGTATGTGTCCTGGACGGGAGGCGGCATGAACCGGCGGATGAGGTGAGCATCGTAATCGCTGGTCCTATAGACGGTCAGAGGAAAAAAAAAAAAAAGACCCGTGGTAGTAATCGAAAAATCCAAAGGGGGCCATTGGGGAATGCCATACTGAAGCTGCCTCAAGCAGTACCGCCGAGCTGATTCGACGTCAGCCTCAGTCACGTAGCTGCGACGGCTCCGCAGAGCAGGGACGAGCCTTTTCAGGCCATTGCCTAGAGTTCTGGGACGATGCATGCGGCAGAACGGGCCGGAGCTTTTCACTCAACTGCCACCATCGTGGTGATGGCTCGGCGAGAGTCGCATTGCATTGTGCGACAAAAAGAGCTGCAATCTCGAGTTCCCAGATATGGCCAGCTCGTGATTGGCCAGGCTATTACTCCGACGGACAAATGGGGCAGGCCGGGAGTGGGCGAGACGCGGTCATGTGACCTCTCTACACGGTCGCGACATGCTCCATCTCTGGCGCGTCTCCCGGCGGATTAGCGGCAGCTTTGCAGTGCAAAAGTCACGGATGAGGCCCGGCACAGCAATGGAGCTGGGATCCTCACAAGAGCCGCCGGTGAAGAGGCGGAGGTTCTTTAAGGACCCGGACGAGCCCTCGTCGGATCCGGTGTTCAGCCCCAAGCACGAATTCAGCTCGTCGCTGGAGCCGAGACGGTTCTTCAAGGCAGAGGACGGGGAGGATGAAGATGTTCCTGGAAAGGAAGAGGAAGATGACGACTGGGAGCCGGAGAGCGAACGGAGCATCAAGGCTGAACAAAAGAGTCTAGAAACTCTACCCGAGCCTCGTGAAAATGGAGCTGCTTCTGGGCAATCGACAGACTTGGGGCAGCTTTACCAAGCTTCGACAAACGAATCCGTAGCCCAGCACGAGTCCTCAGCGGTCACCTTTGACCAGGAGACGTTTGAAAGCTTTGTTGGATGCAAAGTTGCTGCCAACATCCTGCGTACTATCCAGCAGCATTGCGGGAACAATCTTGAGCGAGCCGTCAACATGTACTTTGACGGCACCTACAAGAAACTCCTAAAATCGAAGCCCGCTGCGCCTGGCCCAAGCCGAACACAGTCCTCTGAAGTACCAAGCCAGCCCTCGCCGCTCCCCATCCGACGAAATATCCCGACCTCACGATACATTGGCGCATTTGGCGTCGAGGGGTGGGCTACCAGAAGCGGCACAAATCTGTTGAAACACGGCGAAACCGTCAAGATTGAACGACAAAAGATACAGCCCCCTCAACCCCCCAAAACGAAGCCCCGACTTGGAGCTCCTCCTACTCCTGTCAAGGTGAACACGGCTGCCTCGAGACGAGTCGATGTCATCGTGCGATTTACGAACCAGAGTGGCCAGGAAATTGGGCGTCTGGCCAAAGATACCGCCAACTGGGTGTCAACGCTGATGGACCAGAAGATTTGCAAGTTTGAAGGGACGTGCGTATACTGCCCCGAACGTACGCGAACAAACGACACCGTATTCATTCAGCTGCGATGTTCCTTGCTCGACTCTGCCTTTTTCGACCGAGGCTTCAAGCCCGCAAACGATTCCTCGGCCACATGGTTCGAACAGCAGATTGAGACGGCACAAGAGAAAGAACTCAGACTCAGGCAGGTAGCTCTAGTTAGGCTATTCCAGGAGATTAATCTCCAACCGGTCGTTGCCAATGCTGCGGCAAAGGATGGGCGAAAGGGGCTCCTCCAAGCTGCGGAGATGGACGAGCAGAAGCAAAAGGACTCGAAAAAGGCGGCTGTAAATGGCAACAAAGAATCCGGAAATTCATCACCCTCAGAGGATCCCGAAGAAGGAGAGGAGCTAGAACAAGACCAGCTCGACGCGCTATATAAAAAGGCCCAGACATTCGACTTTAGCATGCCCGAAGCCGAGCCGGCGAGTACCTTTGCCATGACGCTTCGCCCATATCAAAGACAGTCTCTGCACTGGATGCTTGCCAAAGAAAAGGATGAACAGAGCCATAGGGAGCTCTCGATGCATCCGCTATGGGAGGAGTATATGTGGCCCGTCAAAGATGTCGACGACAAGGATCTCCCTTCAGTAGAAGGGCAATCTAAATTCTATGTCAACCCATACTCTGGTGATTTGACGTTGGATTTCCCGGTCCAAGAGCAACACTGTCTCGGCGGTATTCTTGCAGATGAAATGGGCTTGGGAAAGACAATTCAGATGCTCAGTCTGATTCACTCGCACCGATCTGAAGCTTCACAACAGGCCAGGCTATCATCTAAGCAAGGATTGAATCAGCTACAGCGATTGGGAAAGAACTCATCAAACGTGTTGGATGCGCCCTGCACTACTTTGGTAATTGCACCCATGTCTCTGCTGTCACAATGGCAGAGTGAGGCCGAAAAGGCTTCCCAACCGGGCACCATGAAGATTCAGCTCTATTACGGTTCAGAAAAGGCACTGAATCTGCAGTCGCTCTGCAGTGGCTCCAATGCTCCGGACCTTGTCATCACCAGCTATGGAGTCGTTTTGTCGGAATTCACCAGCGTTGCTGCAAAGAACGGCGATAGGTCCTTCCATACGGGCATCTTCTCTCTCAAATTCTTCCGTGTGATTCTCGACGAGGCACACTATATCAAAAACAGGGCGTCCAAGACTGCGCGAGCGTGTTACGAGATTGCAGCAGACCATCGATGGGCATTAACAGGCACGCCGATTGTCAACAGACTGGAAGACCTCTTTAGCTTGGTGCGCTTCCTGGGCGTTGAGCCTTGGAACAACTTTTCTTTCTGGAAGACATTCATCACTGTGCCATTTGAGTCGGGAGACTTTGTGCGTGCTTTGGACGTTGTGCAGACTGTTCTGGAACCACTCGTCACCAGGAGAACCAAGGACATGAAAACACCAGACGGCCAGCCACTGGTACAGCTTCCACCAAAGCAAATTGAGATAGTTGAAGTAGAACTATCCAAGACGGAGCGAGACATTTACGACCACATCTTCAATAAGGTGAAGAATACTTTTGCGCAGAATGTCGAGGCTGGCACGGTACTCAAGGCATTCACGACAATCTTTGCCCAGATTATGCGTCTTCGCCAATCATGCTGCCATCCCGTTCTTGTCCGCAACAAAGATATTGTGGCCGACGAGGAAGAGGCTGGCGCCGCGGCTGATGCGGTTACCGGCTTGGGTGACGATATGGATCTTGAATCACTAATTACGCAATTTACCGCCATCACAGACGAAGCCACCAACGACAGACAGACGTACGGAGCGCACGCGCTGGATGAGATCCGAAATGAATCCGAAAAGGAGTGTCCTCTATGCTTTGACGAGCCGATGAATGAGCAAATTGTCACTGGCTGTTGGCACTCTGCGTGCAAGAAGTGTCTGATGGACTTTATCAAGCACGAGACTGATCACGGCAGGGTGCCAAAGTGTTTCAACTGCCGCACGCCGATTAACCAGCGTGATTTATTCGAGGTTGTGCGCCATGATGAAACCGACGAACCGTTTGCTTCAGCAAAACCGCGTTTTAGTCTTCAGCGACTTGGCGTCAACTCCTCTTCTGCCAAGGTTGCCGCATTGATATCAGAGCTTCGAGTACTACGTCGGGAGCGTCCATATATGAAGTCCATTGTCTTCTCGCAGTTTACGTCCTTTCTCACGCTCATCGAAGCCGCTCTTACGCGTGCCAACATCAAGTTTCTTCGACTCGACGGAAGCATGACGCAGCGGGCCCGAGCAGCGGTGCTGCAACAGTTCACAGAGAGCAAGGGCTTCGTGGTGATGTTGATGAGTCTGCGCGCCGGCGGTGTCGGCTTGAATCTCACGAGCGCGGGGCGCGTCTTTATGATGGATCCCTGGTGGAGTTATGCCGTGGAGTTGCAGGCGATTGACCGGGTGCACAGACTTGGACAGCAAGATGAGGTGGTTGTCAAGAGATTCATAGTGAGGGGCAGTGTGGAGGAGAGGATGCTGAAGATCCAGGAGAGGAAGAAGTTTATGTAAGTGGATGATGCTTGTTTGTTTTGACGTTCCACAAGACTAACGGCTCCCTTAGCGCGACGTCATTGGGCATGATGAATGATGAAGAGAAGAAGCTCCAGCGGATTGAAGACATCAAGGAGCTCCTCAGCTAGACGACAGAAGCGGATTCACACGACACGGTTAATTATGATGGTATGGTCTTAGACTATGGCGGCTTTGAGTATGTGACGGTTTCATTATCTGGCGCATGGGTTACTTGAAGAAGTGAAATTTTGATTGCATGAAATGGCATGGCATGGCATGGCATATGATGGTTGTGATGGCTGTGGTTGAAAAAAGGTGTATATATGATTGGCTGGATTTGGCATTCGAGTAATCTTACTCGTACGAAAAAGGATAGATGACATGTCGAAACAAGCAAAAGACATATGGGGTAATACGGGCCGGGTAAAGGAACTTTAGCTCAAGTTGCAAAATGGCCAACCCAGCGTAGCATTCAATGCGTGTACGGAGTACAGTACTCCGTAGATGTGAATCTTCGAAGGAATCGTCGACGGCGGATGAACCAGGATGATCATTGCGGAATGCGGGTGTCATCCCCACAAGCGTCCCCGTTGAAGATTCTGGTCAAATATAACTTTATCTGCTAGGGTCGTTTCAGGATAGGCGACGGGGATGCGGGTGGCGAGGCAGAAGGATTGCGCGAATATGGATGTGTCGGACATTATTTTACCTATGTCAACCCTTACCCTTTCCCTCTCTCTCAGAGATTCACAAGCATCAACATGTTGTGAGCATGCATTTGCTCCAAAAATGAATGACAGCTAAGAGGAAGACGCTGTTTTTTCCAGAGCATCTGCTGACTGAAGCTATTCAGGGGGACCCAGTAATAGGGGCGGGGCCGCACAGCAGGCGGTGCAAATTAGCAGCCGAAATTACCGGCCAGGGCCCTCAGCCCATTACAACGTCCCATACGAGCTGGCGATCTGATGGGAAACGGGGAAGGGGACTTTTCTTCATCAAAGGAATACGAGGCGAGAGCCGTGTTGGCCGTAGCTTGCGGGCTTGTGATCTGACTATGGAGTAGTTTGGACCTCCTTTACGAGGACTACGGAGTACGAGTAATGGGATTACTACTACTCGTATACTGTCTTTTTTGCTGCTAGTTGTGTGGATGCTAGAGAATAAATACGCTGATCCCCCCCGGACTCCTCCGGAAAGGAGAGAAAAGAGATTCTTGTTTCCCCATCTCCAGTCGCTCTTTTAGCAGCCGTTCATTTCCAAAAGACCAAATACAGTCCTTACCGAAGGTCGCCACATAATCGTAATCCAACGACGAAAAATCTTTTACTCCAAACCCGCAAAAATGAAGTTCACCGGTCTCACCTTTGTCGTCGCCGCCCTGGCTGGCCTTGCCGCTGCTGCCCCGTCCCCCATTGTGAACGGAAAGCAGGCCTGCGGTGCCATGACCAAGGGCTTTGCCAGCTGTCCCTTTGGCGAGATTTGCGTTCTTGCTTCTGGAGCTGATTCTGATTCTGCTACTGGATTCTGCCAGTCTCGCTAAGAGGTGAGTTTTCTGCTTGTCTCTGATGGGGTTGGGTTTAGGAGGACTCTTTTGCTGATGGATGTGGGGTGGTTTAGATTAATGGCTTGAGAGGATCGAGAGGAGGGTTCGTTGTAATGGATTGATGGAGATGAGTTTATTGAATTAAAGCGATTATAAATACTACGACGATCAAATATAATACGACTTGTTCCGCGCAAGTCCATTTCGGAGAAACAAAGCGCTGAATCGCCTTAACATTGTCGTGACGCTGCTACCATTAAATGCAACAGAATGTAAAATAGAGTAAAAGCTCAAACGCGATGCATAACCTCCATACTCGTATGAGCATTACGCAATGCCTTTGCGCGCAAAACGATTTTGGTGCGGACACTGCGCGAGGCTGATATGTGGCAACCACTTGTTCTAGGAGTTGGGTACCTACATGTAGTTAGTACAGCAGCAGCCTTGAGAGGCAGCACGCAGACACTGTATTAAACTGTTAGGTCCTGGTAGGTGTTTCGCTATGGGTATGGCTCTCTGAGAAGCCAATATTGTCATCTCCAAATACACATTGATGTTAGTAGTAAATAATGAGGTGTTTGCTCAGCATCATAATGGGAAGGACTTTACGGAAGACATACAATAGGTAAAGCAACGGACTGGCGCACGGACAAGGATGCAATTTGACGTAGTATATTCGTCGTCTTTGTATATCGGGGGCACAGAGGGAAGTAGATAAAACCCCACCCACAGCTCATATAGTTACCGGTTCAAAGCATTGCGTTTCTTTAACAACTCTATATGTACAGGAATTTCTTTCATTATTGTTCCCCGTAAGATTGGATTTATTATATAGCTATATATACACTGAAGCTTGAAATATTATGAAAATAGACAAGAAGATATAGGGAAAATGCTAGTCAGTAGCTCGGTATGATGTGAATAGCCCATCTCGTCTAGCAAGGAATCAAGACGCTAAAATTGTCCACGTAGATCTCTGCGGAGATAGTTGTGCTAAGTTTGCAAGAGAGCGTGGTAGAAGATGAGGTAGCAGGGAAAGAGAAAGAAGAGGTAAGCCACTGGAACTTGTTCGTGTTGGTGCCAATGGTGATGGAGGAGCTGATGCTGTTGTTGACGGAGCAGACCAATTTTGAATTGGAGTTACCGCTGACCGCATAGGTGACGAATGAGACCTTGTACACCTTGCCGGAGATGGTGTTGAAGGTTTGCGAGATGGTTGATGTGGAAGAGATGGTTGATGAGGAGTACAGGGAGAGGGCGGCTTGTCCGTCTTGGCCGGCGACAAATCTTCTGTTCCCGCTGCCGGTGGAGGTCCAGGTCCAGGGAGAGAGCTGGTTGGTGTTAAAGTTACCGTTCGTAAGCTTCTGGACATTGCAAGTCGGGGCTGCCAGGGTTGTGGTGGCCGTCACGGTCTTGGTGGTTGTGGTCGAGACGGTCTTGGTGATGGTCACGTCAACTGTCTGGGTCACGCTTGCAGTGTTGGTTGCGTCGATGGTGTTGGTGACTGTTGTGAAGACAGTGGCGGGTCTAGTGACGGTGACGGTGGTGGATGAGGTCTGGACGACCGTAGCCACGTCGGTAACATCAACGGTGTTGACCTGAGTGGCCGTAGCGGTGACCTGGCTGGTCTCAGTGGCGGTGACATCCTCAGTTTGGGTAACTGTGGGAGCGGTGGTGACATCCACAGTCTGGATATCAGTGCTGTAGGCAGTGTCCACCTCGGTTAGGATGGTGGTTTCGCTGTCAGTCTGGATGGCCGTCTGGGTGACGTCGACAACGATGATTGAGGTGACGATGTCTGTGATGTAGGAGGTTACCTGGGCGTCCAGGGTGGTGGTCTGGTCGTTGGTAACGGTGTAAATGGCAGGGTCGGTTTCAGTCACGGTGTCAACCTCGGTGACAGATGCGACGGCATTTACGGTAGTGGTGCTTGTGGGACCAACAACGGTGATTACATCGCTAGTGAAGGTGGTGTAGAGTTTGGTGATGGTCTTGGTCACGTAGTAGATGCCTTCACGACCACGCACAGTGGTGGTGATGGTCTTGGTGATCTGCAAGGCATAGTTAGCATGCTATTTATGGCGACTCCATTGAGTTGCTGGTGTGTAAGTGCGAGAAAGGAGTTGTATGCTCTTACCGTGGGCTTAGGGGCGGTGCGGGTGACTGAGACAGTCTTGGGAGTTGGGCAAACAGTGACATCAAGCTTTGAGCAAGCGCTGGACAGCTTGTAGCCTGGGATGGTAGCCAGGGGTCTGGGTGTGCTGATTCCTCCGTTGTGGTAGCCATCGCGCTTCTGAACGGGCTGAATAGTCACGAGGGTGGTGGTGAGGACGGTGGAAGCATCTGTTACCACGGACGTCAGAGTGGCGGTGGTGAAGTCCGTGGCCGTCACGGTATGCAACTGAGTGATGCTCTCCTGATCGGTGACCGTGCTGGTCAGATCAGTGGTCTCAGTTGCGGTGGCATCGACAATCTGAGTGGTGGTCACGGGCACGACGTTGGTCGCGGTGGCCGTGACAGTGTCCGTGAAGGACTTAGTGATGGTTGCGGTGTGGACATTGGTCACACTGCGGGTGATGTAGTTGGTGTGGACGTTTGTCACCAGCTTGGTCACCCAGTTGTTGACAGTAGCTGTGGTGAGCGATGTAGCATACTGGGTGACGGTGACGATGCGGGTAGACACGTCAGTAGAAGTCTGGGTTGCGACATCGGTAAGAGTGTCGTAGATGGTGTTGGTGATGTATCCCGTCAGATAGCGAGTGATGGTGGAATACTGGGTGCTGGTGACATGAGCCGTCTGCAGGTTCGTCAAGGTCTGTGTCTGGACATCGGTGATGGTAACCACCTCAGGCGTGCTGGTCACGGAAGAGGTTCTGGTCTGGGTGACAGTGTTGCAGACCTCGGTAGTCAGAGTCTCGGTCTTGCTGCACCTGGTGTTGGGGTTCTTGGTGATGGTCTGTGTCGTTCGGACGGTGGTTGGCGCGGGAGTAGCTGTCCTGGTCTTGGTAACGACCGGGCATGGCACATGGAGCAAGGCAGCACAGAAGTCCTCTGCGCCAGGGACATGCTGCAGAAGCTTGAAAACAGGATCACTCGGAGGTCGGCAGGTTTTACCGCCCCGGTGCTGTTCGTGATGTTCGTCATGCTCATGATGATCGTCATGGCCATACTCGTACTGGCCTCCGTGGGGCAGGGCCACAGCGGCAACGGCCGCCCACGACAACAGAAGAGCAGAGGCACGCATCGTGATGAGGTGATGATGTGAATGCTTTCCAACCGCTTAGGCGGCCGCCAGGCCGAGACGATGCCATCCTTTTTGTACTCTATAGTTTGCTCGACAACTGTCTGCCCCATCCAGAGGCGAATATTGGTGATAAACATCGAACCGTCAAAGGCCAGACTCAGCTGAAATCTCCAATCTGTGCCAACCTAGCTTTCCTGCGTTAGAGCGGCAGGGGCTCAGTAGAGACTATTGACTGTTTACCCAACTTACACGGCGGCTCCCGAACTATTGGCTTGCACTAGTGGCCCTAGCCAGGCACCATCCGCGATTATTTGATTGCACTCTGGGCCTTGACAACTCATCGTCCAATGCCGACGAGTGTCCGGACAAAAGCTGACTGCTACCCTTGTCAGTTCGGTTATTTTCAGCATATTAACCCCATACCCAGATCCGCTGTGATCGAAAATTTGCATCCCCTGCTGGCGTGCCAATTCCTAATGAGGTATTAGCAACCTCCCAACTGCCTTCAGTCTTCAGCTGAACAACAATCGTTAGGCCCCATTCAATATTGCACCATAAATGGCGTGTTGTGATGGATTGGTGTCCCCTGAGAGGTCAGAATCGTCGGGAATAATCAATATTATTGACCAACTCACAATTAGGCACCGTTAGCGGCTGAGTGGGACTTGGGCGCCTACCTGGAAATACTGTAGTTATGCAGTACTAAATACGAAGTACGAGTACTTAGTAGTGTGCTAATAGGTCAGCAATGTGCTGCTGTTTTCTGTTGCTATTGGTTTATAAACTGGGAAACAATAAGCATAGCATTAGTGCAATACTATGTTGGAGCATCTTGGGTTTTCGTTTGGTGAGAAGCTAAATGTTTTAAAGGTGGTGGTGGATAACATATTGCTATCCAGATACTACGGAACTACCTATTATACTGGGAACCGACATGAGCGAATACTTTAGGCACAAAGAGAAGCAACATGCTGAACCTTCTTTTATTCGTGATAGTACTACTATTGCGAAACACGATGGAATGTGCAAAATAAAATAGATTAAAATCTCAAACGCAATGCTTGAAATCCTCTGTATTGAGCTTCCCGATTGATCAACGCGTCTTGGAAGGCCCATAGAGCTCTGACGCTGCGAAGGCGAACTTGACTCGTTTAGGAATGTCATCGAGACAGAATCTGTCTTGTAGTATCATCGTCCGATCCAAAGGTGCGGATTTTTGAGAACGCGTTGAAAGTGGACTTCCCTAGCTGTCAATACCGATGGTGTGACAGCAGCCTATGCCCTGTCATCGTACCCCAGATTGAGGCTTGGTGGCGTTGTTCTTGGTGGTTTGGTGATGTATGTATTATTTCCTATTTGGGTAATAAGCAAGTTGAGTGAAAGTACGTCACTGCGATGAAGAAAAGTATTTATTTCGCACATTCTCACTGCGAGATATTTATTCGGGTCTTATCTTCCGTATTGTAATAAAGAATCTACTTCAGTTCTGATTTGCACTCTTTTTGCACAATGGACCGTTACGCTGCTGCCCATGCCTCCCGCAATGGCCCTGGAGATGCTCGTCCGACTGCCCTCCAGATTATCGCGGACGAGTATCAGTATGGCAACACTGATGAAGCTTGTTTTTCAGAGTTAGTCATTGTGATTACTGGTGCAACTTCTGGCATCGGATATGAGACTGCCCGAGCTCTCTACTCCGCGGGAGCAAAGCTGCTCATCACGGCGCGAGACGCTAACAAGGCGAAGAGCATTATTGAGAAGATTGTGTCAAGTATTCCGCCGGTTGAGGGAAGACAGTATCAGATTATTGAGGTTATACCTATGGATATGGGCTCTCTTGCCTCTGTCAGACGAGCTGCAGAGGAGATTCTGAATAAGGCAGAACACATTAATGTCTTAATCAACAACGCTGGTACGCATACATTGTCTTTCATATCAAATAAAAATAACAGTGCAGTAATTATAACACTTGGCTTTCGAAATAGGCATTGCGGGTATTCCATTCGAACAAACGGAAGACGGGCTAGAACGGACCTGGGCCGTAAACTACGTCGCACCGTTTCTTCTCACATATCTTTTACTCCCACGACTCGAAGCCGGCAGCACCAAGAATCGCCATTCCCGCATCGTCAACTTGAGCACTACAGGACATAGACTGTTCCCAGCTCATCTAGACGACCCAAACTTTAAGATCACGCCCTATGAGCCCATGTCTGCCTACGCAACGTCGAAACTCGCCGTAATCCACCACGCCAACTTCATTGACCGGCACTTCTCCACTCACGGAGTCAGAGCCGTCTCGCTTCACCCTGGGACTGTCCATACTCCGATGCTTCAAGCATACACATCCCAGCGGAGCGAAAATGTTGAACTGCCGCCTGGGTATGGACAGGAGCTCAAATCTGTTGAGCAAGGCGCGGCTACAACCGTTTTCGCAGCTATTGCGTCGTGTTTGGAGGATCAGGGCGGTGTGTACCTGGAAAATTGCTCCTATGGAAAGGATGCGACGGCTGATTTTGGCACGATGGATGGCGGGTATGCGGCTTTTGCGTTTGATGAGGTGGTGGAGGAGAGGCTTTGGAAGGAGACGTGTAAACTATTGGAAGTTCCCGATTTATTGTAGCCGACTACTTAGGCAGATAACAGAGAAAGGTCGGTCGAAGAAGTGGATATAGAGGGCTGGATACGAAGCGGTGCTTCTCCACGCTTTTTGCGCCATTCATTTGTAGATGTGATGAGATCGTAGCATCCATCAATTAGATCTTGCCATTTCTGAACAAACTCCTCGGTGACTTCCCAGTTGTGTGCGTCCCACGAGTTTTCGCCCCAAATCATCAAGCCGGGTCGGCTGCAGCTTAACTGTAGGCGCCCAACCCCGGTAACATCCTCGCAGAGCTCGGTTTCAAAATCCCATTCTTGTGAGGCAGTTGCTAGCCTACGAAGAACATTATCCCGGAATTGTGGAAAGGGGATCAAGTCTAGCCATGGATGGTGTGTATCTTTGTGTTGTAATGATGTAGGCTGAAGATTGGCTGGAAGGGATGGTTGTGTCGTTGATAGATCTAGGTTAGGCGTTTGAGGGGAGAAACTTGAGAGGGAGTCGTCCTGACAAATTGTGCTCCACGGATAGTTGAGGAGACTGGCATTTGCAATTAATCCACGAATGATGTTATTGTGGACAAGAGTGAGAAGTCGATGGTCAGCAGAGAGGAGGAGATTTCGAGCAGATGCGAAATGCGCGCCGCAGGAAAGAGTTGGCGATGTTACAGGCACTTTGGCTAAATGACAAGATTCTTGAGTTGGCTTGAGTAACAGGAACTTGTCACACTGAGGCGGGTTTACTCTAGAGATGCGCTTGTCTTGCTTCGCTTTGGCTGCTTCTCGAAGACCTGTAGCAAATTGTAAATTTCTACAAAGAAGCTATATGAATGGTGGATGATGTAACGACGAAGGTGGGAGGCTTACGGTAATTATGCTGAGCCCGACGATTCTGCAGGCGGCGTCTTTCAGCAGAATCAACAGTAAGTGATTGAGGCTTAGCCTCTGGTGAATTCGGCCTTTTCATGTGATGTGTGTTGTGAAGCGCTTGGCTGATTCAGGGAGGTCTCTGACTATGAATGCAGCTGTTGAATTGTTCTTGTTTGGCGTTAATTCCTCCTGCGAGGGGTTCGGGGATAATGGCCGAGGCAGCGTCCGATTATCTCCACCGGCGTGGAGCGATTAGTATTGCTAGAATAGGAAGTAAGCCTGCCGCTGGTATGCCGTATTTATTAAACATACCAGTAGAAGACGGAATGGGTGTCGCCTCGCCACCTGTATAGGATTTTAGCTAAGGTAGAGAAACATGTAGCTAGGGTCGTAAATGCCATAGAACTAAATTATGGAGACTAAACCAAACTGCGGCCACCGTTTCAGCGCTTCCTACCACTCTATACTACTCTACCAAAGTGGTAGTCCTAGCATCATCTACGCGAAGCGTCGGACCTCTCGCTTTGCTTATCACTCTGATGACAATTTTTCCTAGTGGATGGTATAATAGATATATGCAAAGAAAGGACTAGGCACTGGGACTAGCTGTCTCTGATGCAATGGACTCTCTGCTCATAAACTGCACTAAAGAAGCACATTTGCAAATATATAGGCCGATATATAACCACTCTTTCATGCCCTGGGTGCTAACATTCGAAGGAAGAACATCACGAAATTGTCGCAGACTCATCAACATGGAGCCTTTATATTGAGCAAGTCCACACTAAGTACTATGCCCATAACCTCTACTTGTGATATGTAGTTAAATCCGCACAAGCCGTTGGATAAATTTATGTTTCCTTCTAGCTGACGAGAATATTCTAGACGACGTTCCAGAGTTTGATAGTATTATCGGCTGACCCTGATGCTAACAGCTTTGAGTCATGTGAGAAAGCTACTGCACGAACGTAGTTGCTATGGCCCTGGAGTGTTTGTTGGCATTGGCCTGTTGTTATATTCCACAGTTTAATAGTGCTATCGCCTGACCCTGATGCTAACAGCTTTGAATCATGTGAAAAGACCACTGAAACAATATAGCTGCTATGGCCCTGGAGTATTTGTTGGCATTGGCCTGTTGTTATATTCCACAGTTTAATAGTATTATTGTGTAACCCTGATGCTAAAAGCTTTGAATCATATGAGAAAGCCACTGAATAGACACAATCGCCATGGCCCTGGAGTGTTCGTTGGCATTGGCCTGTTGTTATATTCCACAGTTTGATAGTATTATCTTGTGACCCTGATGCTAAAAGCTTTGAATCATGTGAGAAAGCCACTGAATAGATATAATTGCTATGGCCCTGGAGTGTTTGTTGGCATTGGCCTGTTGTTATATTCCACAGTTTGATAGTTTTATCGTATGACCCTGATGCTAACAGCTTTGAATCATGTGAGAAAGCCACTGAATAGATATAATTGCTATGGCCCTGGAGTGTTTGTTGACATTGGCCTGTTGCTATATTCCACAGTTTAATAGTTTTATCGCCTGACCCTGATACTAACAGCTTTAAATCATGTGAAAAGACCACTGAAAAAACGTAGCTGCTATGGCCCTGGAGTGTTTGTTGGCATTGGCCTGTTGTTGTATTCCAGAGTTTAATAGTTGCATCGTATGACCCTGATACTAACAGCTTTGAATCATGCGAGAAAGCCACTGCATTGATAAAACTGTTATGGCCCTGGAATGTCTGCCGGCATTGAATCATCAAGGCACCTCTCTTAAGCAGTAGTTGCACGATATCCTCATGCTCTCTCTCGGAAGCCAGTCGAAGCGCAGTACAGCCGTCGCCATTTTTTGAGTCAACATCCACCTTGCCCATATCGAGCAGTAGCCGAACTACATCGACATGTCCCTTACTTGCAGCTGCATGCAATGGCATCCATCCACCCTCGTTCGCGACCGTTGCATTGGTGCCTCCTTCAAGAAGTAATTCAACTATTTCAGCATGACCATCTTCGACAGCCCATCGAAATAGCATCGAGTCCCTTATTTTCTCTAATCCGTATTCATGTTCATATCCATCAATCTGCCGGAGTTCGTCTAACCGGGTCTGTGTATATATCCACTGCTTGGATAATTGTTCTTGTTTCTCTTTAACCTCTGCTTGCATTTTATATAGATGGTGAATCTCTCCAGTTTTATCATTTTCTTCCTCAACTAGAAAATTCTTTCTCATTTTGAGTTTTCTTAACTCCTCTTCGACCCTTTTCTGCTGTTCTTTATTTTGCCGTAATTGAAGGTTGATACTTTCCGTTTTCTGGGATAATAATTGTTGTTCCTTATCATTTTGCTCGTTTCTCCTAATCATTTGTACAGACTTCAACATTAGGTTAAATTTCTGCAACTCTCTATCCGCATCAGCTGGATGCGAATTATTGCTAGCTGAACTGCCTGCTGCTGGTAGTGATGGTAGTTCTTGGCTGTTCGTATTGAGTAGTCGCACAATGGCCTCGTGCCCGCCCTGGATGGCCCACGAAAGCGGCGTCAGCCCCAAATGATCTGCCGCCTTGGGGTTTGCGCCTTTGTCAAGCAGCAGCCGCACGATCGCCTCATGCCCGTTCTCAGAGGCCCACGACAGAGGCGTCCGATTGTAACTATCCTCTGGGTCCCAGCCATGTAAGTTGAGCGGGACCTGCACGGCTTTCTCGATCCCGAAGTATGCCGCTAAATGGAGTCCCATAATCTGCTTCGGAACGTTTTGGCTGTAGTGGGGCTTTCCCAACTCTTTGACGGCAAACAATGCTTGGCTCGATGCTTCGACCTTTGCTTGGTACTGTAGAAAATCTAAGACTAGTGGATCGAGGGTTGTTGTCTCGCGGACATGATGACCCCATTCATGGGCAGCATAATCGTAGAGCTGGTATGACCGCAGCCGTTCTTCAAACGCTTCATCCGTTGGACAAAACCCAGCCTCAAAGACGTCGAATGAGAGATAGGTCATACAAATCCTTGTAATATCGTCATTGGCATCTGGAAACCATTGTGCTTGCTTCTGCTGAAAGTATTCCTGCGCTGTATAATGGAACAGCCGGATAATACCGCCGGCTTCATCGATTGTGACTAACCCAGCGCAAATAGATACCAGGTCTTGGGCTTGTGGAAGATCCTCTTCGTTGAGTCTAGACTCACCGATTTCAACGGCAAGGGCGTGCTGGAGCTCCGATATAGTCAATGCTCGCTTAGCGCAAGTGATCCATGATAGCACAGCTTTGGCAAATTTGACGGATTCCGGGCCTTGGTGGTGTATCCTTTTCATAATCCCTTCGTACGCATGGCTGTACGCTTTCGAGCCCTTGGGAAGATTGTTCAACTTTGATCTGATATCCCGGCGTAACTTTGTGTCAAGGAGTGAATCTAGATCCAGCTTTGCTAAAAGAAACCTGGGGCTGATTAGCTGAGTAACATTTACTGGTTCGAGTTAGGTTATACATACATCCCATCCGCAGCTCTCGTAATTTCTGTCGAGGCTTCTGCTTGCATATCGCGCAAAGTAGCCGATCCCCCCTGTGAAATCTGACCGTCTACGTATCTGCGTATATCGTCATCGCTAGCACGGATCTCCAGCCGAGTGCTCCCGTCGAACTTGTCTGTGACGTCCGGGATAGACCTTGACGTCGCAAAGATACTTGCTCCGCATCTTTGAAAGTCAAAGAGCCCTTTTATGAATTCCGTTTGGCAGTTGTCGGATGCCTGGCATTCGTCGAGAGCATCTATAATGATGAATACTTTTGAGTAGCATACTCTAATCACGGACTGGAGGACCTTTGAAATCTTATCCAACGAGGGACGCGTCCCTTTTCCCTTGTGTTGATCGTAAAGGTCTTTCACACTTGCTGGTAGGGAAGACTGCCCTCGAGTTAGTTGCTTTAACAGACTTGCAAACAAGTCTTCGACCTTATGCTCCTCTTGTTGCCAGAAGTTAAAATATATGTAGGCAATTCCAACTGACGGATCATGTGCGAATCGTGAGGTAAGGTTACTAATCACAATGGCTGTGAGAATAGTCTTCCCAGCTCCAGGCATCCCTGGACAGAACAATGTCTGCTTGTTGGTCTTGATCCATGTAGTAAACTCGATGGAGTCTAGAAGCCATCGACCTGTTCCTTCTTGGTGCGTTTTGATATATTTATCTTGTTGGGAGCCATATTCCCTTGGGGTAAGCCAATTCAAGATTTTTAGATCTTCGTCTCTTTCAATTATTGAGGTCATATGTGCAACGTCTGCTCCAGTTTGGGATACAATATTGTACACTACATAACATTTATTAGTTGCCTTCTGTAAACTTGACTCGGATTACCAACTAACCTTGGCCAAGCATGTCTTTTACCGAAGGATCTCTTTCAACATCATCTGGCTGCACAAATTGCAAAAGCTCCTTCGCCAAGGCTGCTGCCATAGCCGCTGAGTGTTCCTGCCAATCCTTATTCTTGTGCGAATCGGCATAGTCACAGATCCCTCGGATGACGACACAAGGAAAATTGTTCATCAGTCCCGCCGCTTCCATCTCGACACAGAGAACATGGCCGCCAAGGTCCTTATTCAGCTTATTCCTGAAAGCAGCATCCTTGATGACCTGGTTGCCGGACGCGATCAGGCCGTAGTGCACGCGCGCATCTCTAGGCTTCCTTTTGACAATCTTAGTCTTGTCGCAGAATCTACAATTTTCTTCCTCGTCGCCCTCGTCCTCGTCATCTGGAGTACTTTCATTGACATGACCGTAGTCTGCCTTGAACAATACATCCTCGAGTGAATCTGACCGCAAATACTTTGGTACCAGCTTCGGCCAGTTCGTCCGCAATGCCTCAAGGTATTCAGGTATTTTGGTCCCAACCAACTCATGTTCTGTCTCCAGTTTTGACAAGGCCGTAAGAAGTGAGGTGGGAGGATTGTTTAGCGATCCGGTGCGCTCGAAGCTGCCATTTTCTCTGGCCTTCCCCATATCCCATTGGACCACACCAGGAAACTGTCCCACAGGTGTGCTAATCACTACATCACCAAGTCTGACTTTAGGCGGAACGCCGCCGCCGATACCGACCATCAAGCCAAACTTAATGCGTGGAAAGGTAGAGATCATCCAAGTAGCAACAGTCGCCGCGGAGTTGGTACCGAACTGCCCTTTGGGTAGACAAGCAATCACAACATTGTGCTTGCCTATGGACCCCAGAGTGTAATTGTTGGGATCGTTCGGGGGCTTCTGAACAGCGGGGTGTCGGTTATCCAGCATAGCTGTCGCTGCTGTCTGCTCTTTTGGCAGCGCGCAGACCCATCCTATAGTGTAATCGTCGTGGGATTTGGACATGGTGGTTGCCATGACAAAAGGACAGGCGACCCAAAGCGTGGTTTTGGTAGAGAAGCGGAATGAGGAATCTGATGTCAAACAGGCTTCGGGTAATTGTATGTGGATTCTTGGTGAATGCCTGACAGTAAACTTGCTTAAAGAAGTTATCAAAACTCCAGCGTCTACCAAGCCTACCAAAAAGAAGAAGAACATAAAACTGCTACAGAAATTTCCATCAACGTATTCTCTCAGATGCCTGCAGAATCGCTGGTGCATTTAACATCTCCGGCACGTATTAGCCTACGAGCGAAATCGTCACTGCTCAATCTTGCTGTGCACTCTTACTGCCTGATCCTGCTGCCCAACCCTACTGCCGATTGCTCGAATTATAAGCAGTTGTGGTACCACAAACTAGCCCCCAACCCTATATCCCACATAAGTGCATGCAGATGCTCTTCCAAAGAAAGCGGGAACCAATAAGATTTGCGTTCGGTGAAATACAATGGACTAGAGTTAAGGCATCAATTTGGGCCCCAACTATCCGCTTGATATGCAACCTATGATACGATAAGTGATTTTCGGCGGAGCCTTCTTCAACCAAGCGTAGCACTTTCGGGGTGGCTCGACTAACTCCGAACATACCATCAGAAATCTAGCTTGTCTAGCTGCTTCAAGGACTGCAACTCAAAAGGAAGCGTGGGAAATACTTAGCCTAGTTACTCTAGTGTGATTTCGTTTAAAATAAAGCCACTACAGTAGTACTGTCAAAGGCGAAATGGGGTCTCCATCTGTTATCAAATGAGGATAGTGGTGGTGGTCATGGACTAGGCAAGGACCGCACAGGGTACCGGGACTGTGATATTGTGATATCGTGACATAATGACCAGAGCCATTCCTAGCCGCGACAGCATTACACATTCAGCCTCCAATCCAAGTATATACTGGCGCATTATGACATATACAGCTTCAAATCGACCTTTAGCACCCACAGCGTTGTATTGAATTATGCAAATATAGCTTTTTCTTCCATCTACTATACAATTGGCCGAAAGGCACCTTTTAGATTCTATTTAGAATTCAGAACTAGCATAAAATAATTACAGCTATGATCTATAAAACAGCCCAATGCCAATCAATGTAGGAGAATGCGCAGTGGGCAGAGACAAGATGCTTATATGGAGTAGCTAGCATACACTTATTAGATATCGGTAGACTTTGTAACCTCAGTTATTATCCTTATTTTATCATATTCTCACGAACGTGGCTCTATTCCGATATAGTATATACCCTCAATAGATTCTACTTACCGGCGGGCAAAGAACCATAGCCCGTGCAATGCAAACGGTGCCCAATGGTATGGCTGTTTATACTGATCACCCAGCTTTCCAGTCCTCATATCAGAGATTGTGCTTCTCATGGCTTGTGCTATATGTATGACATCGCTCTTGCCGTCTTTGGGCGATATAGTCTCATAAAAGGCTTTGCTGAACGCTCGACCAGAGGCGCTCAATACCGGCCACTGACATCCCAGGACTGAGGTTGCGCCGGCGTAGAGTAGCGCGGGGATCAGTCCCATCGGCTCGTCGCCTGGGGCATAGTCTTGCGTGCCCGAATCGCAGGCGATGACGGTGAAGTTGACGCCGCCGCCAGTGCGAGGCAGGCGGGCTTTGAAGAGATCGGGAACAGAGAGCTCGTCCATCCCGAGGCCAGGCCTGTCTGCCTCCACTTCTCCGGAGAAGAGGTCGGTGCCGTCGCTGAGGACAAGTGATGCCTTCAGCACATCATCGTGGGCGTAGCGGGCGTGTCCGTGGTAGTGAACCCATCTTGATGTTGACACCCTCTCAAGAAAGCGCGGCCTGGTCACATCGGAGCCTAGTAAAGCGCTCCCTGGAAATGACGACGCTAGAGATCGGACGTGATCGAAGATGCGACTACGTTCTGCCTCCCGCGACAGCTCTTCAAACACGGCGAAGAATGAGGCCTCGTCCTCGGAATCACGTCGGACTGGTGGCGAATCAGATACCGAATTTGATCGGTTCAGACATTGGCTGAGCAACGCGGCGCTGGGCGAATACACGACCAAGTTTCGCTCGATCAAGGGTTTGCCGCCGACGGACAGCGCGTGCAGTGGCATTCTGTTGAGAAGACCTGAAGGGGAAAGTATCAGGAGATTGTCTTCCTGAGTCATCTCGGATAATCCATCAAGGAGCCCACTCATCGTGTTGAGAAAACGGTTTCCGGTCTTCTTGCTCAGAGGCGGATCCGCTAGTTCAGGGTATTCGAAGGCTTTGGAAAGCCATGTTTTGACCTCGGTGAGTGACACGGAGAGCTGTTTTGCCTTGGTTTCTCCATCAAGTTTCCTGACAAACAAAGTGATAAGAGAGCCGGTAGCTGAAATGTTCCAGTCGACAAAATTAACCCGATCCGGGGCTATGTCCGTCGAAGAGAGTGCAGCCTTGATATCATCGGCGTTGATGTCGAGACTCAGCATTCCATCTCGAATTTTTGATATCTCAGCTAAAAGAGGATTACCTGCCATTCTGCTTCTCACCGAGGCTAATCGCCGGGCAGTTATGACATAGTTGGCTCCTGGCTCGCTCAGTGCCTCCAGCGCGCTTTGTTCGGCATTCAAGAGATCACAGGCCTCTTGGTCGACATTTATCTTCTGCATCAATCGAGGTGGAATAAGAAAACCCGGTCCGAGGGAGTCTGAAAAGGCCCTGGCCTTTCCCTTTTGAAGCCACTCCCAGGCGCCACGAACATCGTCCAGGCGCATTGCCAAGCCAAGTCCAATGCCGTAGAGTTTGATGCTCACTCCCTTGGCAACAAGAAGCCTCTTATTCATCAAAGATGCAAGTCCCTTTGTCGGCACGACACTTCGGCGCATGTCATCGCAGATTCTCTCCGTCTGGTTCAGCTCACTCATGAACGCTCGGAGGAGCTCCCTGCCCGAGGCTTCTTCCATGGTTGCGACTAGGCGGTTAAGGATATCCCATACGAAAAGAGTGCATTGAAAAGTCGGTTCTGTGCCGTTTGTCTGTCTGTACAGCTGAAGGGCTTGAGTCGCGAGGTCTAACGAAGACCAGATCAGCGCCAAAGCTGAACGCAAGGCATCATCTGATGTCAGCTTGCCGGATTTAATTGCATTTGAAGCACAAACATCAGCCTGTATAGATGCAGACAAGAAAGCCTGCGCCTTGGCCATGGGACTGGCAGAGGTGATTTTCTTCACATCCTCCAGGTAGTGCTGGGACATCTTTAGGGCTGATGGATAGTCTTCAAGAAGCATTAGTGTCTTGATTTCCAAGTCCACGAGCTGACTTCGCTTCAACGCGTCTGCAGATTCAGGTATGTGCTTTCTGACGCGCTCGATTAATAGCTGCCCGTGGGATGCCCCGACCGTTTCGGGATGCTGGAACGCGTTAAAGAAATCCCAGTTGCCGATCTGAAGACATTTTTGGACTTCCCCAAAGACATAACCATTCTCGGCGTCCTTATCGGCCCATTTTGCCAAAATATCTTTAGCCGAGTTGAGATACTCTTCGGACTTGGTCGGATCCTGTGTGTAGAGCCTCGACATGTCGAATTTCCGAATGCCTACCAGGAACGCTGCATTGGACTGGACCTCGTAATCCATGCCGGTCATGGCGATAGTTAGGCTTTCTTCGGCGGCTTGAAGCGCCTCCTCGTGTCTGTCGAAGCTGGAATATATGGTGCTGAGCATCAACGCCATGCTGCTGTGGATCGTGGGACCGATCTCGTTCGGCACATTGGCGTAATAGGACTCCAAGCTCTGCAGGGCAAAGCCGTACTCCGGTGCCCTCAGCGCTGCCTGTGAGATCGCTTGGACCAATGCAATTTGTTTTAGAAACTCGCTGCCTGTTTCATTGATCTTGCGCTGTAGAAGCTCAAGCGCGCGTACGACATGTTCGGAGTAACGATCGAGGACCATTTCTGGAGAAATAGCGGTCACCAGACAACGTATACCATTCTGGTGGTGGCCGACTTGGAAGTAGCGATTGGCAATATCTGATTTGAGAACAAATTTCTCGCCTCCAGAGGTGCTGCTGTCAGCAGACACTCGAATTAGGTCGAGGTCGATGACACCAAATCTGTGATCTAGTTTGGTAAACAGTTGTTGTGCCTCATCAAGAGATTGATTAGCCTTTGCTAACAAGCCTTCTTCTGTGGACTTGAGCTGAAGTTGAGCGATGTCTGCTAGGGTCATTGCCTTCTCCGTTTCCCAACCAGGTTCGCTTAGAAGCAAGAGGAAGTCTTCGAGCTCATTCAATGCCCTGTTTGGATCGGCAATCAAGTTCACCTCGAAGTAAAGCAGAAACCTAGCTTCACGGATGCGTCCTGCTGATTGGAGGGTTCGTCTGAGGGCTGAAACTTGCAATGTAGCAGTAGCTTTAGTGGCTTTCTCGTCGAGAAGGCCTTGCTCGGCAGCCACTATCTGTATCCTCCAGTAGTAAAATCTCAACAAAACCTGAGCTATTAGCTTAGTCTTAGAACGTTGTTTGGAAAGTTGTTATGACGAACATTATACTCGGTAAGGATATTGTCCCTCTTCTCACCGTCAGCAAGTTTCCAAGTGCTCCCTAGACGTTGAGCGGTTTTCAATGCCGTCTGGAGCTTCGAATATCTCAATATCCCAACATAATCACGGAGAATTTCAACTAAGGCGGTCTCTTCGCTGTCGATAGTTGGTACTGTCTCTGCGCATTCAGTTTGGAGTGGCGAATGTGGGAAAGCCTCATCAAAGATCTGGGCAGCCGAGGTAGTACAACCCTGGACGAGGAAGAGCAGAATAATCTCAATTGCGATGCTAGCTAAAACCCTTTTGTCATTAGGAAGACTCTTGATGAGATGCTCCGCCTCAGAGAATCGTCCGTTTGCGCGGTGCGATCTGATGGTTGCGATGATTTCTTCATTCTCTGCCTGAGAAATCGGGGTCATCTTGTCATCGTTTGCCGTCTGCAAAATGTGCTCTTGGGTATCACTCTCGAGAAGATTTCGATTCAGAAGCAGAGTTGGGGTTATATACGAAAAACATTAAAGCTGGCAAGAGAGCGGTAATTAGATGTAAATAGCTAGAGCTTCGCAGCCTGGCCCTGGCTACATGTATGTATCATGTGCGTAACGTGATAGCGCTACTTCCCATGCCAAACCACATGCGACTAACCCATGTAATGCGCAATCCCGTGACGAGAGGTAACCTTCTACAAAACATGGACTGCTTCACATGCTCCTTTACATCCATTACTACTTTGCACAGGCACTACATGTACATGTATTCAGCGCAACTACTTCGATCCACTCAGCGCTGACACACCTATAGAGTCTATCAAGTCATCAGTGTGAGCCGGCTATTAGTTTATATACATTGGATGTATTAAACATAAATCAGCATACCTAGATACATCCCTAAGCCATAATTGAGAGGTATGCTTGGTTACGATAATTATATATATTTCATTTGTTAAAACAAGGGATCATTTTTAGTCTATTCGCTATGATATGTATTCTTCTATTCGTACCTAATGTGAGCATCTCATGGGACAATACTATGTACCTATGTATGTATACTACACCTTCTTCTTCAACCCAAAACCCACCAAGGCGTGTCTTGACATAATCGCCAACGCTGATCCTAGCAGAAGCGACACCCCACAGAACACAATCGTGCCGGAGAAATGTCCAGCCTGGTCATTGACGATGGCGCCACCGATGGGGCTCCCGATCAGGACGCCGATAGAGGCCACCGCATAGAGCGAACCGGTGCGTGTGCCCAGCTTGCGAATGTCCGAAATGGATGCCACCATGGCGGGAACAATGGACAGGAAGCACCCAGAGGCGAAGCCGTACAATGCGCCGTAGACAATCAGCGGTGCATTGGAGCCCGCGGGCAACCAAATGGCCAGGGTGACGATGCCACCGAAGACGGTAAGGAGGATCATGACATTGAAGACGCCATAGCGATCGCCCAGGTGAGCGGGGAGGATACGACCAAATGTGCTACATACACCCGTTAGCCTCACCAAATATCGCCTGAAAGGCTGTGGGAAATACTCACGATGCAGCATTCATGATGGAGACCAAGTAGTCGGCCAGTCCCGTCGACATGCCTTCCGTCTTGGCCTGCACGATGATAAAGGTAAACGGCAAGAAGGCACCCAAGTAGATCATGAATGCAGCCGCGGTGAGAAGCAAGAAAGGTCGCTCGGCAAAAGGCGTCACAAATTCCATCATGGAAAACTTCTTCCGCGGCGGAGGCAGTCTCGACTTGATTGTTAGGTTGCCAATGACGAGCAGTCCGAGAAACAAAAACGCCGTAGACCGCATGGCCCAGCCAAAGCCGACACGCACGACGAGGCGATCCACCATGATGGGCAAGACGACACCGCCAAGACTAGATCCGGCGGTGACGATGCCGAAGGCGAGGGCACGGTGGACGCGGAACCAGGTGCCGAGGGCGGCGATTGCTACCGGTGAGTTTTGTTAGATTGAATTGGTAGATATGAGGGGGGGACAATGGGATGCATACGTGCGTAGAAGAGGAACGAGCAGCCTGTGGCGCTGCAAATGCTCTGGGACAGCAGAATCTGGTAGTACTCCTTGGAGATTGAGGTCATCATGAGCCCAAACACATGAAGGAAGGAGCCTAGTAAGACGGGAATCCGGGGACCGAACTGGTCGGTCATATAGCCAACAACGGGACCCTATCATCATGTCATGTCAGGATAGGTTCAATAAGGTAGAGGTCGAAAGAACAAGCGTACGTACCCAGAAGAAAAGCATAAAGGATTCGAGAGAAGAGATCCATGCCACGGTGCTGGGCGAGTATGAATTGAGTTGATGCGATTGGTAGTAGTCTTGGAAAATGCCGATACCTACACGACTTAGTTAGTACACTGACAGCTTGAGTGGTGTTTATTTTTCTTAGCACACACAATTGATCCATCCGAAACTCGCAAACACGGAGCAGAACCCCCCCAAAACGACTAGCCATGCCTCCATACCGCCATCGGGTGGAGGGCCAAAGTCGGGGCCTGTGGAGGCATCTTGCTGTTCCTGCTGCTGTTGCGGCGCCTTTTCGACATCTGTGGTAACATCCTGCAGCTGGTGGTATTGTTCTTGAAGCGTTTGGTTTGAGGACGATGGGTGCTTTGTATCGTCCGCTGGAGACGCCATTGCGGCGGCAGTCATGGAAAGGCGAATGGAGCGAGCCTATACTCCGTGGTTGTGAGATATATACATCCAGAGTGAGCCCCTTTATCTGTCTTTCCGTGTCTCAAATCAAAAATGTCGCGTCCTTTATATATCTGGGCATTCATCGCCTTCCTACGTCCACATCTCCAGTCTGGAGAACCGCCAGTGTCAAAGAGCGGTGTTCCCTGTCGCGCATCTCGAGCGATGGTGCCGAATCTGGTTTAAACCGCCTGGTGCCGCCGAATGACGTATCCGCTATGAGATGCAGAACCCAAGGACTTTTCCTGTCTTTATTTTTCTGAGAGACGGAAATAAATCCAACATCCTTGTCGAATCCCCTCGCTCCTTGGTACCGTGTTGAGTCTAGCGTGTCTAAGCAAACTCTCCGCGGCTCCAGTTGCTAAATGACTTAACAGGATGACGGCCCACCAGGCTCACTTACATCTCTCAACACATTCATTGCCATGACACGATGCGGCCATTACCGTGACATGATACGACAAACACATTACGAATCGCCTCTGCGGTCCAAGCCATGGTCGGAATACCGGGAAAGTCAAAGGCTTGCCTGGACTGTAAGAGGCGTCGTGTCAAGGTCAGTGCCCACCGGTCAGACACTCCCTACATATGTATCCCGTCCACATCAAGATCTAACTCGACCCTCTTCAGTGCGACTTGACATTGCCTTGCTGCTTGCGATGTGTCAAGGCTGGGATTGCATGCCAGGGCTACGAACAGGCCGTTCTCTGGGTCAACAGAACCCCAGACCATCCCAATGTGACCGCCCTCTCCGTCATATCCGACACCCAGCTATACCAACGCCAACAGCGCTCTCCATCCTCAGAATGGCTTCAAATTGTCAATCAGCTCCGCTCCCAGCTCTGCCAGCCATTCTATGACACGACAAATTTCAGATCCCAGGCTCTGCGCGTCCTTCAGGGCATTTACCTCCCCCATCCACATATCAACCCATGCCACAACAGCAGCGAACCGACCCCCTCGCACTGGATCAAGGCTGTGTGCCAGATGCAAGCTCCAAGTGACGCCCTCGACCACTCTCTTGTCGCCTTTTGCGCCGTCCAGGTCTGCTTGTCCGGTGATTCGTACTTGTCTCAGGACGAAACGTGCCAAATCTACAATCACGCCCTCAACAAGGTTATCGAGGATTTGGACCTTCGGCGGGCAAGGAACAGTGACGAGACACTGGCAGCCATCGTGGTCTTAACGACATGTGAGGTACGCTTCCAACTTGAGAGTATATTAGTAGAGTATGCAGCTTACTTGGAGTATGCAGCTGTTTGTTTTCCCCACAAACACAAGCTGGAGTGCCCACGCGCAGGGCATATCCGAGCTCCTTCGCCATCGCGGCGTGCCGGAGCAGGTCACAGTAAGATGGCGAAGCTTATGCGTGCGATTGTGCCTCATATGCGTAGGTGTAACTATATAATCGCCAAAATCACCATCATGTCGATTCTCCCGCTGACGCTGACCTCCCTACTAGGTCATTCAAGGGCTGATACAAAGGCGTTCCCTCAGCCTTGAACCAAACAGGTGGCGATTTCTCATCGGTCCTTCTGGTTCCGACGGGTCCTTTGTCCGACTGATGCATTTAGTCGTCGATGTCCCATCTATGCTGCAAGAAGCCTATGCACTCCTCTCAGGCAGCAACAAGCCCTTGGAGGCCTCGCAGTACAACACCCTCCTCATGCAAAAGTTTCAAGAGCTCGACACTTGGCGGCACCTTCGCCAGCGCGAACACGATCCCTTGTATTGGTCTGTCATGTCCAGGATGGATAACCCGGCCGACGAGGGATACGCAGATAAGCTGTTTCCATTTGCGCTGATGTTTTCATCAATGGGCAATGCTAGTGTATGGATGTTTTGCTCCACATTCATGCTACACATCCTTGAGACCGCCTTGCTCCTTGAAGAGCTGAAATCCACCAAACCAAACGGTGTCAGCATCTCTTCACTACCACCGGACGACTTCTCAAAATGGGCAGACGCAGACAGGCTGGCTCGCATGCTCTGTCAGAGCATCGAGTTTTGCTGCCGCATGGAGAACGGTCTCTTTGGGATCCAGGCGACGTGCTCCACGCAATGGACCTTGCGTCGATACTTCCGTCGCCGCGGCCTCGCCAGGGAGTTGGAATGGTGCCGGAGGATCAAGGATATGAAGGGGCCTGGGTCAATATGCGGGATCGATTTGATGCAATTTGGGCACGAATGGTGACTAGACTTTCGGTGCTTTTCTTCTTTTCAACATAAAATCCGCCTGTTACCAAAACTCTTCTGACGAGGGCAAGACTCTTGACCTTATAGAGGGTTCAAGATTGATTTCAAGTCTGTTGGCACATATACTCAGCACGCTTGATGCGACTCGGCCGAATGATACTCCTAAAGTCCTCCGATGCAAGTCAGGTCGACAATGGCGTCAAGACTAACGATTACTGTCCCCCTGATAAACGAAAACTCCATACCCCCATGTGTTACAGTGGAGCTTGAGGAGTATCTAGGCGACGACATCTTCTTGCTGGCGGCGTGGCATGTACCACTGTGACAGATTCCTGCTTGCCATTAGTACTTCTTTAGCCGCAAGCGCTACATCGGATCGGATGATAGCCTGTGCGTTATTCAACTTGGAGAGTTGTTCAACGAGTCCTCGGAGGAAATTCCCTAATTGACGAATCCGTCATGCACGCTCCAAGGTACTTCCTGCAAAATCTACTGGATACAGCAGACCAGGCGCCAAGCCACGGCTTGCGGTACACCATATCGACTGCACAACTCATACGCCCTGGTTGATGGCAAAACATGATCACGTCAAATTTTTTTCTTCCTCAGTGCCCGCTTAGGGCTGCTGCCATGCACTACACCTCGAACGACAAGTTTAGAGGCTTGGCCTCTATCCTAAAAGTATATCTCACATCCTATTACAATAAGCCCTGCCATGTGCTGTGCGGCGCACTTGAAGTGTTGCGCCGTCAAGAATTCACATGGCATATATTCGCCCGGGTATTCCCTTTTTGGTATACGATTAAAGAACTAATCACGTTTTCCCGTGATTCTCCGTCATCTGTTAAAGCAGATTTAAATACGGATAGAAGGCTATGATAAAGAAAGCGGCCTTTGCCGGCCACCACCTAAAATGCCGGCCCGTATTCCTTTTTGGGCATACGACTATTAAACTTCTTCATAGTGGGTCTATCATGTTGTACCATGATTCATCGTCGCCTGTTGACGCAGGACTGATTCTCTAAATCCGATGGAATAAAGCGACCATTGCTCCGTTTAGTTTCATATTTGTGCTACGATACGTAGGAGACTTGCATAGAGTCGATTTTTTGAAAGATATAACCCCTCATAATGACAGCACGGGCTAAGAGCACAATAGCAATTGGTCTTTATTGCCATAACCTTATCCAAAGCGTGCAAACTGAACAATCATCAAGTCAAGTAGTAGAGAGGTAAAGAGAATTGCATGTTGCTTTCTTTGAAAGCAAGAAAAATACTGTGATATTTTGCACGAATAATAAGCGTAGTGGAAGAAATGGGGGTTTGTTGCACGAGGTGGATCTACCAGGAGATAGGTGATTCTTGGGATAAAAAAAAGCTGCCAAGGAGGAGTTAGACATTCCCAAGAGCTAGGAAAATATCCGAAAACCAGAATAATACCATTAAGCAACCTCCTGTGAAGGAGATAAGATCAATGACTTGGGCCTAAGTCCGGACCATTGAATCTTCTCTAAATATAAATATATCCTTCTGTAGGTGAATCATCACAAAACCACTCTCCACGAACATTGAACTAGCACAAAGTCCTTTAGTTGATATCTCCTCACGAGCTTAAAAAGATGGCTCCTTCCGATCACACTCTTCTTGTCACAGGCGCGACAGGTTATGTCGCAGGCCATGTTATCCACCAAGCCTTGACCAAAGGCTACAACGTTCGAGCTTGCGTTCGATCCGAATCGGCCAGGGAAAAGATTCTCTCTGCCTTTCCCAATTATAGCTCGCAGTTATCTTTTGCTTCCATCAAGGATATCACCAACGCGGAGTTCTTCAGAGACGCGTTTGCCGATGATGCTGTAACGGGTGTTATCCATCTTGCTTCGCCTGTCCACCTCAGTCCAGAGGATAACAGACGTGACATGCTCGACCCCGCGATTAACGGTGCGAGGTCGATCATTGAAGCAGCCAAGATGTTTGGTCCTTCCGTGCAGCGTGTCGTGAATACCTCTTCCATGGCAGCATTGCTGGATGTTTCGCAAGGCCTACGACCTGGTTATACGTACACGGAGAAAGACTGGAACCCGATGACTTATGACGAGGCTGCTGAAGCTGATCCTCTTTCAGTGTATTGCGCTAGCAAAGCCCTGGCTGAAAAAAGCATGTGGGAATTTATGGAAAGCGAAGACACCAAACCAGCATTCTCATTTGTCTCTGTCAATCCTTCTGTGATCTACGGTCCAGACTTTTATCCTATCACGAGTCTCACGGGCCTCAAACCAACCACCGCGCGTGTCTGGGCGCTGGTTGACGCTCCGGCTGTACCTCCTCCAGACTATGCTGGGGCAGTCGACGTGAGGAATGTCGCAGAGGCATTACTGGCCGCTTTTGAGACGCCCAAAGCCGCCGGGCAGCGCTACCTCCTTGCGAAGCACTTTGACTGGCAGACAGCTGCAGATGCTGCTCGTGAGGCATTGGAAGAACCTGACAGAAGTAGGATACCGGCAGGATCGCCTGGTTCCATGAGCGATGGAGCATGGAGATCTGTGACTTATGGTGTTGACGGATCAAAAGTGGAGAGAGACTTGGGCTTTAAATACCTACCATTGAAGGATACGATGGGCGATGCTATCAAGCAGTTGCTAGATGTGGAAAGGAAGATCGCAGAGAAGCAAACTTTGTAGAAACACTAAACTCAGATACACAATCTATGGGTGGGGATTGCGTATTTTCACTTTGTCGTATCTGCATAGTGAGATAAATAAGATCAGATAGTGGAACCATTTCAAGATAGAAACTGTTTCGTCGGCTTGATTGTATGCTCTATTGCCTGAGTCTGAAATCTATTCATATCTGTCGCCAATCTTGTTATAGCAAATATGAACTAACCTGTACGCTTGAGCTCTATCTATTTGGCCGACGACTTAGGTATCACGACCTCCAATGCAAGGGACGGCTGCTTTTTTGCCAGTACTACGCTAAATTAACTCAACTCATTGCTGCATCAAGAAGTTCATCTCTCTGTTGCCAGGTTGCATGAAGGCACATCGAAGTCGCGATAAATTACCAAGAATAAGTTGTTTAAAGATTTTGATACCGGTTAAATATGCAACTTAGTCAATTCTTTATGACACTAGTGAAAAGAGAAGAGGGCGATGATTCTAAGCAATAGGCTTCTAAGTACCGCCCTGATTGCTCCGAGTCATGCCTGGTGCTATCACGGCTACTGCCAGTACACACAACACAGGATAAAGGGAATAGGGAGCATAATGGCAACGTCTCACTAACTGTATTGCTAGGTTTGTAGGGCTGCTGAATGAAGTGATTACTCCTGCAGACGGGGACTCTTACTAGATGCTTGGTTGATGACAAATTCTGGAGGGCATGGACCTTATAAGACTAGAAGCACTTATCCTAGTTAAATGTAGATAAGGAATGGATGAAACGGAAAGCAGAATATTTAGTAATCCATCTGTAAATGTAAAAGTTGATATATCCCTTCAAAATGATCATCGCTTAGAGTAAGCATTTGCTATATTGAATGCAGTAGCATTTTATGTTCCTCCTCTGCTATTCTACAATATATATGCTCAACTTTCAAGATGAACTGGGAGGCCCAATTCCCACGTCTTCAAGACGGCATACGCCAAGTTTCTCATCCGCCAGTATGGACAAAGTAGAGAAGTCAACTCTCTCACATTCGCGAATGTGATTATTAATTCCCGTGGTGTTTAAACTAGACACGGCAAAGGATTCAAGTGTAGGCTCAACGATGATGCTATTGGACAGGATGTCAAAGTCTTGGTTAATGAAGCGGTGGCACGTCATTGAAGCGGGATTTGATCCATCTTCCCAAAACAATTGAACATAGAAGCGAGCTTTGGAGTAAGGCTTGCTGCTATCCATTTCAGTCAGCTGGCGAACGCGAGCGACAATGGGCTCTTTTTCTATGTAACCTGTAGGAAGCATTCTGAAATAATGTTCGAGAAGGTGTTTCAGGTTCACCTCCGCCATAATTATCGCACCGTAGTTTTCTGTATTAACAGGGTCCAGTTGTAAGATTCCCTTTTCATCTTCTTTTTCAAATGAAGCCATTGTATACAAAAGATGACTTATTTCAAAGAAACTTTTATAAGATTTGCCACCTTCGTAAGTCATACCCAAGAGAAAAGATGTTCGTTGGTCTAAATTCGGTGCTCGTTCTAGAACTGCTACCAAGACTCGCAGGCATTCATGAAGCATTGTTGTTGTATCGACTGAGTTGATATCGTCCATGATGAATAGCTGGTTGTATAATCCTTTTATAACTGCGCTTATTATAGATTCACATGCCGCAAATTCAGGTGGCCTTGTTGGATAAGAATGTTCCGTGTAGCCGCCTAGTGGTGAACAGTAGAGACAAATATCCAGAGAATTTATGTCGCCGCCCAAAGACAGAACATACTCTTCCCTATCCGAAAGACTCCACTCCCGGCCATATCTGAGAGCTTTTCCAAACATAAAGTCCCTTAGGAAACGGGTGGCATATGACGTGCCTTTATCATCTACACGCGATTGTATGAACTCATTGAAGGCAGAATTTCCAAGGAGTAGAGCTTCAAGGCATGGGAGAGGATACCATTTTGGTCGGATATCCCATGGCAAAAGACCAGCCTCGAAGAGACCCTCAAACATATGCAGCAAAGCAATATTCGTATTGGTTTCCGACGCGGAATTTTGTCCAAATATTTCGCCTAAACACCAGCAAAAGTAATGTAACGGTCCGTTGAATCCTTGGCTTAGTATTCTTCTGGCGGATTGTAGTTCTTGGTGATATTGAAGCGAACGAAGTTGGCAGAGAATAATACTTGCCAGGTCTACATCAAGGCGATGTGTCTGGCTTTGTGCTAATATGCTTTTTCCGACTTCGGTGTCCTTCAAAAAGTCGAATAGAGTTCTGTGTATAAAGTCTATTTTATTTTCCAGGTATTGAATCAATTGTTCGGGTTCTAATATGCTTTTCATCTTCATATTATATTCCAATACCGGGTCAAACCCCAATTGATTAGTGTTTTTAGTGACGAGGAGCCCTGCAGTTTTGATAGAGATGCCCTTTGTTGTATTCGCACAGTTCTTGTTTAACTCTGAAACTGGCAACTGGTATGATTTGTTCAAGATGTTTGCCTTCATCTTGTCATTTGTGGCGAGCGTAAGTTGAAAGGAACTCAGGCGCCAGTCGATGTCGCTGTCATAGCATTGGCTATACTTGTCCAAAAATGACTGATTCAAAATAAGCAAACTGAAATATCGTGCCGCTTCCTTTTGGTATATGTCTTTGTCTTCTCCAAGTCTACTCCACATGTCCGCAAAGAGCTCTTCAAGTTTGGATGGCAATTTTGATAATCGTAAGCGTATTTCATGTTGCGCATCATTGTTTCGAAGGCCTCTCTTCACACTTTCAAGTGCTATGACGAGCCAGAGATATATTCCCTCGGCTTTTTCAACAAGCATATTTCTTAAGTCCTTTAGGAAACCTGATTGGTATCTCTCATCAGGTATAGGAATGCCTATCGATGCAAGCTGTAGCATGTCATCCCTGGTCAACTCGTGGAGTTTGAATCCGTCATACACGGAGAATTTTCGCAGAAAGATGTCCTCACCCCGACTAGAAATGCAGAGCTTGGCATTAGGTAGGTCAATCAGAGAATCTAAAAATTGGAAAATTTCCTCAGTCTCAGTCTCAGTCGCTTCGTCAAGTCCATCAATTAGAAAAAATATCGATCTTTTGCACTGGATCAACATGGAATGAAAGATGGTTTTTAGCTCTAAAATTTCCCAGTCTCCTATTGTTTCTTTGTGTTCAGCAAAGAGAAATTGTGACAACACATGGTCAACAAGATTATGTTCGCTGGATAATAGCTGGTGAGTTAAAGAACATAACAGTCCCTTGAGATTCTTCTGCAGGATATTTCCGGGCTTCCAGAAAAAGTGTGATATAATTAGCGTATTGGTATTCCATTTGTCAACCCCTCTCTGCGTGTTCTTATGCTGAAGGAGAAACTTCATAAGCGTGCTCTTTCCTGAGCCAGGCTTTCCTTGAATCCAGAATACTCGTTTATCGGATTGAAGCCATTGAACAAAATTCCTCCAAGCGGCTGCTGAGCTTGAAGTGGAGTTTTCGTCTTGATCAAGTGACTCAAATATCGAAACGTAAGTTGCTTCGTGGGCAGGTTTGAGCTCAGTGCGCCGGGAATTCATAGATTCGTATTTCAAGCTGCGAAGGAGGGAAGATTTCATTGCTTCATATTCTACCGCAGAGTGGATATCAATAATGGATTGTTTCACACGAGCTTCGGATTTTCGGATCTGTTGCCTTGTCTGATTGCCGTCACGAGCAATAAGATTGGCTATTTCTGTGTGACCCGCTGCAAGTTGGGAAATAAAATGTTTCATGGTATCCGAAAGATTGGCAAAGCCCTCACGCTGCTGAATCTCTACAGCATCGGCCTTCGAGCTGCATAGAGTGTTGTGTGAGTTTGCTAAAATACAAAGGCACAATTAGAAACGATGGTGATTGAACACTAGGCTTACCATAAACGGAACAGAATATGCGCCTCTAAAGTCTTCTGGTATTTGCAAAATCGGTCATAGAGTTCTGCGACTTTTCTTTTGCGACTTTTGGCTGTGTATACGGCAATCATCGCCTTCACCCAATCACCAGGCTCGTGGTGCTGAGTGATTTCTTGTATCTCTTTTTGTAGCTCTTGTGCGGCTTTGTTGCATTTCTGAGCGATTGCGTGGAGTTCTTTTTCCTCCTTCGTCTGCTGTTTAATAGAGCCAGAATGACGATTCATCTCAATTAATAAACTCTGAATGGATGCAGTGTTTTCTTCCATCTGACTGTCAGTCGTCGGGCGACCGTCGTAGACATCCTTGCAGAGGGTTAGGACTTCTTTAGTAAAGGAGATGACCTGCATAACGCTGCAGGCCATCGATAAGGCCTCGAGTCCAGACATTTTGATCAATTAGATTGTGTTATGCAAGCGACGGCGCGAAGAACTCAAAGTTGAACTGAAGTTTGAGGTGGGGGCGGGGAAGCAGCTGAAGCCTGATATCAGCTTTTTGGTCTCGTGAAGGTGATTGGAGACACCAGACGTTAGACCACATGCACGATTACTATTGGACGAAAATGAACCACACCCGAAACTTCGAGTATAACCCAAATCAGATATAGAATCCATGGTGAGCAGGAAGCCGCAGCGAAGGCCAACCAGAGACAATCAGACAGGCAGAAAGAGTCCATCGCAACACGCAGAGCGAAAGGAAGATTTATATATTAAACTGTCTATTCTATAATACAAATAATAAAAATTTCTACAACGCTTTTAAAACACCACCTCCAGTTCTGTGGTTACTGTGTAGGCGTAGCCTTGGTGGAATTCCAACCGGGCAGATCCTTGGCTACCATGGCGAGCGAGACGCACGACCGGGCAACACCGCCAATAACGGTGTATGTCAAGTCGGAATCCATCAGCTTAGACGCACCGGTTGTTGCATCAGAAACGAGGAAGATTTTGTTTAGTTGGCCTTCGATATCGCAGAGAAAGGGATAAAAGATGTGTTGAGTGCTGTCCATGGCCACAAGAACCGTCACTCCCGTGTCAGTAACTGTAGGGAACAACATGATCATCTCAGCACCGATGGGAATGGCGTCCCAAGTGCCCAATCGCAGACGTGAAGCGCCTACAGCAGAGATAGTGCTGGGAAAGTAGTACAAAATTCGACCGGCCGAGTCACCATACACTAGGGAACTGGTAAGATCCGCCGTGAAGGTGGTGCCGTCGGTCAGGCTATTCATTGATACAGAACTACCGTTTACATGGGGGTTGATCAGCAGCTGGCCAGTTGCATCGCGGATGGTGATAGGGGCAGTGACGTGATCTGAATCTGGGGAGCTTGTGGTGGTGCTGATTGCAGTGGCATCAGTTGAAGTGGCTGTAAGAGAAGTCGTAGTGGAAGCCATGGAAGTGACTTCAGTTGAAGTGGCTGTAGAAGATGCAGAAGCAGTAGGCGTGAGAGTGAGTGTATCCTTAACAAGAATCTTTGCGTTGGCAGTACCGCTGGCAGAAGCACTGGTGGCCACCGTCGTTGCGCATTGGACAAGTTCAACTCGCTTGTGCGGCGATGACACCTTTCTAAAGCTTCCGATAAGAGAAACAGGCGCAGGTGAGCTGGGTAGCCCGTTAGAGTATTGAAGACAGTCAGGCAAAATAAAGTTGAGTTGATTGAAGATGAAGTTGACGCCAACACAACTGCTATCAGTCGCGCAAGAGTTTGCGCAGGCATCGGCGCTGTTAAACTTGAAGGCCCTCTCAAGGGTTGACGCATATATCGAGTAGCAGTTGAGCTGGAATGTTGTTCCACTTGCAGTACAAAACTTGCCATCGTCGTTTGCACAGGTGAGAGAGGCACAATTTGGACCGCTAGGGGGGACAGATGTGGTGCCGCCAGTTGGAGCAGAAACAGTAGTTGAAGGAGGTGCGATAGTGAGACTCTTGCCGATGCAGCCAGAAGCAAAGACAGGAGCATTATATTCGTCCAGCCTGTATTTTCCCTGGCCAATATCAGAGAGATCCAGAGTAACAGTATTCACTATCCCAACACTCCAGTGAATTCCGCAACAGCTATCCTCGGGATCGGTGTTGACTTCGCCGTTGTTGACCTCGTTGGTGAAGTCGTATTCCACTATACAGAGAGAAAGAAAGTCATCATTGTTAGTCTGCGATCGATTTGACGAGAATATACCGAGGTTGACAAAAAGAAAGGAAGATATGGGTGACTTACTGCTGGCACGAACACCAGGGGTATCGACAAGCTTAATCTCCTTCTCGTATTTGCCATTGAGGATATTAAGGCCAAAACCAAGGCTAACAGGAAGTCCAAGAGTAGAGTTGATGGTCAAGCTGCCGTCGGCCTGAACTGTGTCGCGGATGTTTGGTGTCCAGCCTGACTTGGAAGAGCTACGAGGGTTGAGGACATCTAATTTAGCTGAAAGCTGAGTCCATTCCATATCAGCGCCAACTAGATACTGTCCAACAGCGCTGACATCCAAATCCACAGATACTCCAAGGGACAGCACAGGACCAATGGTGAGAATATCAGGGATTGACAGCCCAGGCAGACCTACGGACAGGAAGTCATACTCCTCCTTGGGGTTCCATTGAGCAAAGGCATTCATGCCGAGATACAGCCCAACATCCAAATTTCCATCCATGGATAGCTGGGCTTTGGTGAGGCCCTTCAAGATGGAGAAAGAGGCGCTACCAACCAGCTTAAGTTTGCCATTGGCATGGCAATCGACGCACCAAAGCTCAACGCTGGGCTCCGGATCTGCTTCGCCAATGATGACACCCTTAATCTTGTCAATGGCCTCGTTCTGAGCATTCCAGTATTCGCCCTTGTCGGGGGTCCATGTATAGAACTTGAAGCCGTCGCCCCAAGGAGAGTCATCTAGTGTGCTGTTTGGTGGAGCAATTTGTACAGGAAAGTCAAACGATCGGTCATAGTCACCAGTGATGATGAATGTTGCAGCTGCAATCAACCCCTTTGCGAAACTCTCAGCCGCTCCTAGGATTGTATTTCCAAGGTTCTTCAAGTTGGAAACAGCATCTTTTCCAAGTGTCGTAGCAGCGCTCACGATATCATTGCCAATAGCCTTTGCTCCATCCTTAACTGTATTAACTAGTGTCGTAGCGGCATGGCTAACAAAAGAACCAATTTTGCTAAGCAAACCTCGGTGCTGAAGGTCACTGACTTGGGTTCCAGGTAGCACGGTTGCCAAGGTGGCCTGTCTGTGAATTAGTACCTGCAGCCTGAGAGACAAATACGAAAAAGAAAAAAAGGTAAAGAAAGAAAAGAGAACCAAGATACTTACATCAAGATCTTCGTCTGCAATTGAATAGTAACCCAGCTTATTATTAAGACAATAATGGAAATCAGGTCCACAGTAAATTGCTGGTAACCCGTCAATCTCATTTGAACCAGGAGCGGTACATCCATACGCTGCCGCAAGTTCAGGATTTGGCTCAAGGGTGGGCACAGATATCTCAATAGAGCCAAAGTCGACGCCGGCATCTTGGGCAATGTCGGAGGCTGACTCGATAGAGCCGGAACAGCTCACCGACTTGCTTGCATCGTCAAAGCTAATGTGACTAGCAACAAAGTAGACGTAGTGGCCATCTGAACTGCATCCAGAGGCAGCGGCGATTATGATCAGGGTGTTGCTACTACCCTCAGCTTCAGCCCAGGATTCTTTAGCGGCATTATAGGCTGTAGCTCCATTGAAGTTGGCGGACAGACTCTTGTCTAAGTCGCAGTGGATGTCAAGGATGTTGATTGAGTTATCTAGTATAACCGAAGGATACTGGAATGTCACGTTGACACAGACTGTGGGAGAGTTGACCGCATTCGGATCATTCGATCCTAGTGATGTGCCCCCAAACCAAAGCTAGGAAACTTCCTTCGGTGTGATAACCTCGGTGCTTGCAACATCGACGTTTGGAGGCGCCAGCGGACGAAGAGTCACAGTTGGCTGAGCTGGGAGCGTGAGGGGGCCAGGTGGAATTTGGGCGGTACCGCTGGGAGCTGGAGAGCCGGTAGTAGTCTGAACAGAACTTGACGATGTGGTATCTGAGGCGGTTGTTGGAGCATCTGTGGTACTTGTTGAGCTGCCCCAGTTGGAGTCAGTCGTAGGTGTTGACGGAGTCGTGGTCTCAGATGGAGCAGAAGTCGCAGCAGAGGTCGTACCAGAGGAGCTAGTAGAAGTATCACTAGGGAGGCTGATAGTGGTATCGCTAGAGAAGCTGGTAGAAACATTGCTAGAGGTAGTAGCACTAGTGGAAACCTGGGAAGACTGGGGACTAGTCGAGGTAGTCGAAGCTGTAGTAGTCGATGATGTAGTCTTCGTGGTAGATGTCGATGTGGTCTTCGTTGTGGATGTGGATGTAGTCTTTCTAGTAGAAGTAGATGTAGTGTGGGTTGACGTCTGCGGTAGCTTGCTGCTCAACACGGCAATCTGCCCGTTTGCGCGTGGAGAAGATGGCGAGAGTGTTTTCTTCAGCCAGCATTCGCCATCGTGATAGGCAGCAGCAATACATCCGCTGGTCTGATCACACCATGTGATGCAACTGTTGAAGTTGTTGAGCTTCTTTGACGCCATGTCAGCACCGGCGCGGTCCACATTGCAAGCGACGGTAAAGCTTCGACCGCTTGGTTCCTTGATCTGCTTGCCATTCTGACCCGGGCAGAGTGAAGGTGGTGGGCTTAGTACGGAGTTTAGCACGGCAAATTGGCTGTTTGTTCGCGTTGTAGAAGCTGTGAGCTTGCTCTTCAGATCGGCCGTCATGATAGACAGAGGCAACCAGCCGGTGGTCTCGTCACACCAGGCAATGCAGTCTCCAAAGTTAGCCAGTAGCTTGTTCCTCAAGTCACTGCCAGGATGATCAGTATTACTGGAGACGGTAAAGGTTCTACCGCTGGTCTCCTTAACCTGCTGGCCGCTTGGGCCCGGGCAGAAAACTGGATCGGCTGGCAACAACGCGGTCAACACAGTAGTGCTGGCTCCAGTGCCAGCAACTCCCGATTGCAAAGATTTCTTCAGATAACAGGTTCCAGACCGCCAGCTAGCAGCGACACAGCCCTTGGCCTCATCGCAGAGGAGGATGCAGTTAGCAAAGTCCAGCGTTTGGATAGACTCGATGTCGCCATGGAGATGGTTAACTCCACACTGAATAGTGAAGTATCGCCCATCTGCCATCTTCACCCGACTGCTACCATCTACCGGACAAGTAATCGGGGTTGGTACATACTGCACACGGACTGCACCAGTCACTTTGCTATTGATGACAGCGGCATTGACGGAAGACTTCAGTCAACATGTCTTGCCAGAATAGGAGACGGCTCGACACGAAGCTTGAGTTGAGCAGACATTGATACAGTCGTGAAGGCTGCTGGCGGTAACGGATTTGTAATCTCCTCCATGGTGGTCAAAGCCAGTCTCAACAGAGAACTGAACGCCGTTGTTTGCACGGAAGGTCTGAGATCGTACAGCTATCTCGTTGCTTTCAGCCACCGGGATGGCATGGCTAGCAGCCTCTGTCGCCAGAAGCAGAAGCGCGGAAGCGCCAGCGAGGAGAAGGCGCATATTGCCGAGCAGTTCCGGTGATTCCCAAGACCGGAAGCCGTCGTTGGATTGAGTAACGAACTAGATCTGCTTGGGCCCCTCTCGAGGGAGTAGATGGATTTAAGCCCTTCGTATATCAAGGGAAACTTCGCCCGGCCATGTTCCGTAGAAGCCGCTCAATAAGGCGCAGAGTTACATGTCTGGCCATGGGTCAAGGTCATATCCATGATGCCATTCCGAGAGTAGCATTGAAACTATTGATAAAATAAGTTGTTTTTTGAGGCCATCGTGAGGATAGCGCCAAGACTATTGATAGGTCCCATAAGTTTGTGACAGTTTGGGGAACGTCACATTGACGCTGGCCGAGCTGAAGGCCCGTTTCCCCACAGAGGGACTGAACTTAGACATATTAAAGATGGTGGCCTATGAAGACCTCAAGGCAGCTTTGACAGGAGCCGTCCCGAGCGTTCCTGGATCAATCTAGACCTCGATCTCTCCCAATCAAGACGCACGGCACGTGTGGGCCAAACCGAAATGTCGGCCAGTAGACTGGATACGGAGTAGCGTATAGCAGCAAAACATGAAGAAGATATTTCCGTGGGGCTCTACTAAGCGTCTGACTTGTGCTAGTAATGATACTAGCGGTTATAGCAGTCGTGTTGTTCATGAGTCGGGTTAAACCCGAATACCGCCCAAGGCTCGATTGGGTTCAGCCAGCCTCGATTTGAGAGAAGCTTATATCAGCCGGGGCAGGGGTAAAGGAAGAGAATTCACTGATTTGGGGCAGTACGAACATTCGTAGTCATATGGCAGTTGTTATGATTGGCCATCTCCGACAATTACCACGACTCGTCAACGTTCTGTGCCTGGAAGAGGCGTGACGCTTGTGTTGTGGCGTAACGCCCGAAAAATAGGCATATGATAAAGCATAGATTTAGCCTTATCGGCACACTGTCAATCAACGGGTGTTCATGTTGTGGGTAAACTTGTAGAGCTTGAGATGCTTCCGCTCACAAACACCACGAGTACGGCCGCATACCTAAGTAAAATCTAGTGAGTATTAAGTGGAATTACAATTGCCGAGATGACTTACGCTGCTGTAGATGCAAATATCTCGGCTCTTTTTGCACTGGTCATAAGGCCAACGCTCAAGGCAAACAACGCCGTGAACGCAGCAATCATGCCGAGCTTAGAGGCATCACTAGTGACGAAATAGAGACCTGTGATGGAGCCGACTAACAGGAGTGCAGCTACAAGAATGCTAATGATGGCAGTTGCTGCAGCAATGGATTTCTCATGATATCGTCCAACACTGCAACGGTTATCCAAAGAGATCTCTTCCTATCAGACCATTAGCAGACTTTTCATGGGTTTGGATAAGATTGCTTGCCTTGATAGGCCAGTATCGCCTTAAGAAGATGGATAGATAGTCGGTTTCTAACGAATGAAGACCGACAAGATCATTTGGGTCATCCAAAAAAGTTTTTGAGAGTCCACCAAGAGCAGGGCGTGGTTTGTTGAACCATTCTCGATATGCAGTAAGAACACGCTTGGAGGGTCGCTTCAATTTTGCTATCTCACTTTGTAATAAAAGCGCTTCGTCTGAATAGCAATTAGTTGATGTTTTGGGTACATGAAGTATTGGTCTGAAAACGCACGATATTCTTTTAATTTATCCCGCATCTTTACAATTAGGTTCATGCGGATTCGTGCTTCCTCATTACCATTCTTGTACTGCCGCTCTAGTGTTTCCCATGTCATAATAGTGTCTGCCAGGCCCATATCGTCGCTTTCGGCGTCGTTTTTATCTGTTTGATCGAGTTGCTTTTCAAGAACGAGAAGTTCAGATTGTAGGTATAGCAAATTTCGAGCCGCAAGCTCATCAAACTTGCGGTAAATGAATGATTCGCTATCCGGGTCAAATGCAATCCATCTTGCAACCTGCGCAAACCCCTCCTTCCGGTGGTAGTCGCTACCGCTTGAATTTTGCGCTCTCATCATTGGCCTGCGGAGAAAGAATGATAACTAGAGGGCTAAAATATTTTGCAACCTGGGCAGCTATACTATATGTAGAAAAACCTGTCGGCGAAGCCAAGAGCTGCGACTGAGGAGTAACTAAAAGCCGAGGGAGTGCCTGCTAAGATGGCGAATATGGATCAGTCATGAACTAGGCCTAGGTGGCAAAAATTTAAAAATCACCAAGAGTGTTTGTCAACGACTGAAGATAAACGAGACGGTGGGTAGACAGGATTCTGTCTGTGAGATTAAGACACTTTGTGGTGCTAGGTACATGTGAATTTACATGCAAATATGAGAGCCTGAGACAGAGCCTAACGTGGCGCAATGCAGCTCACAACATGGCTGCCTAGTTCCTACGGTTGTTATGTCAGCTCCCTTAAGACCTATTCCCCAGATCAAATATTTCTCCTCCAGGAAAATATTTACCTAAACAACAGCGAGATCACATCAAGGGGTGGCGACGATACCGTTTCATCACGTATTTGTTTCCGCTACCCTGTCGAAGTTACGAAAAGCGTCCGGCGAGATGATGAGTAACATTGACGTTTAACTAGACAACAAGCAATTGCGATTATTAAGAAAAAGACGGCGAGAAATGGGACAAAACAAAACCGTCGACCAAACCTTCAGGATGCACGAGAGCGAGACAGACAATGACACAAGAAAGAAGCCTTTGTCTCCGTCTAGTTCTCCCCCGCTGCCTACATCGAGTAGACGGAGGAGTGGCAGACGGCAAGCGGATAATATCAAAGAGTTTGATCGCGGGATTAATGGTTCAAACAGAGGTCAGCTCTGGAGTCCGACTAAGCTCAAGGCACAAACGCTAGACCAACAACCTAAACCGCTGTCGCAGGCCAAGCCGGCCCAGTATAAAATAGGCACAAAGGAGGCCGAGGCCGAGGCCGAAGCGGATGATTTATATGTCGCGGATCCATCAGTATCCCAGATGATTGAGCAGCCTGATACCAGGCCAATTTCTCAAGAGCAGCTCGTTGCTGAAGTCAAAGGCATATACGCAGGGCTCGTCATGGTAGAAAGCAAATGCATTGAGGTTGATAATGCTCAATCAGCGAATAAGGGCTCGCACTCGCCACAGCAGCTTACTGATGAACAATGGCAGGCACTGATTGCCTTACATCGTACATTACTTCAAGAGCATCATGATTTTCTCCTAGCTAGTCAGCATCCATCTGCTAGCCCGGCGCTTCGACGACTGGCCTCTAAGTATGCGATGCCCGCAAGAATGTGGCGACATGGAATTCACTCATTCCTTGAACTTTTGAGGCATAGATTGCCGCTATCTCTAGAGCACATGCTTAGTTTTATCTACATTGCTTACAGCATGATGGCTCTTCTTTACGAGACCGTGCCTGCCTTTGAAGATACTTGGATCGAGTGTCTCGGAGATCTAGGCAGATATCGTAAGGCCATAGAAGACGACGATATTCGAGACAGAGAAATATGGACAGCTGTTTCTCGATATTGGTATTTAAAGGCATCGGATAAGCTACCGACCACTGGTCGACTTTATCACCACTTAGCTATACTCGCGCGTCCCAACGCGCTTCAGCAGACATATTACTATACAAAGTCGCTGTGTGTATTTGCCGACCCATCACTTCGAAGACTGGCTTCCAAGGATACCATGTCTGCGCGAATGCGGCAACACGAAATTCTAGGCCAGTTAACTCAGCAACTGCTAAACAGTCCAGGATTTCAAGAACAGCTCTTTTCTGACGCGGCGGACAAGCAATACTACGTGGCTGGAACAGTAAATGGGACGGTGGTAGAAGCTCTTCCCGATACTGGAGCTGATGGATGCTTCATATCATCGAAACTAGCCTCTCATCTTGGCCTTCGTCCTGTTCCGGGTACACAAAAGAGGATATCACTTGCTAATAATAAGATCGTTGAATCTCCTGGGATGGTAAAAGTGCCGTGGGAGTTCGCCAGGGAGCGAACGACGCACACGATAACCTGCTGGATCCTCCCAGGATGCATACGTGATCTAGTCCTAGGAAATCATTTTTTACGAGCAACATATACTCTGACAAAATTCCGCAACCGCATCAAATCTAAGCTCCTTGGGGTGTCCAAACGACTTTCGTTGAGCTTCTTGGGAAACGAGAAGCAACGTTTGCGAGGATATCTCAACGGTCATTTGGCTACAGCACTCCCAGATACAGGCTCTGACGCCATGTTTCTCAATGGAGAATTTGCCCGGAAGCTTGGGCTAGATATCGACTCCAATGTCAGAAATCTGGTTGAAGTCGAACTGGCTGATGGATCCACAACCATGACAAGTGGCATCGTGCGAGATGTACAGTGGAAAGTGGGCAAGACGACAGTACAGTGCAACTTTTATGTACTTGAGGATCTGTGCGCAGATATTATTCTAAGCAACACCTATTTGTTCGATATGAACATATTCTCAGAGCAGGAGAAACACTTTTTCGATATCGACTCCGAGGATCATTTTAAGAATTATCTCTTCCATTTTTGCAATCTCCGTCTGGTTAAGAAGAATCATGGTAAGCATGGCAACGAGATATTCAGGAGCTTTATCTAATTGATTCAGTGGCCTCACCCAGTGCCTTCAGCCCCGATATGACCCAACAAGAACTGGAACAACTGGAACAATGGGAAAAACTGGAAGAGCTCCACAAACGAGATGAGAATCGCGACAGAATAATGCGGTTGCCTGAAGACCAACAAGAAAAAGCCGCACAAGACGAGAAAGCGCGGCAGCAATGCTGGGAAGCCTTGAAAAAAGAGCGTAAAGCGAAATGGGCGGCTGGATCACATACGACCAAGGAGAACGTTCAGAATGGCGGCAGCTTGATAGGTCGGTTGAAGAAGCGACTCCGTATAGGTGTTGCTCCGAGGAAGGTAGCAACTTAAGAACAAACACGAGACCACTGAGAAGCTTTCACAACGACAGTATCGCATGCAAGAGAGAACTAAGGACAGCACGATGACACGTTGGGATTTTCAAACGAAGAAGTTCATCAGAAGGATTTTAGGCTCATACATTGACACTCTTTAATGTCTTGATTTACTTATATATTATCTATACATTATATGCTTTTCTTTTACTTATTTTGATTGATAGCCACTCTTTGGATGTGACTGTAAGAATACACAAAACTTTTTAAGAAGTGTATAAAATTCATCATTTGCACTCGCCCCGGTCGCATTTAAAGCAATCCACCTCATCTGTTATTAATGCGATTTTACTGGAACGTTTGATACAAATTCAATGAAAAGAAGAAACAAAATGATTGCCACACGCAGGCAACAATATCAGGTATCAACGAATACAATCTATAGGTGTGTGCTCGAGTCCATATCGTCCGTTGAGCACGACATTCCCTGATGGCATGTATTACACCAAACCCGAGTTCCATTTCCGACGCCCCTGCGGAAGAGAAATTCGGCATTCGAGTTTTTCATTGCTTAATAATTCATAAATTCCACTGCATATTCATTGCCAATCCATATTACCTTCTCGTGTTGCTGTAATAGGAAGCACGCCGCCATTGTGAGATTTCACGGCTAATGTAACAAACGACGGTACGGGACTGTAGTTGTTCCACGAATATCCGGAGCGACCTATAAAGGGCCACTTATCTTTAGTCGGAAGATTTATAAGCTATCCATCCTAAAAAAGGTGGGATTCTATCCGAGCTCAAGTGTCTGTCTATCCGAACTCAAATTGAGTCTGGCACTAAACCCTGAAGCTCTGGCTCTAACGGATAGAATCGAAGTTTGTGACGTCCGAATTTTCTAGGTTGACTATCCTGCTTCAGTAATCGCTGAATGTGTTTTCCTTACACTTAATATGTCTATTTTACTATATATTCCAACATGTCTCTACTTTATAGATGTCAAATATTGTAAAGCAATCATTAACACAATTCGGTCTCATCAACAAACAATCCCAAAATGAAGAAAACTATATTGATCATCGGCGGAACAGGTGCCCAAGGTGTACCTGTTGTCAAAGGTCCGTCGCTTATTCTTATCTCAAGTCCGAAACTGTTACTAACCGAAAGTAAAGCCTTGGCCTCTGATGCAAAGTATAATGTGCGTGTAATCACGCGAAACGCTTCGTCCAAGGAGGCCCAAGACTTGGCAACTATACCTGGAGTGGCAATCCACGAAGGAAACGCCTACGATGAGATGACACTTCGTCAGGCTTTCAAGGGCATCAACGGAGTCTTTGTCAACACAAATGGACTTGCCATCGGGGAAAAGGCTGAGATATACTGGGGCATCCGACTTTATGAACTGTCCCGAGAATTCGGCTTGGAGCACTTTGTATACTCAAGCCTTGAGTATGCATCAAAGCTTGGCAATTTCCAATCCAAGTACCGGTGCTTTCTTGATGCAAAGGGAAAAGTGGCTGATTACATCTCCGCGCAGCCAACAGCCCCAATGGCGTGGTCGGTGTTGACGGCCTGTACATACATGGAGTCTTTGACCGAGCTTCTTCGACCAACTCCTGACCCCAGCGACCCGACTACGCTTGTTTTTGCCGCCCCTCTTGGGTCAGCGAAATTTCCTCTTCTGCACCTTGAAGATTACGGAAAATATGTTCGATGGGCCTTTGACACGCCGGCTCGCAGCAATGGCCTCAATCTGCACGTTGGTACAGAGGACGTCAACTGGAGCGATCTCGCGGCTACGTTCACTGAAATGACAGGTAAAAAGGCGGTATATAAAGACTTTACCCTGGATGAATACTTCAGCCGAGGAACTGTGCCAGATCCAGAAAGGAAGGTTGGCCACTCAGCCGATCCTAACGATTCCACTCTGCTCACCTACAGGGAAAGCTACGGCGGGTTCTGGAGTTGTTGGAAGGATGAGTTGAGTAAGAGAGACTATGATCTGTTAGACGAGATCTTGCCGACAAGAATTAAATCCGTCCGAGAATGGATGAAGAAGACGGGGTACTCTGGAGAAGCGAAATCAGTCCTCAAAGATTACAGAGATAGAACAGTGATGCGCAAAGTTAGTAACATGACATAGAGCATAACCCTCAAGTTATAGGCTGCTGTTGTATAAGACACATAGAATATGTACTTTCCAATGTATGTATTATTGTGATTATTATTTTTTTCGAATAACACTGGTGCAGTCTTAAATTATGTATGAAATTATTGCCTTAGTGAAGCCGCCAATTCATCTACTTACTGCTTGTGTTCTTTCAAAATTCAGCCACAGACAAACGACTCAATGTTTTTATCAGGATCTAACGTGTGTTCAAATTAAGATTAAGTGATTAGGCCACCATTAATTTTACTAATATGCGGCAAAGATAATGCGAACTCCTAAGAATTGATTAACGTATAGAATTGAGACTCAAGAGCAAGAACTGCTCTCTGCATTGCTACCCTAATGAATACACTGCAAATCTTGTCATTAACTACCATATCGCCAAGGTACAAACCCCAAAATCGGCGGTAGTATAGATCAATATTATGTTGAACAAATGCCTTCAATTTCAACATTACCATTGGCTCTCTTTTTGAATTCCCAACTGGACAAGCGCAGCATGGTCTACCCATGGGCGCTCGTGATCCGGCTGAAACTCATCTCTCTCAGTGCCTCCGTGCCCTTGCAAAAGTACATTCGGCGACAATTTCGCTTTGAATGGGTTCGGTCCGCCGTGGTACATGAACAGTTCTAGATCCTCCTCCAGCCAAATGGCCCTACCAATCACACTACAACTTGGTTCTATCCCGATGATGATTTTTGGACGCTCTGCAATGTCTCTGCTTTGCCAGCCTAGTGTGCTTCTCATCTCGTCTAGCAAGTCTCTGTAGTTGCCACCGCCATCTAGAAAGTAGAGAAAGCTCAACTCAATCACGCGTATGGTCTTCGGTAGTACTGAAAGGAAAGCAATTATATCGTCTTGTTGTACGAAAAACTTGGACAGTCCAAAATGCTTCAAGTTCGGCCAGCATTCTATCGGAAAGATGGAGCGGAGCGGAACGAAATGCTCTGCATGGCCACCACTTCCTGGCTGACCACGGCCATCTTCATTCTTCAAAATATCCGTCCTCAGGTGAATATGCTCCAGGTCACTTGACGCCTCCGCAAGCGCATGTCGCATACGTCCGTTGCGAAATGACTCCCACCCATAGTAAGACTGCGCTCCAACCATGAGTGAAAGATCAAGGCGTCGGAATCCAGGTCGCCGAAGTACCGCGATTAGATGATCGAACTCTTTGCAAGGTTTATCGAAGAAACGGCAGGTTAAACCCGTCAATAGCTGATGGACATCGAGCACAAGCTCTGTCACGTACGGGCCTTTTTTCTCCGCAAGATTCCGGATTACCTCTCGAAATCCGCGCCATGGTGCTTTATCAGCTTCAGTATTCCATTGAGATGCCTCTAAGGTACCGCAATCCTCGGTAGACGGCCAACCTCGTGGCAGCTTATAGTTTAAGCCATAGGGGAGGGTGCGAATCATTGGGGTCCGGTAGAGTGGAGTGAAAGTCAACCCGTGTGCTGCGGGTGTTAAAGTAATTCGCTGCAGCGCTGTAAAGCGCTGGAGGCCATATTCAAACGCTTTAATGTCTGAATCGTGGGCTAACACTTCTCTCTGTTGTCTCAAATATTCGCGATAGAACCACCAAGATTCATAAGTGGTTACTAGATGTTCCTTTTCTTTCTCTATGGCTACATGATGTGGCAAATCAACATCATGATGAGACCGCCTGCGTTCGATTTCATCGAGGTTTGCGATACAGGCATGCGCATAGTCATCCGGCGGTATGTCTGGGATTTGGTCTCTCTGGATCCATTCTTGGCGACGCCAAGCACTCCTATAATCATCGTCGAATCGAGCCTCGTCCCAGATTATTTCTTTGATGCGGTACTTGTATATCTCGTGGTCTGCAATAGCGCGGAATACTTCAATATCTTTTGGGTTGGCGCTTATGAATACCCTGTGGATGCGCAACGGAACCTGAGAGAACTGCTTGCAAACGAGTCGCCAGCTCCTAATGTCGATGTCCGGCAATTGAGAAGAAATCTCATCCAGGAGCTCTTTTGGCAAAGATTGCAAGCCCATCGCCACGAATGAAGGTTCTTTGAAAATAAACGGCGTTGGATCCTGTTGCGGCTCCAGAACGTGAGCCAACCCGCTATGAAAAGATGTAGCATAGGAGACAGGATTGGAGAGATTGGCCATTTATCAAATGAAAAAAACATTTATCATTTGTGATACACGCACATAACACATAACGCACAGACGTGTGTCAAAATTTAAGATACAAAGTACATGAAAGTGGTACATGAGATTTTTTTTTTCCCCTGTGTGTTGGTCCACCTTGGTAGTACAGTACATCAGTGCTCGAGATATCCTAGTCAATGGGAAGACTTGAGTCTTGCTGGGAGGTTGTCAGGAAGGACGAGAATGATGCAATTATCAACGTAGGCAAACTGGTTGGCTGCTCTGTGATGTCGCAAGCTGTTTCTTACAGAGAGACTGTATTAAGACGCTCCCAAAGCGGAAGAAGGAAATGATGATTGGAAAGAATGTCTACTGTCTTCAATATACAAACGGTCTCATGGCTAAAGTTGCTACGTGCAAAGGTGCAACTCATTCTACCCCTTGGCTGCGGCTGAATGGAGAAACAATAAGAAATCAAAGGAATATGCTCCTTATTTTATTTAGCCATATATGTTGCTACCCGCCGCCACGTAAAATACATCGCTGATGCCTAGCCTTGATCCTTCCTGTGCATCCAGTTGTACTACTCGAGCTGATACTCCGTGCTGATTGATAGCCTACGTGGTGGAGAAACCCATAATACACTCGGTCTTATTTATGATTGCCCCGTACCGTACAGTGAACTCTGCGTTCAGTCCTACTAGTTATCTACAAGCTCGGAGAGTCCACCGCTTTCTATCAAGCAGTTAAAATGCAGTGCTTTAGTACATCGCCCTGTATTCCGGCGACGGCAGGTCACCAACAAGGCTCAGATCTGAGACGACTCTCTGGGGATTTGGCCAGGAGCTCTGGGTGTATCAGCTGCTATTACCCATATATCGAGACTATACTTTTGGCTACCGCTTGGACTTTTGGGTCAACTTTAAGAGGGTTTTTCAATGAACAAAATCGACATCCTCTTCATCGTGATCCCCGTAGGTGAGCAATTAAACTAATAGGAATATTATAAGAAGAGTACACCTGCTAGATGAGTAATGCCTAAAAGAGACCAGCCTAGACCGTCAATCTATTCGCGTTATTGTTAAAACTTGAAGATGGTTTTGTTCTAGGAGTTCTTTTTAGCGGATGATCTTCTGCTACAATATGCTAGCACGGGGATCAGTTCGTTTTTGAGACCCCCCAAATAGCTTAATCTTATAAAATGGCGCTCCTGGTACGGAGTACGCTTACTCGATTTTTGAACGCAGTAGAACCATTATAAAACAACCTAACAATAGCTCAAATAGACAGGCCTACACAGGCAAAAAGTAATCGAGAGCCAGATTATACGTTACCATCAGCGCCTTCGATTCCATCATTGGAAGATTTCTTCTCAATCCCCATGAGTACAAGAGTAGCATGGTCTGCCCATGGATGCACCAGCTCAGGCTGAAACTCGTCTCGCAGCGTACCGGCATTCCCAGGCAGTACTTCATCACGGAATACTTCGTGAAACGGATTGGGCCCTCGCTCGTACAAAAAGTAATCCAGCTCTTCCTCAAGCCAGACAGTCCGGCTATCCACTTCGCCGCAGTCCAGACGATCCAGCCTGATTGCCATTTTTGGGCGAGCAGCAGCGTTTCTCGTTTTCCAGTCTAGAGAGTCGCGCATATCATCCAACAGAGTTCTATAGCTACCGTCCCCAGCGAGAAAGTACAGGCAACTGAGCTCAATGGTTCGAAGAGAGGCCGGCAGCTTTGATAAGAAAGAAATAAGATCACGCTGAGAAACAAGAAATCTGGATAGCCCAAAATGCCGTAGCTTCGGCCATCGCTCTATGGGAAAGATTTCATCAAATAGGATGAAGGGGGCGTCAGGATCTTTCAGCCGGTGGTATCCAATATCTGTTCTCAGTTGAAAATGTTCCAATTCCGAAGCCTCTGCCAACGCGCGTCGCAAGCGTCCATTCCGAAAAGACCTCCAATCGCCCGGTTCCTGTTTACCAGCCATCAGAGCAAGTTCAAGGCGGCTGAACCCCGGTTTTTGAAGAACAGAAATGAAGTGGTTGTATTCTAGACAAGCCTGGTCGAAAAAGTGGCAGGTTACGCCTGTCGGCAGGAGGTGGGTGTCCAACACAAGCTCTGTCACCGATGATCCTTTATGTTCCGCAAGACAACGGATAACTTCTTTGAAACCTCGCCATTGCCATTTAGTTTCTTCTGTCCACTCATCAGCAAGAAGATAGGAGTCTCCTGTGACCGGCCAACCACGTGGAATGCTATAATTCAAGCCATATGGCAGTGTCCGTATCATCGGTGTTTGGTACAGGGGAGCAAATAACATTCCATGGGCTGCAGGCGTAATGGTTATTCTCTTTAAACCCGAGAAGCGATCAAGGCCATACTCAAACGTTTTAATGTCTAAATCATCTGCTAAAACCCTGCGTTGCTGCTCTAGGTATTGGCGGTAGTACCACCAAGACTCATCCATTGTCAATGGCGATTCCATCTGTTTAACCATGGCTGCTATAAATGGCAAATCGAGTCTATAATTAGCGAGTCTTGTGTTAACGAGGTCCATGTTATGACGGCATTCATTTATAAAGTCGTCTGGGGGGTTATCATCGATATGTCCCCTTTCAGTCCTTTCGAGACCATTGGACTCATCCATTGGGTCATCTTGTTGAAACCGCGCCTCGTCCCAGATTATTTCACGCACGCCATGTCTATACACATCATGGTCTGCAACACATCGAAACACCTCGATATCTTTGAGGTTGGCGCTTATAAACACTCTGTCAAGAGGCAAGGGGATGTTTGAGAGTGATTTGCAAACGAGGCGCAGATTTTTGACATCACGGCCCGGTAGGTGAGTTGCGATCTCATCCCAGAGTTCTTTAGGTAGGCTCGGCGGGCTCATTGATACAGATGATCGTAATAGCGGAGCAATACGGGTGATAGTTGAGGTTGCACCAGGAAGCCAGCGGTGTAGGAAATAGATTCTCAGACGGATCAACGCAGTAGGTGGATATTTTAGAGAAGAGGGAAGGGAAATACCCCTCCTTTGTGTTATGGCTGCAAGCATCAGTGCATGTAAGCCGACCGTTGGCTTCAACGAACAAACGGTTTCATGGCTAAAGTCGCTTCCTTCCGCCCTTGTACTATGGCTGAAGGAATAAATTAGGCCAAATACTTTTCCACGGATTCCAATACGAATTTCTATTACCCGCTACCACAGCTTATTGCATGATTGATGCCTAAACAACCGTTTTACTCTCAAGCTGATAATCCACCTGATTTGATCGTCCACATGTCTTATTCATCACCACAATGAATATACACGTATAAAATACTGCAGCCACTCGCGCGAGACTTAACTGTGATGCGTCGGGGCGCCTACCTTCCAGCTGTGAATATATAAACATATTGCCCTGCGTAGCAAAAAAAAAAAGAAGGGATCTAGCCTAGGAAAAATGACACCAAGGCCCTAGTGGACGCAATAGTACTTGATAGATATCTAGTTCTAGTATTTATAGATGGATATACCAGTAGAGCAAGGTACGATGGTGGCAGTAGGTACCTGCAGAAACAGACCTAGCAGCCTCTACTACGCATCTCCTCTTCCTATGTTTGACTGACACCAGGCTCCGCCTCTCGAGAGTTGAAAATGACGGCATCGATGGGCAGAATCTCAAGAAAGCGTCCTGAAGCGTTGTGGCGAAAGCCTTGCATATCAGACCTCCAAGAATCAAGAGGAGGGTATGAAACATCAATCTTGCCCTCCCCTCCTGCTGCCATTAAGCAAAGGCAGAAGAGTGCCATCTTCATAGTTAATTTTTCACCGTGTGCATCCCATGGAATTATGACATACTCTGGAGGTGCATATTCTCTGTCGTTATGGTTGCCGCTCGCATAAGATGCCGCGCCAGATGATTCAAATGACATGGCTTCAAACTGAGATGACACGTCTGTGCTCCCTGATGCAATCCTTTGATGTGTTTGTTGCGGCTGCCTTCGAGAGCGAGACAGGGCTAGGCCTTGGCCTATTGGCTCTCGAGAAAAGCGCAAGACGATGAGCTGCAGATCCGTAATGATAAAGCCATATCGGCAACCCGAATCCAGCGCATATGAGCTTACTTGAGAGACCGGCAAGCTCCACTGGTATCGCGTATAATCATTCCGGGACTCCCTCATCTCCGGGCGCCATTTGTTGGAAAGCTTTGTGTCACCGGGTAAGAGATTTTGGTATCCAGCCGGCATCTGCTCTTTTGAAACAAGAGCCCAGTCAGACATTCCGGTCCAGCTCCCAGGAGCAAGATAGATAGACTTGTTTCCCCATCCTAGAGTCGGTGCGGCTTGGTTCAGGGCCCAGTTGACCGCTGGGAAGATGAACCTTACAAGGAAAATATCCAGGCTATGCTCATCCCAGATTTCCCGGTCGTAATCACAAGCGTGTTCGAGCTCTGGTGGGTCTCCAGTCACTGCGAGAGCGTCTTGATAAACAGACAAGAGGTTCTTGAAATTGAATTCTTTCCATGGTCTCCAGTTTTCGACTTTCTTCCAATCGGGGCTGGTAGTATTCGAGCCTTCGTGCGCGAAGTTTTCGAGAGCAGGGTTCCTTTTGGTGAGAGCCTGGAGAAGTGTTACAGCCATTGCAGCGAGGCCAGAGGAAAGTAATCTTGGGAGATGATTGTAGGTTGTGCTTCGAGTGGCAACTAGACCAATCTACATATGGATTGGTAGGCTTTGTATATAGCCGTATTCTCAAGCAGCACTTACAATGCGAAAGATGGGCGGCATTGTATGTAAAGAGCAGACACGTGTGATGGCCGGCTTGATGCCTGAAATTGCCACATCCTTTGCCAACGAATACTGCCACATTCGGCCAATCAAGGTGATGCCCTCACAGTATTTTATGCGAGTCCTTGGCCAACCTGCATAAGCCTCCCTGTATTGTGTGTCCTTGGTATATGCAGGTAGGCAGTTGTGAAACACAGCGCGTGTTTTTGCATGGATAATTCACGGTCTCTTATATCAGAGGGGAGTGGCTATCCGGCAACCCAGTGACTTCAGTCCAACAGCGAGACACAGAGAAACATCTACTTGTTTCTTCGAGTATTTGCTACTCCAGCCACCTAGTTAGGTACTTTACCGAGGTTTGGTCTTCTGTTTTTATCTACCTCTTTCGATTTTCTTTTTTCTTTGGCTAGTATCTGGAGTTAAACCAGCACCAGCTTAAGGTTCGTGAACTTAGTACATATAGCCATTCTATTAAAATGTGTCAGTAGAATCATACTTCAGTGGGTAGTATTACGTCTCCTCGGCTCATATCTACTTTGACTAAGGCCAGTCATTTTGATGCATTGCATTACTGGCATTAGATGCTCCCTTTGAATGGAAACTTCAATATTCGCTCCAGGTTAGCATCCCAACTTCTGCTGATTATGTAACACACCCACCATTTACAGTCCGGTACCGGGTAAGTAAAGCAGACGCGACTTTGTCCATCGACAACCATGTCATCAGTCGCAGCCGCAGAACGACCATCTGCACAGCAATTCAGAGATCGCCATGGGCACCAGAAACAGAAGCCTTTCCGCGATGGCCAGGCCATGATTGGGCCTCCAGACTGTTCGTGGGCGAGCTTCAAGCGACCGCTTCTGAGAGCCTGTCCCTTGTCGCGGCAGGAAATCATCTGGCACGACAAGCTGGGCTACGGAGTCGATGGAACTGTGTGGAAAGTAGAGATTGATGGACGCTTCTACGCGCTCAAAGTGGTGAGCCCATACAGCACAGCACATTTGAAGAGCTGGAACTAACGTGACTCTCTCAGTTCTGGGACAACAAGCCGCCCGATGGCATGCGCTACTGGGCCGTCCAGAGAGAATGCCACAACGCCGCCCTGCTCCAAATGATTCGAACGGCCGTAGAGAAAGCAACCGAGCCCATATACCTCAAAAGAGAGCCGAGGACGTGGAGAGATGCCGCCCGAAACCTTCACGCCTTCTCCACCGAGGGCAGCCGAGAGCCCAGATTCCGACACGCGCCTGATTCTATCCCCGTCTCCAGCTCCTCGTTGCCGCGATTCAGAGAATGCTTCGGCTGGATGTCGATTAGCGGTGCAGAGCTGTGCAGTCTGGACCCCAAGCTCCGTCCCCACGGAGTTGTGCTGGATCGCATCAAGCGCGCCATCTGGCCATGGGAAAACTACTTTGCCATCCTCTACGAATTCATATCGCCCGACGAGCAGCCTGCTGTTCAAGAGACAGACCTCATGCAATCCCAGATAGACTTTCTCTGGCGGGCGGGCTTCTGCATGATAGAAAGGCGCCTGGTAAACTGGAGGGGAGGCATGTTGGTGGACATGGCGGATATTGTGTCGCCTTGGCTCTTGGAGTGGGAACCTATGCTTTATAATTGGTTTTCTGCTGAAGATCTGGAATGACCGCCTTTGCGTCATATGATGTTTACGAAACTTTCTTTTTTTTATTAGATGATACCCGGGTTTGGCCAGGAATGGCATACCCAAGCAAGCCGCATGGCTACGCTGCAAACCAAATAGATAATCAATCTCATGCTTTTGGAATTTCAGTCACCATCATTGCAATCGTACGTCACTATGCCATAGTATGTGTCTCGTAAATGCAGTTGATGCAGTTCTATTGTTTTTATGTACGTTTTACTTTCTTTTTACTTCTATAGGGCTCTTGGCCATTGCTCATGGGTATTCATATCGTGTTATATCATCTCCTCCTCGTATGCGAATTTACAGCTTAATGACGGGGGTGTTGGCAGAGGCCTTCTCGTCCTCAGTGTTGAACAGGTTGATGTCCCACTTGGGCTTGTCTATTATGGCAACTGTCAGCTTTTGTTTTCTCTTCTTCTCTCACTCCCTGCATAAACTCGAGAGAGCAAAATGGTGCAAGACTCACAGTTGATGGGAACGTTGAAGCGGTAGGGGGTCTCGCCGAGCTTGTTCAACGCAGCGATAGCCTCGTCGTCCAGGTCGACCTCCTGGAAGTTCTCAGCAATGCGAGCCAGGGTGACGGACTTGGGGATGACGGTGTGGCCGCCGATCTGGGACCAGGCGAGGATGACCTGGGCGGGGGTGACGGGCTTGCCCTGCTTCTTGGCCAGGTTCTCGGCGACGGCCTTGACCTCGTCGGAGTTGACGAGCAGAGGGAGGCCCTTGGTGTTGTTGCCAAAGGCAGAGTAGGCGGTGATGATGATGTTCTTCTTGGCGCAGTACTCGATCAGGGGGTAGTCGGGGAGACGAGGGTGGCGCTCGATCTGGTTGGCGGCGGGAACGACGCCGGTGCCCTCGATGACGGCCTCGAGCTGTATTTCATGTCAGTGACCTGCTCGCAAGATATTCAGAACTAAAGTGAATGACGTACGTGCTCAATGGTGAAGTTGGAGACACCGACGGAGCGGACCTTGGACTTGGGCAGCTCAGTCATGGCCTTCCAGGTCTGGACGATGGAGACGTTGCGGTTGAGGAGCGACTCGGAGCCGTCAGCAGACTTGGGGAAGAGAGAGGCGCCGGGGGCAAAGGCAACGGGCCAGTGGATGAGGTAGAGCTGGAAAATGGGTTAGCTATTGCTGCTTCTTGTTTCTCTCTCTCATTTATTCGACTCTGGATCGTGTCTACATACGTCGAGGTACTCGAGGCCAAGCTCGGCCAGGGTATCGTCCAGGGCAGGGGCAACATCCTCGGGGTTGTGGGCGTTGTTCCACAGCTTGGAGGTGATGAAGATGTCCTCGCGCTTCAGGCCAGGGACCTCAGCAAGGGCCTTCTTGATGCCCTCGCCAACCTCCTTCTGGTTGCCGTAGACCTTGGCCAGGTCGAGGTGGCGGTAGCCGATCTTGAGAGCCTCATAGACACCGGCGCCGACCTCACCGGGGGCGGCCTGCCAGGTGCCGTAGCCGATCTGGGGGATCTTGTGGCCGGTGTTGAGAGTGACAGTTCGTCCGGAAGACATTTTTGCGGTGATGCTGAAGGCTCGAGAAAACGAGTTGTGAATCGAACGGCTGAGGGTGAGGCGAGTTGAGGACGAGAGAGATGAGATGGAGAGGAGAGACGGCCGGCTCAAGAGACGCAGGGCCGCCATTATTTATGGACAGGTGGACAGCTGCTACTCGTACATTTTCCACGGGCTCGACACTACTGGGGAAGCTTGGATCATATCGATCGACTAAGACTATCTATCCAACTCCATCCATTGCCTTCTGTGGGGAATGTCGGAGTTTATGCATCGTATGAAGGGGAGGCTTGCAGCGGCGTCTTTTGCCATTTTTTTTGTCTCCATTATAAATCAGGGCGCGATGGGGGCCGAGTCATGGCGAGGGGATCAACAGTGGCGATTGGATGTTGAAGAAGAATTCGAATAGATTTGTATATTCACATGTTTGTTATTCTATTGTAGTGTATATAATTTTTATATTCAACTTTCTCTTTGCGTTGCTTTGCTTGTAATTCCCGTCTCCCCTCATGATAAGAGAAGACAAGAAGCAGCTGAAAATTCCCAACATCCCGCCTTTGCCCCGCGGCCCAAAGAGGAAATCCAGAACATGCACGCAATTTTAGGTGATGAGGGGCACAAATTACGTACTTGTACCTCCCAGGTCTCGCCGCCCCCCGACTCGAATACGGAGCAGTGCGTTTAGCGCCGTTGGTCAAGGACGGAAATACTTGCCAGTACAATCGTGGGGGTTGTTGCGGAATCTAGTGCTGGAAGCAGACTAGCGGCGTGGGAGTTTGCAAAAGTCGATGATTCTGAGAGGCTTCAAGTTGTATGTCCTGGTAGGTGGTGAGCAGATAAGGGGGAACTTTGTATGAGAACAAGTCAATGAGAAGCAGAAGAAGTGGTGGAAGCGCTAGAACCCTGATGGCTGCAACCGCCATGTCTTCGTGTACTGCACAAGTGACACACAAGTACCGCTCAAGTACCGCAACCCTCGAAACAGACCCCGAATTACCGCCATTCTCTGCTCCGTCTCTACCCCACGCAATGGCCCGGTTACATCGAGGCCACTCCTCCGCTACAACACGGACAGACTTGCCTTTGGCCGGAGACGCGCCGAATTGGGAGCCCCAGCCTTGCGTCATCGGCTAATAGATTGGCCGCTGTATACTCGGCTTGTTCCGTAGTATTGTCCAAGACGTCAACCATCTATCATCAACTCCAACATACCTTATGCACTATTATGACGATATCGATGATTTCATTCACGTCTCGGATCACGGCTAGACGGGGAAACCCAAACTCCCATGTGCTAAGCCGGGATCCTGTTTGGCGTCTCCTCTGTGGGACTCGTGGCTGTATGACAAAGAAGCATCCCGCAAAGCTTGTGTTGTAGCTGTCCAACTCTATTTCGCAATCAACCAGGCACGCTGTAACTGGTTGTTACTAAGTGATATTACTATGTATATCCATGCCAAAATCTGACTCTTGACATGTTCTAGAAGCCTTCTCTTTCTCTCACCGCATCAGGAGCATTGATGCCTTTGTGTGCTCCTCTCACACACATTTCACTCGTCACTGCAGTACTTGGTCACCTCAGAGCTGTCTCTGCCGACATACACGTTTTCATCCTCCAACAAACGTGGAATTGCCATCTCACAGGTTCGACAGAAGCCGTCAGAATGCTTCACATATGGCAAACCTCTCCGCCACCCAGAGTGTTTGCCAGTTCTCCATCTCCTAGGCAGCCGAACATGAGCATCAACAGAAATCATTTGCTCCAACAGAATTACTCAAATAATCCTCTCGTCGCTTATCCACACAGCAAACTGTTTCGGCACCAAAAAACGGTGAGGGTAGCTGCTCTTTCATGTCAAACTAGGCTGAGTAGCAACGACGAACCAATACTTGAAACAAGACCATAGTCTCCTCCCTCTTGCCAGCAAACTCCGACAAAGTAGGTATATAAAAATAAGCCATTTGCTTCGTAATGAATCCATTCGTAGACTTTAGTAGCAGTAAAGCAGACAAAACACCCTCACCTAGAGTTGAATAATTCATAATCCGCACAAGGCCTCACCATGATCTTTCCCATCTTCAACATGCCTTGCCTCCACAACCATCACCAACCACCTCACATCCACCACTCTCGTGACCCTCATGACGGTGAAATATCGTCCTCTGCAGCCATTGGTCTGGCCATTGGAATCGCTCTCGTTGCAGTCATCGTCGCTGCTCTCGTCTACTTTTGGTGCTGGCGCCAACACCGCCACAAGAGGCATCGACGGCAGAACTCTCATCGCCGCGAGAATCACGTCAACCAATCCCCAGCTGAAATGGAGCAGACGCAGCAAAGACAGGATGGCAGCACGCAAACCGAACAGGAACCTCCGCTACCAAAGGTTCCCCTGTCCATTCACCATCATCAGCATGATGACAAGCATTTCCATGGCGACCACTTCCATAATCATCAACATGAAGACGACCATATCCTAGATCGTCCTGATTACAACAGTGACCAAGATTATCACGGCCACCATCGCCAACGCCACCACCGCTTCCACCGCAGTCACCAGATTCTTCTCCCCCGAGATCCCATCGCCGACTTTGAGAAGCTCATGAGCCCTCTTTCTCCGGGAATCCCAAATGCTACTCGTGCAGAATTGGAAGCCATTCTCAATGGTCTCGATATCCCGCTACCAAATGAGGCCACGCAGACGAATGGTCATGCTGATGTTAATGCCAATGAGCAAGGGACTGCACGCCGCGAGGAGGAGTCGAGGGAGAGACGAAAGAAGCGGCATCATCACCATCATCGCCATCACCACTGTCATCGTCGTCATAAGCGAGTGACAATTCGTTGAAGGGGGGTTGGGATAGGTAGAACATCAGATTGATAGACAGGTGAAACATTTGTGACTTGAGAGGATGCAGGTACAAGATCGTAGCAGAAACATAATAATATTCGTTCTGTGATCAGAATAAGTATGAAGTGAAACAATGAGCAATCTGTGCTGACCATCACCATTATTCATCAAACGGATGTGCGCGTATCTAAGCACAGACTCAACCACGCAAAACACTTGCAATCTGCCAAAATTGAATAAAGAATCATATAGAAAACATCAACATTTTGGTAAAAGAAATCACAACGCTTATCCCATGCCACATGATACAATCACGCCCCCCGTTCGCCTTCTGGCGCTCCCTCAGCATGTTCCGCCTCCCGCGAGGTCTTTGAGTTCCTGGATCCTTTGCTACTCGTTGACCGGCGCCTATGTCTGTGTTTCTTGTTTGAGAACTTGATGGAATCTCCGTAGCAGCAGAGGAAAATGCCGACTCCGATGAGGAAAGCTGCTAGGGTGAAGCCAACGACCAGGCCGATGATGAGATTGGTATGAGCGGCGGAGCTTGAGCGCCGCTCTATCGATGAAAAGCTTTTCTTCATAGAATTTGTGGATCTAAACATAGTTGAGACGATGGCAAGGTGATGCCGCATCCATTCTGTGTATCCCCCTGGTGGTCCATGGCGCTGAAGCGCCTCAAGGTTGGCTGGGTATAGAGGGATATACATGCGAGCTGTCTTTTGACTTAGTAACAGACACCGATGGATATATAAAAGATGTAAACAAATTCGTTAGAGGTGAATGAATGGTCTGGATAGAATATGCCGCGGCACATTGGCGTTGCATAACAGATTATATAGGTCATTAGACCCCTTCCCCCCATCACGGCAAAGAGACACGCAGATTGGTCAGTATGGCACACACATCATACAACTCCAGCCGAGTTGGTCCATCGTACAGATGCATATGCAGCTTCTACACGCAAAGGGCCGTCGTTGTTCCTGCGGGCCAGCCGGGCGAGTGAGAGGACGAGAAAAGTTGGTACGGCATGTAAGTGCATGCATGCAGCTAGGAGGGTCCCTCACGAGTGGTAATTTCCAAGAAGAGAGCCAATCAGTTCGTGTATCGACAGAGACGGATAATGTCATACGATAGGATAGACTGATGCGGTGATTTGATGGGAAGACAATGCACAATGCAGAGGGGAGGGGAGGAGAGGAGATTGGGATAGATGCTTGTTTACGCCTGATTGGCGATTTGATAGCACATTTAGAGAGAAATATCCAATTGAGCTAGACATCCTCAACACATGGACAACGTATTGCGCCGAGAATTAGTCTTTGACGTGATAAATACCAAGGATGCAAGACTCTTGCATGTGCTACAAGGGAAAAGACGGCATCACTAACACCTCTCTCATGGCCAACACATCAACCACCATGCGCCATACCATGCATGCCACACTGTTAACAAGAGAAGAAGCGACTAGTACAATAACAGAAGGAATAGAAAGGGTCCAAAAAAGGTACCATGTCCCTAAAACGGCAAACAGTGAAGCTTTTTGCGTTTCTCGTGGGACACGACGCTGCGGGGTGGCCGGTTTAGACGCAGGACAACGCATCAACATGCCTTCTTCTAGTCCTGATTCGACAGGTTCCAGCAGGGGGTGCAGCGATGTCGCCTTTTTTGCTTTTGTGTCTTTTTTTCTTTTGCTCTACATACTATGTGTGCTAAATTATCGGCGGAAGTTTCTAGGGAATGGTCGGGCAGCAGTGAGTGGTGATCGAGTGTGTATGTATGCACATGTATGGATGGAACGGTTGGGAGTGAGTTGGGCTCTTTTTGCTTGATATCGGCTGAATTGAGGTGACACCGCATACATGTATGCACAATGCGACGGATGAGTATGAGTAACACAGGATGGGCATGAGAGCAATGTCAAGTTGAATTCTGTGGGGGTTTGGGCGCCTAATCAGACGTGCTCCGTATGCATTCCCATCTCTTACCAGCTTTTTGTGATACATCCACGACGACGCAACAATCATCCCTCTCACACATGCAGCCAGACTTGAAGCCTCTCCCACAGGCACACAGACACGGAGTGCATACATGTAAGCGCCCTAGTCGAAATGCCCCGGCAGATGGCCCTCCCTGTGGCAGATAAGGTACAGGCTAGTCATCCGCCTTTGCCAATCTTTCATTTCCAGCCGTCAAGGCACGCTTGGCAGGACGTGTCGTTGCAATAGGTGAGATGGATAGCCTTGTTAGAATGAACCAGGGGCACCGGACTTTCTTGGCCCGTCTCCACGCCGAGTCCCGAGTCAGTTCAACTCAGTGACAAACAATCAATCAAGCTTCAACTACATCAATCACAACTGCAGCTAAACTCCAAGAAACAACAAAAAACTTGCCATCTGTAACCGCCACAAGAAACCTCTTCAGGCCAACAGCCATAATCGGTCTTGTCGGCACTTGACTCGCCCATCAGCCACGCGTTCTTCCAGCTCGTCTCCGTGTTTGAGCCCCAGAACCGAACCCTCGACGCTTTGCGTTTCACCATTTCAGCCTCCCTGCAAAACTTCAAACCCCGCAGGCCTCCTAATCGCCTCCAGAAAAGAAACCCAGCCAAATGAAAACAGAGCACGTAAAACGACATGACGGCTATCCTTGAGCCGCGTTTCCGTTGACCGCATAAATGCTTCTCTTGAAGGCGCTAGACTAGCTCATGGCAGCCAAATTCACTGGCTCACGCAGCCAAGTCTTCGGTTCCGTCTCCAGTTAATATCGAATAGTTTCAATCCCATCCTGGTAGCTGAAGCTGTAGAGGCGTCTATCCCATAAACATTGGGTCGGCAAGTCGGACTAATAATAACTCATCCACGTCTCCATTTCACGACAAGCCTCTAACCCTGGCTTCGTCATCCTAGATGCGATTTTCTTGGCTCTCCGTTTCGTTTTTTTCTTTGGTATCCTACAATTTCATCTGTACATGTACCGAGTAATGCCTCCCTCTTTTTAAATCTTTTCTTTGTTGGCACTTTGTCGCGAAGCTTCCCATCCTCAATCATTCTCTTGTATATTTTCATTCGGGAGCTGGCTTCTCAAATTTTATTTGACGCGACGGCCTTGATGGCTGTTTTTTGATTGCGACTTTGACCTTCATTATCGAGTTCTGTCACTCTCTAATATTTGATTACGATAATTTATACTCATCTACACATATACGCACGCACATATACGAGCACAAACGCATACAGTTCTCATAAAACAGCTATCATTGATAAACGCATCATGGGCATCTCGTCATTTCTCGTCCTTTCTCTAGCCGTGCTGGCCCAAGCGCGGCCGAGGCATGCCTTTGAGCCGGAAGACGTCGGCGACAGAATCACTCTACCGGTTATTTCGGCTCGAGCAGTGGATGTAAAAGGCGACCTTTCACAACGCAGCGCAGCCGACGAGGAGGACAAGCCGTTTCACATCCTGCCGTTTCCATACCCAAGCAAACGAGATGTAGAGAGCCGCGAGGAGGAAGACAAGCCCTGGCATATCCTGCCGTTTCCTTATCCCAGCAAACGAGATGTCGAGAGTCGGGAAGAGGAGGACAAGCCCTGGCATATCCTGCCATTCCCAGGTCCCAGCAAGCGCAAGATTCTCGAGGACGACGACGGTGCGGATGGCAGGATCACTCTCCCGGTGCCTCAGCGGGCCAGGAGAAGCGAGGGTGAAGAGGACAAGCCTTTCCACATCCTCCCCTTCAACGACAAGCGCAAGCTGCCGGTCGAGGACGTCCCTTCGGGAACCATCACATTGCCCATCATCCACCGCCACCGTAGCTTCTTAGACAAGCGAGCTGTTGAAGTCCAGGTTGAGAACCGCTCCGATGTCTCGTACTACGCTCAACGTGAGTAAAACATTCCCCAACTTTGCTCACAATACAGTTGCTGATATATACATGTAATACAGTCAACATTGGAACTCCCCCTCAGACCGTCTACGCCCAAATCGATACCGGCTCCTTTGAGCTCTGGGTCAACCCCGACTGCTCCAACGTCCAAACCGGAGACCAGCGCTTCTGCCGCGCCATCGGCGTCTACGACCCCAAATCCTCGTCCACCTCCTTTGTCACCGGCAGCGCCGCCCAGCTCCGCTACGGCATCGGCAGCGCAAACGTCTCGTACGTCCAGGACAGCATCTCGCTCCCCGGCTCCGCCACAATGAAGCAAGTCCAGTTCGGCGTCGCACTCTCCAGCGTCGACGAGTTCTCGGGCATCCTCGGCATTGGCGCCGGCGACGGCTTCAACACGCTCTACCCCAACTTCATCGACGAGCTGGCCAGCCAGGGCGTCACCAAGACAAAGGCGTTTAGCCTTGCCCTGGGCAGCAAAGCCGAGGAAGAGGGCGTCATCATCTTTGGCGGCGTCGACACGGGCAAGTTCACGGGCAAGCTCGCCAACCTGCCCATTGTTCCGGCGGACGATTCGCCCGACGGCGTTGCTCGCTACTGGGTCGGCATGAACTCGATTTCGCTCTCGCCGCCGAATGGAAAATCAACGACCTTTGCCCAGACCAAAATGACCGTGTTCCTCGACAGCGGCTCCACGCTGACTCTGTTGCCGCAGTCGCTGGTGAACGAGATTGCAGATGGACTTGGGTCGACGGGCACTGACGATAGCGGGTTTGCCATTGTCGACTGCGATCTTGCAAACCAGCCGGGAACCATTGACTTTGCCTTTGACGGTGTTACGATTAAGGTGCCGTACAGCGAGATGATTCGATCGGTGAATTCACTGCCGCCGCATTGTTATCTGGGGATGATGGGGAGCACGCAGTTTGCGCTGCTTGGAGATACCTTTTTGCGGTCTGCGTATGGTAAGTCTTTCTTGTCCTTGTCCATATATATGGACTACATGACATCGCTTTACAAACAAAAACTAACGGAATCAACAGCCGTGTTTGACCTCACAGGCAACATGATCCACCTCGCCCAATACGTCAACTGCGGCACAAACGTCAAATCCATCACATCCACCTCATCCCTCCTAGGTCTCGCCGGCTCATGCAGCAGCGACGGAAGCGAATCGCCTTCTTCTCCCTCTTCATCATCAACCTCGTCATCCCCTTCGAAAACCGCTTCCAAGGCGGCTCCCTCTGCAACTGCTCCCTCCTCATCCACCGTCCAGCCCCCGTCGTCAGCACAAAGCACAGCGGCATCGCCTTCTGCTGCGCGCTCTTCGGACGCTGCTTCGACGACTGCTGCTAACACTGCGAAGAGCAGCGCTACGGGAGGTGCAGATGCGGAGAGCGCACAGAGCGGTGATAAGAACGGCGCTGGCAAGACAGGGGTTCACAGCCTCGCGATCAGTATGGTGTTCGCAGCCATGGGTCTGTTGTTAATCTAGAGACGTTGAAGAGAGAAGCTTGATTCAGGAGGTGGAAGAAGTTTGCACTACCTTAGCATAATATCGTATAGACTGCCATACCTAGACAAACATGTAGCGTTCATATATAGATGAATATACATCGATCCCTTTCTTAACCCACTACACAACCTCCAGCACAAACATTGGTCCTCTCTGGTCTCCTTCTCCTTTCACGATATCCTCCATCAGAACCCCTGCAACAGGTTTCTCTTCCAGCGTTCCATCTTCTTTCCTCCTCAACACTACAACAGCCCATTCTCCCTCTTGATTCCCAACAAACAATTCGTTCCCATTCCTGCTCAGACTAAACATCCGAGGATGTTTCCCCTGCGTCGACGTCTCCGCCACCAATTCCAACTCTAACTCCGCATCTTCGCCCTCAGGCTTGATCCGGAAGTGAGCAATCGTCTCCGTCGGACTCGTCATCAACCGATTCGAAGTGTAAACATGTTTACTATCCGCCGAAAGCACAATCTCCCCCGCCGCAGCAAACGCACCCATCTCCTCATCCAAAAACGTAGAATAGCTCCCCGCAGCAACAAACTCGACATCCACTTCCGTGTACTTTAGCTTAAACACCTCAACCCGGTTACTCGTCTCGCAGAGCAAAAAGTAATGCGTCGCCGGCGCATCTCCCGCGGGATAAAACACGCCGTGTCTCGGCCCCGAGCCAGACGGCACGCAGACCCGCCTCACAACCGGAACATCTGGCCGCAATGCGTCGAGCACGAGCAGTGCATCTGTGCCGAGATCGTTGACGACGAAGAAGCGGCCTGTGGGATCGAGGACGGCCTGGTGAGCGCGCGCGACTCTACCGGCGTCGATTACGGGGTCCTTGGACTGGATCGTCGTGATGAGCTCAGGATTCGAAGACTCAGTATTCCATATATCGATTGTGCCTTCAGCATAGGAAGCACCAAGCATGATTGATCCTAGCTTGTTAAAAGCGAGATGACAGACTCCCTCGCTGCCATCTTCCGATTGAGCGACTTTGGTCAATGTGTTTGACGTAAGATCCAGTCGAAAAGCATAAGTCGTCGAGCCATTCTCATCAAACGTGTACAATAAATGAGGATCCGTCGGAGAAACAGCGAACCAAGAGGGATTGCCGGGAAACGGCTCGTCGAGGTCAATAGAGATGGTGGCTGAGGCGGAGGTGTAAGTTGCCAGGTAGATGTGGCCGGGCCGGGCAATAAGTAGACGACGAGACATGATTACGGGAGTTTATATGGGGATTGCTATCTGTAGTATATGTGTATAGCTGTGTAGCGCTCAGAAGAGTCAAAGACGAATGTTGGCTCCAACGTGAGGCTGTTGAAATAGGTGGGGGGCAGATGACAAGCTTGTACAATCAGAATGAGGTCAGACTTTAAGACATTGACTGGCGATCCCGTCAAATGCCACTATTTCCAACAGGATAACACAGATAGAGACCCAAAAAAAATTAAATTCACATTCTCATAGGGGAAAAAAAGAGAAACAGAAATTGCTATCGGTTAGAGCTCTGCTATAGCTTCTTCGGGGACACATGCATATAGCTGCATGTGGACGGCAGGGAGCTTTAGTACAGTTTTGATTGAGTGTTAGGAGCGTATATTAGAGGGGCAGAATCTAAGTCGACGCCGGCCTCGGCAGACTTTGCCGGACTCTAAGAAATGAAATCCAACGTTACTCACGACAAGCACAGCCTTGAGACTCTGGCCATTTTGCTAACCCCCACGCAGGCGTCATAGCTACCAATAGCAGATCCGGCGGCACGTCAGCGGAAGCCATTCCGCTCCATATCACATGCCGCAATCAAATCAATTCCGATGCCTTATTCTTGCACTTTGTTGCTGCTTCGACTGCGATCTTAAAGTCTTGTAAAAGAACCTCCGTATCTTCAAGGCCGGCAGAGACTCTAATTTGTGTTGGCTTCAAACCGTACTTTGCAGCCCAGGGCAAATCCTTCTTGTAGGTGCACATGGTGTATGCAAATGCGAGTGTTGAAGGTGCCCCCAAATGGACGCTCTTATGCACGTTCAGGTTGTCATAGAAGGCCATAGTGGTGGGCATGTTGTCCAGCTCGACGCTGAAAAGGCAGCCGTACCCCGGAGCAAAGTCGTCTGTCGCGGGACGCATGAAGCGCTTGTAGTACACACCTGAAGAGTTGACGGACGGGTAATGAACCTGGCGAACGGGGCTGTTGGGGTCTTCTGCGCAGGACTGGAGGTATTCAGCGAGAGCGCTGGCATTTGCGTTCAGTCGAGCCGTGCGAGAGAGGTAGTCACGGCTGTTTCTCTCGATAGCCACGGCGTCTTCGACGTAGAGCTCAGGGACATAATGCTCATCGAACAGGGACTTTAGCCTGGGGTACTGTGGGGACGCAGGGTTGAGGATGGCGCTGCCTGCGATGACGTCTGCATAACCATTGAAGGATTTGGTGACGGAAGTGACGAGAATATCCGCCAGGCCCGTAACTTCGATATTTGCCCAGCTGCCGATGGTATCGTCAAGGCCCAGAACCACGTCATACTCGTCCGCCAATGCCCTGAGTCTTTCGATATTGGGCGCCACGAGAAGGGGGTTTGCCGGAAACTCGGTCCACATAGCCTGGACCTTTCGACCTTGACGGCGTTCTTCTTCCAGAAACGCCTCGAGGTCGGAAAGATCCTCGTCGGAGCCATTGCCAAAGAATTTGCATCCCGGACCAAAGTCCTCGAATGCTGTCAAGGTGTTCATGAATGCCATTCCAAAGAGGACGGTGGTGCCTTGGGAGTGTTTGAGCATGTAGGAGTGAGGTTTGTAAATAGAAGCCATGCCAGTCGGATAGAAGTAGATATCCGTGGCCGAAGGTCGCGGCCCTTGGTCAGGGTGCAAAGGCGCTCTTTCAAGATACGAAAGGATCCTCTCTCTCAGTACCTGGTGGATCGGACTATCAAATCTTGGTCTAGAATATTCATCTTCGGTAACGGGTACCTCTTTGAGCTGCCCTAATTGCTTGAGATTTGCCTCTGCGAATCGGGAAGACACACCGGCACCGGGAATGCTCCAGAAACCGGCCACGGTGGAGCGTTGATCCAGGGGGAAGATGACGGCATAGAAGAGGTCCTTGGCGTGAAATGCTCGGATCTCTATCTGTTCAGGCGAGACAGGACTTTTGCCATTACTGTCGACTCGCCTGCTGGAGATGGAGTACGCAACACATTCCCTAGCGGACTGCAGCGACGAGAATAGAAAGCACTCTATGCCGGGAGCCCCAACATGCTCTAGCACTGCTGCGGCAAGCTGGATGGAATATGGTTAGCGAGGCTCTTGAAAGAGAGTTCCAATAGTTACAAGCGAGTTTACATTGACGATATCCCGGTGCGGCTTCATGCGCGGGTAGGCATTTTTGAACTGAGGAATGACAGAGGAAGAATCGTCGCCGTACCTCTCGACTGTCTCCCACCCGCCCATGTGGACGGTCACTGAATGACGAAACACAGGAGGCACCGCTTCGCCGAACTTGGTAGTAATCTTTGCCGACATGGTTGATCTGTTCAAGCGCCAACTCGGTCATATACTTCACGTGTACTGATGATGAACAAACACGTCCTGGGGTGGTTTTGCAGGTAGCACGATAAAGAAGCAAAGACCGGGCTTAGAGATCCTAGTTGGTTGGGGGCCCCCCGGAGTAATAAGAACTATCTTGAAGCAGTGGCATTGATGCTTGATTCTCGACGGCTTCAAGGTTACTGAGCTGAAGAGAACAATCTACATCTACACATCTTGAACCACTTACACGCAGGCTAGTGTCATGAGCGCCCTAGAACCGGCGGGGCGCAGCTGTGTGGTGTCACTGAACGCCCTAAAATGGGCGGGGCCGGTGTCATTGAAATTAATGCCTGCCCCATTGATTCTCCATTCCACTTGGTGATGGTACCACAGCTGCGGATCTGGTTAGCTCACGGCCCATGGATACTGGGACCTAAGCTCTGCGGATTCCATTGATACCTCTTTATATAGAGAGAAATGAAACAAATAATATATATACCGTACATAGGTGGCCTACTACATGTGCTCTGTTGCAGCTACTAAATGAAAACGAGTAATGAACATGACGATACAAGCTGACGCCGAGAAATCGCGACATGAAGTCAGCTCCGAGTCCGTCATCCAGCCTTACCACCGCGCCCAATTCTTCATTACTATACTCGCCGTATGTTTCATTTTTGTCCTAATTGGTCTGGTAAGCGAGAATAAAAGTCCAAGAGACATCCTTTTGAAAGAGTAGCTCTTTCACCCTCACTTCGCTTTCTCTTGTTTAGAGCTAGCCATGTGCCCGTAGCATATCCACCCTAGGTTGTACTATATATCCTACCTTACTCAATATCAATATCAATATCAACACTCCCCTTCTTTTCTTTTCGCCATGTCCAGCAAGGTTGTCCATTACGAAACTGAATAATTGGCTTAGGATAGCGCATTTCCGGCGGTAGTCGTTCCAACCCTGACCCTTTACTTTGGCACATTGGAAGATGTCGGTTGGTATCTGTCCACATAGTAGGTTCAATATTGCTTAGCCAGATGCGTGTCCCTAGCTAAGTTCAGTTCACTGCCCGCGTATGTGATAGTCGACTCGCGTCCGGCTCATTTCAGTTGTTGTTCGGAAAGCTGTATGCCCTCCTTGGACCCAAGCCGCTGGTTCTCACGAGCTTGGCCGTCTTCTCAGCGGGAAGCCTGCTGAGTGCTCTTGCAACCAAATCGTATATATTCATTCTTGCGAGGGGTGTCACAGGTCTTGCCACCGCCGGGGTGACTTCAGGTGCCTTTGCGTGTGACTCTCTTTGATCCGAGTGGTGTCCCAGCGCTGACTGACTCCTGGATACGTTGTGTAGCATCATCATCCAAGCAGCGCCATTGGGCAGCCGGCCAAAATATGCTAGCATCGGCGGTGCTGCCGAGGCTGTGGCATCCCTCATAGCCCCAGTCATCGGAGGCCTTCTGATAGACCGTCTGGGCTGGCAATGGTGTTTCTTTATAGAACTGCCCCTGATCGGCGCTGTCTTTGCCATGATCGCCTTCTGCTTTAAGCCGACAGAAAAGAAGTCAGACACTGGCAACATTGATTGGAGAAGGTTACTACGGCACCTTGACCTCGCTGGAACGGCCTTGTTCGTCGCAGGCTTCACAACGCTGGTACTCGCCGTGCAAATGGGCGGCAACAAGTATCCGTGGTCGGACTGGCGCGTGCTCGTTCCGCTGGGGGTTTCCATCGCCCTGCTCTTCGCTTTTGCAGCTCTTCAATACCACCTGGGCGATCGAGGAACACTGCCGCCACGGATAATCCGCCGGCGCAGCATGCTCTTTGGGTTTCTATTCGCCTGCTGCAACAACGGCGCTTTATCCGTGATTGAGTACTACGTATTTCTATCTCTCCTTGAACAATCCGCCGGTCGACTAACTGATACCAGATACCCATCTACCTCCAAATCGTAAGGGGGCTGGAGGCGACCACATCCGGCTTCATGACTCTTCCGATAGGGGCCGGTCTCATCCTTTCTCTTCCCCTGGCTGGCTTTCTCACATCCTTCTTTGGCTATTGCAACCAATTCATGATCCTGAATGGTCTTCTCACCCCAATAGCAACTGGTCTCCTGGCCACGCTGGCTATCAACACCGAGATGTGGAGGCTGGTGGTTTACCAAGCGCTCCTCGGCTTTGGAACGGGCGTTGGCTTCCAAGGTCCCCAGGTCGCCGCACAGGCTATCCTATCCGACAACGATTCACAAATTGGCATTGCCATTATCCAGTTCGCGCAGGCTTTGGGACCGGCCATCTTCGTAGCTGCTGCGCAGACCATCTTCGCCAGCAGATTGGCGTCTCTTCTGCCTGGCCAAGGTGCGGCTCCTCCTGCGGATCATGCTTTGGTGCTACCAGAGAACCGGGATGGCGACTACAAGATGGATTTGGTTGGGTACAATGAGGCACTAATAAAGACTTTCTATCTGCCTGTCGCTCTTGCGGGAGCAACTCTCATAGGGGCGTTGGGAGTTGAGTGGCGATCTTTGAAAGTCAAGCGTGGGAGTGCCCTTTAATATGAATTGATAAGATGGTGCGGCCATGTGCCATGCTTCGGAGAGACTTCTTGAAGTCGTTCCCATCTTATGTAGCATTATCAGGCTAAGAACTACAAAACCAAGATGTGGGGAACCAACTTGGGGACTTCCTCCTCATCGGAGTCTCAAGCTCTGCTGCTTCGGCTCATGGCAATTCAAGGGTCGCTGAATTCAGTTTCAGGGTGTACATGAGCTCGAAAGCGTCAGAAATAGTTTTAGAGCATAGAAATGGTATACTTCGTGTACCTAGTCTCAGACACTGCATGTGCGCCGTCTCTGACCTCGGTGCCGTGCCCTCTCTCTCTCCACATACTCGTTTCCTTTTTGAAGGAAACCTGGCTTTAGGGTGCTGCACTTGATGCCTAGTCCATGCAAGATGATTCGATTGTTACGTGTTGGTTCAAGGAAAAGGTGGTGAAGTCTCATTAGTATTGGATGAAATGTCATGAGCAATTGAACATGCTCATGCTTTATGAATCTATCAGACCAAAATACTCTTTGTGATATCTTACAACTACCATCATTTCAATGCCCAAATACTCAACATATCGGTTCCTCGACCTTGCTCGTACGATCGAGGGGGCTTGATGTAGGCAGTTCTGATGAAGTATCCTTTGTTCTCGTGCTTCTGTGTTGCGTTTATCGCCCCACTGATAATACCACTGCCGTTTTCTGCGAGAATATCCCAGTATACACCTTGGAGTCCCCAGGGCGGGCCAGGTGCATCCAGTGCTTTATACAATGGGAACTCCAGACAAACGAGCATGCCAGACGGGTTGAGGAGCTCTCTCATCCGCCGGCCCCAGTGTTGTCTCATTTCCGGTAGCAGCGCGCAGAGAAACTAAGCCACAGGTCCACAACGAATCAGAAAATGGCCTTTGGTAGATGTGGAAGGGTATTTACCGTGTAATCATAAATCAAGTCAAACCCGACGACCCCGTCACCGGCGCACTCGGCCTCCCAGTTGCGCTGGAAGAAATCGCCACGGACAAACGTAACGCTTCCCAGAGAAGCACTAGATAGCGCTTTGGCATCGTGGAAGTTGTAATCTGATGGCTCAGCCAGCTCGGAGGCGGCGTACGCCTCAGCCTGATCGACTGCCTTTGCAGAAACCTCGAGTCCATAGGCCTCATAGCCATGGAGGGCCAACATAACGACATCGTAACCTCTACCGCAGCCCTGGAGTATTGGATAAGCCGAGTGGCTCGAGGAGAAGCGCAAAACATGTTTCATGGAGCTGACGTACTGGAACAAGGGCTCTCAGCGGCCGCCCATGGGCTGGCCTTGGCAGAACCTGGTGCTGAGACTCGACGAAGTCGATGAGAGCCGGCGAGGGTTTGCCACGGTCCCAGAGGTCGCTTTGGTCGGATTCCCATAGTAATGTCCACCCATCGGCCTGGCTCTCTCGATTCCTACGGATTTGGAGATTTTTGGTGTCAACATCGTTGGACATTTCATGTATAAGAGACGGCATGGTTGGGGGACACACCTATTGCTGAAGTGCGCCACGAGGCGGCTTGGACCATCTGCGTTTGGAGTCTGCATGGTTAAAGTTCCTGGCCGTAAAACTTTGCGTTTGCATGCAAATGGTATGGGTTTTCTTGGGTCAAGGAGTATTTGTAGGTCAAGTAGGAGAGCAAATGGATGAATAGTGCGCTGAGCTGGGTCTGCTGAAAATGCTAAATAGAAAAGAAAAAGATGGCCGCCTGGTAGTTTTATTACAAAGTACGAGAAAATGTGCTTGCTCACGCAACTCAAAGTATACAGTAAGAATATATATATGTAGTAGAGCGGGAAGAGCACTAACACGCACATGCTACGTAATGAACACCGACACGCCAACCCCCCATAGGATACCTGTAAGTTCTAGAAGCTCGGTATGGAGTAGAAAAGGGCGACTTACCAGGTAGAGGCAAAATCGGGAACTAGAAATTTCGATAGAGATGACACGCCCGAGGGCGCTGGGTCCATACAAGTCTTTCCGCTAGTTGAGTGACACTCATAAAGGTGCGAAGTTTGACACATTTAAAGGCGCACTAAACCTCACACCCGCAGGAGTGGGGATCCGCTCAAAGATCCATGTATCCATACCGTCACCTGCACATACCGCGAGAATTGGTATTATAGAGAGATCCGAGGCATTCGACGAATCAATCTGGCTAGGATCAGGTGAAGAATATTAGGAATCCAATGAATCACCCTTGCTTTTCGGGGACTGTGGCAGGCAAAGTAGTCGAGAAGTTCCAGGCTAATTCGGACCAGCAAGATATGAACAAAGCTTACACAGGGCCATGAATGTAGAGAGTGCCATTGCTTTTGGGATATGCTGATGCCCCGATAACCGAGCCGTTATATCATCACCTATTACATCACCCCATTAAGTCCCTAGGTCCCCATTCCCAGCTTGTCGGGAACGGCATGATGTGTTCTCCAGAATAGACATCTGCTTGTCCCAAAGAGTTGAAACCGTTCTGAGCTTCGGCGCATATAGGGATTCGGTCTGATACCTCTCGCCGCTCGAGGACCATGCTTTCTAGTTTGTCGTTTTGTAGACAGAGCCCAGCGCTGTCAAGTAGACAAGTGAGACTGCACAAGTTCGCATCGGCGGCGTGAGGACCCTCATCCTGCGCCAGCACTTGTGTCTGAGACTGGCACATCTGCCTAAACTCTGCAAGGCATTCGGGAGTTTGCCAGGCCCAGGGAACGGCGGGGCCGGGGCAGAGCGCCTCACTGACACTTTGGTCAGGAAGAGCTGGCTCTTTGTACGGCTGGAAAGGGACCAGGCCAAAATCTAGAGCGGCTGCCTGCTGCATATTCGCCATTGTAAAAGGGCCTGACCAGTCCACGCCCGGAAGGAGAGCAAGTTCGGGGCTCTGACAAGCCATGCCTGGATCTGCTCCCGGCTCAGTTGGGAGGTTGCCCGGAGATGCTACCAAGCCATATCCTTTCTTGAACATGCCCAACCACTCGGAGTTATCGGCAGGAGTTTGATTCCAAGGGTCATCGTCGCCGAACATGATAAGGCGAGCTTGTCTTCGCAGCACATCATCAGATAGCACGACGTTGGTTTGCAACACGCGCCGGACGTAGTCGCCCAGTTGGGCAATTAGAGTCTCAAAGTGCGTCGGCGCCACTGGGTAGTCGGGGCGAGACCCATACGGATTCCTTGATGTCGTGGCGCTGAAAGGCTCTGGATTGTTGGACTCAATGCCAATTAGATATGGAGGCATAGCGTTCTCGACCATGAGTGCGATGGCAGGATCCAGACCACGACAGCCTTTCCAATCCTTCATGAGAGCACCAGACTGGAAATGGTCGGCCAAATGATCGTTACGTTCGGGCCACGTAGTAAAGGTAGATCCGCAAAAGCCGCAGCGCGAATTGACCTTTACGATCTTGGATCGCCAGCCATCCATGGACCGCGGCATCTCAGTGACGCCATGTGCGGTACGGACATGCTGTCTCAAGTGATCTTTGCGGTAGAACACTCTAGCATCAAGTGGCTTGACCATACATTTGCCGGGCTCGTGAGATTGGAGGTGCACGTCAGACGGATCCTCGATGTCGCAGAAGGCGCATCTTGCCTTGGCCGTATCGTCCAAGTGTCGTGGGCCGAACGGGAGGCATGTCCACTTATCCAACGCGAGGTGCAAAGTGCCCTCATGCCTTGTCCAGTCATACTTGGACTTGAACGAGTCGGTGCAAAAGGTACACTGGTAAATTCGGCTTGCAGCGTCCTCCGGCTCCGACTGGCGTAGCTGCAGCTTCTGCCGACGCCGCCCTCGCCGGCGGCGGCTGGCAGTGCTTACCGCAGATCCAGAGCTGTATGAACGCGCGCCAGAATGGCTGGACGGACACGATCCTGACGATCCAAACGAACTGGCCGGCGCTGTTGGCGGAGCAGTGGCAGCGAGGCCGGACTCTGGATCCAAGTTTGCGTGGGCGCCGCTCTCGATCGCCTGTATGATGGCATCCAGAGATGTGCCGTCCTCATCAGGCGGAGTGTGTCGCCAGCGACTCAGAGGATCCATATTCCCCAATTCTTTTGCAGCGTCAGGAATAGCGACAGCCGGCGCAGACCTCGCACACGGAAGATCTGCTTGATCCCGCACACCTCGGCGACGCGCATTTGTGAACCAGTACGTAATCTGGCGCCGGCTGAGGCCAGTCTGCTGCCTCAGCATTGCCTTTTCGCCCTCTGACGGATATGGATATTCCGAGTGTGAGCTGAACCACTCTTTCAGGATCCTTTTCGCGCCTCTGGTGTGCCGTACAGCGGTCTTGTTCGATTCCTTAGATCCATCTTCGTTGCCATCGCTAGAGCGGTAGCTGAGAGTCGGTAGGCTCCCGCTATCCATCTTGGCTATTAGCGACCATCCATATCAATCGCAGTGTTGGCGGGTGTGGGTGTGTGACAACTCCAGCGGATGTAAAACATAGATTGCTTTGGAAGAGAGAACCAAGTTCTTTTACAAATGGGATGTGACGTCAGTTGAATTCTGGAGACAATTTGTAGTCTCCGCACTGGATTTTCGCTGCAGTATTAGTGAGTGCTATTTTTATAGGGGACATGTGCAGTGCCCCGTACATAGCAATATTTAGTCTTTCGAACCTACCTGTATGTTCCAGTAAATAGCACTTCCTAAATAAGAACCGTTCAATAGGTAGTAATACTCATGATTGCAATAGAGAAGTTGAAGATGAAAGAATACAAATATATCTGTCTTTTATATAAACAGTTATTATCTCCATAAAAGAAAAAAAACTCTAGTCGGTAGCCTCATTCATTTTTTTAAATTTGAACTTATATAGCATACACAATCCCAACTAATTGGCAAGCATGAGCATAGAAGAGCAATCTCTACCCGTTGAATCTGCATTCTGAGATAAAACTTCAACTTCACAGCTTCTTCAAGGGTATATAGTTCAACAGCGGGGAGGCTTTCGATGCAAGATTGATTAAATAGATCTGCGTGGGGGTCACGAACACGGCGTTTATATTGCGTCTAACAGAGGCGAAACAACGTAGCATGAGCACTGCATATACTCGTATCGTGTATTTCTATCTCTGCCGCGCTGAATCTCATGTAACGTGCGATCTTGACGCCACTTGAGTCATCGCCAGATCAACCACACTGTCAAGACTCAAGCACTCCACTGTGAAATATACTTGTACAAGAGGGATCACTGTTTCTTACAGCGTATACAAAATACAAAGCCAAGCAGAATAGTCACATTCAGCCACATTCAACTCGATATTACGCATCCCGCACTGCCAAACCAATGAGCAAGCACAAGCATGAGACAGTAATCAGTCAAATCTGCCCCCCTAAATACAACTTCAATCTCCTAAATACATCCTAGATTAAGTCCTCCGGCCCCCTTCATTCATTATCATTCGCACATTTGTTCAACCATTCCAAAGAGGCACTATTCTCGACTATGCATAAACACATTCAAAACACCAAAAGTATGAGGCATCGAAGATGGTGAGAAAATATGAAGCCTGCAAAAAAATCCACAAAAATTATCCAAAAATAAAAAAGGTCAAGTCATCAGACAGGTATCCAACTCAAATCAAACACAGAGCAGCACCGGCCAGGCCCATTGCCAGGGCACTGACACCAGTCTTTGATCCGGCGTTCTTGTTGCCGCTCTTGCTGCCGCTGGCGTCGCTGTTGCCGCTGCTGCAGTCCTGGTTGAAGCTGGATGTCGAGCAGCCAGAGGTATCAGCAGGGGCACTGCCGCCGGAGCTTCCGCCAGAGCCTCCGCTGCTGCCTCCGCTGCTGCCACCACTGCTACCGCCGCTGGATCCAGAGTTTCCGCTGTTGCCAGAGTCGCCGCCGGGGACGGTGCCGGAAGAGCCGTTGCTTCCTCCACCGGGGATAGAGTTCTGGGTGTTCTTGGGCTTATCGGAAGACTTGGTGGCGGTTCCCGATGGTGCTGCCGACGACGACGACGAATCGTCCTGCTTGCCAGCATCCATGTCGAGGCCGGTGCCCTGCAGTGTGGCCAAGTTGGTGCGCTTGTTGCCGTTGACGACGGTGTCGTTGGTGCCGCGGATGTTGTCGTAGGTGTAGCTGACGCCTGAGTTGCTGCCGAGCTCACCAGTGGCCTTGTAGCACGAGACGGTGACGGACTCAAAGGTGGCGTAAAAGTAGCCCGTCTTTGTGATATCTTCAGCGTTCCAGTCAATCTCACCACCGGCCCAGTCAATGGTTCCCTGGGCGTTGCTGGCAAGACCACCGGGCCAGATGGAGATTTGGACACGGGAGGGAGTCTGAGGGAATGACCACTGGTTGGAGGTGGCATTCCAGTGATCCTTGCGGTTGACGGTGCGGCCGACCTGGCCGTCGACGAGCCACTGAATCTGGTCGGGGGTCCAGTTGATCTCGTAGGTGTGGTAGTTGTCGAAGGTGTCGGAGAGTTTGGTGATGTTACCGGAGTTGTTGTCTGTCAGTCACATCGTCAGCATTGGTCCAATTGCAATCACGATACACTGTCCCCGGAGCGCAAGACTCACAGTCGGGGATGCCCTGGAAGTACCAGTTGGTCTGCGCAGTAGCCAGGTCAACGCCGACAAACTCGTAGTCGATCTCGTCCTTGACATCGGACAGCAGGATAAAAGCAGTCACCACACCCCTGCCACGGCTCGTCTTGAACTTGGCCTTGACATTGCCATACCACATGTACTCGGTCGTCGCCAGCACAGTTCCGACGCTGTTCTTGGGCATGGTCAGCAGCACGTTGCCGTTGTAGTAGGCCGGCTCGCCCTGGGCCATCCAGTCGGCCGTGGACGGATCACCGAGATAATCGCTAATGTCAGCGATGGAGCTGAGGTCTTTGTCAAACGTCATCGTCTTGGACTTGCACACAGGCGCGGGCGTGCACGAGTCGAGCGAAAAGGACATTCGGGGATCGCAGCCGCCGAGGCAGTAGGCGCCAACACCACACTGGCCATACTCTAGAAAAGAGCCATTCCGTCAGTTGAAATCCACGACAAGAGACATCATGTAGGACGGGATGTGAATTCGCAATTCCACATACGAGAGCAGCAGGGCGCCTCTTCAGGGCACTTGTTGGTAAGGGAGCAAGTCGCCCCGGCCGCAAGAACCGACCCGGCGCCAAAAAGCGCAGCAACCGCAACGGAACGCAACATCTTTTACTATCTTCGAATACGAGCGTTTAAAAAAAAGCCCCGAAAATGAAACGGATCGTTTAAAAAGCGAGAGCGATATCGGGATTATTCAAAGGCACGGCGTCGTGTAACGGGGGGGCAATTTCGAAAAATTCGAGCGATTGGAGGTTCTACGCGCGCGCGCAACGGTCCGGATTTTTTTGGTTTAATTCTCAAGGTCGGCGGAAAACAGGCGAACGAAAGAAAAAGAAAAATCACACCGAAATTTGCGAATTCCTTTGAAGCGTGCGATGAACGAGTGGCGCACTGCTCGGGGGACGCAAAAACGAGAAACACGGAAGCGAGAGTCGTTGTTTGTTGTCGTTTTGGAGCGGCAAAGGAGGAAAGGAATGCCGTCTGGCCATGGGCGGAGCTGGGCGAGCTGGATATTAGTATGATGGAAGGGCCTCCACTAGAGTATTAGAGTCTAGCACCTGAAGCCCCTAGTGAAAGAGCAGGACAGAGCTTGGGCCAGGGCAGGCGTCCCTTAACAGGCAGGTCACCCCAGCGCTATGAATAGCAGCCCTTGGGGTCCATTATCGCCTGTAGTGGTGGCTACAGTACAGTGTAATACCCTCATTGGCATTGATTGATAGACTGAGAGTGCTTCTATCCCATTGACTTGATCATGTCTTGCTGTCTCTCATCATATCTCTCTCTCTTAACTCTTCGTCTCCCCTCGACAGCTCTGCTCTGCTCTGCTCTTGCTTTCAGCCGCTCAACCACCCCCATACGCCACCACGCCACTCATCAGGGGAACGGAACAATCAGCACGCATGGCATAGGCGAATCCCGCTCCAGCCATTTAGTACAGCCACAGAGAGAAAAGTCAAGTACATGTACTGTGTGTGTAGATGTAGGTACAATGGAAGCCATCATCTCCCCAATACTATAGTACCTACCTAGTAATAACCAGCAGTCTTCTCTTCCTTCACACAACAACTCAATTCAACCCAACCCAACTCAACCCAACTCAATCCCCTCACCTAAAAAAAAACCAACTTCTCTCAAATCCCCCCGATCCCGATCCCCTAAAAAAGAAAATCAACATGGGGCTCCAGACACGAGGTGCGAGTGGATCTCATCCACCCCCAGCTAAATCACTTCCAGCAAAGATACAAGCCAAAAAAAAAAACTTGTTACCTAAAAAAGCCATCCCGGACTGGTTTCTCCTCTTCCCCCCCAGTCAAGTATAGTACACTCGTATACTTGCTGCCCAAGTCCAAATACGAGCTCCGAGCTTGTGACTTTTGAGCCAAGTCGTGTGCTCGAGATTGCAAAAAATTACTGACTTGGGGCGCGCTTTGCAGGAGACACTAAGGTAAGTCATACTGCAGGCCCGGCAAAAAACATCCGGAGACAAAAGACCAACTTACACAGCATCAAGTCGCCTCGTTCTCCGCATCAGTTCCTCTCACAGTATGATTTACCTGGGAACTAAATTAGCCGTCTATTCACTCCATGGTTCAATCCAAAATACCTTTATTCGCTGATATGCGTTACTTGGACTAAGCCGAGCCTCCGTATTGCCCCATGTCCCGATCATCGCGATCGACAAGCCATCTCGTGTCCCGTCCTCGCTATCCCGCATCGCTTAAGACACCGCTGGGTCTCAAATCACCATCCCCATGCGCATCATCACATAATGTAAAGAGAAAAAAAGCCCATGCGCATTATTATGCTGTTATCAAGTAAAACAAAGTACATGCATTATTTTTATGACAAAAATCCTCTTTCATGCCAGCACAAACCACCCTCAGCATCGCTCCATATCAACCCCGATAACACAGAAAGAAAGAAAAGAGACCACTTCATCATGCCCCCCTATTATTTCGTCTTCCGCCTCGCCTTAAACGTCTTCAAGGGATCGCCCTTGCGCACGCCGCCCTTTGCGCTCCGCTTCCCGCCCTTCCGCTTGGTGCCCGCGCGTCTATCAAACTTCTTGAGCGGCACAAACCCAATGTCTCCCGCCGTCAGCGCTTGTCGGCCTTCCTTGGGAAGCAGATAGTCCGGCACGTGCTTCAGATGAGCCTGTTGTCTAGCCGTTCTCAACTCGCCGTCGTGGCGAAGGTGGTTCATCTCTGAAGGGTTCTCTTCAAAGTATCTACCGAGCAGTCAGCATCGTGTCCCGTGGTGAATGCCGTAAAACGGGAGGATCCCATCATCAAAACTAACCTTTTCAGCTTCTCGCTCTTCAACAGCTCCTGACGCAGCTCCCTCGTCCGTGCCTCTCGGATCGCCACCTTGGTCACCGCACGCAGAGCATCGTTCATTCGGTATCTGAAAGCGTCGACCTGGTCCTTGTTGAAGTTATACGGCTTGATCTCCTTGCCCTTCTTTGCCTGCTGCTTCGTGATTCTCGCCAAAATCTTCTCGTCATTCTCCGAGCTCGCAATGGAAGTGTGAATGTGTTTCCGGTAGAGATCCTTGGGAACGACAAACGACAGCGCCATACCCGTTCGTCCAGCTCGTGCCGTACGGCCTATTCTATGCGTGTAAGACGACGCGGATGTGGGAAGGTCAAAGTTGATGACGGCTGCGACGTTTTTGAAATCAATGCCTAGAAGCAAATAAATCAGTAAAGAATGTTCTCAACTTCCCACAACAAGGCTTATCGGCGTCCATACCTCGAGACACGCCATATTCCACGTCTCCCTTGGCAGCCTTCCGCTTCTTCTTAGGTCGAGACTCTTGTTTTGACTCGCCGTCGTTTTCCTCTTCCTCCTGCTCCTCCTCAGCCTTCTCTTCGTTGCCAAGAACCTCCTTCTCGTCAGAGGCGATGATGATGTCGTAGACGTTGCGGTTGAACTCTTCAACCACGTGGATTCTGGAATTCACAGGCAGCTCCGAGTTCAAGATACAGCTTCGGATGCCAAACTGCTCGAAATAGAGCTTCAGGCGATAGCATCGGTCAATGTCGGCAACGAAAATGATGCACTTGCCCTTTACCAGCTGCAACTTAAAGATGACGTAGATTAAAAGGAACTTTTCATCCTCACCACACCTGCACCCCTTGTTAGCATCAAATCATCGAAAAAAGGAAGCAAAATCAGAGAAACCCACTTGGTCACCAGCTGCGTAACACCCTCACCCTCAGCATCCGGCTCCTCTAGATCCAACAGCGTGGGCTGCTGATCGCGGTAGAAAATCTTCTTCAGAGAGTCCACCTCGGTCGTCAGCGTGGCGCTCATCATGATGGTCTGGATGCCCTTTGGAATGGACCACGACAGACTCTCGAGGTCCTCGCTATATCCGTAAGACAGGAGCAGATCCGCCTCGTCCAGAACCAGGTACGACAGCTTGTCCAGAGACAAGGCCGATGAATTGCCATTGACATTGTGCCATGCTCGCGCAGGCGTGGAGATGACGATATCCGGGCATGTCGACAGCAGAGACCGCTGCACAGCGTCGGTGAGTTTGTCCGTCAGCTTGACAGCGCGGACATCCTTTGCGCAAAAGGCGGAAAACAGTTCAATGGACTTGAAGACCTGGTCGGCAAGCTCTCGAGTAGGAACCAATATCAGGGCCATCGTGGCCGCGGTAGAATCCACCTAAACAACGCCGCCGAGCAAATTAGCCTCAATCCCCATAAGAAACAAATCAATGTCCCACATACACTCTTCTTCTTCAGAATACCGGCCAGAACAGGCAGCACGTACGCCGCCGTCTTGCCAGACCCCGTCTTCGCCTTACACAGCACATCCTTGCCGTCCAGCGCCAACGGAATGGCCTTTCGCTGGACCAGCGTGGGCTTCAAGAACTTCTGCTGCGCAACGGCCTGAACCAGCCTGGCATCGAGCCCGAGGTCTGCAAACGTCGCCTCCTCCTCGGGTGTCGTCGTCGTCGTCGCTGCTGTTGTCGTCTCAGCGTTGGCCATCTGTTGGTCGGCCTCGGGCTCAGCCGATGTGGGCACGTCGTTTTCGTTGAGCTTCCGCTTCATGATTGCACTCTAAACTGGTCAATGGAGTGTTGAATAGGTGTAAACAGGTTGGTCGAGGCAAAACGCAGTGATGCTGCTGCTTTATCGTGTCTTATCGCTCTAGAAAAGAAAAAAAGAAAAAAATTCCCACGCCTTATCTTATCGCCCCAAGCTCCAGTCCCCTAAGTACTAATGTACATTCTGTATGTACAACGGAGGTGGAAAAAACTCCCCCTAGCCTGGCACGAGCCAAGTACAGTACCTGTAGGTAGCGCCTGTAGGTTAGGTAGTAGCGCCTGTAGGTAGCGCCTGTAGGTACCTACACCAGCCCAAGCTGTGGGGCCCGAGCATGAACCATCAGGCTCTTGACAGCGCTGTTTCGACTCCTGCTAGCGCTGACCTTGGCACCGGCGTGTGCGAGTACAGTACGTACCGCTCAGGTCCCTCCTCGTACACGATACCTCGCCCAAGTATCGTCGCCTTCTCGAAGCCATCCCATGTATCCCTACATCGACCAGGTCCCGTCACTTGATCTTGCCTGGGGCCGTCGGTAGGGCTGAAGCGGCAAGGGCCGGCCATGATTCCGATCTGAAACGCCTCAAGGGCCGGTCGGTTTTTTTCATCCAGTTCTCGCCGCGTAGGTATCGCCGTGGTACACACGCCAATCTTGCGTCTCGCCCTGGAGCAGGGACGGTGAGGACAGACGCTGGCGTGACGTGTGTAACCTCTCGTCTGCTGCCTGGATACTAACAACGGTGTGCTGTAACCAGCATAACACAAGGTGCTAAGGCACCGCACATATTGCACATACCTAATGTATTTGATTTTATTTTATTCATTCGCCTTCACACCGCCTCTCTGCCCTGGGCCAGCGTAGCATCTCATCCTAAGTAGGTAGGAGGTAGTCGTCCCGACACTGACGATACTTGGCCTGGTCAGGATACTGTACATGAATGGAACAATGCCAGCATCTGTGGCGCCGCACTACCCGGTACCCAGCTCCGGGGTACCGGCCCTGCAACTACGGATGCATACCAGCCAGACTACTAAAACATAGGTGTTTTTCTATACAAGTTGCATCGCCAAACTGGGACAAGTGAGGCCACTAACACTGTACTTCCAGCAGGCGTCTCCCCTAGTAGCTGTACAATCCAGATGGGGCTCCCCAGGTACACCTCACGGCTCCATCATCAAGGTATCGAGTACTTGTACTACTATTAGTACCTAGTCATCTCCCTGATGTTCTCTATATTAGGCACTTCTTGTGGGCAATACATCATCACTCGTTGCAAGACATCAGGAATCAGCTGCAAAACGAAGCGAATTTCATATTAAAAAGAGGTACTTCGTACAAAAACTAGGAATGGGAGAGGGGAGGGAAAAGGGGAGGGGGAACATGTGTTATTCGGGTATAGCTATGCCTCTTATCAGCGACAGTCTTTTGCATCCCCGGCTCTAGGCCAGGGGCAGTTGAACTCCTCCAGCACTTCCACGCCTCCAGGACAAACTGAGCCTGAGGAAACCCATCAACGTTGATTCCGCAGCCTCTCCCAGCAAGTCCTCAACAAAACCCAACCAGCTGAACCTCTTCTCTCCACCACCCCCGTAGGTATCGTTGAAAGTAGAGAGAAGAAAAAGGAAAAAGGAAATCAAGACATAGAATAAGAAAAAAAAATATTAGTCAAACGGTGGCAGGCCACGGTTCGTGTCCCCTCAAACGAGCACAGGCAAGACCAAGAGGACTACAATCCGCCACCAACGCCAGCAAAGACCGTCCAGTGATTCATTTCCCACCCAGCAAACGCAGAACGACATACACGCATCTCTCTCTCTAAGACCGGCAAAAGAAAAAGAAGAGAAGAACGGAAGACTAAATAAGGTGGGGAGGGGGGACAAAAAGACAAAAGAGTAAGTAATGACAAAAGCCAAGTTTTGCCATTTAACGAAGTAGCGGAAACCCTGGCCGTACTCCTTACTGTTCCTTGCTTTTTCAGAGATCTGCATCTGGAGTTATTAAACTGGAAGCCTTGCGACAATAAAAAAAAAAAGACCGAAATAAGTAAACAAAGACAGCTGGTCCCATTCCTCTCCACAGCGGCCCCGAGGCCTGAATCCTAAAAAGACAAGACGACATCTAGATAGATGGATTACAGTCGTCGAGAGGTCCTATCAGGAGCAGTCATCAGGCTGGGGCGCCGCCGAGCAATCACGTCGAGTTCATCTCCCCTTGGGGTTGCCAAAGAGATCTATATACGAGTTAGCGGGACCTCGATCGTTGCGGTTAACCCCTACCGGCCAAAGACTGTAAGCATACCTGGGAAATGCTCTTTCGCGTATTGTTCACAGGCCTACACCAAGTTAGCACACGATTGGCATGAAATCCAAGTGGGAGACAAGGGGACAAGAGCCGTCATACCTTTGCTGGCTTTCCCACCTTCTGGCCAATGACCTTCCACTTGTTGTTCTCGTATTCTTTGATAGCATTCAACAGTGCCTGACTCTGAACAGACTGATCAATCAATGAGGCATCGACGTTGACAGTGGATAGGCTACTTACTTCATCCTCCGCAAACTCGGCATAGTGCATATCCTTGTACCAGTGCTTCTTCACGGATCCTTCTGTCCGTGTTGGGAAGGTCTATGTGCATCTCAATTAGCACTTCTTCTTTCTGGCAAGCCAAATCAAAGACGAGAGGTGAAATCTCAAGGGCCAGAGACGCCTCTCTCATCGTCGTCGTCGTCGTCGTCGTCGTCGGGATTTGCTACATACCTTAGCAATCTCAGCCCAGCTGTTTCCGGCGTCTCGCATCTGCTTCAACCGCAGCTCCTCCTGGGGAGTCCAGGGCGTGTTGGTCCTGCTCTTCTTGGTAGGAGGGCCCGAGGCGGCGTTGGCCGAGTTTGCGTCTTCACTCGTCGCCGGCTGAGGCTGCGAAGGAGGAGCGGCCTGAGGAGCGGGAGGCGTTGGCGCAGGAGGCTGGCCCTGGACCGGGGCAACGGGAGGTGGAGCGGCGGCCGTGGCGGGTGAGGGCGCAGCGTTCTGGGCCGGCCGCTTCCGTGAACGGGCGCTGGGCGGCTGGGCCGCGGGCTGAGTCGGTGTCTGCTGCTGGGACGGAGGGCCATTTGGTGGCTGCTGCGATACGTTCATGGGCGGCTGGACTGGAGTTGGGTGGTGTTGCTGCTGGGCCGCCATGTTAGGCTGAGTGCCGTAGGGAAACTCCATACGCTCGTTACGACGAGCCATATCGGCCGGGTAAGGATGGTTACTGTTCGAGGCACCCCGGTTAGCAGACTCGCTGGCGGGGGAGGGGAATCATCATGGCATGGCATGGAACTATGCATGGTATAGGAAAGGGCTCCCTCTAGATGGGGCCGGGGGTGGGAAGCGGGGAGAGGGAGAGAGGGCCATGGTTTCGCCAGGCACAGCGGGCGAAGTTATAGAAGGTATCAACAGGAGGCAGACGGTGATACAGCGTTCGTTTGTCTACCAGCCGGTGATGCCATGACGGGGTAGAGGTGTAAAAATAAGAAAGAGGCAGGAAAATCAAGAGCAATACATTGAATACATGGCCGGTGATGGCTGGAGGCACAAGGCGACGGACAACAGAGGCCCTGGTGTAGATGGTGGAAAGACGATGTACCAGGAACAAGGAGATCGAGTACTTACTGCATGTCGTTGGACGGGTGGGGGGAGTTGGAGTAGACGTAGTCCGGCACGGGGCCGACTTGCCACTGCTGCATGATCTGAAGATAGCGCACGCAAATAAGGTCAGTATCGATCTCGTGTCTCTTTTTTATAAGCTTGTCGGTAGAATCAGAGAATTTCAAGATGTAGCAAGAGAGGAGCCGCGCGTTTTTCTTTCTTTTTCCCTTCAAGCCCTGTTGCACGCGGCGCGTCCAGGAGCCGGCAAGGCTGTCGACTTGCAGCACAGCAACCGGAAAGGGACAAGAAAAAAAAAAGAAAAAAAATAACAGAAAAAATAGAAGGGGGTGAAAAAAAAATAAAGAGAGGGGTTGTTTGCTCAAAGAGAGCTTACGCGCAGCTCACGCGTAGGGTCAGGCTTCCAACAATGGCTGCAACGGAACGACGCGACGCAGCTCGAGGCTCGAATCCGGCGCAGCAGCATCAACAATGGGAACACACAAGCATCCCCGACGAGGTCTTGGACAAGCGGATAGACGTTGCGAGGGCACAAGGTGAGGATGCCGGCGAAAGGGAGCAAGGGGGGGGAGAGGAAGAGAATGTCCTTACGGGCGAGGTAATGTAGGTCAATGTTGCCTAAAGTGCATCCGACTGGAACAAGTCTGGCTCGGCTTTTTTTTCCTTGGTCAACCAAAGGAGCAAAGCTGGGGGCCGAAAGGGTCAGGTTGCACAATTCGGCAAAGTAGTGCAAGACCACTTGGATCAACAAGTACTTGAACCGCAGTGGCACCGAAAAGGCCGTGGGTTGCGTTTTGGGGGGGTGGTTGAAGAGCCTCCTAATAAGAGGTGAGGGTAAGAAAAAAAAAAATTGTTACAAAGAAAAAAAATAAAAAAAAATAAAATAAAAAATTTAGCCAAGCCGAGACTTGACGCGCGTGGGTTGGTGGACTGATGGGATTGTGTAAAACAGTGGTAAGTTGCCTGTGGCAGTGGTGGTGGGGAGGGAAAAAGCGTTGGCTAGGGGGGCAGATCCGAAGCCGAGGCGACGGTGGGCTTGGGTTACTATTGTGACGGGTGCGGACGGCGAATTGAGAGCAAGAGGGATTAATTGGGTTGGGAATAACGGACGAAGCGAGTTGCAGCGGCAGCGCAGAGTAAAGCAGAGCAGAGCAGAGCAGAGCAGAGCAGACCCAGGTGCTGCTGACAAGGCTCAGCCGTGTTTGGGTAGCTTGCTTGGAAGCTTGGCTTGGCCCGACTGAGTCAAGTTGTTGCGAGGCGGGCAAATGAGAAGAGCGGGTGAGAAGCAGCAAAGGCAGCAAAGCAGCAAAGCGGAAGCACGTACGAAGGCTGGTTGGCGCAGGGCGACTGATGCAGTGGTACTGGGCGGTACTCCGGAGAGTCTGAGAGGACGCGGATCGGCCAGGGTGAGCTGCGAGTGGTTGAGCGGATGAGGACAGACGAGTAGCGTGTACGGGATGCGTTGGAGTAGCGTGTCGGGGCAGCGCAGTGTTTTTTGCTGGGGCGCGAGACGGCACGCAGACACGCAGCACGTACTCGTTACTCGGGGCACACGATGCGAGGCGATGCGCTGCGCGGCGATGCGATGCGTTCAGGTTGCGTTGCGTGGTCGGCAGTCTGCAGCTGGATGAAGCTGAAAGCTGAAGGGCCAGTGGAGCACCGTTGCAGAAGCTTGCGATGGAAATGGCCAGGCCGAGTCGCCAGCGCTTCGGGGGTGGAAGGTTGATGTGAGTACTTGGAGCCCAGGTAACTCGGTTTTTTTTTTTTTTTCTGGGGGACGAGGTAGATGTTTTGGCCTGGCTGGGTCTTTTTGGGGGAAGGGGGGAAGGGGAGAGAGAAGTTGCGCGACCTGGGAGGGAGGCAAGCGGCCAGGATCAGTGACGAGGGCACGGGAAAAGCTTGGCGGCAGGAAGAGTGGGGCGGCGCACACTCAGAGGGGGGGTGGGGGGCGTGTGTTGATGAGGCTTGAGGATGGCGAGGTTGGTGATACTTTGCGGCGCGGGCAAAGTTGGAGGCTGGGCCGAGTACTGATACCGCCGCCTGGGTGGCGCCATCACGGCCGGGGGCGCAGAGGGGCGTGGCCGTGTGAGCCGCGGGTTCGCGACGCAGCGCTGCACTGTGCGATGCATGCCGTGGTGTTGCACAGCGCATAGTGTCCGGTTTCGAGCGTCCTGCAGTCGTCGCACCGTGTGCTCGGGAGTCCGCAGCAGGTCGAGCGGCGCACGGGCCAGCGCTAGCGGGGCTAGTACCACTACCTCAGGCGTGTACACGCAACGCAGCGCAGCAAGGCTCCGAGGGAACATGACATGAACCTTTTGCCCTGCCGGTTCTTCCCATGGATCCTTCAGGCAGCTGCTCGTACCGTTACCGTGGCTTCCGCAGGACGATTGTGGCTCTTGGGAGAGATTGCTCCGGTACGAGCTGTCGTGTACCTGATAAGAGGTACAGATACAGATACAGATACAGACACAGATACAGGCATCAATAGACGGGCATAAACTGGAACAGGCACTGGGAAAAAGAAAAAAAGAAGAAGAAGAAAAAAGAAGAAGAAAATCATGGACGGAGCTCCGGGCTCAACCACGTACCGGTACCGCCACTGATACAGCACTTGCATTAGTACATGTACATGTACGTACCCTCCGGTGAGCAGCTTCCGATAAAAGAAATGAAGACAGAGACACCGGCTGGGAACTGCTGGGGCTCCGCTCGCAGCCAATCAGCGCCCCGAAAGGGCCTCGCGTTGGCCCTTCCGATTGCCCGCGCGCCTTCCTGCACCAGCCACTCATTTCGCCGTGCCTTGGCTGCGGGCCAATGGACGGGCCAGCAGCGCGAGCACAGGCACAGGTACAGGTACTTGCACCCGCTGGAGGCGTTCGTGGGTGCAACGGGGGTACAAGGCCTGGCCGGGAGGACAAGCTCGCCAGGCGGGCAGGTGCAGCAGCTTGAGCAGGTATGCGGTACCTGCCACCAGAGTATCCCGATCGTGTCGAATCGCAGCGCATCGCAACGCATCGCCTCGGGTCTCGTCGCTGCGCTGGCGGTAGCACCAACAGCTGCTAACCTGATTGCCTTGCAGTAGCAGAAACAAGTCGAGAGCACATCAGCCATCAATCAATCAGCGATCAATTCTCTGTGTCTGCGTCTGCATCTGCATCTGCAGTACGGATACTGCCTATTCCAGCCACTCTTGCATCCTGAGCAGGTTCAATTGGCGCTGCGAAAAGCTACTCGCACTGCAAAAGTGGCCCAAAGGCTCAGCCCAACGCTGATCATGGCTTCGTATTCGGCAGCGATGGACAGGCACGAAAACCACACTCCCCTTCATCTGCGTCTTCTGTCAAGCTTCTTTTGCTGCTCTCGCGGATGACGCAACCCGCGGCGCGGATCGCCAACGCCAATCTCTCTCTCGCTCATGGTCATTTCGCCTTTCCGGTGCTAACTCTACTTGCAGCCACAGACACAGCTTGGCAGGTATTGCCTATTCCCACCGCTCGCTTAGACGGCCAAGGCATTCCCTGTCGAAGAACACGAATCTCATCTCAGACAGGCCCGGGAAAAGCGGGGATGCGCCATGACATGTGTGCGTGTGTGTGAGTGTGTGTGTGAGCTTCGTAGCGGCCTGAGAGAGCCTGGCCATGCGAGAAATGCCTGGCCATGCCATGCCATGCGTCAACAAGCGGCGAGCAGCGCACTGGCTGGCTGGCTGGTGATACGCCGTTCTCTGGGGAACCCGGAACAAGAGAGAGGTAACGACGAGGAGAAAAAGGAAACGGAGAGAAAGGAAAGAATCCGCCACCCTCGTCGAGCGAGCACAGCCTGCCTCTTGTCGACGCCCAGCACAGCATATGGCAGCGTCAGTCGCACGGAATCACAGCTCGCAACAACAGAAACCACATCACCAGCAAACCATGCGCCTTGTGCTCCCGTCCTTCCAGAAGACCCCCCCTGCAGCCTCCCTCGCGCGAACTGCAAATCGCCATGCCATGGCACATGTGCAAGCATCATGTACACAATGTATGTCGACCAAAATACCGTCCGTACCTCGCCATCAAGTACTCGATACTTTTGCTGAGCTTCGAGGCTAGGGCCGCATCGCATCGCGGCTCCACATTGTACTGTACATTACATGGCTTGTCCAGATCCAGCGTCTGGGACCTCTTTGATGGCCTGGGTGACTTTGGATCATTGTACCTGTGGAGGATGCCAGCTTTTGGCAGTTAATGTGGCCACTGTTGCATTGGAATATAATCCGATTCGCTCTAGTCTTTTCAACGACAGAAGCTCGTCCCGTATCACTCAGCAACCGCTTTTGCTTGATACTGTACGAGTACCTGGATGCTTGCTTGCTTGCTGGGGTGAGTCCCCAACCTCCGATTTATTGCCATGGACGAGCATGTGTACGAGTACAGAGTCAATGTGTGTAGGGGGGCGGTGTGTGCAGTCGCATTTCATCTCTTTCTTGCCACCAGGCTTACTCTTACCCATACTTACACACACTGACAAGCACCTGTAGGCTGTAGGATATCACTGTTGGGGTCAATTTACCCGGGCAGCTCGCCTCAGCTGCCGTTACGGGCGGCATTGGATTGCAAGATAGGCCCAACAGAAGCTGGAGCAGGATACGAGCTGCCGTTTTCTCTTTGTCCTCGGTGATCACTGCAGGGTAGCCAGCCACAGAAATTGGCTGCGTCCAGTGCCCATCTCCTCTTACTCGTGCTCTATATTAAGGCACGCGCATGCACAAGACAAGGGATGAGATGAGATGACGAGATGGCTCATTGATGCAATCAATCCATCTACGGAATACCCTATTCGGAGGTGGCAGGAATCGCACAGCCACGGTCGCCGAGTCATTTTTGCTCTACAGGTATGCGGTGGTAGCACCCAATCTGCGCCTTGCACGGTGCCAATATACCAAAGCACACCTGCAATTACCCGGCAATGGACATTTAATGAAAGACATGCAGATGCTCACATGTTCGTACATCAAATCAAATCACAATGTGAGCAAAGGAGCTGCCGTTAGGCGACGTCGACGCGGCAAAAGGCTAAAATGACAGCAGACATGTGTGATATATCACATTGAGGGCGCCGCGATAGGGGACGTGTTGTATGTAGCCTCCTCACGGGCGGTTTACAAGCAATCCGTGTCCCTATCAATTAATCGGGTACTTTGCCGGAATGTCCCTATCTGATCAGGATTGTACTTTTGTTTGTACAAGTACTGGATGATGCTATTTTTGCCAGCAAAGTGGCGTAGACTCAATGGGGAGTGTGTGTCTTATTTAGAGGGAGGCTTTCTTGGCTGTCCGTCCACATGCAAATCCAGAGTCGTCATGCAATATGAGCCAAAATGGTGCATCATGCGGCCGAAACAAGGAAAAACAAAGAGAGAGAGAGAGGAAAAAAAGAAAAGCCAAGGGTCATTATGTGATTGGGCATTGCCTGCCAATGCCTTATCATACCCAGCCAGAGGAAAATAACTTTTAATAATTCTTTAATTTTCCCCTCCGATCGAACGGCATGTCATACGATTACCGGGCAAATGCTTCGGCAGCAAACCGGAGAATCCCTAGGGAGGCGCTGAGATTGGGATGAATTGAAATGAGCGTCTCCCGACGGTGCCCGCTTTGGGCTGGATTTGTCTGGCCATTGACGCACAGCGCAGCAGGTCTCACGAGAGACGAGGAACAGGCGGGACAGACAAGACAGACAGACAGACATCAAGGTGGAAAATACTGCATCGACAAGCCTTGATACATAGTACGGGCATGCAAGCATCGGCAGCAGCAGCAGCACATACATGCCTGTGCTTTGGAGGCACGGCTCAACGCCGACCCGCCTGATAACCGCATGTGAGATGTGTGAGCGAGCATATGAGCACGAGTATAATATTGTGTTGTTTTATTCCCTCAGACATCCTTCTTCTCGCCATGCCATGCCACAGCGTCACTCCTGCGCCGGGACGACGGCACTCCGTCTGAGTGGCTGCCCCCAAGTGTGTTTTCACCCTCGTTTCTGCCCATCTTTTGACTTTTTGTCCTTGACCCTTCCTCAATGCCATGGCGCCTCCAAGATAGAAAAACAACAGCGAGTGGCGTGAAACGAAAAGAAGAACGGCGACAGAGAGGCTTTTCATGCGAGGGTTTCGCCAGTCGCCTTTAGCGTGTTTCGAGCGCAGGGTTGAAACGCGGCTGCATGATGCCGGCCGCTCAACTGAGGCATGGCGGCTACCGGAACAGGACGACATCCGAAGACTGAGAGGCTCCGTGTTTGTTCGTTTCGTTTCGTCTTTTTCTAATGGGTTGTGTTGTTTTCGGCGTGTGTTTTGGTGTCTTGTGATGGTTGTGTTTACGAGAGGTGGGAGTGAGTTGCGATATGCTTCTGCCAACAAGCCACTTACACTGCGGCTTCAGCTTTTTCTTTTTTTCTATCTTTCTTTTTCTTTTTTCTTTTTACTCTACGAAAATTGTGCAACATGGGGAATTTGCTTTCTTGGGTTCCATAATTGCCAATCCAGCCTCAGCCTAGACGGAGAATTTCATCCGCCTTTTGTCTTTGTCTTGCTTTTTCCCATACCCATATTAACCCGCGGGTCCATCACTGGACAAGGGGCAGGACCCATTGGCTTTTCGGGCGTCGCTTAGCTGGACGAGAACAACAGCCTCCTTGTTTCAAGAATGGAAACAGGCTTCAAACGGCGACGCCTCTGCTCCTTGCATCATGATCGCTTGCGATGCGGAGAATGAAATACTCGCCGTTGTGTGATTGGCTCGGGTGGCCAGCCATTGGGGGCCTAAGAGGCAGACCAGCGACTCCAGTTTGTTGATAAGAGTGTAGAGGTAGGGTTTGATCACGAGGGCATTTTGGAGTGAGTTTATACAGATGTGTGGGAATCTGACTTTTCACGCCCCAGGATAGAGACACCAAAGAAGAAAAGAAGACGAAAGATCAGAAAGCTTGTCGATGCGGCAATCGAGCCAAGCTGTCATTCACTTCATTCCTGCATAATCGCAGCCAACATCCCTACGAGTCAATCGACAGGCGCCACCCCACAAATTGGACACGATGAGTCTCAAACAAGCAAAAACTCACTAGCTCTCGCACTAGACGAGACTGCATAAATGTTTGAAATGTGTTTCTTGGTGCCGTCCTGACGGGGCCGCATGAGAAACAACAAGGCCAGAACCTTATGCTTATGTCGAAATCTGTTACGAAAGTGTCACAGGATAGACCTGAGATCTCAGAAGCCGGGCCAGGGGGGGACCCCTGGCGCCCAGATAATGGATATCGAGTTTCGTGGGGACACAAAGAAGGCTAACGGGCCATGCTAGATGCAGCCCGTCGTAGTAGTGCGCAAGTTAGTATGTGTTGAGTGAGATGAGATGAGCATGTTTTAATACTTGCTCACTTCCCATGCGTTTCCCGGCTCTGAACTTTCCTTTTCTTTTGGAGTATATGCCTGTTGTCTTTCTACGTTTGGATCGTCGTGTTTTTCCCTCCCCAGTTTTTTTCTTCCTCTTCTTCTTCTCCTCCTTATTTTAATAATCCTGTTTTATTCTCTTGTGGCTGGCTCACTTGACTCACCCCCCAACTGGTTTGGCTGTATTTGACGACGCTCATCTCACTCTCATATTCCACCACCTCATCTTTGCATAGCGGAATCTGAAAAAATTCATTCGAGCGTGTCATTCATCAAACAGCGGCCTGATATACCAAAGCGCCTTAATAAGCATCGTGGATATAATACGAAAAGAAAGATACCCAAAAGACACCACACACCGATATACATAATGACGGGGCCCGGTTACATCACCAAGAACGGCGGTGCCCAACGACTTGGACAGGGTGTAACCAAGAATCGGAAGGCAACCCACACTGGCGGAGGACGTGCATGGAGTGAGGCCGAGGTAGGTCAAGGACTATGAGTTGATGGTGATGGAATGAGAATAAGAGACTGATATGAGTACGTCACTAGGAGCATTACCTCGTCGAGACTCGCCTCCAGAAGGTGCCTTACAAGCAAATCGCTGTGCACCTTAATAAGACGGAGCTCGCATGTCGCCTGCACTACCATCAAATCACCACCGGTCGACGAAAGGAGTCCATATCGGAGTCCTCTCCTGAGATGGCCACCCCGGGCCTCCTTTCGACTGCTCCTCCGGTTCTCCCCCCGGCTTCCCAGCTGCCGAGTGAACACGTCTCGATGCACAGGAGAGCCGAGAGCTACAGCTCTTCATCATCTGGCAGCTCAGTCCAGCTCCCCAGCATCGTCGACAACTGGGCGTTCCCCACACTACCTATCATCTTGCCCAAGCCTGCGGCCATGCCTGATCCGACTTCACAGTCTGTACCCCGATACCGCGAGGACCTGGTCTATCTGGAGCTTCATCCTCAGGCCCCTCAACATCATCATGAAATGCATGGAGGTTTCTCTCTGCCGTCCACCGCGACGCAGCCACCTGCACGGGTTGACGTTTCTCGTCTCCATGCCATATATAACACTCACCGTGCTACTTTTTGGGATGCAGTGGCCAGAGATTACGGCCTGAACGCGTCGCCCGACATGTTGGAGACGGCGTGGAAGCTCAACCAACGATCACAGTCTGCTATGCCTCCCACACCCGCAACCAGTCCCAAAGCCGAGTTGAGGCGGGACAGCAACTCAGATAGGACGAGCATCGCGTCTATTCTGGGGACGAATGCTCCCGTTACTCCTCCTGGTCAGTGGTGAAGGCTAGAAATACATACCTTTTTTCTTTTGTAGACTTGCTTTATTAGGAAAATATGTTTGGTGTTGGGCTTTTTTTATTCCTTGGCGTAGGAATAGCGGATTTCGGTGTGGAACAGACCAAATTCTGCCCCTTTTGACTTTTTTCAAATACCCTTCTCTCTAGTTTGGAGATGATGGCTTTTAGCATACATTAGATTTGTTTAGTGGGCGTTCTGAAACGGGGCACATGTTTTGTCACTTTGCAGGATGTGCTCCATGTTTTTCTTCTTTCCCTTCTTTGGGGGTTCTGGTTTGCTTGGATGGTGAAACGAGGGAGAGTTTGAAGTGATGGTGATTTTGAGGAGGATATAATAGGGTCCATGTACCTGGCAGCGTACGACTGTCAATAGCGCATTGGGAAAGTTACCAATTGGTTATCAGCCTGAATTAAAAAAAAAAAATCAACTGACTCGAGCATCTCCATTGTGAAATAAAACCAAAAAACAGTAGAGTTATTCGTCTGATCAATGATAGATATTCTCCAATCGCTCTTGGCACCTCGTATAACCCCCATCGTCGGCAGAACAAGTACCCGTCCAATAAAATACCTACCGGCCTCGCAGAAGCTGCATACAGTCTCTAAGTACCGGCCGCCATTTGCGTACGTAAACACACGTGGGTGAGTAAAACCAGCGACGCTATTCGACGGCCGGAGGCTCCCCGCAAAAAAGGGTCCCTGAGGAGAATAAATTGGGATGGGCATATTAGGCTGAGTTTGAGTAGGGCAGAAATATAGACTGGGAATTTGGCAACGATGACGGAGGGGGTGCGGAGGTGGAGTGGAGCCGGGGAGCTGGAGATGGAGATGGGAGGGGAGAAAGAAGGAGAGTTGGATGGTATTTTGGTTTTCTGTTTTCTGTTTTTGGGATGTGTATAGCTGTAGGTCTGTGAGATTGATGAATCGAGAGTTGAATTGGTAAGTGGTTGAGTCTCTCTTTTGTCTCACTCTCTTGTGTACGTCCGTGATGCTCGTTACACCTTCACCACATACTGCCACCTCCGGCCACAGCCGTCTCTGGCCGCCTCAAACTTGAATGGAGATGAGGGGCAAACAAGCTTAGTCTGGGCCCTCCGGAATCGCTCCACGGCAGCCGGAGCTACTGGGGACACTCAATGATGCTAAGCATTGAGCTTCCTCGGTGGGGGAAGAAAATGAGCTGTTGCTTCGTCTCTTTGCTTCTCCCAAAAGCCTTTCGTATAAGAGCTAAGCTCCCGCATGTTCTTTTTTTTTCTTTTCTAGCGAAGCTCATACGAGAGTGTCATTAACTAAAAGCCACAGCAACAATTGAACAATGGCGTCACAAGCTTCAAGCAGCGCCGAGCCGGCATTCGATCCCAAGTCCTCCTCGGACTACCTCCAGTTCCCGTGTCTTCCTCCGGGGGGTGCGTTGAATCGCTGGTCGCGACGGATTACCAAGGACCATGACTTTCCTGGAGCACAGGTACGGGCAGATATATCTTTGAAATGAGGACGGCAAATCTCAGAGCGTGGACTGATGCGGCTGCAAAAAAAAAGGCCATGCTGTACGGCGCAGGTGTGCCGGATAAGGAGACGATGAAGACGGCGCCGCAGGTGGGCATTGCGAGTGTTTGGTGGGAGGGAAATCCATGCAAGTATGTTGCGAGAGGGCTCTTATAAAAAGATTCTTGATTCTGGTGGGCGTGAGAGCTAACTGGGCTGTATAGCACACATTGTAAGTGACGAGATGATCGATCGCACATTGGGCGTCGCCAAAGATGAAATAATCCAACTCATACGTAACCGCAGTGCTCGAATTCGGCCAAATCGTCAAGCGAGCTGTCGAAAAGCAGGGCATGCTCGGCTGGCAGTTCAACACCGTCGGTGTCTCTGACGCCATCACCATGGGCGGCGACGGTTAGTTCTCATCAACAAGCATAAAAGATGCGCATTCTAACACTTCCGCTTTACTCTCTCTCTCTTTAGGCATGCGATTCTCCCTTCAGACCCGTGAGATTATTGCCGACTCTATCGAATCTGTCACCTGTGCCCAGCACCACGATGCGAATATCTCGATTCCGGGATGTGATAAGAATATGCCCGGTGTCGTCATGGCTGCTGCGCGCCACAACAGGCCGTTCATCATGATCTATGGAGGAACCATTCGCAAGGGCCACTCCAACCTACTGGAGAGGCAGATCAACATCTCCAGCTGCTACGAGGCTTCCGGTGCCTACCACTACGGCTCCCTCAAGGCCAAGACCAACCCCGATGCCCCTGGACGCACCAGCTCGGACGTCATGGACGATATTGAGCGTCACGCTTGTCCTGGAGCTGGAGCCTGTGGCGGCATGTACACTGCCAACACCATGGCCACGGCCATTGAAGCCATGGGCCTGACCCTGCCCGGCTCATCCTCATATCCTGCCGTTTCGCCTGAGAAGTCGCGTGAGTGCGAGCGTGCCGCGGAAGTCATCAAGGTTACCATGGAGAAGGATATCCGCCCACGCGATCTCATGACCCGTGCTGCCTTTGAAAACGCCCTTGTGCTGACCATGATTCTGGGTGGCTCGACAAACGGCGTGCTGCACTTCCTGGCCATGGCAAACACGGCCGACGTGCCCCTGACCATCGACGACATCCAGCGCACCAGCGACCGCACACCTTTCTTGGCTGATATTGCACCTAGCGGAAAGTACCTCATGGAGGACTTGTACAAGGTTGGCGGTACTCCCTCAGTACTCAAGATGCTTATCGCAAAGGGCCTCATCGACGGATCCATCATGACCGTCACCGGCAAGACGCTCGCCGAGAACGTCGCCGACTGGCCTTCTCTCGACCCCGGCCAGCAAATCATCCGCCCCCTGGAAGACCCCATCAAGTCCAGCGGCCACATCCGCATTCTCAAGGGCAACTTTGCCCCTGGCGGCGCCGTCGCTAAAATCACCGGCAAGGAGGGCCTCTCGTTCACCGGAAAGGCCCGCGTCTTCAACAAAGAGCACGAGCTCGACGCTGCGCTGATTGCGGGCCAGATCCGCCGCGAGGACGGCAACCTGGTACTCATTGTGCGGTACGAAGGACCCAAGGGCGGACCGGGCATGCCGGAGCAGCTGCGGGCCTCGGCTATTATCATGGGTGCGGGATTGAGCAATGTTGCGCTCGTGACGGATGGTCGGTATAGCGGTGCTTCTCACGGATTCATCGTAGGCCACGTTGTTCCTGAAGCGGCGGTGGGAGGACCGATTGCGCTGGTCAAGGACGGAGACGAGGTGACGATTGACGCCGTCACCAACAGAATCGATGTTGCTATTTCAGACGAGGAGATGGAGGACAGAAGGAAGAAGTGGACACCGCCTGAGCTGCCGGTCAAGAGAGGAGTGTTGGCAAAGTATGCTCGACTGGTGGGAGATGCGAGCCACGGAGCTGTGACGGACGGATGGTGAAGATGCCATTTGTCGATTCTCTCATGATGGAATGAATACAATGATAAATCGTAATGGTGCACTCTGCCTTGATGTGATGTATGCTGAAGCAAGATGACGGCCATCTCTTGATGTTTCATGTGTTTGAGTGTTGAGTGTTGTAGGGAAAGGTATGTCATCATCTTCAAGCAGCATCATCACAGACTTGGATCTCTATATAACCACGTAATCTCCCGAAGAAACTGACCGTCAAATCGCCATTTGTCATCTGTTGTCGAGGCATCTGCATCGATAACCCTTCATTGAACAAGCTCTCGCAGCTTATTTTGACCCCTTGTGCTATTATGAATCAAGTCTCTCCATATCGCTCCCATCTCAATGCAAGGAGAAAAACCAATCTGGTCTTCGAACTCGTATATGACAAAAAGAGCAAAACAACAGGCAGAAAAATATTGAAAAAAAGAAATCAAGGGTATCGTGCCTCGACTGCTGCATTCTTGAAACCGCTCAATCACTCCGACATGAACCTTTGCATCGCTGCCCCCCCTCTCATTATCCTACATCATGCATGAACACGTATATACACTCGTTGCTCGTCTCCGTCTCCCAAACCACATCTATTAAGTTTAATCACCCAGCGGCATGCCCTCTAGAGCATCCAACAGGCGCCGCCAATTGTCGGCCAGCATCTCCGCATACTTGACGCGCTCGCCAGCCCAGTCCTGATTCCACCTGCTGACATGGTATTGCGTCGACTGGAAGGCGATGAGCTCGTCTCGCAGACATTCCTTGACAAAGATGGAGCGGTTGTGCTGCTGCACGATAGACTCCTTGTCCTGTTTCTCAAGCATTAGCATTCGGCTGTTAAATAAATGAGCATGAAAATCAACGCACCTTGATAATGGATTCTGCCACCTTTTCAATCTCACCCGGCTTGACCAGGCCCTCTGGCTTGGATCGCAGGTTGGCCAGCTTAGTCTCGTTGGCCTGTATTCTCCTCTCCAAGTATGGAATGTTGTCCTTGTCCAGTCGCTCCCTTCGGTCAAACAGCTCGCGAAGGCTAACCAGGGCATCACGCTGCCGCTTCAAATCCTCCAGCACACCCTCATCCCAGCCTCGGCTCTCGTCTTCGAGTAAGCTTTGGCAGGTCCGTAGATGCTTGCTCATGGCCGTCAAGCCGTCGTTGAGCAGCGGAATCTCGCTCGTGTCGGTAGCATAGGTATCCGCAGAGACTTCGGTGAGCGAAATGAGCGACAGAGCAACCCGCGCATGATCAGCGGCAACGCCCTCTGTTCGCTTGACGAGACGGTCCATGATGTTGCACGAGTTGATGTATAGCTCGGCAGATCGGCGAACTCCGTTGCGTGTACGAATAAAGAGGTCCTCAAGAGTTGGCGGCAGCGAATCTTCCAGGCCAGGGGGGAGTGCTCGATCCGTGAATTCATCTTGAACAGAGATAGTTGCTTGCTTCCGCCACACGGCAAGTTCCTGCATCTGTGTTAGAACACCTTCCCCCTCATTGTAGCGAAATGGTTATTGCATGACTTACTGTAGGGACAGTCAAGAACATAATGACTAGCTGCTCCAGGCTCAATACTGGGTGCCGTACAATGGCATTTAGGAACCTACCCAAACCTCGTCGTCTTTTTTCGATAAAGGCGCCGTCGTTGGATAGGTGGTTTCCATTCACGGCTACCCGTTTGGGCGGCAACAATGGCAGCATCCTGAACGGATACCTCTTGTGCAGGCAGTCTAACAGCCAGACAAAGTCGCTATACCGTCGAACAACCTTGCTCCCACGCCTCTGGCTAGTAACTTCATAGTTGTGGTGCTGGAACATGAATATACCCTCCTTGCCGGGCATTAGAGTGACAACGACGATTTCCTCCGCGCTGTTTCCGACGCGGCCGCCCAAGCTCCGGGACGGAGCAGCAGCGGGAGGCGGGGCGATAACTCCAATCTGACCAGCGCCGTCCGCTCCAAAGATGTTGGGGATGGGCGCCTGAGGTTGCGGTTGGGCTACATCGGTGAAGCCGCCCCCAGCGGGCGAGCTGCCGTAGAATCCAGCTCCCCATCCACCTTGACCGGACAAAGAGCTGCTCGAGATTTGTCGTGGACGATTTGAAGGGCGAATTGGCTCTGGCGGAGCACTGTAATGGTTCGTGGGGCGCGGCTCAAACGATGGAGGAACATCCTGGTTGAAGCCGTGGTTGTGTCCATTGATGGGGGGATCGTGATGCTCCGGTCCGTTTTGGTGAGCATGAGCATGGCCCTTGTGCATATCCGGCGTGTTCCACGGATCGTCGTCGGGGTCAACCATGGTCGATCTGCTTAGGATGCTTGCAGGGGGCTGTGAATGCTCAGGCTCAGGCTGAGGTTCTGGGTAAAGCTGAGGCTGTGGCTGGGGTTGAGGCTCGGGGTTGTAGTGCTCGGGCTCGGGCTCATGCTTGGACGGGACCTGAGGCGGTTTTGCGGCAAGCTCAGCAAGAGGAGGCATAATCGGTTCGGCGGTCAGTCCAGGCAGCTTGGGTCGAGGGATGTCTAAACGAGATGATGAAACATTAGACAGCTGCTCCAGCACCAAGAATTAAAAACCCGTTTCAAGGAAACAGGGTCATTGTAGATTTGCATCGAATCAGATGGCGACAACTAATTGGTCCCTTCTTCGCTTGAAGCGTGATTGCGACTGATTCAGAGCCGGGAGCGAAGTCGAGAAAGCGCACGTATCGGAACAGTCCAGTCGACATACGGTGCATTCGCGTCTCACTCGACGGCCCCCAACCAGGTAGAGAAAAGACCAAATGGGAAATGCGTATCAATAGGTGTTGACTCACTTTTTCGCCGCTCATCCACTCCGTCAAGGCTGATGATGTCGCCTTCTTGCGCCAAGCCAATGAGAGCTAGAACCACGTTGAACTCGTTGCGCGACAACGAAACGTCGGATCCTCCTGGAGCCACGAGCGACATGATGCGCGCCTGGGAATCGGCGTCGAGCCGGGCCACAGCAAACAGCTTGGCAATGCCTGAAGCTGTGACCTGGCCGTCGTGGCCGTCCTCGCGCACCACGGCATCGAATGTCTCGATATAGCTCTCGGGCACGTCCGAGGCCGGCAGCAGGTTGCGGATCAGCTCGGCTCGGCTCTGCTGCTTGCGCGGCGTGGGCATGTCCCAGGGCGACGAGGCGCCGCTGCCGTCGTCAAAGAGGCTGGACGAATTGCGGCCGGACGCTGGCTCGTCGTCGAAAAGACCGCTTGATCTGGCTCCTCCGCGACGAGGCGACGAGCCCAAAGCTGGCCCATTGTCGGTGGGCTCATCCCCAAAGAGTGACATGCTGCGGTGGCCGGGAGCCGGTTATCGACTCGCTGGATCTCTTGCTCGACACGTGATGAAGCAGGACAAGAGAAACACGACGCAGAGACGACGAGAGAGAGGCGAGAATCGGTTGTGGCCGCGGGGTTGATGCGAAGAGTCTGGAGGAGGCGAGGTTGGTTGTCAGTCGCAGTATCAAGTCGGCCTAGCGGTTGTCGAACTCGTAATGGCGGCGCTAGGAGGCTGGAGCTAAGGCAGTCACTGTGCGCTCAGCGGCGATTCCTGTTGGCTAGGCGCTGAATAGCCTGTAAGACACTTGGCATTGGGGGGTTGCTGTAGATGGAATGGATTAGGTAGAAAATGATAGATTGGCCGTCGATGATGAGAATAAATCAGGCAAAAATTAAAGAATAATAAGAGAAGAAAGGAAGAAGGATAGAAGCAATTACTGCTGTAGGACAGGCGGGCGAGACGGTGAGACGCTGAGCTTGACTAGCACATGTCAGAGACTCCCTGATTACATGCATGGAGGCGATGACACCGTTATTGTCAGTGCTTTGCCGGGCGTTGGTGGAGCAGATAAGCGACGGCGATAATAGTGCTATATCTGGGGATAAAAAAAATGCAAGTTTTGGCATTAGACGTTGGAATTTCTGTTCATAGCAAGGTGACAAGACAAGAACATGGCCAATGTCTATGGTCTGTATCAGTGTAGGTTATTTAGGGATTCTAATTGCACCTAGTTGATGAATATTGATACTTTGAATCATCATATATTGTACATTTCATATTCCATCATCCTCTGTCCAACTTCTTTTTTTTTATACACGCCGCCCCATCTATGCACCACATCATGACATGCCATCCCCTTACCACAGCGTCTCCTCCGCCTTCTTCTTGTCCGTCTTCACCACGCTCTTCACCTTCTGCACACCAGGCACCTTAAAGTACAAACTGGGCGACTGGCCTGGAGCGATCTGGTGGCTCAGGTATCCTCTATGCGCTGGGTCTCGGTAGTACTCGATGTCGGCACGGCTCGTAGGGTCGGGCAGTCTGTATCGGAATGGGCCTTTTCTCGCCTCTGCTAGGATTGCCTCTACGTGCTCTGGGCCGACGGGTAGGGGCTTGTCTGTATTGACTGACTCGCCTGTCAAGAGTCGCTGAATGGCCAGTTTCGTGTAGTATCTGGTGAGGACCTTGCCTCCGGCGGCTTCGATGGCGGTGATTGCTCCTGCTGAGACCCTTGAAACCATGACGTTGATGGGCTGCTTGAGGCTCTCGCCACCTCTAGAGAGGATCTTTACGCCATCCTTGACGCTGCCAATCAGCTTGCTTTCGATCAGCTCCTTTGGCGTGATTTGTTTCGTGGGGTCGAGTCGGCCTTGGTCGATCCAGTTCTGGATCTGGTCCAGGTTCACTTCGGAGATCTTAGGGGCTCGGCTGATAGTAGTTAGCATTGCTTTGCATCTCGACATGCGGCGGGGTGCAGAAACAGCTGCCCCGCCATCTTCCAGCGACTCACAAGTTGTCGAAGCCCTTTCTGCCGTGCTTCACAATCAACGGCGTCTGACCACCCTGGAACCAGGGCTTCACCTTGCCGTGCTGTCCCTGACCCTTGTGACCTCGTCCGGAAGTCTTTCCATGGCCTGAAGAGGGACCGCGACCAACTCTCTTCTTCTTCTGCACAGCGCCGGGGTTGTTGGCCAAGCTGCCTAGGATCGAGGCATTGCGGGCTTGCTGGAGGGTGAGCCGGGCGAGACAGGCGGTCAATGAGGTCGCGGGAGTGCTGAGAGCCGCTCTGCAGCACAGCGAAGCGCTGGAAAACGGTATTCGGGGAGGCATCGTGGGATAATTGGCCGTTTTTGTCGCAATGCGGGTGGTCTCGATGATCTGGAAGTTTTTGGACTGGCACAATTCCATGGTGTTGCCTGAGGCCTAAATCGGAGCTAGCGTGGCGGTACGTACCCGCTTCTGCATCTTGGAAGCAGACTCGTGCCTCATGAAGATGATAGAATGAAAGGCTGAGGTCTAATTAAAATAGAAGAAAATAATAAAGGAGATGAAGCAAGTAATAAAAATAAGACATTTTAAAGTCTGATCATGCAATTTTCTTTCCTTTTTTTTTTTTTTTTTTTTGACTAATAGTATCATGGTTTCTCGCAGCAATCTCTTCGTGCAACATGCTATATTGAACTTGATAGATGAACATGCGACACTAATTGAAGTCATTCATCTTCATTATCTAATGCGTCCTTCCGGTAAAAAATTAATGATGAGTGATTGAAATTCCCTTGAAACCTACTGTAAATTAACAAATTGGCTTTTAATAAATTACACGCTCATGGAGCCCATCGTGAGCTAAAGGGCAGCTTTACGACTTCAAGATTGTACTAGGAATAAAAAGAAAGGTGATGAGAAACTCATGCACCAAATGAACACATTGGAATACATGTGACGAGTCAGTTGTATCATAAAATAAACCTCATAAATAGTTGAGATAATTTAGATATTTGGTACAACATACGGAATCCCGGGCTCCATGTTATTTCGAGAAGAGGCTGTATCTACCGGGTAACTACCTGTATTATTACACTATCACCAAATACGCAATCATGAGACCTGATTTACATGTCCTGGGCAACGTTGATATGTGCACTCCCCGTCACGGTCTTGATGTGGTTCAACTTTGATCAGTTTAATTGTAATGGAATATCTTATATAATATCGTTAACTCGACTGAGTTGAACCGAGTTACCTGGACACAGCCGCGCAGACGAGGAATGTGTTGATCCTTTTGACTGCCTCAGCTCTGAACTGACATCCATCAATATGCTTATATTGGGAAATGATGACGTTCCATTGATTGAACTTATCAGTGATGGACCTTCGGTGGCGCATGAACTGGCCTCAAGGCAATGGGAGACTGCTACGCTTCCACAGAAGGCAGTGTCTGGTTCGGGAATATATATCTTGAATGACTTGTATTCTGATGGTCTATAGGCATATTTAAAATCATTGTATGAACCGTTTGTCCCCATATATCCTGGAAAATAAGTACAAAGTATATAATTACATTAGAGATTCTTAGCTCTCTTATCTTTTCTTTATTGCACTGCCTGCAGTGCCTTTCGTGTTCTGGATCCTTTTGCTCTCCGAGCTATACGTGGTAAGACTGGCAGCCATGCCTTGTGGTTAAGAGCTTCTATCGCACTTGGGCGATTGCAAGGATCCCAGGCCAGCATTTCCTGTAAAAGGTCATATAGCGGCTCTGGTATACGGCCCTTGTCCTTGCGAGACTTTAAAGTCGTCTGGAGATGTTTATAGGAGTGTCGTGAGACCGCAAGGTCGGGCGGTGGTCTTAAACAGGTAAAGAGCCATGAAATAGCAAGTCCCCAGATGTCAAGTTTTGTTTCATCTAATTCCCGGTACTTGTCTAACCAGACCTCTGGTGCAACCCAAATGCTTGCGTCGTATGTCTCTGACCGTTGCATGGATAGAGATATAAAAGCCCGTTGCTCACATACCAGTAACGCTTGCGGCTGAATATTTCCGTGAACAATTCCTCTGCCATGGAGCTCGGCCAATCCGCACAAAGTATGGTATAAATACTTGAGATGAGTGTTAGTATCTAGCTTTCTCCAACGCTTGTGGAGAAAATTTTGCTCAGCTAGAGGCATGGAAAAATATGTATTTCGGCAATGGGTGACTGCACTACTCGGCTTCAACACGCATGGAGGAGATATCCAGTGCTCGCACCAAACGTCGATTATGCCAAGGATACCGTTATCTGGTTTGTCCCTGTACCGAGAAGCAAGCTTAATCTGATCAATCATGTATCTTCTGCCTCGGATTTTATTGTGCAGTGTCTTTACTGCGACTGGCTGCCCCGTGTAAATGTGAACTCCAGACTGCAGTGATGATGAATTTGGTATTTTACGATGCAGCCATACGTTCCAGAGTGTTTCCGGATCTGTGCTAGGAATGAAGCTGAAGAGCTTATGGTGGCGGTGATGAAGAGATCGGTCGATTGTTTTGCTGAATCTGCCTCGATCTTGATGGCTGACGGTGTATTCGAGAAGGAAGCGATATGGACCAAATTGAAGGTAGTTTTTTCTTCGCCGCAGAACGCAAGACTTGGCCTTGCTGTCTGGCCCCCCACATATTTCCACATCCTGATCGTTCATGTCACCTTGCTCGTAGATGATGGGTTTGGTAGACCGTGATCTGAGGACCAGGGCTCCTGACTGCGGGTGAAGAAAAATAACGGCATAAATGTGCTTGATGTACGCACGGACAGCTTTGGAGCTGGGCGTTTGCGATGCGTCTTGCGGGCAGAGAAGAATCTCGGGGACAAAAATATCTCCCATCTTGGCGATGGCTGGCGACGGGCCGGCACCAATCCTCCATTTGAAGCAAACTTCGTCCTGGTGCGAGCTGTGAGAAGGGATGGATATGCGATAGCCAATTGTCTCCTCACCGCTTTGCAGGGTCGGTGGTGATGATTTGGACTGGATTTCCGATAGAAGATGAATGGCGGCTGGATTCGCTGCAGAGAGGACAAAATAGTTCATATCGCGTGCTAGAGGGCTCGATATTGATGTCATAGTCAGGCTTCAGTGCTGCAAATAGCATGAAAATCACCAAGTGAGACGCACCGTATAATACGAGATAGATTCAAGGATGAGATGGTGCCGCCAAGGGACGTGGACGTGTTCAGGTATATAAGGAAATGACCCCACGGAGTATAAAGTGCAATTATCCATTTTGAATAAACCCAATTTGGGGTTTTAATAAGCTTGAGAAGTGATTTGTGAATAATTAGAAGATCGTTGCCGTGAGGTTGCACCACGTATAAAGTAGTGGAGAATGCTCCATTCAGTCAGCGACGTGTGCTGTCGGCTCCATCACGTCAATGACTTTAATGAATGCCTTAAATCCAAGCCAACGACACCTTCGATTGCATCTACATCCATGGTACAAATAACAACAATGATAATATAGATGCGGCTTTGCCGAGGAATAGAGTCAAGCCGCGTCGGCTCCTCCAGGTACCTGTATTTAACTCTCAAACGGCAGACCAAGTCGACAGCGGCCTTTCACCGACGGCATCGGCACATGCATCAGCGGGAAAACCTCCTTTGGAGCACGAAAAGTGTGAGAGAAGCGAAGATTTCTCTTAAGCGATGGAGACGAAATGAGTCGTGAGACAGAGCCCAAGCAATTCCATCGTGTCTTTGGGCAATTTGCAGCCGCGCCTCGACTCTGAATCTCAGAGTGAAGGGGAGGAAGATTAAGATGAATTAGATGAAGAATAGAAAGAGTACATGTATTTGAGACGCTTTGAGAAAACGGCCAGGGATGCCATCAATGACCGGGACTCAAGATGTGGAATTCCATCCAGCCAGGGAGACGAATCGGAATTCGCCGGGAACTGCTACTACACGTACGAGTACATGTATGATCGCCAACAAACCCCCTGTTGATGCGCCGGGATGACGGCGACGATGAGTTGGCGCCTCAAGCGTGGGGTAGCGGTATTTCGGGTTCTATCCATAACGGGGTTGCGGTACTGGCGCGGAGGTTGCAGCCATCAATCCATCAATTACAGGCAAGGTACGTTGGGCTCAGCAGGCGCTGTAACTGCAGTGGGCTTGGGCGTGCTGCCATCAGGATTCTAGCACTTCCTCCACGTGCTGTTTGTCTGTTTGACATGCCTCTTGCTGCTGATTCTCGTGCCTACATGTACATTACCTATGTACATTACCAATGTACAAAGTTCCCCTTATATACCAGCGTATACGGAGTACTCGTGACTTCAATTTGATGCTCTTCCAAGTATTCTCTGGCATCCACAGCCCTGCGTGGCTGTATCCTCGGCCGAGGACATAACACTAGTCGCTTGATCACCCGCGGCTTTAAGATATGGAAGATCTCGAATGAATTCTCCCTTGCGTCTGTTGAACTGTTGAATACTAGGTAGTAATAGCCCTACCATTCCCACATCCGCCGTTCATGTACTAGGCTACAGTATTACATCTCGACAAGCATCTCTACGCCTTCTCATCCCGGTCTGACGGAAAAGGAGCCCTCGCTAAAAACCAGGGCCAAGTAGGAAACGCAAAGCCATGGGTGATAAGCGCTAATCACGGAAAACAAATCTACTACACGGGCTGTATGTGACATTTAGCCGCCATAAAATCAATGTCTTCGAAAATAGGCCCAAGGTTACACTAGCAACTCATCCTATTGGCTGCACGTCTTATCCGTATTTTTCCCGCAGCACGTACTATGTCCCTTGGTTGGTTTAAGGTCGTAACTATATTAGCTGTACTTCTTATCTGGGATTGCCAGTAATTCATCTGTTGGTACCTATATATCACTGGTTTAGTTGTCACGTAATACATCGGCAATTGACACTAAAGATAATTGAAGACTTTGGTAATGACTGTCTATTTAAAATATCTAAACGACTGAGAGAAGTGAATATGACTAGATTATTGCAAGATCCTGATAGTCCAGATTTGAATTATTGGATTATATCAATAATCTAATAATTCGCTTCTGATTAGTCCGGTCCCCCTTTAATCCGCAGTTGTTATTTCCATAGTAGTCGGCTCGTAACAATTTGTTGTAGTGTCCGAGTTCGTTCACCAGCGCTGGCAGCACCACTTAATCGGTTCATACAGGAAAGGACCGGTAGCACAGGACTGATCAACTCTATAACAGTTGTGGAAGTTGCCACCCTTAGTCCATACGAAGCCAGGCGTGCCGTCGGAACCACACTGGTTGACTCCATTGCCCGTGCCGTAAGCTTCGCCAGCGCTGCAAGGGTCGCCTTTGAATTGCTTGTCGCTGAGACCAATATCACCACAGTTGTTGGCAGCAATAACCCAATGGTCGCTGACCAAAACATTGTTTGTGCCTTGCCATTGGTAGGTTTGCTTGCGGCCGATGCCAACCTCGCCCGAGTTGCAGATGGCGTTGGCACCCTGGAGGTAGCCCAGTGAAAGGAGAGCAATAGCTGCTGAGACCTTCATGTTGACTGAGAGGTGGTGATTGAGTTGTTTGACTTAGAAGATGAGATGAAATTTGGAGTTAGGAAATTGGCAAAAGTGCAATTGGAGGTTGTTCTGTTGTTGCGAGGGCTAGATTGCTTGATGCACTTTTTACTTCCTTCATCTGGTGAGGATTTCGCCTTCTTATATATTTTCTTTTGCTACATACATGTATCGTCCGTCCCTATCATCAACACCGTCGTCTCACCTTCTGAATACAGATAGTTCATCAACTTCCTGGAATTCTTCCAAAAGTTCTAGATCCTCTACCCCAACAATAAACTGAACTAAAACTTTTGCAGTTTGTATCTGGAGGACGCAACACGGCAGGAGAACCTTCCTTGACCCATGCAATCCGTCGGATCATATGTCAATGTGTGTCAGGTGAGCAATTTTACTTACATAAAATAAAATTTCGCTTTCAGGCAACCACATATTCGACAACTATCAACAAGACTCTGTATTTTTCGTGATGCTCTGCCAAGACTCAGTTGTGTTTACAAACTAGGCTACAGGTATACTATTATTAATTTCCGTGGCCACTATTGGATAGTTTCAACACTAAAATCATCCCACGAATAACTTTCGATGGGGTTTTACCAAAGCAGGTATGTGAAATATTATCCACCATAGAGAACTATATGCCAAGAAATCTAGATGGAGCGGAGCTGCTTCCAATGTAAGCATTAAGAAACTTTAGTCTTAGCATTCATGTGCTGACACCACATCACCTCATTTGCAATACATCAGGGGTGGCTTTTGCTAACTGCTCTTAGTTGGGATGTTCCCAATCCGGAATATCCGTAGAATTTTACGCGAAGGCGGAGTATAGTAATTGATAGTCGCGAAGCGAAGGCTTAGGCAAGGATGTGTTCGGCTAGGATGCCAGAACATAGTTTATTATCATGATAGGATACGTAATCCTATGGCATTATTAATAAGATAACTCTATAATTAAACTTTTGAATTATACTTAATGGTTTAGTTGCAAGAAAATGCGACGTTCCGGGCTGGTTTATGTTGATAGGTAGGTCGGAGCAGGTAACCAAGAATATGTCACCATATTATAGAACAAGCAGTCCAAATGAACACCATTAACAACTGTTTGACCAAGCCATCTTATAAGTGCATATATTTGCATCTTGTATATAGAGCTGTTATAGTCGTCTACCTAAGTTCGAGTGAGCATAATTTGGACATCCAGTGATACTTCACTTGGTGTTTGCCTTTATCCGGGTGGACATCAATGGACCTTCTCTGATTAGTGATATGGCCTATGCATCTAGTGTGGGTACTTATATATCGTTATCTGTAGTCGTCGCGACCGTAAGGATTCGGTTGTGATAGAAAGAGTCTTGAACCCCTGTGCAAGCCACAACCTCAAATTACAAACCCACCGCTTACGGCCTAGTATCGCTAAATTCTCCAGGTTTAGATCAATAGCTAGCGTATGCGAGGTCGCTAGTTTTGCGGAACGATTCGGGTTAAGTTTACGCAGTAATATTGTCCTTTACTTCCTCCTAGCAGCTCTATCTGCAATATGATCAGTAATCTCTAACATGGTCTTCGCTGGGCTACCATGGGTTAATCAACATCGAAGAAGCGTGATGTATTGGGAGAATTTGGCCATGATGTGGTTCTTATCGGGCCGTTTGCGCATTTTTGATATATTTTATCTCGTAACAATTGGACTTAACGTGCGCGACGGTGACGGAGTTTTGGTTTGCTACGAGCCCCGTAGAGGCTTGCCAACAAGAGAAAACAAGATACATACAGACCATCATCGAAAGAAAAGCCAATGCCAGTTATGAATCTATATTGGGGAAAGATTGTGCTTAAAATTAAAAGCGGGATTGTGTAAAAAGCAATTATTTAGTACCTACGGAGAAAACATAAATCAGGAGGAAGCTTTTGATGCTATTAATAAGTCATCTATCTGAGTCAGTGAGTTGTAAGCAAGCCGCTTATAGAACAACATATCGTCGAAATAAACAATTCCTGGAAGATCCTAGTTACATATAAAATTATTATGTATATAAATGGGAGCTCTGGACCGACGACAAACTATTCTGGCCGCAACTCCTTGGCTTGTTGTGCATCCATCAAGGCGTCGACGATCAAATATGCCGTTGTTACTTGTTCATCTTGGAGAATGCTGCGAGAAATGTTCGCTAGACTGTATCACGCGATGGCTCCGTCGAATATTTCCTTGCCAACAGCTTCATATTTTTCTCTCATGTGGGAAATATGAGACGGCTGTTGGTCAGCAAGCAGCTGTATGAGGCCTCGTAGAAAGGCCAGATGGCTGTTGATTATCGGGATGGTGACTTGGCAGAAAACAAAAGAGATGGTGCTTGAGTGTGCCGCATGCACTTTAATTTCATTTGACTATGCTGCACAGAAGCATCGTCTTTGGGCCGCCCTTTATCCAGAGCAGCCATTTATCGTCGGCATGAAGCCAAATTTTGAACTCCCAATTATGGAGAATCTAGCGGTATGAGTCTTGAAATAAGCCTCCTTTAGTGGATTCAATTCTGCTCTTGTCCATCCGGGGATCTGTGTTGCACAAATCTCTCAGGCATTTCTTGTCGTCATCTGTTTTTAAGTATTCCTGTCCATAGTTCGCACGGTTTACGAGCTGCTTCACATCTTGTCCTACATGCTCGTTGAAGAAGGCTTTGGCGTCTTGAACTGCCTCGAGGCTCCCCTTCCAATCATCAGGCTTGATGAGATCGCCCAGAAAAATAAGTGATCGATGATAACACGAGTATATGCTCTTGTATTCAAACAAAAGTAGTTTCTTACACAAATCGACAAATTTGGCCTGTAGCTGCCGTTGGATTCTGGCGAAGGTACCACTAACCTTGTCGCTGAAGAGAATCGTAGCTAATTCAGAATACTAATCCCTTCGTTTTACTACATGACTAAATCCCTTGAAATTGTATTTGATTGCTGATCTAGGGCTTGTGAAAATTTGAAAGGAGACCAGTTGGCGGACATTGCCAAACGACAGAGTACAGTATTATTTCAAGTGACAGGCAAACGACGGCCCATTGAATTGCAAAGTGCAAATTGTGGCACATCATTGACTAATTTAGTGAAGATACTTTGTGCGAGATTGACCGTTTGCAAAACCGGGCCTATGACTAATTTTACCATTGCGTCTTGAAACTCTTGTCCAAACCGCCCTTGATAAGCTGATGCATTTGGAATCTTCTGTGTTCTTCATCGTGCTGGTTGATGATACATGTACTCTCCTCGGGCGTGATCTTGGCAGTGGAGTTCATTTACTGTTTATAGCTGACTGGATAAAATTCTCTCATATGCTTGTACCAGTGAAGTATCCTCCGCCTTCAATTCATCGTATGACAGATCTCATATGATGGAAGGTACCTGTAGCAATTTATCCTTTTGGACATCAATAGTTCGCGCCCTATCTAGAGGGTCTACGATGGAAGTTTGAGAATACCTCTTGTGCGAGTGTCGGTTGGTGATTGTCAAGATAGGCGAGGAGCGAGAACTTTGAAGAGTCTCTACAGTAGCATGGGACTTTTTCAGAAAATCTGGCACCGATAATATAGCACTTGTGTCGGGTATGTTGGCTCGCACATACTGAAAACTTGGCAGAGAACTGTCTCCCAATGACGGGCTTCGGGGCCTGTCGCAATGACGATGAAACTTTTTTTGGGTTTGGAAGAAATCTGTTTAAGGAGCATTATGAGTCTCCTTGTTTGAAGTTATATACGAGAGAATCAGATATATTGGATATTAGTCTTTAAAGATGATTGTGATCTAACTGTTTCTTGATGCTACTAAGTATATGTAGGAGGTTAACCTTACCCAAGGCCTTGATTTCGATTTGTTGCGTAGTAGAACTATATGATTTCTTCAAACCACGTAGGGTTTCTGGTAGTTAATTGGTCTGAGTGGCATCCGGTCCGAAGCGGCCAAATCGATCTATTTCTACTGCAAGGGTATTGGGCCTCCGACCAGATTAAAATTGCTGTGAAGGGAATGTTAGCCCACTTGGTGAGTGTTTCGCAGCCACTTTTACAGCGTTTTCAACATTAGTCGAGACTTGCCTAGAGCGGCTAATCGATTGGCTCTACACTGTACCAGCAAGACTGACATTGGTCAAGTAGTAAGATTGTGGGAGCTCATCAGCACGGGCAACCGGATGGATATCATTTTATATTTTGCCTCTCTTTCCTGCTTACGAGATTAATTGACTATATACTGCAGGTAATTAAAGTCTATGGTTCGTAGACAATACGAATATAACCCATCTCTGTGGCGATTACATGCTTCTTCTCACGGTGAGGCTCACGAATAAGCTGTCTTTAATTGTAGCGGGTTACATCTTTTCTCGCCAACCGGACTATTTGTTAGTGAAGTGAATCGAAATAAAATTGATAAGTGTTCACGAGTTTCTGTTAGGTGGGGATACCAAAGATTAAATCATGGTAATAGTGTAACGACTTGGCTTTACCGATGAAAGTATTTCCAAAACGCAAACTTTAGAATACACATGAAATGCAAGACAAATCAATTCAAAAGCCTTTTTAAAGAGCTGAGATCCCATCATTGCATCATATTTTCCTGTTCGGCTGCCTAATTGTTGTGCAATGCCCGACCTTTATCGCTTGGTGCATTGTTGAAGTCGTGGTGACACTTTTTACATTGATTGGCTCATCTTCTCTGGTATTGTCATCGCTCTTATTAAACTTCTTCAAGAGGGCATATGTTAAGACTTTATGGGAGCGCATTTATGGAAATAACTTTCAACAGTCTCTGTGCTCATAGAATCTCTCTTTTATAAGTATTGGCCAGGCGATAGTGAAGGAGGGCTAGTAAATTTAGCCCAGTGGCAATAGCTATTGCAACGTCGCTCATTCAGTTGACTCCAAGAATGTGACTGTCCCTGCAGCAATATTCTTACTATATAGCTTTCATATATAGATAGTGTTCATTATTTGATCCTCCATGCCGTATTCACCAAGCTGTGACGGTGATTGTGATCCTCAGGCTAGCTGGGTGGCTTTGTGGCATTTATTGTCTGAGGCTCCGTCGGCGCTCCAATTTTTGGACTTCTTGCTGGATCGACTTAAATGTTGAGAGAATGCCTTTTTATTCGCGCGTACTCGGGAACTATGCGTTATATGCACTATTTGTATCAGAAATGGGCATCGTTGAAAGTTCTTAGTTCTTTATTTTGGCAATTTCTTTTCACCATCGAATGAAGATTTGAGAAGTTTTTGTTTACTCTATTGTGGAAAAAAAAAAAAAAAAAAGCGGCAATCCAAACAAAGAAGAACGAAGGAGTGGTTGACCACATGGCTTCAAAATTTGACTATCGCCGATTACTTGATGTCAGGAGTCACGGCACAAAGAGAAGAGTGATGAGGTCAAAGAGGTTAAAACACAGCGAGCCTACAGAGACATCACAGCTGTTGGTAGACAATAAAGACTGTACTTATCTCTGACCTCCTTTGAACACAAGGGAAAACACTTCCTTTTTATCGCTGGGTTCACGCTACAATTATCTAATTTGAACTTTGTTGCGTCTTTGCTGCTAGAAAGCTCTTTGATCTCTGACACTTGACTTTTATGATTCACTGCTTATACTTCAGTGCGGATTACACATCTGAACTTTTGTAATGCCTTGTGTTCAAGTATTCTTCTATCCTTATTACCAACTATAAATTGACCCTGAAACGAGTAAAACCGTATCAAAATGGCATACGATTTTACTTGTTTCTTATCCCTGTTTGGTTTTTCTTCAGTGATTTACTGTCTGGCCTTGAGAAGTGCAAGTAATAGGTTCGATTTACTGTTTGATTTGTATCGAAGATCAAACTGCTGCCTAGTCTCGGTTGTACATATTCCCTTGTGTATATAATCTGGTTATAACTTATACAAGACCACGAAATTTACGTAGAAGTCATCCCTACTCAACAAATGGAGAGCGTTAAACTCTTCAACCCGAAAAACACGGCTGTCTATCTTGACCCTGACTCGGTGACATTCCTGCAGTAGGCGGTGACTTGGTTACGCGCAGCGGGAGCACGATCATCATTTGGGCAGTTATTGTAACAGCTATAATTTTCATCAATTAGCGGTGATGCAGCTATAGTATCCATAGTAGTTGTTTACGTCGCGATTGCCTCGTAAGCGGCACACAGGCAGTCATAGTCAGTGGAGCTACAAGCAGTAGCCTGCGTGGATTTTGTTAGTTAATTAACATTGCATTTCACTGATGAAACCTAACACTCACCTTATCCGTCTCCGTTTTCAGACATCTGGTGACAATGTATTCGGCTTCGCAGTTAGAATCTTGGGCGGAAACACCTGCCAAGGAACAAAGAGCCAGGACAGCAATAGCTTTCATTTTAGAAGCTAAGATGAACGAAGGATGTATTTAGAGAGTACAGAAGCGAAAAGCCACTGGAAATACACAGTGTTTTATACCCTTTCTTTTTCTTTTTCTTTTTTTTTTTTTGACGATGAGTTGCTAGAATTTCCTAGACACTAGTGATGCCGAGTTCCGAGACCTGTTTCTCGTATATTTGCCTGCCCAATTACCTTGGCGTGCAGTTACATTACATGTCTGAGTCTCATTTCGTCTCACTTACCACTAGTGTTTCTTCAGCTAGATAGACAAGACGATCTGCACTGGGGCCTGTGGATGATGGATAGATACACGTAAGAGAAGCTATCATGTGGCAGAGATTGTGCTAATGGAAGGGCTATCTTGAGGCAAAGACATGGCTCGGCAGAACGTTTGGGTAGGCACTATTACATAAATTGATAATTGCTTCTATCAGTTTCCACCTGCCAACTGTCTATAAAGCTCACGAATCATGGGAATTCTCAAGAATGTACTCTCTAATCCGACTCACAAATTGAATAGTAGAGCCTGGCAATACCCCTTTGCAGTTAACAATTAAACATTGACGATCTGGGCACGATGCATCTGATTTGACATCATAACCATAGTCAATGGTAATCTGTCTAGATCGACAATCAAGTTTTATTGGCCGCTTGTTGATGAAGCCGAAGCGGTAGAACTTTGGAGTTTCGCCGATACGCTTTTAGTCCTTGAAATGCTAACTAATATCTAGCGACAGCCAGTTTGGCTTTTACTTGGCCCCAAGATGGAAGCCACATTCAGGGCTGCTGGCGATAATAACATATGCGCTGCGATCCCTACCACTTATTACAGATCGTAATATGGCGGTGATGACCAGTAATAACACAGCGGCCCGTGATTAGCCTTCCATATATAATAAGATCTACTTAGTTTGACTGAATTAGGTTAAATGTCTTGGAGGAATATCTATATGTTTTTGATTCTGTTTAAGACTAGGCTCCAAAAACCCTGGGTGCTGGGGGCTGGCTCTTAATTATGGTAGGCCAATTAATTTGCCAGAAATAGGTTGTACGGATTAATACGGATTATAGTCATGACTTATCAAAGGGCTGCTCATCTACTGTCGTTGAATACTCGGATTAATCACTAGAAATCTGAACCTATGGAACCCATGACAAAGACTTCTCTCAAAACAGTTCCATTCCCCCAACTGTATCACTTTAGAATCATCGTAATTACTTGTGATCCAGTCGCTTCAACTCTAGTATCCGAGCTTTGTCAAGCCTTTTTCATTCTGTCCGAGGCTTGTTTCAATCGATCTAGTTGGTCAGCCTCGAAAGCTTTTGTTGGTGCATAAAAATTAGAAGGTAACATACAATTTAGCAGCTGGTGCCGAGAGAGCCGCCAACGGAGCAGCCAACAGGGCCGCAGCTCCAGACGTAGCAAGTACCGCTGATGCAGATATCACCAGCTGGGCAGCCACGCTTGGCGAGAGTTGGCTCTTCAACTGGAGCGGGAGCGGGTGCGGCAAAGGCAGCAGCAACGAGGGCAAGGAGGACAGCGGCGGTCTTCATTTTGATGGGATGGACTTGAATTGCTGGAGAGATGATTGATCTTGGCTTGTTACTTAATGAGATGTGAAGGAAGGCTGATGTGATTGAGACGGTTTAGAATACGACCTTGGACCTTATATTTATACTTTTCATTTGCTCAGAAATGGAATCTTCGGCTTAGTTTCGTCTTGATATAGTTATATGCACACTTCCAAAATTGTATGCTCACCCATGCAAGTGAATATTAAAAGACGTCATACCGCAAAATGAAAATGCACATATAGTGATGAAATAAACACACCCTTGTATCAGGTGAGTTGTGAGTCCCGCGGTGCGCGTAATAGCATGATTGTATGCTGAGCATTTGATCAGTCTGTGTACTGTGATCACTGCTTGCCACACCCCTTGTAGAGTATGCAAGTGGTTTTAGGCTTATTCAAGGATCCCCTGTATTTTTGATGTATTCTATAGAGGCCATGTTTAAAGCCGGGTAAATATTACCGCAAATAGTAATGTCCAATGAAGACAGTATTCGATTAGGGATACCTGTGTTCAGGCGATATTCCGCGTCTGATGTGTTGGTATGTATACCCAAACCATCTTCCATGAAGATAACTTTTGGGGAAACAGCAGGCCAGATGGAGTTAAAAGACATTCCCATAACTGCTGCAGGCATAAACTCTCAATGGAAGGAGTCTGATGTGAACAACACCGACAAGTTCATGTTACAAATAAGGGTCTACGGCGGACGAAGGAATAAAAAATGCCAGTCTTATTGAGACATACCATAAGGGGCTTTGGTCACAACTGAAACGGAAATGTAAATAACATTCTGTCAACCATCTGGGACTTATGAATACGCACATGCACTAAGACAATACAAACAACTACACACTTGATTTATTGCCCCCTTCTTGCGCATGCTGCTCAAGTCTGTTTGCCGATTATTCCTCCACTCACGGCTTTCTTCGGGCAAACTACTTGTCCAGAAATGGGAATACGAGTAATAAACCACTTCAGGCTATACCATGGACCCGGTAATCTGCAGTAGAGTAAGCTGATGTAGACCCTTTCATCCAAAAAATGTGACCCCATTGCTCCAGATGGAGATTGCTGCTTTCAGCTAGATCCTTAACATTTCACGATTTGCGGAGTAATAGACCCCGCATTTTCTCAACCATGAATTGTTTTCTCGAGTGTTCCCTTTGTTAGGCTATTGCTGTTATTGACATTTTTGTATAGTTGTACAAGGAGATACTATGCTTCATTGCTCTACCAAGAAGTTGCTACTTTTTAGTTAGGATAATAATAAACAAGCTGATAGACAACAGCTCATTTATATCGTGTTAGACGCAAAGGTCTGTCGCGTTACCAGTCGTTGGCGGGAATTGCCAAACACAAGGAAACGCACATGAGCTTACAAGGGATCCTAGTGTAAAATTGCTCATAAAAGCAGGGGTAAGGGAAGTGGTTACTTTCCGTCATGGTTTGCAGTACCCCTTGCTTGTATTTATTACAATCTAGTATTATATATCTGTTTAATTACTGTATTTCGTAGATGATTCTGCATATTTTACAAAGTAAGGAATGCCTAGGCCGCAGGGTTTGAAGGGCCTTGATTAGAATCCTTGTTAATGGTCTAAGGAGATGGTTGTCTGTCGTACTGTTGCGCCGGTAGGGCAAAAATATTAGGCTAATAATCGCAAATGTAGCGCTTATCATGACAGACCCAGCTGCTCATAAAAGATCAAGTGTATTGGAACGTCGGTAATTACTATTTGCCGATTTGGCCTTTGTACAGAGTACGAAGCTATTGGCGATGAGATTGGGGGCTTTTCGGTTTAAGTGGCTTGTGTGAGACTCCAAGTTTGGAACCCCGCCGGATCACTTATATCGGGCCGTCGGCTTCCCCAGGAGTTCACGTCAGCACTACGGAGTATCTCTCAGCTGCGGAGTATCTCCTATTCAGTTACGGCGTATTAAGCCAGCGGAGTATTTCGCTAACCCCTAGCTAGGCCGGTAGCTGCGGAATGACAAGGTTGAACAGAAATATTCCAGCTACACCAGCAAGTCTATATAAGACAAAAGGTCTACGCTCCCAAAAGCGCTATTACCATATCAACAATGTCAGCAATTGATAATAACTTGCCCCCTCCCGCAATTTAGACCAGGAGCAAACGTAGTAGATTACCTGCTGTGCTTTGTCGCCAGATGGCCGATTCTCAGCGCCTCTTTCAGAAGATAGAGCAGCACCATCTGCTGGTCGAGGACATTCATCCAATGTGATCAAAGACATCATCTAGTTGATATCCATTAAGAAGCATACAATTCTTTGAATCAGTGCAGCTCGAAGGGCTTCCGTCTTATCCGATCCGAGGCCGAGGCTGTAAAGCTATCAAAATCATCCTCAACAAGCTGACGCTTAAAGTCTGAGAATTTCTCAAGGTGGCTGTTTGAATACTTCACAACAGCAACTGTGCACTAGAGGTAGTATGTGAAAACTGGCATACTCATCTTCTGGGTGCTTGTTAACGCTGTCAGATAACTTCTACTATACATGTATTGACTTTGACAAATAGTCGTGAGAGAAATGTAAAATGAAAGATTTCAGTGCTAAATTTGGATGAAATTATTGCTGAAGAAACGTATCATTGTTTGATGTTCAGATCTTCAAGAGAGATCTAAGTTGGCAACATGGGTGTTTGAAGTTCAAAGACAATGCACGTACAATCAATTCGAGCATTACCATCAGCATATAGAGCTCAAATTATTAGTATTGCATTTTCTGAATTATTATCCCAAAATTACGCAATAAGAGACTTCCATTACTCAATTTCACTAAACCCCTGCTTTATAATGCTCTCTGAATCGATTGGCTCTCCTTCTCTGATCTTGGCATCGATGTTTCCAAACTTCTCTAAGAGCACATACTTAGAGTCTTTGGCAGACTGCATGTGCTGAAAATGCTTCTTGATGATTTCCATGCGCATATAGCGACCCTTTTCCATGCCATGGACTAAGCGATAACATGAGAAAACCAGTGAGCTTAGGCCAGCCGCAATTGCCGTAGCGACGGAGCTGCCAGTCACACATTCAGCTGACTCAAGGAAAGGGACGGTTCCTGCGGCAATATTCTCACCATGAAGTTTCCATTCATAGTGAGAGTTCATTCCCCGAAATTCCATGCCGTATTCATCACAGGCTGCGATGGTGATTGTGTGGTCGGATGCAGCTGGCCAGGCTACTGATACTCTAGCACCTTCGTCTGGTGCGCTGCAAAGAAGAATGATATCTTTCTTTGCTGCATCACTAAGGCTTTTTTTCAGCCCTTCTGAGGATTCAAGGATGGTGAAACTCATGGAGATTATGTCTACATCCATATCTTTTGCCCAGCGGATAGCCTATCTCGACACAAGGCGCATCCAGTAATTAGCTACAGGCTACCTTGAAGACCGAAGAATATATGACAGGGAAGCTAAAAACTCACTCGTGATACCCGTTCAGGCGTGATGCCAAATCTTCCGTCGGTCACTTTTGCCACGTAGAGTTCGCATGTGGGATCGATGGCGCAAATCAGATTAGCCATCTGTGTTCCATGAGGATCTGAGGCAAACATCCAGGGGCTGAGTTGGAAGTCGTCATCAGCAAATGATCGTCCACCTCGAATACGATCCCAAAGGGTTTTATGATGTCCGGATTGGTTGGTCAGATTTGTATCATTCGAGTCTACGCCTGACATGCGACTGTCGGTGCCCCAACGGGTTAACCCCTTACCAGATTGGCTTAGAGGCTTGGAAGATATTGCACCGTTTGCCTGGATACGGAAAGTGTGTGGCACATTCATTATTCCGTTATCAATAATGGCGATTCTAGTTGGTCGATAATTCTCCATCTTTTCGGCAGCTGCTGGTTGATAGCTTTGGTAACTTTTTATAAATGGATAAAGTTTTGGAAAGGCCTTTTTCGCTCTTTAACAATGTCAGTAAAAACCTCTCGCCTAGAAAAAAACAGCCCCCCCCCCCCCCAAAAAAAAAAAAAAACCTCCACTGAAAAGCATAAATGAAGAGAGAGAGAAGGGGGGGGGGGGGGGGGTTTACATCTCTTCAAGGCTTGCCTGCCTGTCATTAGACGGATTCCATGGCTCGCAGGTCACATCATATTCGAAATGGTGTTCTTGGCCTTTAGTGAGTTTGAAGAGCTCTTCACGTATGTATCTTCGGTTGTTATCCAGATAATCCTTGGTCATCATCTCCTGTATTAATCATGTACAGTAAGTCTCTGCCCATCAATATCACATAAAAAGAATTAGATAGAAATAATAAACTTGCTTGACATACCGGTATAAGATGAATATGAACTCGAGAAAGCTATGAGCCATGAAAGTTAAAAGCTGCATGTATTAGATAGCCATGAAAAGCCACCAATGAGGGACTTACCTTTGGAAATGATGTAATGCCTTCATAGCCAAGCCAATGGTCGATTGCAACACGCTTACCACTTGCATAAAGATGAAGCTTTTTAATTCTTCCCTTTACCTCATTATCAAAGATAGATAGAGAGAGATCTAAAAATCTCCAATTCAAGTTTTCCACTTCGAATTTCTTCACATATTCCGCAATGTCAAGCTCGTTATGCGGTTTGAACATCCGGTCTGGGACCTTTAGCTCGACAATTGATGTAACGTTCTTCTGTCCATTTAACCAGTCAAGAACATCGAATACCTCCCTGTGGTCATTGCATGCGCGACCTGAGATCGATCCTTGGTTATCAATGTTGTCTTCGAGTGACGGAAATCTAGCATATTTGATCGTTTGTTCGTATGACATAAGTCCTGAGCTCTCACGATGGTTTATAAGCGCATACACAAACTCATCCACTCCGTGATTCTTGAAACTGAACTGAGAAATGTCGAAACAAATTTCGTGAACTAGATAAAATTAAGTTATGGCACAGGAAATTGAAGGAGAATCACCTTGCTATATACCTTTTTCTGTAAAATCTAGTTAAAATTTGACTCCAACGGCACTTGAATAATGAGTCATAAATACCTGCGGATTCCTGAAAAATGTCCGAAAGAACTCTCATCTTGTCGACTTGCTTAATTGTGGCTGTTACAAGAACTGTACGTATCTTCTGTTCATCATTAGGATCTCCGATATTTTTGTCGTTGACGACCCAAGAGGATCCATTCCACCACATTTTGTTGTACCAAAGCGGGTAGTATTTTTTGCAGAGATAATCAGATTTGGTCCCTGTAATCTGAGGTAGCGCAACTTGAGTGACGACAGAGTTTTTATAGATATCCAAGAACAAATTGACGAACCGCAATTTCCTGTAATAGACGGCGAGGTGGAGAAGATTATGAGTTTCCAACTCTGCTTTCTCTGGAATACTGGCCCAGATTTCAATCAAATTTAGCTCGATGATCTTTCCAACGATTTCTTGGTTGATAACACCCTTTTTTTCGACCATTTTGATTAAGCTGTCTACCACTCTGATTTGGCGTTCTCGAGATTGGCTCTCTCGAATAGCATCAGATTGGGCCTCTTGGACGTGGCTAGGTGAGATCTTATTTAATGATTTCATGATGTATTCGGTAGTGACAAAAAGTTTTCGCATGGACTCGATCTCAAGAAATTTGTCAACAAACTCGACCAAGCCTTTTTCGACAGCATTTTCAAAGGACATATCAGGTGGAGAGGATAGCTCAGGAACGGATAATAAAATATCCAGAAGTTCGAAATCCGCACTCCCGGAATCAATCACTTGCTCCAGAGCGGTCTTTTTTGTCGAAGAATCACGACATCGGAGGTATTCGAGAAGTGACATAGTGCTGCTGCTGCTGCTCGCAGGAGAGGCTGGTGGCTCTTCGAGATGCTTTTTCAAACAGTCAATCATACACTTTGCAGCCCTTGCGTTGCCCTTTTTGACTGCGTTGTAAAATGGCAAGGGTTTCTGTTCATCGCGTGCTCTACATGAGTTATGTTCCTGAAATTTGCAATCTGCATATGATGTGGCGGCCTCTGGATCATGATTCTCATACAGAAGAACAAACGGTACCGTTGGATCTAACTCGCATATTATCTGAAGAAGTAAGAATTCCATGTTGATCCTTTTGTCTTTAGGATTAGAAATGATTTCCGAGAGTATGAGCCAACAGACGCAGCTGTCAATTCTTTCTTCTTCGCTAGACAAGAACGACTTTATCAGTTGTTTGGAAGATTCCACATCTTTGGTGCCATCTGCCGTCGCGTCTTTCAGGTATCCTGTAATTGCAATGGACAGCTGATGGGAAAAACTTTGTAGAAGCTCGTCGAACTCGAGATGTTCCCGAGCCTTAGTCCATTCTTTTCTATAGGTCGGTACCCCTGCTGAAGAGTTTGAAGATCCATTTGGCGGAAGTTTTGAACTTGGAATCGCATGAGACAACTCTGTGGTGGTCGACTGCAAAGAGGTTGATGGAGTATTGAGTGCCATGTTAACGGCTTCATCTGATGGCATTTTTTCTGGAGCCATAATATCTTATGCCTTTACTCTTGCTCAGAAACGAGAATGGGCCTAGATTTCAAGCAATCCAAGAAAAATTTACCAATTCTGCGAGTGCAATATTTCAAGTGATGAATAAATGTATGCAAATGAGACAAATCCTTCATCTAGGCCCCCAGGGAAGTATAGGTACAACTAGCTGAGTGACCCCGAAGTACCGCATGGTTACTCGACTTATGTGATACCCAAGTATCAGATAACACGAGTCAGGATTCCGAAATGCATGTAATTTCCCGTTCCCCCCTGAACAGAAATGGAAATGGTCAGTATCATGACTGTGCTGTAAGAATTGACTCAAATTTTGTGCTTATTCCAAATAAAATGAGGGTGATACACTGAAAGAGCGCATGAAAAAGATATTTCGGAAGGTAGTATCCTACACTCACTCGAGCCTCTATTGCTTGCATTATGCTGAACTAGATGCTATCTTAGGTAGTTGACATGAACATGAGCGACGAGACACTCCACAATAACATCGTTCAAAAGTAGTGTATACAGAAGCTAAAATGATTACTGCCCCTATTCGCGCTACAAAGAGGAAGTGGTCTGTTATAACCTGGCTATCCTATTACTTCCATCCGTTACTACTTCCCCAAGACGTGATACAATAATGCCCTGCTGAGCAATGCACGCCCCCGACTGTGCAACGCGGCCCTCCAAGAGCGCTCACCGGTCAGGGTCAGTTCTACCTTTATATCTCGAGATCGGTGGTACGTTGTCTCTCTCTGCTTGATTCTGGGCCGTCATGTGGATAGCGTCGGAGAGAGACACCATCCTAAGAGTTGGTGTTCGTATATTGTCGCTTGGCACTTGTCTTCCTTCCCCGTGCCTGTTGAGTGACATCCTCTAGCTGGCGGTATTCTTCCTGGGCCCCGATCGGCTGTCGGTGTTTCTCAACATGTTCTCTCTCTTCTATCTTACCCTTCAGTTCCGACGAAGGGTCAGGAAGCTCAGATACACCGGGACTGGGTCCCCACTTGATATTCAATTTGTTGCTGAATTTTGATTCCCGTAGTGCCCCCAAGTTATTGAAGTCGATATTTTGAAAGATTTCTCTGCCTTCGGAGTGGCAAATTGGTTTGCCGCCAGGGCTCACTAGGAAAGGGTACGTTTGGCCTGGCTTTAGGCCGAAGAAATTTTTGACTCTATTTGCAATATCGTTCAGCGTGCCGGCACGAATGTATATCCGAAACGAAACCATATATGGATCTGGGGAATTTCGTGAAAATAAAACCGATGTCATGGTCTCTGGTGGTATGCCGTGATTTTGAAGAGGATTCTGCCTCATGTACCAATCGACGCCATTCCTGTTGTTTGTAATCTTGCTGAAGACGGGCGTTGAGAAGGCTTCATCGTATTCAGCCTGGTTCCAGGAAATACGGCGTTCGCGGCTTAGTTGAATGGATACTGGAGCCACTCCGTCAAAGCCAGGATCACACTCCACACCTATCTGAACAGTTGTCTCCCGGTGGCTCTCTGACTCATTGGATCGTTGAAGATTGGAAAAGGGGGCCCATGCCTCGACAAGTGGCTCCCCCTTGCCACTTTTGTCGGTCCCCTCTAGCTTAAGGACTGCTCTCGCCCACTCTATTCTTGTGTCTCGACTTGAAGACTTGAATACCATTCTGAGTACGGCAAGAGTCATCGCTTTTCTTTGGGCGCCGTTGCAAACTGGCGAAGATTCTTCAAATCCGTCTACCCAAAGAAGTCTCTCGATGGAAATCGAGTAATCAGACTTTTCTTCGGCATAAATTGCCGCACCATCTTCCTTGACACGGCATGCAGTCTTGACCGAACCCTGTCCTGTAGTAGCTGATGCATTAGAGTGATGGTACAAGTTGAGAGTAATTTTTCCATCAGACTTTTCAAATGCGTCATCAATATCTTCGCAGTAAGCCTCATAATAATCTTCTTCATCAGAAGACAGTGAAAGTTCCATGTTGGTAAAACCAAGAAGATTTTATTTGAAAAAATGATTATAATTGAGTTTGATGGACAAGAATTAAATTGTTCACAGTTAAAGAAGTAGCGTAAGATCGCTCCCGAGATGCGAGGTTTTATATACATGTATCATGTCAGCAGTGAAGATGTTATCGCCATGAATGCGTTCATTACTCTCTCCTGCGGTACAGATGATCGATGGTCAGCCCATAGAAGCTATCACCTCTCATTTCAAACATTTTCGATTACATCCTACGTGGCATTCTACGAGCCAAACCATGAGCCTTGGATGGCAAATAGCCCCGTAAGGATGCTGAATTGTACTACGTGAGGGTGAAGAGGGGTAAGCCAACAAATCTCTCCGTAAATTACAGTTGGTAGTACAAGTGAAACATCGGATAGATTCGGATTCCGAGATGCCATTAATCGGTACAATACCTGTTGGTCTGCCCTTGTAGATGTATTACCAGTTGGGTATGCATACATGCGTGTCTACTGGTTGGTCCTACCTTGGGCACTAGCTGTACACATGCTTCTTGAGACTCATACTTTCAGCGACCAACAGTTCGGTTTCACCTTGCAGTTAACTCTAGATCGGTAGGTACTTTGGTAGGTAGATAAAACGCCCATAGAACCGGCCCATAATTTCGCTGTTCAATATTTATGCACATTCAGCTTTCATTGACTAATTTTTTTGATAAGAAAATTTGAACCAGTGGTGCAATTTCCCAGGTACTAGTATCTTTGAAGAGCAGTTCGCTATCTATGATTCTTTGTGCATGCTCCTTTGTATATGCTTCTTTAGACGCATTGCTTTGTACCTATTCTTCATATGTAATCCTTTGTACATCTCCCTTTGTACATATGACAGCTTCTATAACCTCACCGCCGCCGTAGCCCACACACAGACGCTCTGTCTGACTCAATATAAAGTAGCAGTATCACTGGGAAATTTATTAACTGCAGGGTAATCCCAGACCGATCTATCTCTGCGGATCTCATAGATTATATATATATAAAAGGCCCTGCCCCTAACTTTACAATAGAATAACTAAGACCTTTAATAAATATAATATTACACTAAACTATATATTTAACAGATTATGAGCCCGGACAGCGAAGATTAAGAAATAACTAATAATCTACCCCTTTATTAACCGAAATCACTGTCTTACACTATCAGCACTAACAGGCTGCTTCTACTGACGTTAAACAGAAACTGAGATTTAGCCCTAAAACTAGACTGATATTTAAGATAACGACCGATCTAATAACCGAGACTATCTCGATCACCAACCTTAATGGTAATTTCGCCTACTTAAAGTTAAATCTTACTTACCCCTTTACTTTAAGATAAATCTACTACTAATATAAACTAAATAGATAAAATATAATAATAGAAAGTTAATATAACCTACGGAAACGACCATTATAACCGGTAATAATAACTAGATTTATTTAAGAAAATCTTTTCTTAGCACTTATAAAAAAGATCAATAAGATTCTGTTAAAAGCACTACAATCTAATTACAAAGGTAATCGTTACAGTAAACTTAGCATCCCTAATTTAATCTCCTCGCTAAAATACTCAATCCCAGAACTGCAATTATAAACCCCTAACTATAACTAAAATATCTAAAGCTTAAAAATCAAAAGCCCCCATAAAAACTGCTCCAGTAAATTAAGCTATTTTTTCCCTTAGCCTTTAACTCCACTTAGCTAAACTAGCCCTTTATTAATAATTAACTAACAACGCCCAGCCATTAAGGTTAAATACCTTAATAATAATAAATTTAAGCGCCTTAAAACTCACCAACATAACGTTAATTAAAATCTTTAAATTTACAAATAGTTAAATAACCTAGAAAAGAGATATCACAGACGTAATTAAAATACAAAAATTTAAAGACTTTATAAAGAAAAATAAGAATATATTAGAAAAAAAGTCTAGTAAATTAAACAGCAGCTTTAAAAAATAAAAAGAACTTTAGGAAATATATTAAAATTAAATTATTATATTTATATACAGTAAGCTCAGCTACCTCACACATAGATATATAAACAAAAAGGAAACCTTATTTAGCGTTTTAAACACCCTAGAGGAGAGATTTAAGCCTTACAGAAGCACTGCCTTCTAAGAGCTAAATTAAAAATATAATAACCTTATACTAAAAGGCTATATAAGCATTAGAGACTATATAGAAAAGCTTAAAGCAGCGTAAATTAAGCTTAAGCAATTTAACAATATCTATAAAATCGGAGAGGTATACTTCATTAATAAATTCTTTACTAATTTTAAAAAAAGCTTTAAATATTTCCTTATAGCCTTTTATTAAACCTATAGTCTACTGTTAGAAAGAATAAATAAAGAAATTACTAAACCAGCAGTTACTTTTAATAAAACAGTTATAGCAGTTAAATAAAAGAAATAGGGCTAATAATAGTGCTTTATAACATTTAGCTTTACTACTATAAAACTAGCTTTTAATATTAGCTCCCAGCTACTGCAAATCTATTAACACTGCTGAAAGCCCAGGCATTTAAAAAAGAAATGCTAGATATTCTATCTAAACCTTTAGCCTAAAAGCCTAAAACGCTAAAAAAGAAAATTACAGGCTAGGTTTAACTAGACGACTTAGTTAATAAAGAAAGAAATAACTGTTAAAAAGATAACTGCTACCTTAGCTTTCCTTTAAAGCGTTAATAGAAATTAAGATAATATATTACAGCCCCTATTAAATTAATACTTTACTGCTATAACTAAAAATATAACGTAAGTAAAAGCTGCTACTGCAGCCTAAATAAACCTTAAAGATATATATATCCTTAATAGCAGCGCCGCCACTTATTTAATCTACTCTAAAGGAAGGTATAAAGCACTATACTAAATAAAAGGAACCTTTATAATAAGTATTAAAGGTAGTAAAATTACTCCCTAAGGCACTAAAACCTATTACTTTCCTGCTTTAATTAAAAAAAGAATTATAAATCTGCTACTACATAACGTCCTTTACGTACTAGAGGCTAAGATAAACCTTATATTAATTTCCCAGCTGGATTAAGAAAGCTATTATATAAGTGTATTTAAAAAAAAAGCTATTATAACTAAAGGATTAACTGTCTTTCTTACAGTTACTTTATAATATAAAATATACATTATAAACACTCTACACCTAACCTTTACCTCTCTTAACATTAAAGACCTAAGACTGCAGCTATAGTATAATTAAATAGAGTACTTAAGTAAAAACAGCTTAAAGACACTAATTAAAATAATATTTAGACTATAATTTACTTAACTAGTTGAAATATACAAAGCCTATACCGCTGGAAAACAGTCCAAACAACTATATATAGACAGCGTTAAAAAAAAAATAAAACCATTAAAAAGTCTATATATTAATATTGCAGGGCCCTTTTTAATCCCTAAATATAACAGAAGCCACTACTAAATAATATTCCTAAACGACTTTATATATATAAGCTAAGTGTTTCTAATATAAAAAAAAGTAAGTTTCTTTAAGGTTTTTAAAAGACTCTTAAATTAACTAAAGACACTAACGCAACGGTGCTTTTATATTAAACTAAATAAAAAAGGCGAAAATATAAACTACTTTTTTTAAATATTCTGTAAAAATTAAAAAATATAAATCATCTATACCTACGTTAACTAATATCAGTAAAACGGCGCTATTAAACATCTTTACTATATTTTATAAAATAAACTTATACTAACTATTTTTAAAGAATAAATTAATCTAAAGTAATAGCCCTATATACTTAAGATAATTAACTACTTATAAACAATCTCCCCCAGCGCCAGCTTAAACATTATACCTTATAAGGCCTAGTATAAAAATAAACCTAATTTAATATACTTACGTATTTTAGGCTTTAAAAGCTAGATAATAATAAGCTATAGTAAAAAAATAAAGCTAAAAGCCATTCCCTACCAACTAATTAACTATTAAAGAAGCTAGAATTATATAATAGTGTAAAACAGTATAGTTAAAGTTATATTAAATATTATATTTAAAGAACAATTATCTAAGGCCTAAACTGCCGCTATATAAAATATATAGACTTTTTAATATTAGCTTAGACTATTAATAAGCCAGCTACCTTTAGCTGCTAAATAAAGCACTAGGGCGGCCAGTAAGATTATTATCTTTAATAGTTAAGACTCTAAAATAACCAGCGAAACTGTTAAAATAAGTAATTAAAGCTTTAAGACTGCTGGTTATATTACTGACGAAAGTATAATAAAAAAAAAGGGCCTGCTGGATACACCAGCCCCTAGCTCTTTAAAAAAGCCAGGGACACTAGAGTTAATATAATCTATAATTAAAGTTATTATAGAGGCTACCTTAAGTATTACAGCTAAATAAAATAAGCCTTTTAATTTACTATAAGCGCCTATAAGAGTTATTAGAGTATTTATATAGCTTAGGCTATTAACATTACTTAACAATATTAAAGATCCTACTAACTATTATAAAGCTACTATATTAAAAAAATAGAAACACTGGTTAAAAGTTATAGTAAACGAAATCTACTTACTAAAAGAAAATAAGATATAAAAGTTAGTTAACCTTTCAAAAGGAAGGTAGGTACTATAGGGGAAATAAATATATAAGGTAAAGTAGGATATAAAAGGTATTATTAACTGCTATAAAGCTTACTATATAGTAAAAGGCTTTAATTAGAAAAAAAAGATTAACTATTATAAAACCTTTACCACAGTAATTAAATCTATAAGCTATAAGGTACTATTTATTATTATTATAGCCTTAGACTTAGAAATTAAGTAAATGGACGTTAAAACTGCTTTCCTATATGGTAAGATTGATAAAGAAATCTATATCCAGTAGCCAGAGGGTTTTAATAACTATACTAGCTGAGTCTACTGGCTTTAAAAGGTACTATATAAACTTAAATAGGCTCCCAGAATCTAGTACTAAATATTAACTATATTCTTTATGAAACTAGGAATAAACTTAATTTTAGTTAATAAAGGTATATTTATAGGAAATGGAATTATTATTGCAGTTTATATAGATAACCTACTGCTATTTAGCCTAAATAAGTAAGTAATTTAAGTAGTTAAATATACCTTATATTAAAGCTTTTAAATAACTAACCTTAGGCTTTATAAATTCTACCTGGGCTTTTTAATTAAAAGAGATTAGGCCTAACGGCACCTTACGCTCTTTTAAAAGACTTACATTTAAAAGATCTTATAACTCTATAGTATAAAAGACTATAATATAATAAAGATATTTATACAGTTTAGGTCCTTAAATATTAATATTAGCCCAGAAATTACAAAGGATAAGAAAAATAATTATACTAAGCAACTAAGATTACTAATATAGGTGATACTGGGTATAAAACCTAATATTGCTTTCCTAATATCCTTCTGCAGTTATTTTTTTAATAAACTAAAAAAGTTATATTAATAAATTATATAATAAATTTTTTACTATTTTAAAAGTATAATTAATCTTACGTTAGTATTTAAAAGCGATTTTAAACTGCTATAAAGATATACTAATATAAACTACACTAGTAATAAATCCAATTAGCGTTTTATTTATAGATATATTTTTAATATTAACTTAGCTGTTATTAATTAATTATTAAAAAAGTAAATAACTATTATACTATCTACCTATAAAGCTAAGTATATAGGCCAGATATAAGCAGTAAGAGAAGCAATCTAACTCTAAAAGCTGCTTATAATAATAGCTCCTACCCTATAACTTATAAATACTGCAATAATAATCTATGCAAATAACTAAAGGGCTATTAGCTTTATAAAAAATCCAGAATTCTACAGCTGCATTAAGTATATTAATATATAATACTATTAGATTTAAAAAAAAATATAAAAAGGAGATATATAATTATTATATATTTCGTTAGCAGATAAAATTATAGATAAAATAATTAAACTACTGCTTACAAAGGTATTTATCAAATTTAGAAAAGCAATAGGGATAAAGAGAAGTGTAATCCAATAAGCCTAGGCTAAACCTGCTGGCTTAAGTGGAAGTTAAGACCTCTTACCCTATAGTCAGACTTCATAAATCACAACTTTATTAAGCCTTCCTATTAAAGGCTAAGGAAAGAAGTCAGTTATAAAAATATAGGAGGCCTATTTACAAAGAACAATATATATACCTACAGGGTAACGCAGACTTACGAAATACATTAAGTGGGAGTATTAACTATAGGGTAATCCTAGACCGATCTGTCTCTGCGGATCTCATAGATTGTATATATATAAGAGGCCCTGCCCCTAACTTTACAATAGAATAACTAAGACCTTTAATAAATATAATATTACACCAAACCACACGTTTAACAAAATTAGCTGCACGCAAAAAGTCGGGTTCTAGCCGATCCTCTATGGAAAAGAGCGACACCGCTTATTTGCGTTATTCCATCTCACCTTCGCGGATGGTTATTGGCTGCGCGATTTCGAATCATTTTCATCTGTGCGATTGAATACTCCGTGGCATTGAAGTCATGTTTGAAAAGCTTACGCAGAAACTCAAATCACTATCCACGAATCGTGGCGAGGAAAATGGCAACAGAAACTTGCCGCCACCGCCCGTAGTTGATGGTCAGCATGCCGCAGATACGTCGGCCATCGATATGCGCGATGTGAAAATTTCGTCTGAAACAAAAAGTCCAAGTCAGACCTGCCGCAGTACTTTTGGTCTTTTTGAGAATGATCAGGGAGAGCCGCCCCAAGACACTCGACATCTTTGGGAGACCAGGCCCCAAAGCGGCGAAATTTTCAATTTGATCGAAGTAGCAGAACTGTGGGATGCTGCATACGATAACCTGGCAGTAGAGGAGCCAGAGTTAATAGCACATTATGAAAATCTTGTGTCTACAAGTTGGAATATTCAAGAAGTCACAAATTCTGGTTTGCAGCATCTGAAATCTGTGAAATTAATGAAAAATGGGACTGACAGACCGCTAGGAGCAAGAGTATCAAAACGAAGAGGATCTCTCATCAATGCATTGGACACCGCACTTGCAAATAACTCTGAGAATGGCAGGCAAAACAGCACTCTATTTTTTTTATTCAACAAGCTTATTCGAACAATGAGTCGACAAACTCCCAAAGCAGTTCTGGTTTGGGTTGCTGTATATTTCAGTGCGCAGGTATTTACAACGCAATACTTCTTCATTGGAGATCTGCCACCTGTTAACAACTACATGTATTTAATCTCAGAATTTGTTGAATGCCGATTCTGTCTTGCAACCCGATTTTTTCACCCACGCGCGCATTCTTCTGCGGATCGATTGCTATTGCAACCTCGCAACGCTGCGACTTGGTCACGAGGCTGTGGAAGATCACAGATCATTCCCCTCACACACTTGGTCCAACACGAAACTGAAAGATGACTGGATTATGCTTTGTAGAATTATTCTTCTACGCTTCATCAAGATTGCTTGTATGGACATGAGAGAATGCCGGAACATCGATCTTAGCAGCGACCAGCTTGAGCGAGACATTACAAGACAGGAAGATATTCTTATTTCTAGTGTCAGCGGAGATCAAGCCCAACAAAAACTGTCCAACTTTCTTGCTACTATTGGGAAGATATGTGGTAAATACGAACCCGGAACCCCACCCTCTATCGGGCCATCGAGCTCAGATGATCAAGATGATGATCAGAGAGACTTGATTTCTATGGACTCGAAGCTACTTGACTCAATAATCTCATGCAAGAGCGACTCGAGAATATTGAAGCACATGGAGAGTTGGGCTATGAGCATCAACCAATATACAACATTTCGACGTTGGGATCCGAATACCAGCAAACGTTCATTATGGGTGAACGGTGCACCAGGGTATGGTAAAACGAATCTACTACTTGCGATGGCCAACGAATTGTTGGAAAGAAAGAAAGAAGATTCGAATGCACCCAATGTGGCTTACTGTTCTTGCACTTGTGGTAATATAATAAGGGGCAAAATGTCATCAGTGATTCATCAGCTCACTCAACAAGTGGTTCGTGACCAGCCTCTTGTTGCGCAATCTTTAGAAGATCAAGAGCTTAGACATTACTTCGACACCCCTCCCGACTTTGCAACTGTTTTCAGTTTATTAAAAGTCATTCTAAGATGCGAGGAGCTCTTGCCGACTTATCTTATTTTGAATGGACTGGACGAATTGATCGTTTCCGGCAATGCCGAGGCAGAGGAGCTGCATGAACTTTTGGGGTTAATATTGGAGAAAACGCAGCCGCTTAATACCAAGGTTCAATGGCTGATATCTGTTGATACGGATTTCTTCACAGAGCACATCGATTCAACATATAACGATCGGATATCTAGTATAACCTTGGGTTCGTCAAATGTGGAAAATGGCCTGGCGCCCGCTCTCAGGGAAGCTGCTGCTCTCGAAGTCAATGCACTTCTCCAGGACTTTAATATTCCCAGCAGTTTTGGGACTATTTTAGAAGAGATTCTACTCGAAAAGTCAAGAGGAAATTTCCTTTGGCTCAAACTTGCGTGCAAAATCATCAAGTTCTACAGGGCACCTTGGAATGCTCGAGGTATATTGGATAAACTTGGAGGCTCTGTTTCAGAGCTATATGAATATTCAGGTATAACACTAGACAGTCTTCCAGTGGATGATCCAAAAACCTGCAAGAAAATTCTCTTGACTATGACAGCAGCCTACGGACCTCTCAGCATATCAGAACTCAGAGTGTTGGCAGATGTGCCACTCGAGGTGGACTTGGAGAAGATGATTACCAGACACTGTTCCTGTTTCCTTGAATTTCAAGAAGAAATGGTCTACTTTGCTCATCCCTCAGCGATGGCCTATCTAAGACAACGAAATACGATACTCAAAGTGAATTCAGAGACGCACCTTGGGATTGCATTAAGATCTCTGAACCTTTTGGTTGAGTCTTTGCAAGAGAAAACACGCCAACGGCGATATCGTTTAGGCGGAAGCGGTGCGCTTCGAAAAACCCAGTACGCTTCTTTGAATTGGGTACAGCACTTCACACAATTAAACGGCCTTGAAGAAATCGAAGAATTAGTCAATCGCCTCACCTTTTTTCTTGAGGCACATCTGATCCAATGGCTGGATGCAGTAACACCTATGTACCGAGTCTCGGATATTGTCACCGATTTCGAGCGACTGGAGTGCTGTTTGACTGTGAGTAGTAGTTGTCCCACCCACGTCCCTAGTTCAAATAAACACTTTCTGCTTTTTGAAAATCCATACTACCCCATTCGACGAGTCAAATGCTGAGTTATATCATGCCTTTTCAGGATAATTTGAGCAGACGGAGTAATAGCCTTCGCAATTGTGTTGCCCGTGTACGTGATGCTACGCAGTTTCTTCGATTTCATAATCATACGCATACGCCCGCAAATTTTAGCGCAAATAACACCAAGTTGTTCTACCCATCAAATAACGACAAGAAGAGCCTTCTCCTTCGAAGTGAATTTCCATGGTTATCAAACATGTCATCAATCAATGATAACTCGGAACTTGTGATGCTCTCATTCCAGGCGCACGCGAAACAACACTACACATGGATTTTTTCCTGTGCTTGTTCGCCAGACGGTCAATTTGTGGCCACTTCTTCAGATGATGGGACAGCCAAAGTATGGGGAATTACAAATGGTAACTTGGTATATACTTTACGGCCGCCGACTGAAGGCGCTGTGGACAAGGTAACCTTCTCATCCTCTGGATACTTGGCGACCATCTCAAATCGACTATTTGATGTCACCGTCAATCTATGGGAGCCTTTGACATATATATTGGCGAACACTTTCACAATGGAAAAAAATAGAGACAAATGCAAAAGCAACACAAGATCCGCCCTTGTTGACGGCAATTTCCTTGACTCAAGCTTTTCGCCAGACGGAAAGAAGCTAGCAACCGGCACTAACCAAGCATTCATGATCTTGAGTGTGCCGTCATTTGAGAAACTGGAGATTCAAACTGGTGCTGGCCTAGGAAAAAATACCTGTTTGAAATTTTTTAAGAACAATGGAATTGCAATTGGCTCGGATAAATGCATCAGCATCTGGAATATCGAAGATGGCTCAATGATTCGTACTTTCGGAACGAATGCAGAGGGTCTAGCTTTTTCATCAAACTACGGAATACTTGCTTCTCATTCAGATAACGGCGAAGTGAAATTATGGAATCCTGATTCAGGTAATTCAATTGGAACGCTCTCTTGTTTCGATTCCAGAATCATCTCTCTCACCTTCTCTTTCGATGACACCCAGCTCGCTACTGCTTCAGACAATGGCGCAATTAGCATTTGGGACCTGAAAACCAAAGGTATTAAGGCGAAACCGAGTCTCACCTTCAAAGAAGCAGGGTTAAAATCAATTCAATTCTCTGCTAAGCAACATTTACTGGCATCAGTATCTAGATATGGCTATCTCCGCGTTCGCAAGACCTGCAGCATAGATATTGATCCGAATTCACAATCGGGTATTATTACCGCTGCTACTACCAAAACCCAAACACAAGCACAATATTATCCCATCGATTTTGTAACATTCTCGCTAGATGGCGGTCTTATTGCTGCTGCCTCTAAAGGCGGTGTTGTCTCTATCTGGGATGGTGACACCGGAGAACATCGCGCCTCACTGACAGGCCAGAGCGAAAACGTGCTATGGCTACAGTTCTCGTATGATGGCAGTATGCTGGCCTCATCTTGTCCAAGTGGTGTTATAAGTGTCTGGAATGTCCAAGATGGATCGCTACTGCGTACACTTAAAGGCCACAAGAACTGGGTTAGACGCGTACAATTTTCCATGGACAATCGGAAATTAGCATCAGTATCGGACGATGGCACCACCCGAGTGTGGAAGATTAATTTAAAGAAGAATAGTGGCGAAGCATGGGAGAATGATATTCTCAACAATGGCCCGGGACGTGGAACTGCATTGGCCTTTTCATCAACCGACACTCATTTGGCATCAGAGGCGAATGATGGCTTTCGAGTCTTTGATTTAACAAAGCCCGACATTTCTGGCACAGAAGAGTTCCTTCCGAAAAATATTATGGTAAGTCACACGATTGCCTTTTTGCCTGACAGAGAAGATACTCTTTTGTCTGCCGGTGAAAGCCTGAAAATCTGGAACATTAAGAGCAGAACATGTGTGAGGATTTCCACCAGTATTCCAAAAGGTTTCCTATCAATGGAATTGAGCTGCGACTTTCCAGGTTATATTTTCACGGAAATTGGGACTTATTATGTTGGCGACATTCTAGTTTCACCACCTTTACTACCCAAACATGACAAACCTGCACCTAAGGAAATTGAACTTGAGGGAATGAAATCCAAGGAGGTTCGAATCGGAGAAATTTCACAGCTGCTCACTCTAGAGGAGTTGAGCTTGAGCCCCTATGGACTAAATCCAGATCGAAGTGTCATTACTTGGAAAAACAAAGATCTAATCTTCTTACCGGAACGATATCGTCCTTACAAACAAAGTGCTTACGGTAATTGCCGAATATGGAATCATGGAAGGAAAATTGCTATTGGGTGTGAATCGGGACAAGTTTTGCTTTTCAACTTTGCCGTCGATAAAGACCCAGCAATTTAATGGATTGTAATTTCTTGGAGGGCTGTTACTTCTCTGCCCATTTACAAGTGGTTAAGTTTGTTAGTTTGTTTTTGCTACTTTTCTCCTCCCTGCATCTCCTAAAGGAGGACCACAATTTGAAAGATTTTGATTAGTCACAATAGACCTGGTAGTCTCAGATTGCTGAAATTTAAGCTGAGCTGTGGAGCGTATACACTTGTCTCTTTCCAAGCACTTCCATCAGGGGTTCGAGAGCTTACACGTAAAATATCCCAGCCCGCCAATACTAAACACACATGGATTTGGCATACTTTGTAATTAGAGACATGGCCCGAAGGGCATCTTAATACATCTCTCCAAGTACCTGTATCGAAGCGCCTTGACTTCTTAAAAATTACAACCCTCGCTTTCATTGCACCACTGTAGACCCGACCCGTCCCGTCGATCCTGGCACCACTAGTTGCGGTCAACCCCAATTATCATCTGGGTTGACAACGAGTCCCATGATCCAGCAAGATGACTTGACGATAGTGTCTCGATGCTCGTGTTCCTGACTCTCTTAATTCCACCAATACACGGTAGTGCCCTGAAAGGCGAGTGAAAAGACATCTCTAGGCACGGTATTGTTGGGGAGCGAACTCCAATACTGACTCTCCAAGCCCTTCGCTACGGTCCACGTCTCACATTCGAGAAGAGTGGTAAAATTGGCGATAATACCGCCAACCCGCATGGCAACAGGGGGTCATCGGCAATCAGAAAAGCATCGTCGTGTGAAATGCTGCATTTCTCCCACTGGGTATCATCTTGCGAGCCAATCGGTGTCTCTCGCTGCCGTTGACGCCAAAGACGGAAGCCCTCATCTCACCCTTCTATGTGCTCTTCCATCTCATCCGCGTGACGCAGCAATTCGCACTCGCATTCTACTACGTGGTCAACAGCGCAGTCCAAACCCCTCCAGCCTCCGACGTCTTTACAAATAACCAAACACGGCTGGGCGACTGCCTGAACCTTGCGCAGCTGGCCTTAGTATGGGTGTTGTGGCTCATGGTGTAAGCCATTTCTCGTCTCGCAGTCTTTCTCCTCCGAGCTCGTATGCGCTACCGCCAACTATTTTGTCGACTGACCTTTGCTTGCCTTGTATTCTGCTAGGGACCAGATCCGCCACCGCTGCTGCTTCCGTCTAAAGACGGTAATTGAACCCGCAGCGTCGTCCGCAACTCTATTGCCCACGTCGTGCTGACCGTATACTTGGCATTTCTGCTCATATCGCTCGTCCCGGTGGTTGTGGATGCTGCCTGGCTCTCGCATGATGCTACCTACCACGAGTGGGCGGTGGCGCTGTTCCACGACATTCACACCATCTTGGTTAATCCCATTGTCGCCGTGCTCATCTTGGCTTCCTTCTTCCCCCAGCGTGCCGAGATCCTGCAGCACCCGCCAGGCTTAGCCTCTTCATTGCTAAGCCTCGTTGATTTAATCATGCAAGCGGTCGTGTTTGCGCTGCTGGCATTGGGGTGGAGATGGCGTCTTCTCCCTTGGGACGCATCTGTTGGCGTGCTGGCAACGACCTGGTATCAACTTGTTGGATTCATTCCCGTCGACCATGCCATGTTTGCGCTGGTACAGGCGGCGCTATCAGCCGTTGCTGCGCTGCGTCGTGCGCGAAGCTTCATTGCCGACAAGGCGGGGCTCCTGTTAATCAACGGGAACGAATGAAATCCGACTGTATGCATCATGTGTCCGAAATTTAGAAGCTTTCTCGTATCAAAGAAGCAACAAAGCGTGGACTAGGTATTGTGGCTTATGCAAATTCTATAACTGTCTTTGTTGAACGAAATTAGGGATAAGCACAATCTTTATTGTCCACCTAGTTGCGGCATCCGTGCGAGCTCGCCGGTTTCATCCCTTTGGTCCTCATTGCTCTTTTCTTTGTACCTTGACTCCTGACACCGCGGTTGTGATCACTTGCTTGAGTAGGTACTCTTTTATGCAAAAATTCTTCAAGGGATAACGTAATTTTGGACTGAGCACAATCTGCTTTGAAGAATAGACATTGTGCTGGGAACAGATGTTTCCGGACAAAGTCTCATGACGACAAAGCGGCTTGCTGCATGCCAAGATGACATTTTAATCTTTGATCATTGTGTTCTTATTCAGATAAGAAGGAAGATTTTTTATTGGGAGATGATGTCGTCGCTAAGTTGATAGTGAGTGTCTAGAGTAAGTGTTCAATTGTACCTAAGGCCCGTAAGGTTAGAACTGGTTTGGGCAGATCTTGTACTTTGGGATTAATAGCATGAGTACATGTATGCACTATACGCTAGAGCGCGGCATGAGATGTATGAAGCAAGTACGCAAAAGCTGATTTGCAAAATTAGATGCTCGTATCAGATCGATCCGATACTTCTCAATAAGATACTCTCTTACTACATAAGTAGCAACGTACGTCGAGATGGCAGCTGATCTTAACACCTGTTGAGACAGCTCATTTGTCAATCACCCCAGCATGCTGCTTTAAGAACTAACGAGTATCTTTATGTGAGCCTGAGATTACGGGTTTCTGACGCCAGATTCCTTCTCTTTGCAGCTCATCTAAAGACTGTACGAATTAGGCAGGCTGTGGGAACCGGCTGATTATACTGAAAATAGACAGAAGCTTATCTAGGTGCTTTGCATGCAATGGGCTTTAGACTACATATATATACTAGATAGCTACCAGCCTTAGAAAGATTTGTACCGCAATTTGTGCGGAGAGTTCTGTAACACATAATTACTACATCTAGTAGATCCACTACTATACTGCTAATATTAGTAAAAATGGATTCTGGATTAATGTATGTATGTGTAAATTATTTACTTATATTAAGTACATGATATATCTTTTTTACGATGCTACTACAGCGAGGTTAAGTTGTTATGATTCCAGGCGGGAACCCGTTCAACTGCAAAGCATGTACCAAGTCATGGGTGTAGTTGCAGTACCATGGTCGCATTTACAAAGAAAGTCTAGTTTAGCTATTTAAGATACAGCACACCGCTTAAAGACAATAAAGAGAGAGAAACGAGGGGAAATAATACGAACGAAAGAGTGGGCGCGTGTGCACTGTCCATATTCTTCCTCTATTGTCGGCCTATTGTTCTACAAGGTATCGGTGTTTCATTCGGTACCCCATACAACGCATAACTCTTGTCTTATTTTTAGGAATTGTATCTTAGATATAATCCTCACTCCACATAGTAACGAACAAGAATAGCCTATACATACAGGATCAAAAATCGTCATTATTATCCACTCTTCCACAATCTTGGATTACAATAACCTCCTCCGCAAAAACCACATCTTAACCAAAAGCATCGAAAGCTAGCCTTATCTATAGACGTGTTAAAAATAATACCGCGTCCAACCAACATTCCTAACCCACAAACGCTCAAACCACCATACAATCCCTCCACGAGTCCTCCCCATTTAGAACAAAGATAAACACCAACTAATACATCATCAAGTAAACACGTGCAATTTGACTCACATAAAGCACATGCTACTTAGAATACGCTCATCACCATTCGTCTATAAATCCATGCTTCTTCCTCCTCTCATCTCGACATACTCCCTTCCCTCCACCCTCAACAACGACAAACAACAATCCTCCAAAATGAAGCTGTCTACCCTCCTTGTTATCATTCCCCTGGCTTCTGCCTTACCTCAGGCCCCGGCCGTCGACGTCCACGCCCTCGAAGCTAGAGACGCATGCGGCGATGCGCGAGACGACTGCCTCGTAAAATGCAGACCCACCGGCCTAGCCTATATCTACTGCGTGAGCAGCTGCTTTACCAAGGCGTTGTGGGTAAGTCACAAACTTTCCCCCGATTCTCCTAAACCACTCGCATGTCTCTTCAGTAAGACTAAAGCCATGAGCAGTGCAAAGCGGACGATTAAACGCGATGCTCCAGAGGAGAGCTCCTACTAGATCCATCACGTCGACATCCGTCCCTCATCTCAAAAACACGCTTCTGTAGCGCTTAAGCGTCGACAGGACCGTCTACAGATAGTTCAAAGTATTAGAGCCCCATCTCTCAGGGCAATGAAGTATATATATATTTTGTTTCTACTGGAATCTCATAGTAAAGCAAACGGATACACAATTAAGAACAGAGTTACAACAATACTGAAATTTTGTGAAAATGCTTGTTCCATTCCGAAAACTCTTTTGTTGTGAACCGGTTCTAATAACACAATATTTATCTGTGTAGTCTCTCTTATATTTTTATGCTAATGGGGCTATTTTATGTTTCCCCATGTATCACAGCAACACAGGCAATTATAAAGAGAATGCGTCAAAGGCAGAATAAATTGATTTGAAACTGCCTTTACAAAATTATGTTCTGATTAGCGCATGGCTCCTGAGCATAGTGTGGAGTGACTCCTGTACTGGAGAAAGGTAGATTAAAACATTGCTCTCAAGCACTGATTTGGTCTCCTCGGACTTCCCCGCCTACCCACTATTGCTGTATCCATTGTAATTAATTTTAGGTAGTTTGGTTATCTTTAAGGGATTAATATATTCGCCTGGACAATACTAAACAAGTCACCCGGCCGTCATTCCAATCACACCTGAGGGTATACTTTTCCTATTTTCCGATTCCCTATTTATTCCTTTCTTTCTTTATATTGAGAATAGGGTCATCGATCCAAGGGATATAATTACCTAGCTAGGCGTATAGGCGCGTCAGTCAGGCTGTATTGCATAAGTAGAGAGGCTTGGAAGAGTAATTGGCTAGGTAGTAAGCCAATTCAACGCATATTTCAACAGTTCACTTATCCTTATCTAACGCCGTCATTTAAAGATCGAATATTTTCTAAGAGATCCAAAGCTAAGACTGTCATATAAGATCAATAACAGACACACCTCCAAGGGAACACAAAATGAGAAAAGCTAGTGTTTGTCTAGCAATGAACCGGACTACGTACCTGCATCCACTAGCCTTGGCGCGATGGAGAATATGGTGTGGAATCTATTGGTTGTATGTGGCTCTCACAAGTGAATGCGATAGACCGTATTTTATTCCTAAATCTCACTAAATGGTGGCGAATCTCTTCATCAAGTTCTCGTTGTGCTCCGTAGCTTCAAAGGAATTGCTTATCCGCATTGTCTCAGCATCTGAACTCTTAGGATGGCACTCCAAGAGCCCCTTGTATTACTCACCCGATATTTAACCAATCATCCTTCTCATATAATGCTGTGAACAGCTACCAAGACATTTAGGTGTGGCTGAGTTGGCAATAATGCCAAGCCTAAACGATCATACGAGTGTCCTGGCGTGCCGATGCCCGCAGATAGTTCCATCCGCGGAAGGGCGGGTGCTGACATGGATCAGCCAGCAGGCCAGTAGCATCGTAAGAGCATATCACCGAGGGTGTCTAGTTCAATGCTACCTCATTTCCATGGCTTAGGCTTCCATTTTCAATTCTCGCATTTAGCATCCGTGTTCAAAGCTAGTAGGCTATTTCAACTGTAGCTATACCACCTGTCGCCCTGCAGCTTTGAGAGCGGTACATGTAGACGGTTGCGCAGAAAGTCACCGCCTCGCAGAGGGCCACCAGCGACCGAATGACATTTGCTTTCGGCAAAGATAGGATTCGTAACGCAATTGACGCCTGGATGCATGCTTCTCCCTTGCATCATGAGCTAAATCTGCAGCCGAGTCAGTAGCCAATCAATTCTGCTGTATGTCTGGTGAACCGCCCCCAACTCGTCTAAACACGCTGACCGGGGAGTTGATAGGTAACATTTTCCGGGCGATGGCTGTTCCGAGTCAATGTGACCTCCTCCTCCTCATTCAGCTTGCTTTCTCCGCATGCTAAGATCTCTGGGTCAGATCCCACGACCCCATAAAACAATCCCCTGGGAAATATTTTCCAGAAAACAATACCAAAACAATATCCAAGAACAAACTATCCCAAGACAGAGAACAATAACGCCGTTCCTGGGACACGGCCATTTCACCATGCAACACGACGTCTCAAGGCTCATGATTAGCCGGTGGCCAGGGTGGAAAGATGAAAATGAAGTACAGGAAGCTACAAAGCTACCCCTCTTACTCTCAAGGGTCATGGAAGGCCTCCCAATCACATCACAAAGTCCCTTTCTGGCCCTACCTCTGGAAGTTCTGGTCCAAATAATGGCCTTAATCGCAGATGATAGAGACGCCTTATCTACTCTCGCTCTACTAAACAGCGACTGCAGACAATTAGCTCGCTCTTTTCAATTTGTCGACGTCTGCTTTGATTATGGGCCGCTGTCAACAAAGCTTCTGGAGCGACTCTTGGACGAAGCCCAAGCTAGAGCGGATGCTGCCAGCGACAATGCAAATACGTTGTTTATTGGCTCTTGTATCCGTCGAGTCACAGTCAATCCCAAGCCGCAGCACGTTGCTGCAACACATAAAGACCTTTGGGATGCCAGGGGGTCTGGATCTGTTCGGTCTCGCCAACAGATGAATGACCTACGCAACAATGCAGGAGATGATTACCTCAAAAACTACCGCCGACCTATTCTCACGGTTTTGGCCCAAGCCATGCCCAATCTCGATAGCCTCTTATGGCATGATGGGATGTGCCTCGATATCGAGGTCTTTAAAACATTGACACGTCTGCCCTTGCAGAATCTCAAGTTTTCTGGAGCCTATATCGGTGTACCGCTTTCTCTAGAGCCACCAGTTGTACCACAGCATGTGCCGTTACGATCACTTTCCCTGGGCGCGAGTCCTTGTATAGACGGCACACACATAAGAGGGGGGACGAGCAGTGGTAGTGGTAACCGTAAGAGAACCACAAAACTATCTTCATTTATATCAAGCTTCCTGAATCTTTGCTGTGGGTCATTAGAGAGCCTTACCATTAAAGACTCCGGCCCCAAAGCAGAATTTCTGGGTCACGAGAATATGGTGTTTCCCCATCTGCGGTACCTCGACCTTGCTTCTGCATCGAGCTATCCCGACGCGGTGGCTTGGTCGTCGTTCATGGCTGCACCACTGAAGCACCTGTCATTGCCTCTAGATGGCATTAGTTCATCCCAACAATTTCTGTCGGATTGCCCGACCCTTGAAGGACTTGAAACGCTAGTTGTGCCGTCTCTCTATATAGAAGCGCATCTGGCAAAGCTAGTCGTCGACTTTATCTTGAAGCAATCTCAAGTCAGCAAACTCTCTGTCCAAAACGGCACACCGTATTTTCTGGATCGGCATATACTTCCAGCATTAGCTAGTGGGAAATGGTCAAATCTCACCTCCCTTTCGATATCATGGCTAGCCCGACGAATTACCACGGAACCAGGCACCAATGTAGTCTATACTCAAATTCCCTCTCAATCTCTAGCTGCTATCAATCGCATCAAATCACTGGAGCAGCTCTGTCTCGGCGCTGATGATGCCGCCAGCCGGCGTCATCATTGGATCCCCTACCATAAAGACTTGCGACTACGCCTCCAAGGTTTGAAGAATCTTCGAAGGCTTGCCTTCTCGGGAGACACATATAAGAATCCAGATAAGGCACCATTCAGTGATTTGGAGAGTTATTACAGGGATCGGTGGTTGACGCAGCGAGTGTATGATGACGCAATGGAACGCCAGCACTTGGATCCCGCTGAGTATTTTTTGAGGCCGAGACTTATACATGGCGCTCACGCAACATCTTTTGGTGATGCTATCGGCAATATTACCATTGGAGAAGATGCCGAATTTGGCTCTGTCAATGGGAACACCGATAACAGCATTCCAAATGACATGATCTGGGAGCGTTCTCACCGCAACCGCATGCTCCGGGAAGCAGAGAAATATGCAAGTGTCTTCCGAAAGTTGAACTGGATATTCTGCGGCCAGTTACCTATATCAGTTAAGGCAACAGAGGGATCAGGAGAGCCAGTCTTCGAAGCCACGCCTCTAAGCAAGCGCAGGGATCGTTTCTCAAGCACCTTGACACCAATCTTTGAGATGAGAGGAGATGCCTGATTAAATCTTCTCTATATGGGTTTTTTTTTTTTTTTTTTTTTTTTTTTTATCTGTCTTTTTGAATTACATTATTGATGTCTGGCTTCTCGAGCCAGACTTTCCTTGGGAAGGGGATTTATGAAGTAGCAATGGAAATGGAGCCAAGGGCTCTTTTTATGCCATTTACTTTCGTTTTGTATGGTCAATCTTATATGCCATTTTCTTTATTCCGTGTCCCACGAATGAATAACAACACATCGATCTTGAATTAAGATGAAGCATGAGCGGCTTCAAGGCAAACATTGAGTCGCGGTTTGTACCCGTGCAATCTTCAATGTAAATACGGCATCTCTAAATAAACCTAAAATCATCTCTATATCAACTACCACTTTATTCTTCGTGCTCCGCCTCCACAATGAGGGAACGCTGCTGCAACTGTTAAATCCGATTACCCGGTCGATTACCCGCCAACGATGTCAGCTTCAGTTGGATGTGTATCGTCGACTTGAGCGCTTCGGGAATGGACACGATAGTCGAGATGTAAAACAGAAATATTGTCAAAATCTCTTAGTTTATTCTTGGATGTCTATGTTTTAAATAAATGGCAATGCGACATCTCTTTGTCGACAGTCTATGCTCATAATCTTCTGCCCTTTGCTTTATTTTAATATGTCATCAATTTCTCCCTCGATCCCCGTCCGAAACCCGGGCCGTATTAGTCATCCGTTCTGCAACTCCAAAGGCTTCAACATGCGCCCAATTATTTTACATTCATATACCAACTTATTCACTTTATGCCATCACAACTCAGCGTCAGCATTTCACTCATAATCATACTACTCGTTCGCTGAAGGTATACTAATGTACAATCTCGATACATTTGCGACTGTAAAATGCGCACAACCCTCCGGAGATCCTGCAACGCGTGCGCAAAGGCGAAGCTCGGCTGTGATCTCCGAATCCCCCAGTGCTCTCGGTGTATCAAGAGAAACTCCAAATGTGTATATGCGAATAAACCACTGAATTCGCCGCTGGATGCAACCGGCTCACCTACAGTGGCCACTGGCTACAGTCCACCGACTGGTAACAATAGCAACGAGGTGTTTTCTGCCTTGTCACAAGATGGGGAGACAGTATCTCGATTTTCGGAAAATCCGGCTTGGATACAAAACCCTGCCACCGCCTCTTTTGATCCATTTGATTCATATCCACCGACAAGACTGCCTAGACTACATGTTCAACGCCTGATCCATCGGTGTATGTAGCTTCTCTTCATCCTGCATCAAAGTCTACGTGCAACTGACCTGCGAATCTTGACAGTCCTGTCCAGCATTGCGTTTCAGTACTATCCGTTAGACCTTAATATGGAATCTAACCCTTTCATTGTTTCTTGGTGGCCTCTTGCACTTGCAGACCAGGCGCTGTTTCATGTGTCGTTACAGACTGCATCTCTTTATGAGGAGCTGCAGGCACAGAAGGGATTCCCGATTTCAGACCTTCTGATGGTCGATTCAATTGCTTTGGTGAGACGAAGAATTGAAGATTCATCATTAGCATTCCAAGATGAGACGCTCGACTCCGTGGTGACGTTAGCCGCGATTGAGGTAATATGCCTACCTTCTGGCGGATGAGCCTTTCTTGCTGACGCGACATATGAATAGCATGGGAAGGGGAATATTGAAGCTAGCAGAATGCACATTGATGGAGTCAAAAGAATGGTCAGCATCAGGGGCGGGATCGATGAGTTAAAGCAGAGAAGCCCGCTCACAGCGAGAATGGTTTCATGGTGAGTGTTGCCCACATGAATGACGAGAATGGCTGTTGAATGGCTTGTACAGGGTATCGTTGCTTGTCATGGAGGAGCCTCAATTCCCAACTAAGGATGACTCTGGTCAAGGAGATGGGATTAGTGCAATACCTCAGTGGCAGATTGTTTCGACAGATGCGGAGACACACAACGCGAACTTGGATAAACTAAATATCACACCGGCCATGAGCAACATCCTGTCCCGACTCAGAAGCATCTTCCATCATTCGAGCTTAACCAATACGCAGCTGCATGATCTAACCTGTTTTGTTATGCACAAGCTGCTGCTACTGCCTCCATCCACGGATGCAAACGCAAACCCAGTGCAATCAGCCGCTTCTGAGTGCCTCCGATACGCGACTGCACTTTATATGCTAATCTTACACGGCACCACATATTATTCCCATGTTGGGTTAGCGAATGCTATCATTCTTCAGCTTAAGAGCCACCTGGCGACAATGCTGAGAAATGACAGTATCCGCGATCCACTGGGGATCTGGGCTATTTCCGTCGGTATGGTGGCCACTGTTTGCACCAGGAACCACGAATGGTTCACGGATCAAGCGTGTGTGGCTGCAGCAGCTCTCGGCTTGAACACATGGGAGGACGTTCTCACATATCTGCAGAGCATCCTTTGGGTAAGGGTGCCTCAAGAAGAACTCTTCCGCCAGGAATGGGAGGAAGCCTTAAAGATGGCTGCAAAATGAGGTTAGCAGATTGCGGGTTTCATGGAAGTCATCCAATTAAACTGTGGGCTCTTTCGATTCTCATCATGACATCCAATCGAAGCTCGGGGCATAACCAGGATTATGCGAAAGTCTGTCATGCTCGACTCCACAGGCACAACCCATGAATTCGGAGTCTAGAACTAATTAGGACTAGACTCCGAATGTCTAATTCACGGCGGTTGTTCCGGAGCAATTAGCTTCAACATTGGGGATCCCACAATTGTGTGTGTCTTGCTCAAACCTCTCTCGGGGTTTAGTACACAACTGGCTACTACACGCTGAGAAATGCCAGAGATGGCGATAATACGAGTACGAAGAATATTCGAAACAATTTGCGGATACGGGTCGTGCCGTCTGCTCGGATTACCGTCGCACATCTGACCACTTTCTGATGGCCTGAGACTATACCATTGGCCAATTTAACACTGAGATGATTACGTGAAGATGAAGATACCGGCCACTGGCGCACATTTAAAAACAACCGTCGCCCAGAAAGCTGCCTGTTGTCCAGACGCTTTTGTAACCCCTTAACAATATACGCTGTGGTTGACGAGCTCTAAGAACGCCATGGCCACCCTCGTTGAAGGCAGTATGCCACTCTCTATTGAGAGTGCAGCCAATGTTACTCAGCATGGCTCCTCAAAGCTGCTTGGGGGCTTTCTGGAAAATTATTCAAGCTGGCAGATTGCCATCACGGCGTTTCTTTTCCTAATTGTCTATGATCAGTGTATGTATGCTTCAGGTCTTTGACGAGTCTATGGCTCGCTGATACAAGTACAGTGTTATACCTCAAGCAGAAGGGCTCTATAGCTGGACCTACGTTCAAGATCCCAATCATGGGGCCGTTTTTGCAAGCCATCTACCCAAAGTTTGATGCGTATCTTGCTCAATGGGCCAGCGGCCCCCTCAGCTGCGTATCTGTATTTCACAAGTAAGCTTTCCACATACATCTGGCGCTGCCATTGTGTGATATTTAGGATTGGGCTAAGTTTTCATAGGTTTGTTGTCCTAGCCTCAGACCGCGACCTGGCACACAAAGTCTTCAAATCGCCCACATTCGTTAGACCATGCCTCGTTCCGATGGCGATAAACATTATGCGTCCGACCGCATGGGTGTTCCTCAATGGAAAGGCACATGCCGAGTTCCGCAGAGGATTAACTGGACTGTTTACAAACAAGGCTCTCAGCACCTATCTACCTGTTCAGGAAAAGGTCTATTCGGATTACTTCAACAGATTTGTCGAGCATAGCAAGGCCAATGGAGGAAAGCCTACGAAATTCATGGGATGGTTCAGAGAGATCAACTGCGCCCTATCCTGCCGGACGTTCTTTGGAGACTACATCTCCCAGGAGGCAGTCAAGAGAATCGCAGACGATTTCTACCTCATCACCGATGCTCTCGAGCTTGTCAACATCCCACTCTCCATCCATGTCCCATTCACCAAGTGCTGGCGAGGGAAGCGCACGGCGGATATTGTACTGGCCGAGTTTACAAAGTGCGCTGCTGCATGCAAGGCCAACATGGCCTCTGGAGCTCACCCTACATGCATCGTTGACCAGTGGGTTCAGCACATGTTTGAGTCCAAGAAGTATAATGAGGACATTGCCGCGGGTAAAGAGGGAATCGAGAAGCCGACAAATCTTATCCGCGAATTCTCAGACGAAGAGATTGCTCAGACATTGTTCACCTTTCTCTTTGCCTCTCAAGATGCCTCTAGCAGTGCCACCACATGGCTTTTCCAGATTCTGGCTCAGAGGCCTGACGTTTTGGACCGTCTGCGAGCAGAGAATCTGGCAGCAAGAGGCGGCGATAGGAACAAACCGTTTGAGCTTGAGATGTTTGAGTCGCTGACTTATACCAATGCTGTGGTGAAGGAACTTCTTCGCTATCGCCCGCCAGTCATCTTTGTACCTTACCTTGCCACGAAGGCGTTTCCGGTTACTCCCGACTACACCGTGCCTAAGAATGCCATGATTATCCCATCTTGTTACCCGGCTCTCCACGACCCGGTAGCTTACCCGAATCCCGATACTTTTGATCCCGAGCGGTGGATCACAGGCGATGCTGAGACTAAGACTAAGAACTGGCTTGTTTTTGGTGCTGGTGCACATGATTGTCTTGCTCGACGTTATGTGCCACTCACCATGGCGGCCATGATTGGCAAGGCTTCGTTGGAGCTTGATTGGGTCCACCACGCGACACCTCGGTCGGAGGAGATTCGAGTTTTCGCCACCCTGTTTCCTATGGTATGTTGAAAATTTACAATACTCTGTCTGACAAGAGCGGCCCATGGTAGGTATTTGAGCTAACGGTATACCTAGGATGAATGCCCTCTCGTCTTTACAAAGCGGGAATAAATTTATGATCATAAAAGTTTCTACTATTACTATTAATACGCCCGACTAGCAATATCAGATACTGGTTTAACAGGAATTTTTTTTTATTACACAGAGAACTATTGCTCCTCCATTTCAAATGTATGGCGGGAGACAAGAATGCCTTCTTACAGCGAGGGCTGAAATATGGGGAATTCGGAAAATGAAAGTGCAATGACTACTAGAATTTAATGCATCATCAACCCTTTTGTAGAGAAGATCAGTCTAGAAAAAGCTGGTACATTATGAATTTAATCTTCTGACTATTCGATCACGATTTATCACGAAGGATTCTGGATTCTATAATACAAGTTCTATCCGAAAGGAACTATTATACTAGTACAAATGAAAATTATGAGCAATGGGCAAGGAAGTACCCATGTATTGGTGCATGTAAAGCGAGAGAAATGAAGCGTCACATTTAAGCAGTTTTAAGATGCTCTTGTGCAAGCTTCGTCGAAAATTGTTTCTGGCTCAAGACAAATCGGTCCTGCCAAGTTGCCGTTTGTTAGTCTCATACAAGGTTCAGCAGTCAATATTACAGTGAAATTCTTACAATAGCACCCTGAGGCAGAAGCCATAGAGCCCAACGCACAAGACTGGCGCCGCCTCCAACCCAATGCTTGCCAGTGGTTCCCTTCTCAACCTGGTTCAAAACATCTTGAGCAAATAGCTCCGGTTTCATACCATAGGGGTTCTCTTCTGGAATTTCTTCGATGATGTCCTTGACGGAATGATAGTATGAGTTTTCTGGGAAGGTCAAAATTTGTAAGTTGATGAAGAATTTTGTTGCAATGCCGCCCGTAATGAGTGAGATGACGCGAACTCCAAGAGGAGCCATTTCAAGACGCCAAGTCTCGCCTGCTTGAATCAGGGCTGCTTTGGTAGCGTTATAGATGCCTAAGTGTATGCAGGTTAGCTTAACATTTTTGTATAAGGTGGAAATAGCTGTGAGTACATACTTGAGAAAGCAAATGGAACAACACCACCGACAGAGGAATTGTTGACCACGCAGCCCCGAGCTGCAACTAACATGGGGCTAAAAGCTTGCATCATGGCAAGGACACCAAAGAAGTTGAGGTCAAATAGCTTCTTGGCTTCATCAATGGAGGTATCCAGACCTGGCATGTTCAAGCCGAGGCCAGCATTGTTAATAAGAACGTCGAGTTTCTCTGTGTGCTTTCGAACTTCCTCCAGAGCAGATGAGATGGATTCCATGGATGTCACGTCAAGCGCAATGACAGTAACATTAGGTGCGTCGTGTAGGCTTTGTGGTACTTTGGAGGGTGTGCGCGCTGTTGCAAAGACATGATAGCCTTTGTTCTTGAAGGCCTCTGCGAAAGCTGGACCAACTCCGCCGGCGGAGCAGCCAGTGACAAGACAAGTCTTTCTAGTAAGAGCCATTGTTTGATATGAATAAGTTGCTATGCTTTAGTATCTGAAAAGAATGTAAGTAGACATAACCGGAGATGTCTTTCAGCCTCGAATAAGACTAGATGTACTCATTTATATATACTTCTCGACTCTCTACAACAATTACCCTTTATCTACGTACTCACATTTCCGGCAACACAGCTTCCCGGTGTCGAAGATGTCGAATTCTAGTGCCCGCCCCGCCGCCACCTCAACCTCCCTGTTCCGCAGCATTGATCCCAAATGTCAGCTTGGCGGAGCCTCCAGCTGGTCAGACATGATTGGCCGCAATCTCCGGAAGCGACACGCCATTGGCTCACAACTCCGGATATGCTTTAGGATATCTAGCGGTCCCCGAAAAGGGCGAAGAATCAATTAGTCTCAACGATCCTTCTCCTTTCTGCTTCTTATTTCATATCCTTTTCAGCTATCTGATTTGCCAGATATACCGAAATTCCGGGATGCCTGTAAGCCGCGCAAAATCCTGCGATAACTGCCGCGCGGCCAAGACACGATGTTCTTTGGCTACTCCGTGCATGCGATGTGCCAAACGAAGTCTTGAGTGTCACTATTCGCCGGCTCGCAATCGTGCATCTAATTCTCAACGGTGGCGAAGGGATTTTCGACCAATATTGCCTGTTACGGATGATTTGGTAACAACAGAAAAGAATAGCAGCGAGGGCGATCCACCCATCAAGTGTGCAACCTCCATTACCAAGGCTTCTGATGCTATCCTACCAGCTGTATTGTCGACGGTAACGGAGACCTCCCTGTCAAGCTCCGATACAATCCCCGAAGACAGTGATTTTGCGGAAATGGCCAAATTGGTAGATGCGGGTACCAAAACACCTGATCTAGCCATATACCAGACCGACACACCGTCATTTTTTGGCATTACTGGAACCTCGAGTCTTTCGCATACAGTATCGCCGGACTCCGAGAGACTAGGAGCTTCCGATAATGGACCTACGTATTCATATTATGTGGACCCTCTGTCAACCTACAATCCTTTCAGTCTTCCTTGCCCTATGTTGAACACTGGCCTCTTCTCCGCATCTTCCCATATACTGGCTTCCATCGACTTTAGTAGCTCGGACCTTCTGACTGAAGGAGTTCATTCGAACGACTTTTTATGCAAACCTCATCTTTCCACTCGTGAGAGGTCATTTCAACAGGGTTCTTTAACAGCGAAAATGTTATTGAGCCAGTTGATCGACTACACTCGCCGAATCGCCGAGGGTAAAAATTTACCGCCCTTTATACACCCTCCATGTTTTCTCAGTCAAGATGAATGTCCCCCAGACGCGCCACATAGCTGTCTTCCTAAAGCACTAGCGATTTGTAGAAGTCTGACACAAATGTTTTATTCACGTACCCCAGGAAGTAATGGCTTTATATGGGAACAGATATACACTCATCTACACCAGATGCATGCAGAGGTGAGCCTATTATACAATATAGCCCATACAGGAATATGGGCTAACCTTTGTCGTCCTTAGTTTAAAAGTTACGATAAACAGAGTTTGCTGCCTGCTTTGCAAGCGGCTATCATCTATGGCTTGTTACGGTCACAATGCAGCGAGTTCGTAGGAAATGAAGACACTGAATGGTTGATATCAACCGTAGAGGTAGGTTGTCAAATTCACTCAAATGACACTACATATGACGATCACTGACAGGTGTCGGATGATCAGACATTTGCTCGAAGGTTATTCAGTATGTCTTCATGGGACATAGATATAAACTATATACAATCATCACGAAGCAGCTGGGCTTTTGCGGAGAGCCTAAGAAGGTATGGACTACAAACACCGGATTGGTTTAGTCATTCGCAGTCAATTTGAGATCATCAGCTGAATACTAACCTTCTTAGAATCGCATGTCTTATGTATCTACTCGATCTATTGCTCAACAACAATACTCAAAGTCCTTCGAGAGGGAAATGCCCAGAGTTTATCAACTTGCCCTTGCCTTGCACCAGAGAGTTATGGCAACCAATATCAGATAGAGATTGGAAGAAGCGATATAATGAAGAAATAACCTCTAAGAATGCGAAGGGAAGAGGGGGGTTGACAATGGGTAATTTATTTTTACTAAGACGATCATTATCGCGCGGCGATGACTTTCAAGAGACTGGAAAAGCTGAGGTTGCTAAAGAGCTGTCCGGATGGGTCGAAAAAGTGGACGACTTATCCATGCTGCTGTGGCTGGCGCTCACACTAGAAGGTGAAGGGCAAGCTCAGATGATCCAAGGAAATTTGAGCATAGCATGACAGATTGGTTGTAAACCCGGGGATATAATGACCATACCTTACTCAAGCGCAAGGAATGGTAATATGGCAGCATATTTGTTTAAATTGGCTGAGAGTTGCTAAATGCAGGGAGACCGTTCTTCATCCACCATTCCAACTCTATGCAATGAAGTGATACCTCAACCCCGGGCCAGTTACTGTACCTCTGCATAACAAACGGAAATGGCAACTCACGCTTCTTAGTCCATCCATCGTCTCCCTGTCCTGCCTCCGAGTCCGCCCTTAACTTGGTAAATTGCTCCATGAACCTCGAGCGATTTTCCACCATTCTCTCTGCAGTGTTTGGCGTGCAAATATGCGCAAATTGTACTTGATGAATGCTCCATGGTGGGAACTCCTCGCGTCTCGCCGGAAACTTCTGATGGGGCCTACAAAACTTTTTGTTAAACTGTTCGATATCTTCTTTCTCCTTTTTATATTCTTCTCTCATCTGGCATAGCCTGTCCTCCATAAATGGACTATAGAAGCCATGTTCAAGCTTATGTTGTTTGAGAAGTGTCGCATCTTCTGTAGACTCATGATGCCAGTGCTCCCGAACTCCAAATACATCCAACTCCAAAGTGGTCCATAGAGCATCGGACTCTTCAATTGGTAGCATACACAAGTATTCCCCTCTATAATAAACTGGTGGATTACATGGCGCCGGGCGAAGCAAAGTTGGTTTAACGATTGACTGGCGTAGCGCTTGCGCTGACTCGGTAGCACTCCATTCGACAAGGATGAGTTCTTTGAGTTCTGGACAAAGCTTATGCGCAAGAAACAAGCGACTGGGGTGTGAATACTTGGCCAATGCTAATCGCCGGATTTGAGATATATCTTGAGGTCTGAATTGATGAAAAGTATGTGGAATCCTGGCAATCTCCGTCTCTTTCGGTCCGTACGGATCGGCATCACTGCAGTCAAAGTCGTTGTCCAATAATAGTATATCCCGACGAAAATTAAACCATGTGCGCGGATCTTGGGCAGTGGAAGGAAATGCAAGCTGGTATCCGTAACTGATGAGAAAGGAACGTGACTCGGAACAAGTCTGCAGGAGCGGTGGAATGGCTGCTTTGCAGGAGACTGTGGCTCTTCGGTACATAGGAAATGCCAAAGTGGCGATTTGCATTAAAACATCGAATGGAATAATTGATTCAAATTCCCAAGAGAAATGTGCCCTCTTGCTGCTGGTGAATCCGTATGCCTCAAGCTTTGTTTGCTTGAAAAGTGGTCGTCTTTGATGACGAAGAACGCCAGAAGCCTCGAGGAGAAACTCATAGAAGGAAGAATAATCGATGTCCGGGCGCAAATTCCGCTTGGCGATTGTAATACGCGGTAACCTCCTTTTGAAATCCTCCAAGCTTTCCAGCTGTTGATGGAGATGAACGACCCGAGGCGGTGTGGCAAAAACGTATATAGCCGCGCGGATTTCAGCTGGCAGTAGAGGGAAAAGATGAAAAGTAGTCATTTTTGTGCCTTATTTGAATGCAAATCACTCTAATTTGATACTGGAAAGAGGCATCTCCTCCTCTATGGTGCAGTTGTGATGTTGAAGATTGCATGTACTCCGTACGCTGCGGTGGATTTCGGATGCGGTGGGTAAACTCGCCGAAGAAGTAACCAATAATTCCATACGAGTGCCTCTAGATTACTATACATTAACCTGCCGCTATGTTGAAACCCCGCAGAGGAGGTTCTTGGACTGGAGGCACTTCTGACTGCAGGCTATTTCAATAGTTGATGAATCCCCGTACCTCAAATTCTAAGCGAGCATCTCCTGTGTGCTATTATTAGGGACAGAGAAGGCTAAGCGTTTAGTGCTCTAAGAGTTATACATACTAAGCTCACCGACAAATACTGTCAGGCCAACACCGCGAAGTATCCAGGTGTCTTCGAAATGCCTCTACTGGTACCAAATGCGCAGCGCGACAGAAAGCTAAGCTCAAGATACAGAACATTTCATGAGCAACGCAGCCTGGGGCCCTCGCTACTGGACCGAAATTATGGGGGTTTCAGAGCTCGGGATTAGTGAATTTACCAAGATAGAACCTATTGGACAGAACTGTACAAAAAGAAGACTTGACGCATTTTGCATTCTGCGAGATGCCGCGAATCTGAGCGGATGGCAGTTGTCAGCTCTAGTAACCTTATCGGATGAGGAGGATGAACCCAGGGAAATTGTGTACATGCTACCTCGGTACACATATGGATTGCTAAGAGCATCGACATTCGATCCAGTGTAACATGGCAATACACACTTGACGACAATGCTATTTCACTTATTACGGCCCCGGCAACTTGGAAGTCTCGGCAATTTAATTATGAACTTCAATTTACCTATTGTTGCTAACTAGCAGTTTGAGAGTATTGTTATATCTCTGGCCTCAGCCTTTATCTTTCTTCTTTGTATCTGAGAAAGGAAAATTGCCACATCCATAAAATAAGCAATGCTGCAAGAGTAGCCAATCTAGCCATCTATTCCGTGTTTGGTCAATATTGTATCTGCGATGAATTCATTGATCATTTGCCGGCATCTCTTGGCTCATCAAAACGGCACACGCTTTATACAGTACGGCTCTTTGTGTCCCTAGGGCGCCACCTTACCGTCTCTGGTCCGATACTGTATGTAGGTACAGAGTAGCAAACTTTTGGCAATCACACACCAATTCCTTCAAACCTAGAGAGCTGCATTTTATCCGCTTTTTTTTTCTTTGCTTCGGCACTCTTGTTTTTCGGAAGATCCTTGTCATGGATGCCCTCCAATGTCGGGTTTTCTAAACCCTTTCGGCAAGGTTGCGTTTAGCTGCGTCCAAGTTAGTCGAATTCTCACACTGATTCGACTTTGCCGAGGCATTGCAGCGATTTCCACCTCACATGAGAAAGACTAAATGGCTATATTCACCATTTATGAAGCTTTGGCGCCATTCTGCACGTAACATCGTGATTTGATATAAGCATGAATCCGGCTTTTCACGGCATTGTTGTGGTTAGGTTTATTCCCATGTGCCGGTCATCTTTCTCCGCACCGACTCCGAACTCCTCACAAATGAAGTGTAAATTACGCCTTTGGGTCGGGTGAGCGGAGGAAACATTAATATATATACAATTCATCGATTGCAGAGAAAGTAGCCTTCGTACATCTTCATTCAGTACTTGTGTCCTTGCATGTGCTTATTAGTTGGCCACAGAAATAATCTCAAACTGGAAGTAGACCACCACCGAGTCTTGCAATCCCCGCACCCTCAAAATGGCGTCTACCGAAGCCGAAACATCGTCTGTGCAAGTCACCAAATCTGATGACGGCATCACTATCATTGCCATCAACAGACAACGCCGCAGAAATGCGGTTGACGGTCCCACTGCGCGAAAGCTGCACGCGGCCTTTCTAGCCTTCGAGGACGACGACAGCCAGAAAGTCTGCGTCTTTCACGGCGACCACGGCTTCTTTTGTGCGGGCTTCGACCTACACGAAGTGGCCAAGTGGAGCGGCCCGGGAGACAACGAGTACCTTGGCCCAATTGTTGATGCCTCTCACACCGTGACGGGCGGCCGTCAGATCGGCCCCATCGGCCCCTCAAGGCTCCAGATCAACAAGCCCGTTATCTGTGCCGTTGCGGGTTATGCCGTTGCGGGAGGCATGGAGCTCTCTCTGATTGGCGACATCCGCGTCGTTGAAGAAGACGCCATCTTTGGTGTCTTTTGCCGGCGCTTTGGCGTACCGCTCATTGATGGCGGAACGGTCCGACTGCAGGCAATTGTTGGTCTTGGTCGAGCCCTGGATCTGATCCTTACCGGCAGACCAGTAGGAGCCCAGGAAGCTCTTCAGATGGGCCTCGCAAACCGCGTTGTCCCCAAGGGCCAGTCTCTTGAAGAGGCCAAAAAGATTGCGAAGCAGCTACTGGCATTCCCTCAGCTTTGTATGAACGTGGATCGGGCAAACTGCTACTACTCGGCTTACAACGCGACATCTTTCGAGGATGCACTGAGAAATGAGTTTGTCAATGGGGCTCCAGTAGTCACCACAGAGAGTGTCAAGGGAGCAGCTCAGTTTAGTGCCGGGGCTGGAAGACATGGTGTTTTCAAAAACGCGGATAACTCGAACCTTTAGATACCTACCTCCACTTTATGTGCAATATTACTGACTTGAAGACCTGGATATTTCCCGTTACATCCATCACCTTGCCGATACTTCATTCTTTTTTTGTTGGTGTATTAGGAATAGTAGATGTACGTGCTCAACAGCATCTGTAGCTCTTATTCGCAAATGCGGTAAAACACCTATTGACAACTCTCGTATTCAATCCCTTCATTCAGGAGACTGTTTAGAATAGACTCAGTGCAAGGCATTATTCTCTTTTCCTACCTACCTATTGAGATCTTGAGTCTTATGGCCAAAGCGCAAACATCACGTATATTTTGGTACATCCTCTAGCCAATCCGGTGATAGTGTACCTCGTATCTACATGCCGAGGCGCGCCCTGTGAACGATTTTAGCGCTTAGGTAATTTTCGTATAAAGCTGAATGCCTTCACGCGAGGAAATCCATGCTCGGGCATTGCCTATTTACAACAAATTCGAACAAGTCACAGTGACATATCACGAGAATACGCCTTGGAAGTTCATCTTTATTAAACCGCCAATCGGTCCTTATCACCATGTCTGTACTCGCAAGCGATCCTGGCGAGAAGTCACTTGCCAAACTCTTAGCGACTCTCACCACCACCCTGCATGACACTATTTTTGTCTTTGCAACACTTACCGATGCATCGGATCTCCCGCCCCTGGAAGAAACACAGCTGTTGTTCAAAGAAAAAGAGGGAATCACAGTTATAGTCAGCAGGGAATATGCGACAGCCCATAATATTGACTTTTTCTTCCCTTGCAAGATGATTACACTCAACGTAACTTCAAGCTTGGAAGCTGTCGGCTTCATGGCAGTCATAGCAACGAAGTTGGCAGAATACAAGATGGGAGTAAATCCAGTCAGCGGATTCTATCACGACCATCTGTTTATACCACTGGGGAGGGAGCAAGAGGCAGTCGAAGTTCTCGGTCGTCTGGCAGAGGAATTCAAGCAAAAAGAACTGACAGATGACTAGTCGTTATGCTGTAGCTATATACAAAAAGAATAATTTACGTCTCCTGGAATGGATGGAAACAAGATGAATATTGCATCCAAATGCCGTAACCGGAAATTCTCTTCCTCATAGGGACATTAAGTACACCCATCAATTTAATCGGATAAGCCACTTCACTCTACATAGCATCAAGGCATCATCTATCATATCCAGGTAGAACCATTCATCTGTGGCGGAACATCTAATATAGGCTGAAAATCTGCATGTAGATCTAGTATGAGCCTCCAATCTTCGTTGCTGCTCGGGATCCATGTACCTGACGAGATGGCGATTAAACTCCCATCAGTTCAGTCTACATTTGCACCAACACTAAACTCTCGGCAATTGTACTTTGATTTTATTGGATTTTCACTACTATTGCTAGTTGAGGGGTAAAACACATCAAACTTAAACCCCGTGAGTTTTCACAACACCATTGAGGCCCCTTTCTCTACAAGAGCTTGCATTTTAAAGACTTACTATCCTGCGCTGACTACCTAGAAAAGAGCCTTTTCTAGACGTTGAGCTCAGCAGTAGCAGTTTCAGCGATGTACTTCATATACGGCGCCAGCTTTTTCTCCACTGGGCTGCCAGCTCCGCAGTACTTCTCTACGATCTCTACGCTGCGGCCAATGTAGCTGTAACAATGTGTTAGTCCCGTTTCAATGCGGCCCTTACAAAACTTCAGGGCGGGCATATTCCAACAGAGCAACTGAAGCGGCCATATCGGCAAGAGAATACGTACAGTTCAGGTCGGAGCATGCCATCCAGTTGGCTCCAGATAGGCTTAAAGAACTCGGTGCGTTGAATTCGCGAGACGAGGTCATTTGGTTTGCCCTATAGCAACGATGGTTATTATAGGCATGATTGATATGGGTTGTGATGTTACACGTGAAATCAGAAATGGTGGGGTAGATAAAACAAGGTCCTTCATACCTCATTTTTCACAACGCTTCCGGCTTGGTGTGAGAGAACACGAATCTCTTCATGGGTGCTAGATAGGAGTCAGTATCAGTAGAACGTATAAAGGGTGGGGTGATTACTCTTGTCTGGATGCTCCATGTGCAACCATTTTCATGATAATCTATACGAGTCAGCAGCTGCACTCTTTGATATCCAAGATTTTAGGGAGGGGCTAGCCAAGGAAGAAACGCTTGGGCATGTTCCCGGTCGTGGGTGGGTGAAGCAACTTACGCTCTCCGTAATCATGAAGGGAAGCTCTTCCAGGACTCGAGCTTGGATTCGCTTCGGGTATACTACCAATCCGTTGGAGATGTTGTCAAGCCCAAGGAGGATTGCTTCGGCAAGCAAGAAGGTTTCTTAAAGAGTGAGCTTCGGGTTCTGTTCGTTTCTGAATACTAGCTTACCTGGGATATCAATTCGACGAATAGCAGAATCATCGAGAGTACGCTCAGCCCACTGATCCGACAGGGTATTGGCGAAACTGGCAGGCTTCGACATCAGTTCACGCGCCAAGCTGTACACTCTCTCAGAGCGCATCTATATTAAAGGTTAGAGCTGCATTTTCTCTTAAGTAGCCAGAAGTAAAGACGCACTGGGTTTCGCTTGTAGGCCTATTGAATGCTTCAGGTTAGCGACCTTTCCATAAAGTTGTTTTGAGTGGGCTAACATACCATGGCTGATGATCCGATTTGTGATGCTTCGAAGGGTCTGGGAAATAATCAGCTAACAAACCCCTTTGATGAAACTTCAGGGGATTTGTAAGTCATGTTGAGTCATGTCTCAGGAGTAGAACCCATGAAGCTTTTCATGTAGAACTCCTCCCTGAGACATGCCAAAAAGGGTATTAATCAGACTGGAAGTACATACTCCTCAATCTCCTTCCACGCGGCCAAGTGTCGAATATCTCCGCAGATCTTCTGCGCTGTAGCACCAAGGCCAGCGACAGCATTAGCGACGACCAAGTCCACCTTGCGTGTGCTATATCACCAGGTTAGCCAACATCCGTCTCTCCAAGCCATAGTACGAATAAAATCTGCAGGACAGAGATTAACCGACGGCGGGGAGTCTAACTAAGTCTGTGTGGAAACGTCCTACTCAATATTAGCACGGGCCTTGACGGTTGTAGCAAATGCGGTAAAACAAGTAGTTTATGGACTACTAGGCGCCGCGGGATATGGACTTACATAACATCCAGGGAAACCGAATTTTTCACACAGAAGCTCGTTGAGTTTGTCACACTTGGAAGAGTCTCCTTGAAAGCTAAAAGGTTGGATATCAGTACTGTTCCGTCCTATTTTGTTGCATCAAACGAGAGTGGCTGGAGCAGAAATTGACTCACATTTCCAGGAAGGATGCCTGGGTTCCAGTGGTTCCTATTTAATTATTAGCAATTTGAACGCGTGATTCTATCAGAGGGGAAAAAATAGCTATAAACGTAATCCGAGACTTCCAAATTGGCAAGTCTACAGAATCAGTGATACTAAACAAGCTCAAACCACATACCTTGTGCGCCTCGGAATTTGAGTCCATTTCGAACTTGCTCGATGTTCTCAAGATCAATCTATAATCCAGTCAGATCAGGGTTTGACACACTACAAGGCAAGAGGTATATACGTACCATGAGGTCCTGCACCCACTGAGCAGCTTCAAAGATGTTAGTTCCTGCGGACAACTGTTTGGGAGCCACGAAACTTGCCTCGTTTGCCTACGGTAATAAGTCTGTAGGCTCCTGAGTTAGTATTAAAAACTAGGGCGGGAGGATATGCTTGAGAGTAATATTTCTGAGAAAAAGAAGGGGGGTTGGGGAGGAGAGATGATTTGAAGAAACTCACTGCGCAGGCTGAAGATGGGTATAGGCGAGTGTCGGTTCACCTGTGAGGTTAGCAACGATATTCGAGGTCTTGCAATCACACCACAAAGCCATTGTTGAAGCTAATAGGCACTCAAGACAACGCTTATTCCAGGTGTAATAATCGGCGAAAGACTGGAATACACACCTTTCCACTCCATAGCAAAGGCCGAGAGGTTGCGAATGACCTTGGCCAGTCTTTTCAGAAGCAGATCCAGGGCATCTCGCATAAGGATCAGCTCCGCATTGTCGGTCTTTGGAACAATGTCAGCTTTCCGTTGCCATTTCAGAAGCATTAAGATGATGACTGGTTACTTGGGCAAGAAGACTGTTCAATTGCAAAGCAAATAGCACTGGAAAGACTCACAACGAAGCAGCTGGTGCTGCCGACGTGAATGATGCCGGCTGCGGCTGGGGCAACAACACCAAAGGCGTGGACGTGCTATCAAGCCTTAGCTAGGGCAAGGACAAGCTACAGAGAACTCGAGGCTTACAGCCATGACATCCTGCGACATTGTCAGCCGGAGACACAAAATAATGTATGTGATGGATTGTACAAACATGTCTACGTTTTTTTTCTTCAATACGAGCAACCTCGAAATCGGAGTCAGTAACTACAAGGTGAGCCCGCATCTCATCGAGAGCCTGCTCAGTGATGGCCTCGAGTCCGAGAGCCTTTTCACTCTCGGCAAGACCAAGCCACAACTTGCGCCAAGTCGAATGTCTCGAACGTTGGCTGAACAGAGTTGACATTTCAACGCTGCAGTAGCGAGTGGTCAAGGAGGTTTGGTATGTATCGAAAGGGTTGCCTTGAGCCTGGAGCTTCTGCAGCTTCTGCAGCTCCTGCTGGAGCTCCAGGATTTTCTGCTGGTCCGCGTTGCCTGCCATTTTCGATTCTTTAAAGAGGAAGAAAGAAAAATCGTATCCGTCAGTATCAGATTAGGTCAATGGAACAGCGATATATTCCCCGCAATGAATTCTCAGCGAATCCTCACGATGAATCAATAGCAATGGTAGTAAAATTTTCCATAGAGGGAATACTGTGAATGTGGGGCTTTCCGGAACGGGAAAAGGCAAAAGTCCGGGGTGCCTCAGCTCATTCTCAGCTGAGATGCGGTCATAAAAAACTCACAATGTATATTGTATCTCCTGGGTACGGAGGATAAAATGCTTAAAAGAACCAGTGTTTGGCTTCTCCCAGCTTTAGTCTTTCCTTCTTAGGAGCTTTTGATTGCAGATTCGCAATCTTGTTGATTGTTGATTTGGTTGTTTGTTCAGCCACGTTGTGATAGATTGCGACCAGCTTGCGGCTATTGTGGCAGCGAGAAGAAGTGGTTAGGTTGTTTGATTTCGTTGAGTTGTTTGATCCTCAAAGAAGCGTGCCTTTTATAGCCCGACGGATCGATCAGCCTTGCGTTGTGTTTGAACTTCGTTGTTCGGGCCTTTTTGCGCATGTATTTTGAGTTTGGTGGAAGACGCTCAGTTGTCGGCTGTCGAGTGCATGTATTGTCTTCATACCCAGGTACTTATACATTGCAATGCCTTGCTCTACACACATATACTCTCTGGTCTGCGATTAGCTATTGCTTAAGTTGACGGCATCGTCTTCGTCCTACTTAAACCACTTATCATGGACCGCCCCGCATTGCTAGAGCTCTCGCTGTTGGAGCTCCATGGCGGGGTTGTAGCCATTCAGCGGTAGCGGAGCAGCTCATCCTGGTCGATCCTGAATTAACGGGTTCAGTATGTTCAGGGTTCTTGTGAGACAGTCACGGTAGGCATCCACGTTTGCTGCACTCATGTCTCGCTGAATCAAGGCTAGCCATCTCCTCGCGAACTTCCATGTCGAGCAACCCTCCAAACGTGTTTCGGCGCTTGCGCAGCAGATTCAAGACCCAAAAAGATCATGAGAATCCTGCCAAGCCCTCCACGACCTCTACGCCTGCGACACAGAGTAGAGATGCGTCTCCATCTCGCGCAGAAGCACGTCCTGCTACCGTGCTAAAAGAGGCCACTCTAGAAGCTCTTCCCTTGAATGCACCGGAGCGACTTTGGGATGAGGCTTATGATGCCATTAGGCATGACGATGCCAATCTCGTAGACGGGTACGAGAGGATTCTATCTCAATATCTGCGTGATCGGGGCCTTGTCGCGGATTCAGACATATCGCAACAAAATACCATTGCTGCAAATAGCCCCGATGTACGACGTAAGCAGATGAACGAACTCATTCGTGCTGGCCTTGATAAAACGGCGCGAGAGGCCAAAGTAAAAGACGGCCTCGGCACTGCGATGGGAATTATCCTTTCTTTAAAGAACATGGTCAGCACCGCAGTAGCTGCTGTACCACAGGCTTCAATTGCCTGGTCTGGCGTGTGTATTGCGTTGGGAGTAAGTAACCATACGTTCTGATTATGTACGTATTTCATTCTGATGTACCTATATATAGGTGCTCGAAGGTGCAATCAAAGAGACTGCCATGAATCGCGATGGGATCGAGTACATCATCACTCGTATTAGATGGTACGGAAATGTTTCTAGCTTACTTCTTGATGAAGGCACTCTTGATGACTCTGCGCTATCCGGCATGAAGAGCGAGCTAGAGAAACGGCTAGTTGAGCTCTACAAAGCGCTTCTCATATATCAGATGAGGAGCGTCTGCTCGCACCACCGAAATGGTTCCTATAGCTTCTTACGGGACTTATTGAAGGTTGATGACTGGGCGGTCAGTATCCAAGATATACAAAAGGCAGAAGATAGCCTTCGTCAGGATGCAGAGGTATATGGTAACCAGCAATTCCGATCACGCCTTGAACATATTGTGGACCATGCCAAATCCCAAGAGTTAGAGATCAAAAATATGGCAAGAACCCTGGAGGAGCAACTTCGTCGGCAGATTTCTGCAGAAGATCGGAATTGCCTGAGAGAATTGTGGCCGCATGATCCTTACGTCGAAAAGAGACGGATTGAAGATACGAAGGGGGGCTTGCTACAGGACTCTTTCAACTGGATCCTCGAGAACGACGACTTTTGTCGGTGGTTCAAAGATCCAAATCGTCCACTTCTCTGGATCCGGGGTGACCCAGGGAAAGGCAAAACAATGCTCTTGTGTGGCATTGTCGACAACCTGCAGAAATTGGCGCCCTCTAGTCTCATATCTTTTTTCTTCTGCCAGGCCACCGACGAGCGCATCAATAACTCAACTGCAGTATTGCGGGGAATTATTTTCTCCCTCATCGACCAACAGCAACACCTCTTGAAGCACTTAAGAGAGCCCTATGCCCGCCAGGGGAAATCCCTTTTCGAACCACCTAGTGCATGGTATGCGTTATCGAGCATCCTACAGTCACTTCTATCCGACTTGAACAACACCCAGCAACCGACTTGTCTTCTTGTTGATGCACTTGACGAGTGTGTTAACGAGGATATGCCTCGACTTCTCGACTTTATCGTTAAAATGTCTAATGAGCTTCCTTATGTCAAATGGGTCGTCTCAAGTCGGAATTGGCCGCAAATAATAGACAAACTAAAGAATCTAGGGCCCGAATCCCAGCTGAGCCTAGAATTGAACGCTGAATCCGTGAACGCTGCCGTCCAAATATATATCAAGCGAAAGGTCTTGCAGCTAAGTGAAAACAAAGGATATAACAAGAAAAAAGAGGAAGCAGTCCGAGACTACCTCCTCTCTAATGCTGACGGCACATTCCTCTGGGTAGCCTTGATTTGCAAAAATCTTGAAAGAGCCTCGCCATGGATTGGCCTTGCTTTGTTGCAGAAAATTCCCCCAGGACTTGATTCGCTGTACGAGCAAATGGTCAACACTTTGGCCAGATGTGATGAAGCCGAGATCTGCAAGCGCATTCTAGCCGTTGCTACAGTTGCCCGTCGACCTGTTACCCTCGAAGAATTAATAGTACTTGCTGAAACCCCAGGAGAATTGGACGAAAAAAGCGAAGCCGTATGCGATTTGATAGGGCAATGTGGCTCATTTCTCACCATTCGGGACGAGGTAGTCTATTTTGTGCACCAATCAGCTAAAGACTTCCTGGTTGAGACGGCCGCGAAGAAGACGTTTTTCCTGGGGATTGAGAAGGCCAGCCATTATATGGTGGCAAGATCAATAAAACTGATGTCTGAGGCCTTAAAGCGCGACATTTATGGTATCAAAGATCTTGGAATTCACATTGACGATGTCCAAGTCCTTACTTCGCAACCGCTCACTGCCATAGGCTACTCTTGTGTCCATTGGGTTGACCATTTTATGGATACAATTCCCAGTATGGACGAAGAGATAATTGATGCTACCAAAAGATTCATTGAAACGAAATACCTATGCTGGCTAGAGGCTCTTAGTCTACTCAGAAAGCTACCAGAAGGCGTCATGGCAATGAGAAAATTACAAGAATTCTTCGTCAGTCTTACCAATATTTTCCCAATGTTACTTTTGTTCCAGATTGAACAGTGATTTCTAACGAATTAACGGGGATTTTTAGAGGAAAGAGATGCCACAGGATCCAGATAGATTAATTCGAGACGCCTATCGATTCATTTTAGCGGCCACGCAAATTATCCAGAGCTTTCCACTCCAAATCCATCCACTAGCCCATTTGATCTGCCCAACTGAGAGCAAGATACGACAATTATCTATAAAAGAATATGCCTCATTGTTTCAAATGAAGCACGGTATGAAGTTAGATTGGGATTCATGCATGCAGACGATAGATGCAGAATTCTTAGCAGATCCTCATATTGCTTTGTCCACAGACGGCAAGCTCTTGGCATCCATATCACGCTACGGTATCAAGATTTGGGACATGGCCACTGGAACTCCCTTAAAGATTCTTGCTCATCCTTTTCGGGTGCTTAAATATGACTTTGAGGAAGACGTATATCTGCTCTTCTCACCGAATGGCCAGCAGCTGGTCGTGAGCTCCAGCCAGCGAGGAGAGATCGATGTCTGGAACATTGAATCTGGCCAACATCAAAACACAATGGAGGTTAATCTGGACTCTGGCTACAATCTATGTTTTTCTCCCGATGGACGATACCTTGTCACAGAGTGGGATGACGGCATTGTGTCACCAGAGATTTCTCCGAGAATTCGCATCTGGGACATGGCTTCGGGCAGGTGCGTGCGCACTCTTGAGATCACTGGGAAAATTTATTCAATCTCATTTTCCAGCAATGGCAAATTATTGGCCGTTTGTTCATCTACGAAAATGATAAAAATATGGGACGACGGGGGCAAATGCATACATACAAGCATTTTAAAAGAAAAATGGAAGCCGGAGGCGTATTTCATCGGAGGAAGACGCCCATGCGTCTGCTTTTCACCAGATTTATCCCGCTTAGCCTTCTGCGATGCAGATCGCAATGTCAAGATCTTGGACATACCCTCCAATCAATGCACTCATACCATAGACCCTTGGTGCGAGATATCTCTCCTGACCTTCCTTCCAAATGGCAAGCAGCTGGCCATGACTGTTTCTGGCCTTAGTAACAGGATATTTATCTGGGATATTGATTCAAATGAGAATTTGAGGACATTAAAAGGCCATACCCCATATATACGCTCGATGGCGGTATCACCTAATAGCAGCCAATTGGTTTCAGCGTCACGCGATGAGACTATCAGGGTATGGGATATAAGTCCAGAGGCCGATGATCCGAAGATGTGGGAGGGTCATGATAGATCGTTTTGTATGACCTTTTCACCAGATGGAAAGCTGGCAACAGGTTCTTGGGATAAAACTGTCAAAATCTGGGATGCAGTTGTCGAAGGAAGTGTGCAAACGTTGATCGGTCACCAGAATCCGATCTATCTCATAGCATTTTCATCAGATGGCAAGCTTCTAGCTTCTGCATCATCGGTCAACGACATCAAGATTTGGGATATTGCAAACAGCATTTGCATACAGACTCTAATAGGCCATACCGATTCGATCAGGTTGATAAAGTTCTCACCAGACTCTCAAAGTTTGGCATCGGCAGCAGATGACGAGATAATGATAATCTGGGGCCTCGCTATAGATTCTGCCATTACTTTGAGGCTAACTATTACCGAAACCGATTTGAGTCAGCCTAGGAAAATTGTCCATTCTATTGACTTTACCAAGGATGGTGAAATTCTCGTTTCATCTTTGGAAGATGGTACCATAAATATATGGGACGTTATCTCCGGCAATTGTATTCAAACTTTTCATCACCCTCAGCGTTATCCGTTTGCATTCTTCTCCCCAAGTGGTGAATTATTAGCATCAGGCTCAGATGACCAGGTCAAAATATGGAGCAAAGATGACGGTACATTTGAGTGTATACAAACACTTAAACTGCAAAGCCGTTTTTCCCGATTCTCATTTTCTCCAGATGGCAAGCAGCTGATTGCCGGCTCAATGAAGAGTTCGGTAACAATCATATGGGATGTTGATGTTTCGACGGGATTGGCAACATCTCCCAGAACAGAGCGGTGTGTCTACAGCTCATTCATGTCATCAGCCTACTCGCAAAAAGAAATCCCAGGGATATCGGAGTTATGTCTCTTCGGTTTCCATGATAGTTGGATCACACGTAATGGCCACAGGATTCTCAGGTTACCCAAGGAACTTCGCCCGGCTGTCCCGAACGAATATTACATGATAGTGCATGGCATGACAGCCGCCATTCGCGGCCCAAATAATCGGCTAGCTATCCTTTCTTTCTCATCAGATGAGGAGTGAACTATAAAAAGCGGCTTTCTTCGAACTTTAATTCAGCATTTAAAAATAAACGTGGTCTCTACACATCTGCATTCTGTGGCAATTTTGCAGCAGCCTCAAATAATTGAGCGGATGCAAGACTATCAAATTCCAAGATATTGATTTCAATTTCTTTTTTTTTTTAGTAGATCTAAACAAACTATAGCATCATTTGTTACTCGCAAAGGGTATAAAGACGCGGCCAGCCGCACCATGCTAATGCATCATCGTGTATTTCGTATATTCCCCCGGCTCTTTCTATTCCTCCATGCTATTATCATTCCCCATCAAAAACTCATGAAGCAGCCTCCAGGCGTTTTCATAAACTGGAACGCTAACAAATGTACGACTTTGAGAGAGGCTGTTGAAAAAGCGCTTCAAAAATGCCTTATCGGAAGGAACATTGCGCGTGTAAGCAGCTTGGCCGAGGATCAGAGCACAACTGAATGTGATGTGAACGAAAAACCAGAGTCTCTGGAAAGGAGCGTTCAAACTAAGAAGTTCCATGTATGTTTGTAGTGCCGAACGGCATCGATTCAGATAATAATCCGTGATGTCGTCATCTTGTGTCTCGTCGCCCGTCATGGTTGGCCTATACAGACACACCATGACAGAATCTGTGAAGAGTCTGAAAATGTAATGCTGAACGTAATCATTTTTGGATTGGCATTTAGATAAATCTTGTAGATGTGGCACCGATCGAGTTTCGATGATGTTGACAACTTTTCTGAAATCGAGAATCGATTCGTTGGACAGTCGTTGCCCAGAGAATTTCGCCTGGGTAAGAGAATGACCAATCTTGTTTGCTGTCACAAATAAATGATGGCAGCTATCAAAGAATGAATAGAATCTGGGCGATGCAGTCGTCGATGGAATCGATTCTAGGACAGTAATTCCGGATGGTCGATCGTAGCAGAGGGAGGCGAGAGTGTCCTGCCAGATTAAAGATCGCCTGCCGTGCCGTAATAGTTAGACATGAGTCTGCAAGGGTCAGATTGTCCATCGACTTACCATATGGATGATTTGATAATGGCCTCTTCTCTTTTCTTTGCATTGCTGATAGAGTTTGGGTCTGGAGTGCAATGAATTCCAAGAGTTTGGGCAAGACGTATGGCTAAGCCTATTGCGGAGTTACATGTAAGAAAATGACTCGCAAAGGCGATCAAAAAGGAGTATGCGTGGTATTACTCACCCAACATCGACCACGAAGCCCCTGCATCTCCCTGGTTTCTCAAATAATTGACCAGCATGATTAGGGCTTGGACAACCTCGATATTAGGATAAGAGGTAAAGTTGCAAAATCGCAAGCACTGGAAGGAGCAGCACGCTGTATCCCAGCGTAAGAATCAAAAACAGTTACGAGTCGAGATATTTGCCCATGACTTACCGAAAACCCACGCTTTGGTAGTATCCAGCGCTCCTTCTACCCCCTCGACTGCAGCAAGTTGGGCACCGCATGACAATATACCGAACAAAAGGCCAAACCACGAGATTGTACTTTCGGATAGAGGTTCTGGGTACGTATTTGATGGAACGGTTCTTCGCTTACGGAGGAACTCCAGGAGCATAGTTTCAAAATTTCGAACGTTTACAATCGAAGGCTCGAGATGGAAAAGAGATTCTCGAAATAATCTGAAATGGCTTGGCAATGTTAGCTTGAACCCAGGCAGCAGCGAGAAGAGAAGAGTGCAGGATCAGGGGGGTTTATGCTTACTTTAGAATAACATCGTCTTCAGGCAATGCACTATACACCTTTTCTATGCCATCGCTGGGCATCCATAGGTTGGTAAAAGGAAACGTGGTACTAGAATCTTGAAGACATAAAAGCTCGAATATCAATCTCGGATCCGTTGAAAGTTTCAACGAAGCCACTGATGGTTGTTTTCCCTTTCGGCCAGACATTGAAAAGACGCCAGGGAGAGACTCTGAGCCGAGATGCACCTTTGTGCTATACGGCAATGCCAAGTCAACATACAACCCCTGAGCTATTTCCGAAGCAGCATCATTCACATGAGCAGCTTCAGGCTGCTCTCGAGCACTCGGGCTCTGCTCGGAGGTAGACGACTCCGCTCCAGCAAAGGTATTGGTTGTGTAGTCACACAAATCGGGATGCTCCCGACTGATGCACGTCCCGCATGGCTGATTAAGGTCACACTTGACTTTTCGTCGGCGGCATGGATAACAAGCTTTGGCAGTACGGAAGCGCCGTCGCCGGAAGAGGAGCAGGTCAAAGTCCCCAGCCGGTATGTTTTCTGTTGCGGTTGATTCGCCTCCTGGCATTTTGGCTGAGATGAAGCGCGGCAACTTGTTTCGTCTATGATGCATGAATTAGGAAATGGAGTAGTAGAAATTGTTTAGGAGACGCCGAGTTGTTATTACTCTTGAAATTCCACTTTTTTTTTCCTTGCGAGAAATTGGTGTTTATTTACCTCTTCTGTTTCCCCTTGGTTTCTGCTTGAGTCACATCTTTTAGCATGCTTGTCTAAACAGCGTAAGCCCCCGTATTAAATTGGGCTGTTTATAAGTCCATGCTGTCCTGGATATACTCCAAGCGAAGGTATCGCCAATCAACAAAGCTAGGCTCCCCCGAAAAGCTGACAGACAAGGCGCACCAGCTTCGCAATACGGGGCGTCTGTCGCTAAGTCGCAATGATGCCGAGACCCCACTGATTAACCGGATCGATGACAGCTAACAGGGTCGTGGCAGCCACATTTCCACTGGTGGGAATTAGGACAGCTAAGGATTCCGAATTGGAGGCGTAATACCGAGCCTCATCCTTCTCGTAAAGTGAGAAATAGGGCAGGCAATTGGGTCACGTGAGTATCCCCGAAAAAAAAAAGACGATCAATGAGATGATCTTGTTGGCGGATTCACCGAACAAGATTTGTAATTGTGTTGTTATCGCTATTCCATTTATTCGAGTTTTAGAGATAGAGTTATAACTGTATTTATGTCTTTTCAAGTTTCCTGGCTTTTACAATTTTTTTTATTCCCGGAATGCAGATTTCTTAACGGAAACTTCCGTATTTTGCCATCGCCTTGAAGGATGCAATACAGGTTTGCGACAACGATATCTAGTACATGTCAACAGTTGCCTCTCAACTTCTTGGCTTTGTTTTGACTCAAGCACTCGTCGACTAGTCATCAAATCTATTTGTGTTCTATCCTAGCTAGCGGACAAACTTGCAGCTTCTCAGCCTGTTGGTGGAGCGACTCACGGCTCATGATCCAGTCGGCGCGCTTAATGTCCACTGAATAGACAAGAACCGAAGCTTTAGATGAATGGGACTGGAAAGCTTAAACGCCTAGTCTTACCACAAGGGGGTGGCAACGTGGCGACAGATCTGTAGACATCCTAGATAAGGCGGGTGTGGCACGTCCCTCAACCCTCGTGTCGCCGTAAGCGGAATATTGTGTATGCCCTATTGATCGAACGACATCCGAGCAGCTGACGGAAATTATACGAGCAACCTTAATCATGTGTATTGTACACGTTCTAAACTCACGTGTATCTACATACAACTTCTTGGCTGCAAAGTTGTGTCCATCTACAGTTAGAAGACTGAGTCATGGCAACCATCATATTCTACTACAAGGGTCTTTCAATATCAAATTGGTTGGCGTCGGAAAGGGGATACAGCGAGAGCCGATGAATACGAAAAGGTAAAAAAAAAGGAACGCCACTTTCAGTTGGGTTAAGGATCACGATAATACAAATTATCTCCTTTGGGCTGAACGGATGCTATTTGCCGACGTATGCAAAAGGGAAAAGTCTTGGCTCATCTCGGGTGAGGCTGAAACCGTTGCGAAAGTGCCTAGAGAAGCGATCGAAGCGAGTTAGTTTACGTTCAGCTATAGGCAACCGTTGTCTCCAGTTGACACAGGACTTTGAATGCCTTCCCAAAAGAAGTGGATATGCAGCTATTGACCACGATAAGAGCAGACGATGGGGCACAGTAATCGCCGAGTGGCGGCGTCTTCACGGCGATAGGGAGCGGGAAGGATCGAAATCTTCGAAACTCGAATTCCCGCTGCTCAAATTATTTCCATTAGCGGGTTTGTTGATATCAAGGTCAAGGTGTAAGTGCGGAGGGCAAGGTATAAGTGCGGATGCTTACCCGCATTCGCCATCATCACCATCCAACATTGGCGCGCATAAGCGAGTCCGCAACCTTGCAACTTCGACTTTAAGCAAAATACGAACAGCTCCTGTCCACCTCCGCCGCCCCCAACTATAGCCGCGCTTCTGGGGAAATGATAGCGCCGTCTCTCATCTATGTCATTCCGCAACCTCTCCGCATTCGCATAACTTCTTGGTTGTTTCAGACCCCAAACCAAGTTGAGATTACCCACTCCACGGATAATACCGAAGCGAATGCGAGAGCCGGCGGTGTTAGGCTTCGATTCAACCCCCGGTAATAGCGGCCCCGCAAGCATCCCCGAATTGATGGCGAGACCGCGCCGGGAAGAGAACAACAAGACTAGCATCGTCGATTTGAGTTATCAATAGAGCCTATCAGCGCCGTTGCCTGAGCGAAAACCCACAATTCAGTCCGTCTTCGTGCGAGCGGCTGCTCCACTAGTCCCACTAGTAATGCCGAGTTGTCTGCGAAAGTGATCTGATTGCCTAGTTTGGACGAGCTGAGGTTGGAGGATAATACGGTTTGTTAACAACTGAGCAAGCCAAGCCCACAGCGGTGCCTGACCTTCTGAGTCTTTAAAATGAGGGAGATTCCGGACGGAACAATCCGTAGAACCTACTGGACGACATTCGTTTGCAAATTCTGCTCAAGTCCTACAACTTCATACAAAGTGTAGGACATCAAAATAGAAACTCGCTCCGCTTACTCAGCCCTACGAGTTTCTATACGAATAGAGTCACGCCGAAACTATTGCTGAACCCTGAGAGGTCCTATGCATGAGTCTATTATATGAGTAGGTGTATGCAAGTAAGCTCTCAATCTCGTACTCCATGTGTTAGCTTCCAATCTCTTCACTATAAATGTAGCTATCACCATTCTGTGACACTCTAGACGCTGTTAGCGCTCGTATATATCCCAGCTCTCCGTTATATTTTTAACTATGAAAAGATAACATTTTGACAACGATTATCCGCGAGGCTGATTCGACTTCGGCCCATTTGCCAAATTCGAGGGTCACAAGCTGTCTCGAGCGACGATAACCGGAACTTCTATTCTTGACACTGAAGGAGGCTTGTGAATCATGGGAAAGGGCCTCTTTAGGACGCTGCATATAAACAGCAGCGTGCATGCCCTTATGGACATTCTCTCAGCATACTCAACCATCACAGCTCTGCAACCAGCTTAGAATTACACACGTACGAACAAGATGGTCAAGCTTTTGGCCTCTGCTCTCCTCGGAGGATGCCTCTCCCTTGTGGCAAATGGCATGGCTCTTCCCAAGTCAGAGCTACGCCCCAACGAGCTCCATGCACGCTCGTCTTGGAACTTCGAATACTGGAATTTCCCAGCAGGCGAGAATGTGAAAGTGTACGTATCTGACTGCAAACAGAAATCTCATTCATGATGTTGAGTCAAAATGACGGGCAATGCAATTCTCGCCACGTACAAATGAAGTATTCGAGACAATCATTTCTAACTGCATTCACTTCTTCAGGACCCCCGGTGCGGACCTTTGCCTCATTCATTACTTGCCAACAAATTTGGAGATGTTCCTGGTTGTGGATCAGCAGCCGTAGCACATGTACAACTCCGAATCTGCGCCAAATTTCGTTATGCAGTCACTTGTTGGATTCTTTGACCTCAGCGGCTTGCATGCCTACAACGGAATTACTGCCATTACTCGCAGTTCTTCAAATATGGAGGTGTTCTACTCGTCAGATGACAACACCATCCACAGCCGTTACTGGACGCCAGGCGGAGGCTGGAAAAACTCTGGCCAGGACAAATCCATCAACTCTGCGGCTGGCACTGGCATCGCTGGAGTCTCGCGTGAGGCATCTCACATGGAGATCTTCTACGTTGGAAACAACGGAAACCTCATGCACTCTTATTCCGTTGATTCCGGCTCCAACTGGGTCACAGACGCGGTACTTGCTGGTTCCGATTGGGGGACGCCTGCAAACAAGGGCATTGGGGCTCTTAGCAGCAACGATCAAAGCCAAGAAGTATGGTGGATCACCACGACTGGTGCAATCAACTATGCCCCATGGAATCCTCTCAATGGCTGGGAATATAGTTCGTTGCGCGCAGCTGGCACAGCGCATCCAAACTCTGGCATGGCCGTTCTTGCGCGAAGCAACGTCCGCAGAAACATCTTCTACATTGGAAACGACCAGAGGGTTTACCAAGGATACTGGCAAAGTGAGCAGCCCAACATTTGGAGATTCGAGAAACTGTCAGACATGCCTGCTGCTATTGGCTCGTTGACGGCTGTTTCCATGAACAGTCAGCATATGGAGGTGTTCTGGACTGCTCCAGATGGTACTATTACCCATGCATACTGGTATGAGAACACAGGAAAATGGACCAGCGCTTCCATGGCTTCCAACATTTACTGTGTGCCTGGTGGCTCCATCACTGCCACATCTCGCAAGGATGGGTGTATGGACGTTTTCTGCACAAGATCAGACGGCAAAGTTCAACAACTCTCTTATTCTTAACTCTGGAACAAATAATTGGGCTTCGAAAGTTGGTGTTACCTTTTGGATAGGAAATTCCAAGTACAAAGTCAATATATTTAAAGAGAGAACATTTCTTTGTCCGCTACTTTTTGCTAATACGACATTATTGAATCAACGCTGATAGTTACACGTACCAAGTCATGTTGGTGGTCGCTAATGGAATGACTGTTACGTTCATGAATCCGCTTCCCAGCCATCAGAAACGATCCGTCACCACCGCGAGAGAATATCAAGAGCCCGCCCATCTGGTAGGAGGTTTCGCTGAATCAACTATTACGTCGATGCGACTGGCCGACATATTAGCCTGCCAAACTGATAAACTGGAAAATCACTCTAGATTTCCACAACTTCGCCTCCAGGGCATTGATCTCGATCTCATCGAAAGCCCTCGCATGCACACTCTGCAGCTTCAGGTTAAGGGTGCTTCTCAGAAAGGCCCACCTTAGGGAAGGGAAACATTCGGGTAGATAATCTGCTACGGTGTTGAGATTTGCAACAGACTCCATCTGTGGGCTAGCAATATAGAACGATTGGATCGATTGAGGTAGCATGTCCTTGAGAATATACGTGTGGTAATGAGACGTATTCTTTTCTGGAAATCGAAGGGAAGGTCCATCCACAATCAGAGTTTCAAGCTGTGAGAAGTGTTTGAGTGAGAGAATTTGATTACCATTCTCAGAGATCCCGGCTATCAACTCATTAACATACCAAGTTTTCCCTTTTTCGTCCAGGAGGAGATCGATGAGGCGGAGGGTATTTTTATGCGGCGTTAGGATCTGAATCATCTCTCTGCCCGTCACACGTATGATCGGCCCGATATGCCCGGGGCGCGAGTAGTTGTACCGGAAAGCCATCAACGGCCCACAAGCATTAACGATCAGTTGCATTTGATGCCTTGATAACATGCCTCCGTTGAGAAATAGTCTTGTCACGTTCTTGAAAGAAAGTTGGGGCCTCATATTCGTCCCAACCGGATTAAGCCCACTACAGGGGTGTATGTAAAGGTAGCTTATGGACGGCGCCAGCTTTATTATCCCCCCAAAAAAATGCAAGGACATATCAGCAGCAGCGCGCGCATGCGATATATAGAGCCTTTGTAGATAGGTTAACTCTACCCGCCTTGGAACTTGAGTTGCCAATTCTGCTAGTATAGTATAACCCCAGGCTCCGTAAATATTACCAGCCTTGCGCGTGAAAATGTGGACAACTCTCACCCTGGGTGTCTGAGCGATGAGCAATTGAGCAATGGTATCGAATTCTGATAGATCCATAGGAAAGTTTCGAATGCCCAATCTCATCGCCGCTTTGTAGAAGAGTCTGGCACGATGGACCGTGACAACACATCGAGCGGTGTCGATCAAGAAGAGTTCTCTGACGTATTTACCAAGTTCGGGCCGCAGGCAGATGGTTGCCAGGAACGATACAACCATGCGGGTCCCTCTGCGTGCGATGAAATGAGAATAAAGTATAGGCGTCCCAATATTGTTGAGTCGCTTTGATGAGCGGCAGAGAGAAGCCAAAGATCCGGGATCATCCTTAGATCGAACCTTGGCCATCACTAACTCGCATATTATCGTGATTATCTCAGGGGGAAGCAGCTGCAGTCTAGGTGGTAGAGCCATGATTCGTAAAGTAAGGCAAATAACGAGATGCAGCGAGGGGGCAACGAACGACGAGGTAACGACGAGGTAACGAAGAGATACGGGCAACAATCTGAAACCCACCACCCGAGAATAGTAAGCAATATGAGGAAAGAAATTGATGCGTGTTAGGAGGCGAGTTGAAATGCCTCAAAACAGCAGCTGGCAGGGAGCTAGTTGCGCAAATGCCGCCACTCCTGGACTGTGAATCAGTGGGCAGGAACTAGGCATCAGTCAAAGCACAAATCTTGACTTGGTAAGTACATCTATGAGATGTGCGCTTGAGCCATCCTGAATTGCTCCCGCAGGTAGTTTGAACCCAGAGAACTTACGTATGTCCCTAGATCTAATCCGATACATTTAAAATAGGTCTCTACCCAACGTTTATTGATGCAAATAGGAGATAAGAAATGATGTCTCTCAAACACCGCCATAAGGATTTTGTTTAGCTTCAGGCACTTTTGTCACTCCTAATCCACTGAAAAGCAAGAGCTGAATCTCAAAGAATGAAAAGTATATTGGTACCTAGTGAGCTACCTTAAGGTTAACCTCTGCATTCTTGATTGTGGTTATTGTCGCTACAGTCGATTATTTGGTTTTCCATTTACTTGAAATTTTTTTAGTTTCTTGGCTCCTTTCATGTACTTTCCCAAAATAATCCTCCCACTATTGTTGTCCGTCATTTAGTAGATGTCCTTGTGGTCAGCCTTGATCAGGTCTGCTCCTTTTTCAGCCACCATGTACACAGAGTTCTGAATACGGCAATCGGGAATTAGTGGAATGACAGAAGCATCAATAACGCGAAGCTTAGAAACACCGTGCACCTTGAGAGCGGGATCGACAACACCCTGGTCGATACTCTTGCTCAATCGAGCAGTTCCAACGGGATGGAAAGCGGTTTGACAGCGATCCAGGACGACGCGCTTCATCTCTTCCTCAGAATGGAGAGGCATCTCCCAAGGAGACTCAGCTATGACGCAATCCTTGAAGCCATCACCCTTGGTCAGCACATCATAGCTGAAACGGATACCCTCTCGCATGGCGATGATATCGAGGTCACTTTCGAAGAAATTGAGATTGATGTCAGGTTGCTCAAGCGGGTCGGAGCTCCGTAGAGTAACCTCGCCGGGGCCAGAAACAGGACGGACAAGATCCACAACGACGGTGGTGTGCTCACCCTCCTTAGGGAATGGATAGTGCCATTGGAATGCGCTGCCCCAAAGGCACACGAAGTCGAGCTCGAAATGAGGTTGACCCTCTGGAGAGAAGGGATCAAGTCCACCATTAGCCGCCTTGGCCTTGTTGTAGGTCTCATCATTCTGCAGATATTTATCGATTCGAGGGAACCCCACCATCTCCAAAAACCCTGAGCCGACAGGTCCAGAATGGTCTTTCTTGTAGGCTGCGTGTATCCTCTGGTTCTCAGGGCCCTGTCGAAGAGCCTTGGTATCCATACCGATGCTATCCTTGACGCGCAACACAAAAGGCACGGCCGGATGATCCATGAGATTCTGGCCGACATGACGCGAGTCGACAATCACGTCAATATCAAACTTGGCAAGTTCACGCGCAGGACCGACACCACTCAACATCAAGAGCTTAGGGCTCTCGAAAACACCCTCTGAGAGGATGACCTCGCGATCTGCGTAAACATTGATGTCCTTGCCATCGGGAGTCATAACTCGCACACCGCGGCAAATTCGGTCAGCGTAGTTAATGAGCAACTTCTTGGCATGGGTTTCGGCCAAAACCGTAATGTTTGGCTTGTTCTTGAGGAAGAGGTAACTTCCAGAGCGCACTCCTTTATAGATGGTATCGACACAGTGGTAAAGTCCGTTCATCTCGCCGTCGTAGATGTTTTCTGTAAGAGGCTCTCCGCGTGAGACCCAGGCCTTCGTGAGGTTATCACGGAAGGGAGCCATCTCATCGATGAGTTCGGCATGAGAGATGTGAATTGGTCCACCACCACCAATCTTCTTAAGCTCTGGCTTGTACAGCTTAGGATCATCGTGATAGGTGGCACTCTTGCGGAGGTAGGGAACAAGAGGATCCCAAGTCCATTCCTTGCCACCCCATTCAGCCCATCGATCAAAAGTAGGCTTGCATCCGGGAACCCAAGTAAAATAGTTCAACGACGAACTTCCTCCAAGCATCTTGCCTCGCGTATTTGGCTTCTCGATACGCTCATAATCATCACGCCTCACCATGGTCGTCTTATAGGACCAATCGTGAGCACTGTTACGCAAATTCATGGCGTTTGATGGCGTAGTAATCTCGGGAAGCTCCTCCGGATTGCCAACACCAGCTTCAATCACCAAGATTCGAACCTTGGAATTCTCAGCCAGACGACCGGCAACACAGTTGCCGGCAGTACCACCACCGACGACAATAAAGTCAAAGTGATCTCCGTCCTTGACACCCATTTTGTTGGATTGAATAGGCACGGTGTTTTGAGGAGGCATAAAGATAGGTATGAGTATGAGTCAAAAAAGAGAGACTACTAGGAGAATCTCGGTGTTTAGATCTGGTGGCTCAAAAGGCTTTGAACGTGGTGTCCAGCAGCCCATTTTATACCTTGATTCCCCCATATTTGTATTGGTATCATCTAAATTCCGTCGGTATTCTCATCCCACCGGGGGCAACCTCTTCGGGGCCTCGGATAACCAAGCACGGCAATAGCACGCCATGTCATACATGGCTATCCCGCTTCGATCCCCAACTGGGTAATATCCAGAAATCCTGCAACGGCTCAACCCCGCCTCAAAGAGGGGTTTTTACTACTTCATTTCGAATAGATCTCTCAGTTTGCGGGATGTCGATCTCGTCGAGTGGAACTTTGAGTTTTCTTTGAAAAGATATCTAACCATCTTACTAGATGTCGTTAACGCGAAGGCATCTCGCGGCTGCGGAACGAAAGCCGGGCCCTTTGTTGGTATTTTTTCTTACATATTAGTTAGTTGATCTGCTTCAAGTGAGCGAATAGGAAGTTGTGTTCATTGTTCCGGGAGAAAGGTTGAGTCCAGAGAAGCATGAAGTTGTCGTAGTCAACGCCATGAACGTTGCACTGCCTTTGGTTCTATTGGCTGTGGCTGTATCTACACTCTTCTAGGAATAGTGTGGAGTGGCGTGAGAAACAGCTTAGCTGATTGATATGTTCGCTATCCCCTGCCAAAGTTAATTCACGTCGAGGCCCAATAACTACTCGCTGAGCTATGGCAAACATACGTCAATCCGCCGTCAGGTCGCCATTTTTGGTCTCTTTTGGTCATAGCTCAGTTCAAAGCCCAACCGAATTTTCGTGTTTAGGACCGCCAGCATTGCAATCGTCGATGAGAACGGCTTGAGCTGGCAGCTCGCTCGCGCATTCCCCTTTGGTAATTCGAAACCGCCACAAATCATATCTCCTTTGACCAATGAGTGAAAGCATTTGCGCCTCATGGCATGTTTTTTTTTTTTCTTTTGACGATGTTACGCGGTATCACGGCAATTGATGATATACGTATGTCAGATGTAGCTAAGAGCTCAGCTGCGTTGGTGCAAGCTTCAAGCCATTGACGAAACTAATCATCTGTGTAATTTTGAGAACGTTAGCCAGAAAATAATTCAAATGAGTACATTCTCCTCCAATAGATTCAGGAAGCTTCATAGATTTGCGTCTCATTGCAGCTACGCGAGCACAGTAACCCACATGTACCTTGAGAATGAGCATCCCATCCTAATGTACTCTCGCAGTAGTCTGGAATGACTTATCATAGCTCGCCAGCCGTATAGCTGACTCAAGGAGGGAAATAAGCTCCAAGCCAGGCACTTTCGTATCAAATCCAAGCTTTCAGCTTAATCACCTCATATTTGGTGATCTTGGGCAAAGAGGCGGGATTGCTGGACTAGTCGGACATGGACAAACTTGGGTGATGTGCTATAATCTTACAAGTTGACTACTACAGGGAATTCATGTATTGTTGAATCCAGTATCAGCCCACAATGATGAACAGTGATGAATTGCAAGATACTCTATATTAAGTATAAAAGAAGGCTGAAATCTATCATCAACTTCTCTGTGGATCTTCATTTGACGTTTCACTTCAGTATTTGCGTTGGGTTCACCCAGATGGCCGCTCAATAGTATGAGGATCCGCATTGAGTTTTTGTTAAGAATCATCAAGGTGTCTCGCTATGTATCAGCTGAGGAGCCGGTCTCTCTCCATTGCCAGTGCCAAGAGCACTGCCATTGCTTTTCCCACCAGCCCACTCACGGTACCCATATCCCACTTCCCGCGTTTGTTCAGCTTCGAATCGGAAGTGGTGGCGGACTAGCGCTGCTTTAAGACATGCAACTCACTAAAATCCTTGTGAATACTAGCCGAGGGAGAGTTGGTGGAATGGGCAGAAGGAAATTGTTGTGAACTGATGAGCGTCATTGTTGATGGTGATTCTTGTAGCATGTCTGCGCCAGGCATGAAGGTGTCATATATTGTAATCTCTGTGTTCGCGAAGTTTAAAAATGGATCAGGTTCGCCAACGACTCCATACGTGAAGCTTATGTGGCATTCTCAGTACATAAAACGCTGCTCAGTTATCACTTCTGGTATCATTTCTTGTAACTTTGCTGGTCATGGAGAAAGATTGAGCCCTTGACCCACATAACAACATTGGCTGTTTAGTTTGCAGCTATGGTGGTGACCTCAACTCCTCTCTCCACCTGACACGTTTGAGACTGGGTGTAGCTTTCTGAACCAAATAGCCATCTCTAAGCATGAAAGATGAGATGGTAATCTAACAATCCCTCTCATTTTCAAAGTGGTAGCAGAAGGCTGCGAGCAGTCTACGCTGTATCTGGCATCTCGTCCGAGAACCAGACAAAGTGACATTCGTCGGTTACACGGCAGAGTGTTGGCCAGAAATGGGCAGCTCGCAACCTAACGACATGTCAATTTCAAGACACCAATCTCACCCCTCTTCTTGCCGCTTTTATAAAGCATAAAGAGACTAATGCACATCGGTTACATACATTCCTCCGTGTTGACGACATACGCGGCCGAACTACGTACAACTACGAGCCCTCATCACATGAAAACCAAATGTAAACCGTTCCCAGCAGCTTCTCGGAAGATAATACTTTGTAGCCCACCGCTGCCAAGAACCCCTGAGGGCGGGGGCGCTGAAAGTGGACAGTAGCTCCGTTATAGATGCAAACCATGCTCTCATCTGCCAAGAAAAGCCTGGCTTAATCATTCTCTGCCATGAACCACTCACATGTACATAGCAGCTGAATGCATGCCCCGCTAGTTCCAAGATCAAAGCAATCACATTGATCTGAGCCCCTCCTTGAGAAGTAGTTCGAGAATTACGTGGCGTCACAGCCTTAACAGTCCGATGGTACCGGCAAGACGGCACGATCATCCACACCAGCATAGCCAAAACGCCTTTGACCCACTGCTAATCTGATGAAAAACCAGCGAGTGAGAGAATCTGATCTACGGGAGACACGACAGTGGAGTCTCATTCCATTCGTTTGCCGTAACTCCACCGTAAGGCCCGAGCTGTGTCCGAGCGAGATAGCGTGGGGTGCAGACATTTTCTTGGTAGCACTAAAAGTTAGAGCACGGCAGATATCCTGTTTTACGACTTCGTTGTATGCTTATTGAGTGGCGTTGGTCCACGTGTTGCATTTCCGATTTACTCCTTTGGTGATCGCGTACAGCCTAAGATGAAGTTGATGTTGGTCCGAGGCGAGCTCCTAACAGTAACGTGGGGCTCTCTTTCAAGACCTGGCAATAGCTAATGAGATGATGAGAATTGAATCCGGAACTCGCCTAGATCCCAATAACTAATACAAATGATAACTCAAGATGTCTGCGGTGCATCTTGGCTAAGGCAGCGTGGTGGAGAGTCTCTTCCTATAACTCCGCAAAGGTATATGGGCCGCGTTGTTTATGTCACGACATGCCGGCAGTTGGAGGCTTCACAAGAGCAGAATCGGCAAACTGTTGATTTTATTGATACCAATTCAACTTTCCGACTCATTAGTGCGGGCAACTGTGAGGGAATTTAGGGATCTATGCTGCTGCTTGTGATACAACGGCCAATCAAGAGTCAGACAGATATTAAGAGTAAACAAAGGTCCCAACCCCGGAGACTGTCACAACTTTCCATTCGTAACGTTCAATCAACTATTCAATCAACTATTCAAAGTATTGCGGGGCCTTCTAATACAAGAATTTCAAGAGTATAGTGGCGTGGGGAAATAATTGACAAAACAAAATTGAACATCCGCCGGATATTTCTTTTGTCCACTTGAAACAGAGTGAACAGAGGCCACAAGACTCTAGGGCTAATAGTCTTATGACTAGCATGAGTCATTTTTGAGCGTTAACAACTTCCAAGCTATTAGAACCAATCAAGGCTTCTCATTGGGAAAGGCTACTAGATATTTGGCAGGTATCAGTTTGCAAGCCTACAAACCCAGCTTGGTCAAACAGCGCCCTGCGTGCATACTCATGCACCAGCTGAGCAGCTACTTTCTTCGAATTTCCTATGCCACTGTCCATTGAGACCTCCTCAAATCGACGGAGCATCTCTACGACAGGAAGCACCAGCTGTATATCCGCCATCGATTCCTCGGTCAGGGGGTTTCTTGCGGCATGAGTTACGAGAATGATCAGTGCCGTGACAAGGTGGTGGAGGGAAGACCTGTGCATTCAGGAACCACTCGTTAATTGAGGTAAGTTCAGCGGAGAATAATTATTCAGGAGGATATCACTTACCATGTACAAGCGTGATCGGTATTTTGGCTAAGCTGAAGCAGAATCAACAATGCTCTCGCGATCGAAACACAGCAGCTGGGCGGCCCAGTATCTCCATATATGCCTGAGATCGATGGTAACAAGTCGAGTTCTGATGGATCAGAAGTATTCAATAGTCGGGAATGGCCCCATACTTGCGCTCGTAAAGACCGATAAGAGAGCCCATGCAAGTTGGTATGGCAGCCAAGGTACGCAAGAGAAAGTACTCGCAACAGCTGAAATGCCGCTCCCTCAAAGTTCACCCACAGCTCTCTATTTGCAGCAAGATAATCGAGCGTAGCATTTAGATCCGGATATGTGTCCTTCCAATTATTGAGCTCCGCCTCCAGCTCTTTGATTGCTATTTCACGCTCCAGAGCTGTTTGGCGTTTCCCCCTTGCAGACATGAGTCGTCGGTGTATACGGTTCTCTATGAGGGCCAGGTGAGAACGAGCACGCATGAAGTTGAACCTTGTAGAATTGTCAACAGATGATAGATAGCCTAGTCCATCGTCAGGGTACAACGGAGGCAGGTCAACGCCAATGTCATCTTCATGTATTAGTGGTGGCCTTTCCAGTCGAGCGGCAAGATTATGGTCTAGATTAAAAGCTATCCAGAAGACGCGATTTCGTTGAACCCTGAGACGGAAATTTTCAGATCTAGATTGTCCTGATGGTTGCTCATCCTTCTGAAGATGAAGGCCATTCTGAAGGACTAAACGGATCGCGGCCGCAAGAAGTGTCGACGCCGCGTGCGCGTCTGGAGCGGTTTGTAGAAAAATGGCCATTCCTACCAGTGCTTGAATGGCGAGGAGGTCATTGCTGCCTCGAATTGTAAGTTCCACCGCTTTATCTAACGCCGTGTCCAAATATTGCCACGCCTCGTGGTCCGGATTATTGGGGGAGTCGGCAAAATACGACAGAGATTGTTGGCGGAGAGCAATGGCACACATGACGTTTGTGGCAGTCCAAAGTGCTGCATCAGCCCGGATCTGATCCATATCAAGTTCGGCAAACCGATTCATAAAGTCATCTTGGTCGAACAGCGTGATGATTCGATTGTAGGTATTGAAATAGAGTCGGATATGAGCAATGAACTCTGATCGTCCCTTCGATTTTGTATGCTCGATACGGCCGTGAGGTCGGGATACAGATCTGAAGTACCCTGGAATCCATGCCACAAGCGCCCTATTGAACAATGGAGTCTCGACATATTTAGCGTTGGAGTCACTCTCAGTGGTTGCGGGGTTAGAGTTTAGAGGTGACGAGGGATTTGTCGGACTTTGTAGTGCTGAAAGCTCCCGTATGGAGGTTCTGCCGGTTATATGATTCTGATTATAGGTCGTGACTTCAAGGCTGTTGACCGCCTGACGCAGGATGCTCTCTAGCTCAGTGACCCTCTTTTCAAGAGCTTCGCTCTTCTTCGGCCTGTGACTATGTATTAAGCTTGACAGATCACACCAGAGTAGAAGTTATTAGATATATGGTGGCTTGAAAAGAAGTGCTGAAATTATAATTCAAGAAGAATAAAGATTCAGCTTACCTTCGGCGTTTAATCTTCTTTGGCGTTGCTGCCACAATGTATGTGCACTGAGAATCAAACTTGACACACTCCGAGCAGGACGGCTTAGCGTTGTCACATTTGACTTTTCTTCTGTGGCAAGTATCACAAGCCTGGAGATTTCTTGTGAATATGATTTTGCGTAAATTTACCAAACAATGGGGCGCATACTCGGCTCTTCAGCTTCGGGCTATGGGTGGATGCTTTCGACGCTGAGGGCATGCTTGGTGGAGACTCGTCTGAAGCGTCTTGCAGCCCTATCAACGCGTCTTCGGTTTCCATTGCGCAATTCGACATTGAAACTATGCCGCAAGCTACTACGCAAAGATACCGGTCGGTTTGATGACCAGTGTGATAGCGGCCGAGGGAGACCGATAGAATAGCTGCAAGAATAGCAAGGAGAGAGGCCAATGGTGAAGAGATAAGTCCACCGGTCTCTCGGCGCCTCTCGGTGCACAACTCGGCCGCGAAGCTGAGAAATGGCCGCCATAGGAGCGGACAAGGCCGCTCAGTCTCCAGCACAATGTCGGTCGCTCTCGGTCATGCTATTCATTATTCAAGATTTTTTTGATACTGCGTTTTGTCAGGAATGATAAAAACTAGGAGAATCAGGTGCTCCGACGGAAGAGATGGAGATGGTTGGCATTGCGAGCTCGAAAGATATATAAGTAGCCGTCTCGTTGAAATAGGAGATGAAGAACAGCAACAGTAATTCAATTCAATCGTACACTATCACCTATTGCAGCTTTAAAAAGGTACATTATAATTGAAACAAGTCTTCTCACAACTTGTCAACATGACTGTCTCAAAGAAAACTGTAATTCTCATCACCGGTGCCAACCGAGGTTTGTCTCAATACAGTTCACGATATCATAAAGGCTCATTTCATTCTAACACATAATAGGCATTGGATTTCAACTTACCAAAGAGTTTCTCTCGAGAGACAACACAGTGCTCATCGCTGCTGTGCGCAATCCCGACAATACTTCGTCTACCAAGCCCTTACTGGAGCTCCCTCATGGAACCGAGAGCTCGCTCATCATCATCAAGATTGACAGTCTTGACACCCCCAGCGCCGCCTCGGGCATCGCAAGTATCTCTAACCAAATCGACCACCTCGATCTCGTCATTGCAAACGCCGGAATTCTCAATCAATTCGGCCCTGTCTCGGAGATGTCCCCAGATGAAATTTTCGCCCACGTTGCCGTCAATACAGTCGCTCCCATTGCGCTTCTGCAAGCCTCCAAGCCGCTTCTACAGAATGCGACCCATCCTAGATTTGTCGTCATTTCGAGTTCGATCGGAAGTATCGCCGAAGTAGAGGCCCACCCTGCGCAACTCGGAGCATACGGAGCCAGCAAAGCCGCAATCAACTACCTGATGCGCAAAGTCCATTTTGAGGAGACGTGGCTTACGTCCATGGTCATCTGTCCTGGCTGGACTCAGACAGATATGGGAAATACAGGAGCACAGATTATGAAGTTTGGCGACAAGGCCCCGGTGCCATTGGACGTCTCTGTAGAGGGTGTTCTTCAGGAGGTAAGCATACAACGCTGCTGTTCTAATGATAACGGCTTTTATAGGATGCACTAACAAATCGACAGATTGATGGTATCACAAGGACTGAGGGTGGGAAATTCGCTTCGTTCGATCACAACGATCACAAGTGGTAATTACCACCATCAGACGAAGCATCGGAGTTATTGATGAACAAATTCGAAATTAGAATACATTGTTTATAGATGTTTAGACTGAATAGACACCCAAGTACCATTTTTAAACCCATTACGACCCATTTTATCCAATCCCAACCATCAATTCTTTTCAGGTACAAACTCAATGACGACTTTTCCTTTTCTGTTCCGTATCGAAGCATGTTTATGTGCCTGAACCACTTGATCAAGAGGGAAAACCTCAACGGCAATAGGCTTAATCGTCCCTTCATCGATCAATCGCGCCACCTTCTCCAGCGTTTCAGTTTTCGGCGTGACAACGAAGAAGAGCCACTTCACATTAGGGAAATCGTCCAGCTCTTCAGGTCGACCCTTTCCGTACTCCCATGCTGCAGGAGGCTGTCCCACTGTGATGATGTGGCCATTGCTTTTTACCGTCTTCCAAGTTTTGGCCAAGACTGGATTTCCAACGGTGTCGATAACGACATCAACATCTGAGACCGTATCCTCCCAATTAGGGGTGTTGTAATCAACAACTTGGCTGGCGCCGAGTGCTTTTAATGAATCGTGGTGTTGTGCGCTCGCGAGAGCAACAACTTCAACGCCAGCCAGTCGAGAGGCCATCTGCACAACGATGGCGCCCACTGCCCCAGAAGCTCCAGTGACAAGGAGTTTCTGCCCCTTCTGTAAATTGGCGCGCTCAAAAATAGATTCCCAAGCAGTCAGCAAAGGAATTGGCAGCGCAGACGCCTGAGCGTGGGTCAAAGACTTTGGTTTCCTAGCAACTTCATCGCTCTCCACGATGGCATACTCTGCTTGTCCCAGCCCCCTCCATCCGTGAATCATCGAGTAAACTTCGTCTCCAACCTTCAGGTCTCCTTTGTAATCCGGTCCCAGCTCAGCGACTTCTCCAGAGATGTCGTGGCCCGGAATGCGGATGGGATGCTCCCACAGCTCCCACCAGGTGATTTCGTCTCCGGTCAGCCCCGCAGCGTGGACCTTGATGAGAATCTCACCATTTTTTGGTGATGGCTGGGGGACGGCGGGGTTGAGCGTGACTTCGGGATTGGCTTTGGTGCCCAGGACTTCGACGGCTTTCATCATGATGGCGATTGGTAATTGAGTTGATTCAGAGTCTTGTTTGTATAATATGGATAATATGGATTGAGGTTCTTTAGTGCAATATTTATATAAACATCTCTTACTCTGAGGAGCTCATACAAAGTGCTTCAGCAGCTGACAGTTTATTTCGTCATCTCGGGTGATGGTGGATTCCCAATTCGGATCGGGTCCGCCGAAAAGGCTACTCGATTGGGCAGTCGGGTCGGGTGGTGGCGATTCGGGTCGAATTCTATAAGCTTGACAGCTGTTCCCACAATGCTATAGGGATATAATATAGTTGTGTGCGATATAAGTCTCTCCGTGAGTAACTGCCGTCCATGTTCTATTCATCCATTTCCTAGCGCGTCACAACCATCTCCGCGGCTGGGGGATCCTATTGATGATATCGCATACTATTTGTAAAACTGAGTCGGAAATATGATATTACAAGTGGAAATCGAGTGCTCTCTAGTCAAGGCTAGTCTGCAAGGAAAATGATGGGTGTCATTTCTAACATCGGGCAACTGTCAATATAATGCGCAGCACGGCCACAATAAACACCCATGAACCTTGTCCAGCCATGTGAAGCTCTGCGCTACCCCATATCCTCCTGAGGAACAGTTTGAATAGATGTTTCACAACTAATGCAGCAACCCAAGGATCAGCTTCAAAATATGTCTTCTCTTTGCAACATGTCTTCTCTCTGCGATGTGTCTTCTCTTTTCGTTCGTCATCACTCAGCCTCGTTCACATCAATGTACAGCATTCGTCGCCGTTCTCAATCACCTCCCGAGTCAGTGCCCGCATTGGTTCGACACTCAACTGCCCCTGTCTAGCAGGGAAGCGATTCCTTTCAATGCAACCCCCATCGAATTGCCATGTTTTTTCGCGTCTTCGCTCCCGCAGGCCGAGATTCATCGCCCCCAATGAAATTCGTCTCCGCAAGGCAAGACACTGTCTTGCATGAAGATGGCTCTGCAAACGCGCATGACTAGACGGGGTATTCTCCGAGGCAAATCATCAGCAGTTCACCCTCAGCATCAATCTCCATCCTTCTAGAAACCCTTCTCACGTAATTCGAAGCCCTCACACAACCAAGGGAGAGCCGCAATCGCAACAATGGCAGAAGTAATAGGTCTAGCTCTCAGCGTGCTCCCCATCGTCATCTGGGCGCTGGAGAAGTACTCGGAGCCTTTCGATGCATACAGCGACTACCACAACGCGATTAGCACGCTTCAGGCCAACCTGCAGATCCAGCGGATGCATCTCGAGGCGACCTTTCAGAGCATCGGCTTGCGACATCCCACGCCGCGCGAGTTGCATGAGTGTCTGCGGCAAAAGTTCCCGCAGAACCACCGTGAGATTGTATTTCTTGTTCGGCAAATGGACGATATGATGATGAAATTGATGGAGAACTTGCAAGTAGACATGAGCCGAAAAGTAAGATCTTTTCCGTAGATTCTCTTCTTATTGCGCTCCTCTCCTCATCATTGAGGTCTCATTGCTTGTTTCTTTTCATCACCTTGACTCAATCTGTTACTCACTGTGCAACTCAGCCACTATGGACACACGAGTCCCCCGAAAGGGTATCATGGGAATGGCGCCGCGTCAAACGAAGTTTCAGGGCAAAAAAATGCGACAAAATCATCCATGACCTTCGCAACTGGAACGATGACCTACGGCATCTTGTAGAGAGCGCACAAACCCTCCCTAGCGATGAGAGTTACGCCATGAGGAGAGTAAGACGGCTGTACAACCGCAGCAACTGCGAATCAGTGCGACGCACCCTCCAATCTCTCCATCGAGCGCTCCAGGCGGGATTAGATAGTGATGACGCGGAGTGTCATCAGGTATGCATCGAGCTGAATAGTTTTCACGCAGGAGGCTTCCCTCTTCTGACGTTTCGAATCGGTATCCTACATGAGTCGGGTGGGACTCAGACTGCTCCATGGAAGGTTTTCTATGCCGCGTGCGAGGCAGGCAAAAAGAGCCCGAGGCCAGAGTCGCCGCCAATGTCGCCATATTCAGTCCGATCTAGGCCGTCAACCCTGCGATCAAGACGGTCGTCTTATTCGCAAGGGCTACGTGAGATGGCGCATAGCATATGGAGCAAATCACGGGATTCATTCAAGCAGCTCCCCACCCCAAGAGGTAAATATCCCCATGCTCACGTAGCAGACTGGTTATAAAGATGCCATCTAACCAGACATCTTCACCTCACAGCCAGCGTAGAAGATACATCAATCACACCAAGTATTGCAGAAATCATCAGCCCCAGCCCTCCACCAATCTCCAATCTCTGCGACGACTTCGACTCAACCCCTCGCGGAGATGTCTTCGGCTCTCTCAAAGATCCAAGCCCATCATCATCTTACGAGACAATCTTCTCACTAAGTCACGTATCCCGAAACCACGACAGGATCATAAGAGACATTTCGCTCGAAAAGATCATTGCCACAGAATCACAGCGTGTAGCTCCCGCCATCCAACCCCTCTCCGCAAAGCGAAGATACGGCATCGCCGCTTCACTTGCTTGGGCAGTATTATACCTCTCAGACAGTCCTTGGCTCTCCCACGGCCTAGACAGACGAAAAGTCATGCTATTCCTCCAAAGAAAGAAAGCAAACGGCTACATAAGCCTTTCCGAAAAAGTCTACCTATCGTGTCTCATCCCCAAGAATTCATCGTTCCCATCACCAGTATCATCATCCACCTCGTTGCGGCAAACGACTCCCAAGAACCTCATCTTCGAGCTCGGCATCCTCCTCATCGAACTCGCCGTCAACCAGTCCTTTAGCAAAGAATCTCTTTCTGCTATTGTTCAACACGATTACCGACCTTTAAAGCAGTACCTTGATCGAGTAGAGCAAGAAGCTGGGATATACTACTTTAACGCTGCGCAGCGATGCGTTTACAGTGTCTTCCTCGCAGATCAGGAGCAAATGGACTTTGACCTGGATAAGTTCCAGCATGAGTTTTATAGCACCGTTGTCGCGCCTCTGCAAGCAACGTATGAGGCGCGGTAGTGGATGTCAAGGGTATCAGCGGTTGAACGTGTACATAGAGGTTTCATTCTAAACAACATGCAAGTCTGGTTCAACAAACCGCGGGAGCTGGTTCAATGAAAGACTGTATATACCCATAATATTTCACATATGATTTCTTATGCTGACAACTCGGTCATCCCAACACTCAAAATGATGCATAATCACAGTTCAGACATGAACGAATAGCTGAAAAATAAACTTATAACAAGCCCATCTTCCACACCTCTAATACAACTAGGCCAAGCATCACCTCTGCCTTTCACAATGAGTAAAAGTAGTACATCTAACATCGCCGCCTGCCCTCACTCCCGCATCATCCCAAAACCACACAATCATCTCCAGTAGAAACCACACATTGAAAATTCCCTTCGCCTAACCCTTTGCTTTACTTTGATATATATATATATGTATAAAAAAAAGAGGACCCTCAACATCGTCGCTTGTGCTCATCCCTCCTGTATCCTAGATGCGGTGTCTGAAAATAATAAAAAGAGAGAGAGATGAGAACCAGTCAAAAGGCACCCTGCCTCGCACGAGTAAGAACCGTTTTCCGCCGCCGCTTCCCCCCAAATACCCCAAAACAAGATACAGCACGAGCCCGTCGCCATCGCCTCCCCCATTTGTATAGATAAGAAGCTGTAGCCGTGTCTAACACCGTGTGCTTGTCGGTGTTTTCCCTTGGTGTGTATTAAGTTCGTGCACTTCATTAATGGCCGGCTCCATAAGCAGAAAAACCAGGCCGTTCTTTATTCAAATTTCCAAAGACGAAGAAGAAGAAAAAGGCCCCCCCAAGCTCCATTTATTCGTTTACGGGGAGGCCCAGCCACCTGCGACGTCAACCCATTCGGCCAGGCATGAGCCGTCCTTGCCCTCAACATCGACAATGTCGGTATCACATCGGCAGCGGCACCCAACTCCATTCTCCTTGGGTTCGTCCCAGCTCTCCCAGTATTCGTCTTCTTCGCGTCGTTTCCGCTCGTCCAGGGTTGTCGCCTCGAGGAAAGGGGGTCGGGGAAGTTGTCGAGCAGGAGCATTGGCCGGGCAGTGCTGGATAGTCGTGTGTCGATATCCAAAGTCTCTGAAGTAGTGAATGTCTCGAGGGGCTAGGAGAGCACCGGCAGCTAGAGAGTGGATGGGAGCATCTCCCCACTAATAGCCGAGTTAGTTGACATGCTAAATTCTCATCCTGCAAGATCTAGGTCCATGTTTGCAACTTACCCGTTCCATCCAGAATCCGCCACTCCGGTCCATCATCTGGAAGAAATCGTTGTACTCCTTGCTGCGGAACCAGCTGAGCTTTGCGATTTCGAAATTGGACCAAAAGTGACACATGTTGTACTTTTCTCCTTCCATAGCCTCGGGATCAATGGGTGGCAGACTGGCTGGTTTTCCTTGCAAAACTTCCTCGGGCAGCGGCGGGTTGGAGTCGTCGTGCTCCTCCTTGGGTTCTTGAGGTTCCACAAACATTTCCCAAAGGCCCTGTGACGTCAGGTTGTTCATTCGCTTATACGCCGAGGCATAACGGAAGATGTTGGGGACGGTTTCGCGAAGCTCCTTGACAGCAATGGTGAAGCCATAAGTCTTGTTGTTCTCGATCATCTTGAGGAAGGGGTCGCTAGTATCCATGTTAGTGATGCTATTTTGGTAGGGTATACGGATCGTGGGCAACATACTAGGTAATGTCGCAAAAGTAAGTGATCTCGGGCTCGACGCGCCAGTACCACTCGTACTTTAGCAGCAGAGGGTGGTTGTAGAAGAAGCTGAATCGCAAACGGTCAGTCAAGAAAGCAATGCCTTGATGAAACAACAGACTCACCCAGAGTAGAAGCGGCACATGAAGTGGTAACTCTCCATACCACCATACATGACAGCAGCATCACCCTGCTTGGCAATACCCTCCTTTGCGACCTTCTCGTCAATCCAGTCGGGAAAGCCCCATGTGCCAGGTTCAACCTTGCCAAACTCGACGTTTGACGAAGTATAGTTTCTTACAGTCTCTTTGAAGTTGTCGTCGAAGTCTGCGTCGTTGAGGAAAACATAGGGATAGTGATACCATCTGTTGAAGTGTCGCTCCATAGACTTGATGGACTGAACAACTCCATCAATCTCCTTGTTGCGGGCCAAGACTACAAATGCGGCGTTGGCTCGGGGCGTCGAAGTATCAGGCTCAAGACAGCCGGTAACAAAGACCTTGTCATGCTTTTCGCTGATTTTTCTGCACACACACACAAACACAATCAGCAACCTCGAAATGGGAGGGAAGGCGGTGCTTAACCATACCGAATAGCGGGCGGCGAGCCTGCGGGCATCAATATCCTGCCTGGAGAACTGGGGTGCCTGACAAACAGGACCAAAATGAGCACCACCACCAACAGCGGGAAGACGAGCACGACGCCCAATGGGATGGAAACGGCAGAGTTGCCGCGCAGCCGCAGTGGCCTCTGGAAGAAGGCCAAGCTGGATGCCAGCCCCTTGTTCTTTGAACGCTTCTCATCCGACGTCGGCAGTCCCGAATGGCGTCCCGCACCCGATTTTGATCGCCTGAAGATGTCCATGGCGACTAACAACCAGCCTGCCTATGCGGCAGGAGCAGCAACAGCAAGCCAAAAATCGACGTGTGAATCGTTCGAATAGAGGAGATTTGGTCGTGGCTGGCGACAAAGACCCGTATCGAATGTGGTGTGGAGATGTGGGAGTAGAGAGGCCAGATCTGTGATAGCAGGGACTTCGTAATCAGGGGTGGTTTTTTGGGCGTCGGAGGGGGAATCGTATTAGTTCAGACGGTCGATACGTCGTCCAGAGTCGTGCCAATCGAGCAAAGACCAGGTCGAACACAACAGCCAGCTGGACGATTCCGTGCCGGTCGATGGATTGGCGGCCGTCGAAGCAGCAACAAGATAAGACTCGTGCAAATGTCAACGCGCTTCCGGCTGGAAATTGGATGCGCCTCTCGCGGGGCACCGGCCAGAATCGGACTCCAATCTCAGTCTCGCGCCAAAAGATAAGGCGCCTCGCAGCGAGAAGCGTCGCTGTCGGTCCGTCGTCGAGGCCAATGGGAATTCGGAGCCTTTCAAGGTTGATATGATTTTTATTTGCCTCAAAAGGAGAGGGAGATTTTGCTAGACCTCGCCTCTGGAGCAAGCCCAGACCGCTGTTGATTGGGGAATTTGCGTCTCTGATTTAGCGTGGTCCAGTAGTTTTGGCTTGGGCGAAAGGCTCAGATTTTCAGGGCCAGCCGAGAGGTCAACTTGACGTGCTGCTGTTGGAGAGTACCTGGCCCGCCAAGCAATGTCGCACGCTGCAGCTTGTACCGCATACCAGCATCTGAAACCAGCGACTTGCTGGACGCCAATTGCGCTATGGCCAATCAGTGGCCGCTTGATTCATGAATTTTCCGAGCAAGAACCAAGGGGCCGCGCCAGCAAAAAGAGAACTAGCGGAACATTGATTTTCCCCCCCTTTTCTACGGAGTACTGCAGCAGATAGTCCGACTCTCCGATCTCTCCATCTCGAGGCCCAGTTAATTCTAATTCCTCTCCACTACTGGATCTTGCAAAAGGCAAAAAGCAATGATTCCGCCCGGGCTCGAACCGGGGACCTTTTCGGTGGCGTCAACTGAAGTTGTTAACGAAATGTCATGACCAACTAGACCACGGAACCATCTTGTTAGCTGATTGGCTGTTTTGGGGCGTCTGGAAAGAGCTCTATCAAGGTGAAGGTGAAGGCGAAGCTGAGACTGAAGCAACCAAAAGCACCAAAGCGACATCGAGGCAATCCTCCAAGGCGACAACTTCAACTTGCAAGCGCGATAAAAACCAGGCTTCACCATGTCACAAAAAATCAACTCCAAAAACCTGTCCTACAATTCCTCTCTCCCGCCTTTCCTCGCCGCCCTCCGAGCCCAAGCATCCGGTGCTTCAGGCCCAGACCCGATTCTCTCAGCACAGCGCCGCAGTGGAAAGAAGCGATCCAGCAGCGAAGAGGCAGAAGATGTCCCGCTCGTTGTAGACGAAAATGGAAACACGATTGAGGACCTCAAGGTCAACAAGGACGGCACTGTAGAGGAAACTCCAAATGAGGAGGCCGGTAAGGGGGCCGAAGATGGAACTCTAGAGACGGAGCAAAACAAGACGAACAAGGCCGAGTCGGAACCAACGAAAGCTTCGATAGGAGGAAGGAAGCGCAAAGTCGGCAAAGTGATTGGCGAAGACGCCCAAAACGACGCTGTCGAGCCTTCTGCGGAGAAAAAACCTGACGCTGCGAAGAAAAGCACGGATGATGCCGAGCAAGCTACCAACCGCAAGACCAAGAAAAAGGCAAAGAAGATTAAGCTAAGCTTTGACGAGGACGAGGGCTGAGCTGGGACGGGTCGATGCAACACCAGTGTCTGAACGAATGACAGCTAAGCTCATATACAACACGTCATCAAACTTTAAGCGGCGGCAAGCACACTCTTGAGAGGAATTCTCTTCACTCTACGCATACGAATCACCAATCATCAATCACCAATCTATCGACATGGCAGGAATCCAGCTCTGCACGACTGACATTTGGAGGGTTCGAAACTGATGGCGTAGCTACCACAATGCCGGCATCAAGACATCCCCACCTACTTTGTGCAATTCTAACAACTGTGCCTCCATGAAGCTTTGTAACAACAGTGCAGGAGACGAGACCGACGAGCATGTAGAATACCAGATGATACACGCAACCAGCCGGCATCAGCATTAGATATATCAAGAAACACACACAGAGGCCCCCAATCTTGTCAATGCTTGTGATTCACATTGCAACAAAGTCATGAGTATCTACAGAATACACAGCTGCCTCCCACTGCCCGCCGGGCATGGGCGTTTCGCTCCAGTCCACTCTTACGCCTTGATAGTACATCGCCTCCATCCTGCCACCGAATTTTGTCCTCCATGGCCAAATTGTGCATTTATCGGTAACGGTACTCGGGCTTGACGAAGTCGGCGAAGGTCTTGGGCTCCTCGATCTCCTGGTGGTGGTGGTGGTGGCCGTGGTCCTCAGCCCCGACGTACTCCATCTTGTAGACGCTGCCGCACTCGGGGCATCGCTCAATGGGGCGCTCCTTGGACAGCTGCAGATTTCGATTCCCGCCTCGTCAGTTTTTTCCTTTTCTGCGTACTTGTTTTGTCTTCTCTCAGCCGAGGGTACTTACACCGAGCCAGATGACGACGTGGGAGTCGGCGGGAGAGCCGGTGCAGCCAGCAAGCTGCTCCTCGCCGGCGGAGCGCACCAGGATGGGGTTCTCCAAGGTTCCCTTGCGGCTGGCGTCGAGGGGGCGCATGTCGAAGATGTCGACGCCCTCCATCTTTCCGAGGATTTCGAGACGCTCGAGGCCGGTGGCCTGCTCGAGATCGGAGGGGACGGTGCCGGGCTGGGCACCGGGTCCGACGAGGTCCTCCTCGACCTTGACCTCTGTTGCGCGTAATCAAGCTCTCGGGTTAGCAATTGCCATGCCGCGGGGTGGACCGGATAGGTAGTTAGGTGCAGTAGCCAAGGCGGTGCTATATGCATATATGCACATGTATAAAGAAAAAAAACAACACCACATACCAGACAGAGTCTTGTAGGTGCCGAGCTTGGTGTGGCCAGAGCCACCGGGGGCCGAAGGAGTAGGAGTAGAAGCAGAGCCTGTCAAGTCGTCCTTCACGTCAGCCTCAGCTCCACGACACGCTGAAATCCCACCACAACCGCAGTTCCTCCAAAACCAAAGCATCCAAAGCATCCATCGAGCTGGAGGGGGGGCACAAAAAGATTAAGTCATACGGCGAGCAAAAGAAGTGGCGAAGCCGCGGGCAATGGCCGGGGTGACGGCGGCGCGGCGAGCCGCAGCGATAGCAGAGCGTTGCAAGAACATGATTGTCGAAAGCCGGGGCGCGACGAAGAAGCTGCTGGTGATGGCGTGGGGAGAGAAAGAGGTTCGGATTCGGTTCGTTCGAGGGATTTGCGGATGGTCTGATTTGCGATGCCATTTTCGGGGTTGGATGGATACGGATGCCCCGCTTTCGGGCGTGAATTGGCCAATGGTGGGAGTTGGATTGGAAGCACGTGACTAAGCTTTTGTGTGTGAGTTGAGAGCTGAGCTGAGCCGAGCTGATGGGTTTCTTGTCTAAGTTTGTGTTTGTTGGATATGCCGAGGAAATAGGCGTCATAGCTATGCATTGGGGGCTTAATACACAAAGGGTAGCTGAAATGACTATTTTCATTGTATTTCCTCAAATAGCTTGTGATCTTCAAGGCATCTTCAACCCTAGTCAACTGCTACTCGGACCTTGTTTAATATAGGCAAGCAGCGCAAACCAACACAAAGCCACTCTCCAACTACTTAACCAATTAGCTACCTAATTATAGCAAGTATAGGTAAGCAAACGGAAGCAGAAACCTTTAAACAACCTTGATTCAGAATTTTAAAGACTAGGGCAGCTATCAACTAAAGCAACAGTAGCTATACCCGAAAGTAAATCAGCCTCGTCAGATAGCAAACGGCCTGATGAGGGGCCCTCCCAACCAGCTGTATATATATAGCTTGAACAGCTATAAGCTTCAGGAATAACGATCCGACCTTGCTGCAATGAATAAACTCCAAACCAATAGAGACCCTCGCGTGCCAAATAGCAACCAACTATAGATTGTTTACGCCTGTTTGCCCAGTCCTCCCAGCACGCGCATCAATCCTTGCAAAGTTCGCCCTGTGCCTCGTTTCCCTTGCTGCTCTATGCACTCAATAACTCACTAGCCTTGCTATAAAGTGCCTAATTGCCAGTAGCGCGTTGCTGAGTGCGTTGTCGTTGCTGCTGTCCAGCCCGAAAGGCATTCACGCCGGCGTAGATGGGTGGTCCAGCAGCAGGGCGAGCACGTCGTTGAACTGGTCGAGCCACAGCCCGAGAAGCCTCAGGGCGGTTGTCCACAACATCGTCCCTCGAAAGCCTCGCTCTCTGTCGTGGAACAGCCTCTCTGTAGGGCAAAGGCCTCTGCTGCGTAGCGCTGTTCTTCCGGTGCTTTCCCTTGGAGCCGTAGTTGCCCAGGTGGTTGCGCTGGGCAGCCGAAAGCAGAACCGCCTGTCTCATCACGGAGTCGTGGTACACTTTGGCGCCAGTGGCCTGAGAATCCGGATCGCAGAGCTTATAGACCACAGTCCGAATGAAGTTCTTCGGAGTGTCGCCTGGTTTCTCAAGCAAGCTCCCCGCCTTCTTGATGATGCGCCATCTGATAAAGTCAAACGGATCCATTGCAAGCTCTCCCCTGCGGTAGAGATGCTGGAGATCAGAGATCTTGCATGCGAGCCGGTACATGACCTCTTTCTGGCATAGGCCATCTGGGGGAAGATACTGCTTGGCAATGAGTTGGTTGGGATGGTACTTGCTGCCCTCGCCAAAGATTTCTCGAATCTTCTTGAACTTGCTAGAGTTGTCCGAATAGTGCTTGTGCGCATCCTTGAGCGTCTTGTCGTTGGGGTTAAGCAGAAGGCGCTTGTGTGCGTCGTCCTTCATCACAGCCTCTGGAGCCTGTCCCTCCAGGTATCGATCGAGCGAGTCCCATGAGCTTTCCTAATGCTCTGAGTCCTCGGTGATGCACTTCACTGGCGTGCCTATAAGCAGCACCGGCTCCAGAAAGGTGCTTCCGTCGGGCGAGAGTCTGTACACCCTGTCGTAGGGTGTTTTCAGCACGGCCCGAAGCTTGACTTCATCGCTTGGAAGAAGATCGGTAAGTGCTCCCAAATGATTGGCCATGGTGAACGGCTTGAGATGAAGATATCTTGGACTTTTTGGGAGAGATGCGGCTGTCTGGTGATGTGCATATGTTAGCTGGTATCTGATGCGGCAGAATCATCGTCGACTCACTGCTTTCTCAAGTGCAGATACTCGGCGGATAACGGTGGAGTAACGTGTTTGCAACACGCCCCAAAAACTGCGAAAACTGTTCCGAATGGGTATTTACCAAGACGAGATAGATAGATAGATGTATCAACCAGAGCTGCACCTTGTGATAAAAGGCCCTGGATGGCGAGGTTGTGCTCGAGGGAAAAGAGTCGAGGAGAGATAACACGAAAAGACGCGCTTTTATAAAATGGAATTCTTCAGCTCGTTTGCACGTGCCCTATAAACGGTCAAGCAACTTGACTGCCAAGAGTCGGTCTGATGTTTCGTTTGTATTGCAGCTGGCAAGTCTCCAGTGGCAGTTGGCAGTGCTAAACAGCAAACGAATTACGTGGGCCATAGCAAACGGGGCTTTGATTAAAGAGAGCAGTGAATTGATGACAATATACGCATATAATCACATGCCTTTATTTGTTCTGAGACAATGTTAGAAGTGGTGGGGAAGGGTTAAGGAGGAGATGCCCCTCTATATGTACCTGTAGATACAAACACATCCTATTTTAACCCTTAGCACACCTGCAATAAGAACTTGGTTTCACTTAATCTATTTCTTAGCAGTGAATAGCATTAGTCTTCTATTGTAACTTGAGCCCCTCCCCTTCTATGTCTCTATCATTACCGGTCTGTGCTTCCATCTCCCACGCTTTGCCATGCAGCCATTATCCGAATCACACAAGCCCATCCCTCTCTCCAAGGAATCCCTTACTCAACAGCCTTTACAGCTTCTCTTCAGTCTTCTTCTTCGCCTTCTTCGCCCTAGGCATCGCTATTCCGTCTTGATATCCGCTGGCCACGTGCTTCCCCTCAGGACTCCATATCCTGCTCTCCATCATGCCTCTTCCTGCACTAACTCTCGGCCAGTAAACCTCCTGAATCCACCATCCATCTCCCTTCATGACCGCCTCATCAGCATTAACGTGAACGTAAAGCGAGTATGACAAGCTCGCCGCAGAGCCGAGGTTGTAACCCCAGCCGAGGGCATTGGTGAGCATAATGAGCCCGTTGCGATCTGCTTCAAAGGCGTGTACCACAATGTGTGCATTGGCATCGTCTTCGGGAATCGGCTTGTATGGCCGATATAAGAGTAGTTCGCGTCGTTCTGGGACCTCTTTGTCGGCGTTGTAGGCTCTCATGTCGACCTTGTACATGTCCAGCATAGGGAAGCCGCCGTGACCAGCGTTGGGGAACAGCGCCGTGACAGCATCGACATCCAGCTGAGGACTGGCATCCCACTCCTCAGGCGCTCGCTGCGAGAGGATATCAGCATAGCGCTCCTGCGCCGACCCTTTCATCTGCAGCTCTGCGGGCGATGGCGCAGGACGCTTGAATGTCGTGAGACAGGCAAAGGTGACGGGACCCAACGGCCGGTTCGCATCAGACTCTGGAAAAGGGCCGTTGGGAACACTCGAGGCCTCTGTAGGCTGCCGTGCCTGGACGAACTTGGTTGCGAATGAACGACTTGAGTGGACATTTGCCACTTGATAGACGAATGGCCGGTCAATCGCGCCTGGCTTTGTGAAGACACCTTGGATGGACTAGCAGATGGATCAGCGGCTAGGACTCGTCGAGGAAGGCTACAGACTCACATGAATGCCGAGTTTTCCATTTCCATTGCCGCCAGCGTCGTCTTCCTCCACCGCTCTGGCCGCTGCCAAAGGTGCTTGGGCGAAAACGTGGCCTCCAAACGCTCCCGGGGGAAAGTCGACCATAGTCCCCTTTTTATAAGCCTCGGCATTGACTTTTTCCCAAGGAAGCTCACCTCCGGGTCTCCAGGCTGGAGTACGACTTATGAACCTCTTGGTGCCATCCTGAGAGTCGCTTTGGCTGTCTGGGAGCCGCGATAGCCTCAGAGCCTCGTAGACGCCGTTGCGTGGCAACGCGGTTGATGCGTCGCTGCTGGGGGCCATTCTCGATGCCGTGCTGCGCTCTGAACGATCTGAATCCTTGCTCTTGTTCCAATTCTATCCACCGGTTACATCACCAAAATACCAGCATCTCAACACCGATGAACATGCTTGATATATAGACGCCTTTGCTGGGCCCCAGGCCGACTTGATATACAGCAGATTGAACCTCGGCTCCCCCAGCCCACTAGCTTGCCCCCCGTATTTACCGGCCCAAAACCCGCAGCGCATTAATACACGGTAGGCTATCGGGTTACCTTGCAGCATGGCTGGCGATGGAATACTTGCCGTGTCGATTCTGCCGCTCCTTTGTTTCCTCTTTTGGCTGAAAATCACACATCGTGACGATTTATCCTTATCTCTATTTTCTGACTTGAAAAGCAAAGTCTATGTCGATAGTCGCCGTCAGATGCGGCGTAGCCGGTCCAAGTCACTAAAAGACCCAACTCACAATCACACGTGCGACAATTGGATCGAATCGCCGGCGCCAACACTAATCAATATGTGTAATAATATTGAAAGGGCGGCTTGAGCATTCGAGAATCATTCCATCAAAGTCAAGAGAGGATCCTCACATACTAAAGTCTCACACGGAGCAGTACAGAGATGGTATACTCGTATATTCTTCTTCTCAATGAGGACATGTTCTCCGCGGGCTTTGAGTCGCTTAGGATGGACGAAACGCAATCGCCGAAACTACTGGGGAAATGCTGCTATTTGCACAGGCCAAGCAATCTTCTTCTCAAAACTTACACTGGCTTAGGGTCCGGCAATCGGCGGTTAATACTCGCCTTCTCAGCTGGTAATTGATTTCATGTGATTGGCTCCGAGAGCAATAGCCGAGACATGTACGATTCCTTACATAATCATTTACGACCAAATTGATGAGTACCTATTATAGCTGTTGCATCGTAATAGTAGTCGCTATAGCAGGATTCACATCTGACGCTCGATTTTGACATTATTTAGCTTCCAATTACTAGACTAAGACTCATTCTATCGAGGGATAGTCTTTCATTGGCCAAGATTCTTGTATGCAACCAGTTAAACGGCATGGAAAGTGAATTGCGAGCAAGTAGCTGGCCACCCTTGATATGCAGACAACCTACCCTGTGATTCCAGCGAATCTTCAATTAATGCACTTATTATTTGTTTCGACAACAATATCATCAATATCAATATCAATAGCCTGCACGTCATTAATCCATCACTCGAGACATTGCCGTAAAAACGAGCTCATATTTGGAGAAAAGCTTATATCAACTCCCCTGTGACGCGCTGTCGGACGCTCTTCCCCATGTTTACCATTGATCCAACGTCAAACAATCGTCATTGATTTCACACCATCTGACATCAATATCTCAGCGCCCACCCCTTGCAGCGTTTCATCATATATCTTCAACTATATATCTTCAACCTACCATAAAAACAAACCTCATCACCTTGTAAATCTACAATCTCAGGAAATAGCGCAAAATGTTTTCCTGGCTAGCATTGAGTCATCAAACCTCGCGTCGCCGGGATGAAGAGCACCAACCTCTTCTCCCAGAGTACAATGAGGCCACTCAGAGGCAGACTCGTCTCCACGAGAAGCTTCACACATATCAGATGCTACGGGCCCTTTCAAACGGCTACATGCCCTCCAACGAGCAGATCATTACTCACCTCCGTACTTTGCTCGCAGCCGACGTTCTCAATCCCCAGGCTTCTGGCTTGAGTCCCTCCGGCAGAGCCCTGGTCCGAACTACGCGCATGTGGCTCAGCGAGCTAATCGATCTACTAAAGGCCAAAAACTCCAATGATCAAGTGCAAGACTTCCTCTGGTACTTGGCCAAGGCACGTCTCGAAGTAGACTCGTCAGATCTCCACGTGAGAGCTTCCACGGCAAAGATGAAGGCAGATGTAATGGCCGCCGTCGCAAGCGTCAAGACGGTTGGATCGCTTCTGCTTACAAACTCGGACTTTCGCATCTTCCTTACAGATCTATCTACCGTCTCCCGTGAAGTCTTTCGCGATACAGCATTCACATTAAGGGACGTAGCTCACGACACCGGCAAAAAGATTGAGCCGCCCAAGGAGAAGCAGCAAGCTCTGAAACACGCAAACGGAGATGCACAGCCCGCGCCTTCAACTGAAGACTTGCAGCAAGAGGTTATCGAAGTGGCCGAAATCGTGGCAGACGGCGCTGGTGATGTGCTGGAAACGGCGGCCCGCAGTGCGCGGGAACACATCCAAGGAGAAGAGCAAGAGGCCCTGACATATCGCCTCAAGCAAGCCGTTCTCAGACTTCGCCAACGCCCCAACTACTCTGACTCTGTTTCTACTTTGTCTCTTCTCCTGAGGCGCTATCTCAAGATTTACTCTCGTGCTGCGGCGCGCACTGCTGAGGTTATAGAAGAAGACGTCGGTATGAATCCGGAAGCCGATGAAGCCTTGCACAACTTTTGGCTGCTCGTCACATCATTCGGTAACAAGAATGCCTGGAATCGAGTCGAAAAGTCGTTCAATGAGGTCGTTGAGACCGGCCAGTCGGACCCAGCATTCGAGGACCTGGTAGATCACCTCTCCAAACTGGTGCAGGATATCCTCATGGATCCGGACTTCTTTAATAATGCGGAGAAGCGGTTTGAGGAGATTCGTGCCGAGTCGAAAGAGCTCACAACGGAAACCTCCATCAGAGAAAAGGTCGATGATTTGCTCGGCAATCTCAGTTCGGCCCTACGCTCGGTGAGCGAAGACGCTGAAGTCACTCAGCTCATTAATAGTTCGACCCGTATTGCGCACATTGTGTCGCCAAAGCATCAGTACATCAACAGCGACATGTCGACGGACCTCGTCAACGTCTTCGTCCCGTTGCTTATACAGGGAATCCAGTATCTGCCCATCCCGCGACTCGAGGTCTCGACTCCGGATGTAGATTTACTTCTCGAAAACCTAGTCCTGGAGCCTGGTCGAACTATCAATAACACTTCATTTCTGCCTTACAGGCTACAAGTGTCGACCCGGAATGACGTCGACATCCGTAAAGCTCGCTTCCAGATCCTGTCAACCGTAACATCTGTGGCCAGAATTAAAATCTCGGGGCTTTCCATTGCCGCCGAAGAGCTGGGATACTGGTTGCACCTGCATTCCGGCATCTTGAGATTCATGGACGAGGGCCTTGCTAGCATTCACCTGGATGAGCGTGGTATTGACCTACTGCTCGACATTGAAATTGGCCGAGATCGCCTCGAGAAAATTGTCTCTCTCCGCAAAGCCAGTGTCCGCATCCACCACCTCAATTACACCCTTCGGCGCTCCAAGTTTTCATTCATGGCCTGGCTCCTCAAGCCCTTGATCCGCCCCATTGTCAAGAGGGCATTGGAGAAGAGCATTGCCTCTGCAATCGAGGACGGCCTTCACACGCTCAACCGAGAACTCGTCTTTGCCCGCGAGCGACTGCGAGCAACCCGCATTGCCAGCCCCGAAGATCTCTGGACATTCATCAGAGCCGTTGCCGCTCGCCTCGTCCCCAGACCACACCCAGACATTGAGGCTCGCATTGGCGTCCGTCCGGAAATATTCCGCGGCCGCTATGCTCCGGGAAGCCTAGTCCAGCTTTGGGAACGTGAGGCTCAAGACGCCAGCCAGAAGATCTACGAGTACGAGAGAGGCGGGTGGCGCAATGACATCTTCGGTGTGCGGACGCGTCCAGCCTAGCCAGGCCCCAGGAAGAAGCGAGTGTAGTCATCCCTCAGCGGGAGGGGGCGAGAAGGGTCCACGGGCAGACACCTGCTGCTGGCTGACAGTCTGACTCGTCATATGCGCTCGTGGTGTACGGCAGGAAGGGGGAGGAAAACGTCGCTTGTACAGAGTAGGTATCCCGAACGTTACGTGCGGCGCAAATATTGGCTGGCGGCTTGGGTCGGGAAGAGCGAATGAACAATGGGCGCTGCCAAATAGCCAACCACCCACCACCGGGTTTAGCGGGGAGAAAACAAAACTTGTTCCGTTTTGTCTCTCTTTGCGGGATTGTGTGCTGATCAATCGTCTCTCGTCAGCCTGACTTCCCCAGGAATCGCCCATCTCTTGGCCACCACGATTCAGGCAGCGAGAAACCCCGCGATCCTGGCTGTTGGGCTGTAATAAGGGTGGCCACATGTCCAAAGTTGGAGAAAACAAAACAAGTCGCTTCGCATTGCTTTGCGGCGCTTGGCTTTCAGAAGCCTGGGTCCGGGGGTGAGAGTTTATGCAGTACTGAGTTGGCCGAAGAGGAGTTTCAGGTAACACAGCAGTTGAGTGGCGGCAAAGACTATTGGGCGTGATGCTGGATGCTGGGAAGGCTCGGAGACGCTTATTAGTCGAACGGTCGAGTCGAGAATGCAAAGGAGCTGCGGGTGCTAGTCCAAGTAGTCGTAGCACTATTACTTGTCATTCCGTGACACGACCAAAATGCAGAATGGACGGCGACCACCCGCCCGTCGTCTGGTTTAGGGGTTAATTCGGGGTGTAGATCGAGATCCAAAGACGGGCAATAAAAGGAAATAAAAAGAAGAATCCAAGACGAAAGCAGGAATCAAGGGACTTTGAAAAGGGAGGGCAGCGTGCAGCAAAGACAATGGCCAGCCCACGCCAACAGCCTTTTGGCAACGCCGATATGCACAACCAGACCATAATGGAAGTTGGCGAGTTCCCCCCCAGAACGCGGACAAAGGCCGATTCGACCGTCCTGCAAAGCCCAAAAAGTGATTTGTTACCACCCTCAGCTGCGTGTGTGATGAGTGGCTAGCGATGCGGTGGTGTGGCATTCATCACGACAGACTAACCAGGGGGGGTCTCTGGGGAGGGTCTTTGATCAACGTGACCATCTCTGGCTCACCCAAAAGTCGTTCGATGACGCAGATTTGCATGCCAAATGTCTGTGCTCCCTGTCCGGCAGCAAATCACGATGGGAAAATCTGGAGAGAAGGATAGGGTCCGACTTGTGTGTGTCTCAAGGCTGGACCAGACGGGTTTGCGCTGGTTAAATTGCGAGTGCATGAGTGCATAGCATATTGCCAGGCCCCCCGTATGGGTTTGAGCCTATCACGGGGATCGGATCCTAGGGCAGCGATCCGATTCGACGAGAGCATGGTTTCACGACAGCTCTATTTGGGAAGGATTTGGGCGCCTTGTGGCCTTTGGTGATGAGTAGCTTTCTGGTGTTTGGTCTGGGGGATGGGAAATCAGGTAGTAGCAACCTCCTGTACTCGCACCAGCGACAACAGAATTGAGTTGACAGATGCAACCCCCTTGAACGAAATAAGGTAAACGGGTGTCCAGGAGCAGCATTACCAGCATTACCAGTATGTCGTAGTCCTCGGGCTAGCACAAGACTAACTCACCCAGTCCAGCCCTTCTTCAGCTTTCAACGGACCAGGGCCAGGGTCCATCGTATTTCGCTGCGTTGGGACCCTTCCCGACCCTTTTCTAGCCGCTGCGTTTCCCGCTGCACCAGTAATTCTCATTGCGAAATGCCCGTCATCTGCTGCCCATTTTTCTTTCTTGCAATTCGCGCTGTGGATTCCCCCGTCGTACGAGCCCATGGAGCCTCTCTCTCCGTGGCTAAATATATCGCCACAGCCGTGCAGGTTTTCCCATGCGCCAAGCCCATGTATAAGGGCACATGTCTCATCGCGAGGTGCTTCGTGTATGTGCAGACATGTACGAGAGAAGTGCGTGTACGTGTTGTGTACTGTAATAGCCCTTACAAAGCAACTGCACGTTCGGTATTGAAAAGCGATGGGCTGACCGGGGGGCGTGCGCTCTCAACCGCAAAATCCCTGCTTGGCATCCCTGCCGAAGAACCAATAACTCCCGTTCGCTGCAAGGACGGGAGGACGCCATGATGTCGTCCTGCAGCGGCCGAACCTGGGGTCGACCGGCTGCGCTGTCTCAAAAGGCCATCGAGTGCAACGCTGTGTAATACGGGGAACAACCAAAAGCAGCACCATGTAGGGAGAGAGAGTGTCAAAGTGTGTGTGATATGGCGAGGGAGAGACCGCAAAGAGGCGGCTCAAGGCAAGGGATTCACAATCCCATGTCATGTCGATGCTCTCTCGTCCCATTCGGATAATCCGCACACCACTTCTGTAGATCGTGCCCCTGCAAACCGCCCGTGCTTCCCCGGACCATGGACGGGCCAGAAGTGGAAATCCGCTGCGATGCCACCACACCCCCCTTGATGTGTTGGTCAGGTTCAATTGAGCCCATCATTCCACGGCGCGATGGTCCTGAGGGCCTGAGGGAGGGGAGGGCGAACCCGTGTCTTCGGGACCGTTGGATTGGATGCGATGCTAGCCATTTTCCCCTTCTGGGGTGTGTGCGTGGTCGTGTGAAGGGGGTTTTCGAGAAATGGACGACTTTAGCTCGTTTTGAGGCTTCGGTCGACCAGCCCGAGCCCCATCTTGAAAGTGCCAACTCCCCGCTTTATGTTGCGTCTCTGTCCCAGCATCTTCGTCGCCTTCACACAACATCACTTGTGACCACTTCCACCAAAAGCCCGCCAAACAGAAGAAGCGCCTTGCCTGCTTCTGGCCCCAGAGTTTCCGTCTATAGCCTCCCATCGTCAGTGCTGCTGCTTCGTAAGTGACAGCACGGCCGGGAAGAAGAAGGGTGAAAGCCAAAGAGCCATTTCACTCACTCCATGTCCCCCTTGGGCTTCATATCGCTTCTGCAGGGAACACGTTGAGCCTGCAGTAAATAAGTCGGGTCGAAAACTGCATCGTCATCGTAACCTGCTAAACGGCGTGACATCCTCCCACCTGCTGGCATCTCCGAGGCTGAAAGCATGCAAAGCTCACTCGAGCCAGTGCAAACGCTAAGATGTCTTGATCCTCTTGAAGCCGGCGCCATTGGCGTGCCCGGCCTGCACTCCATGGCGAGACCAAGGCTGAACAAATCACTATCCAAACGTAAGAGCTCGGACTTCCTGCTCGAGGCGCCACATCGGTATCATCTCAAGGGCGCGCGGAAGCCCACCGTCTCTCCGCGAGAGTATCCTCTTCCGGAGAGCCTCGTGCAGTTCACGATATTGGACCACAGCAACAAGACGGCGTTTGAGTTTTCGCTTGACGCACAATGGGCTTGCAGGGGAACTAAACGCTGCCGTCTTGGATCCGACGTCGAAGGCCCCAACACGGCCAATGTCGGCCGCAAGAAGCGCCGCCTTCGATCTCGCCTCATCACTAGCCGGCTCTCTCAGCCCTTCTCCCAGCCTGCCACGCACATCTTGAACAGAGAGGGCAGGCAGGTTGGTGACCGGCGTTTTGTAAAGATGGCCGTGACACTTGATGCCAGCAGACGGGCTGCACATCTGCGGGCAACGGCGTACCTGAGATACTCCATCATGAACCGCATGCGCAAGAGGCTCGGTGGTGTGAGATACCAGGGCTCGACAAAGGAGAATGAAGACCACACAGTGCGGCAGAGCATTGATACATTCACCAGGGCGCCATGGCAATCACAAGACGTGAAATCAGCCCCCGAGGCTGGTCCCAGTGTCCTTGAGCCAAGCAAAGGAGCAGCTCCAGCATCACGGGACTCCAGAGACGAGGCTACCAATCAGCCTGTGGAAACACTAGGCAAAGCCCCAGCCTGTCGCTTGTCAAAGCCCATTGCTCTGCCGCTTCCCTCTGCAGACGTCGATGCCACCAATGACCGCACCTCAGCCCGCATCGACTCGACGACATCTCCGGAGCCGAGGCCGCCTCTTGCGTGGATGTACGACGACGTTGAGGAAGACAGCTTTGCCTTTCTTCACGCAGACGAGGAGCACTTGGACGACGATGACGCCGACGTCTACTGCGATTTCGATGCCATCTTTGCGGCCAAGGCCACGTCGCCTAACCCCCCGTCGCCCTCGGAGGAGCACACATATGAAGAGTACATCGACGAACTGGACGGCATTTCTTGGAGGATAGGGTGACACTTTTTCACATCTCATTTCTTATTCACTTGTTTAGAGAGACGGCTGGACACTCAGAACAACATATGGAAGTCCGGAAATCACTTGTAGGGCTGGAAAATTACTGTATATTTATTGGCATGGCTGGCGCGCATTAGCCAAGGCTGGGCTGGGGGGAGGCGTTTTGTTGGATGAATGTTAAGGCTATGGGCGATGGCGGCCGGGGGTTGTGTGTCTTGTCCCCCGATTGTGTAAGCTAAGGAAGTTGATTATATCAGAATCCCACCAAATGAATATAATGAAATCGTCGGAATCAGTTGCCGTTGGACTGCTTGCGGTTAGTGTCTTCAGGAAGCTTGGAAGCCCTGTCTTTTGCAATGTCGCACATGGCCTTGTTGTCCGTAAGAATTAGCTTCATCGTGAAGATTGACCGAAGCAGTGGAGAGCACCGGTCCGTACCTGTAATGCGCCGTCGACCTCTCTTGAATAGTCGCTTCGTTCGATCCGCGCCCTCATGTCCTGCATAATCTCGGGCCGCTCTCGACCATTGACAAAGACGACATATCTGAGCCCAGGGAACGCCTCTTCGTACTCCCTGTTCAAGGCGGCAAGCTCCTCTGATTCCCCTTGAAGATTGGCCTGTTCAGCCACAGACTGTGCCGACTCAATGTTCTTCTCTCCGAGGCGTGGATGAGATCCCAGAACAGACAAGAGTACAGGGTGCGGCTCTGTCTCGGCAGATTTGGCGGCGAGAGAGAGAAGCTTAATCTGGCATACGTCTATCAAATCGGGGTATGAGCTGTAGACGGCCGTTCGAATTACTGGCAGGAGAGTTGCGTGGATGGCGGGACTGGGCTCAAACAGCAGGTCGAGGACCTCTGTCTGGGCCAAGTCCGAATACGAGTGGAGGAGAGCAATGGGAGGGAGGCGCTCCAGTGGCATGATGCTATGTGTATGTGTGTTTGTGTGTTTGCGTGTAGATCCGGGTCCAGAGAAGGGATTCGCGGCGCTAAGGAGGAGGAGGAGGAGTCTTGTGGAATATCGGAGAGTTGCGAAAGCGGTCGTATAGATTGATATAGTAGACGGCAGATAGAAGATGACTGGGACCGCGTCGTAGAAGCGACTGCTAGAGAGAGGAGAGAGAGGCGAACAAGACAAGGCCGAGACGCGCGCAAAAGCCCCTCGAATCCAGCGCAGAAAGGATCAACAACTCGCGATGCCTTCAGAAAAGGGTTACAGGACAAAGAACAGGCGAATGGCCCAAGTCAGACGACGAGCTCATCCCCTAACCCCCCGCAATTCCAGTGGAGCGACAAACGCAGCGATACCGAGTTGGTAGTTGAACGAGCAGGCTTATCAACTAACTTATCAGCTCGTGACGTGCATGGTCTGTGCGTCTGGAGCGGAAAATCTCGATCGGGATGCTGGTCGCGCGCGAACGAGCTGCAGCCTTGTTTCAGCGAATTGGATTTCTGGATTTCTGCAACTTGCCATTGGAAGCCGAGAGGAGATTGAAAACCAGTCACCATGCTTTGCGGAAGTAAGTGATGCCCTGCTGTCGTTGCCTTGAGGGGTTCGGCGTCGTTTCCCCTGTTATGCGCCCTGCTAATCCAGCTCTAGTCTCCGGAGAAGCTCCTCAAGAGCCTGTCGCGTCCAAGAAGACGGGTAAGTGGATGGACACATACATACCTAGTAGCTAAGCTTGCAGCAGAGCGTTTGGCTGACTTGTCGTCTCAAGGAATCGTCTACGAGAAGCGGCTGATAGAACAGTACATCAACGAACATGGCTCAGAACCCAACGGCGAAGCCATCACCGCGGATGACCTGCTGCCCATCACTTCGTCTCGCATCCCACGCCCTCGGCCCCCTACTCTGACTTCGATCCCCGCCCTCCTTGCCACATTCCAAAACGAGTGGGACAACCTTGCTCTGGAAACATACAACCTGAGGGAGCAGCTGGCACGGACGAGGGAGGAGCTTGCGACGGCGCTGTACCAGCACGATGCCGCCGTTCGCGTCATTGCCCGACTGACAAGAGAGAGGGACGAGGCCAGAGACTCGCTGAGCAAGGTGACCGTGACGGACGGTGCTGCCAACGGCGAGGGCATGGTTGTGGACAGTGTTGAGGCGCTGCCGGAAGATCTGGCGACGCAGGTGGACCAGGTGCATCAGAGGTCAGCAATCTTGTATCTTTCCTCAAGTGGCGCCGCATGCTAACCCATTCTTTAGCTTATCCAAGGGGCGCAAGAAGCGCTCTGTCCCCGAAGGATGGGTCTCCAGCGAACAAGTGTCATCGTTTGAAACTACGACAACAAACGCCCTGCCCGTTCCACAGGCCACCGCTCTCGATGTGGAGGGCAACTATGCAGTTGCAGCAGGATTGAACGGGGAGGCGGCCATTTACTCTGTCGAGGCCGACAACGTGGAGAGGACTGTGCCGGTCAACGAGCCCGTGACGGATACTCTCTGGGCTGGGTCAAAGGTCTTCTTTGCAACCAGCCAAGGAAGCGTCAAGGTTTACGAGGCCGGCAACGAGGTTGGCACATTATCCGAGCACGCTGGAGCTGCCAGCGGCTTGAGCCTACATCCCTCCGGAGACTTGCTTGCCTCTGTGGGCGCCGACAAGAGCATTGTGTTTTACCACCTAGAGACGATGAAGCGAGTCAGCCGAGCATATGCCGATTCTCGTAAGTTTGGAATTCACCCTTAGTTTTCTTTGAAGTTTTGGTGACTGACAAAACTCGACAGCTTTGACAACATGCGCATTCCACCCCGACGGACACTTGTTTGCCGCAGGCACTGTCGCCGGTGACATTAAGCTGTACATGACGAAGACGCTCGACCAGGCCGTTGTATTCAAGCTCGGCGCCCCGATCCAGGCCCTCGTCTTCTCTGAGAACGGATTCATGCTGGCGGCCACGGCCAAGGGGCAGACTAGCGTTACCATTTTCGATCTACGCAAAGAAGGCGACGCCGCTGTTTCCAAGGTGCTCGAAACGGGAGGCTCCGTGCAGTCCCTGGCCTGGGACTACACTGGCCAGTTCCTCGCCACAGGAGGAGCCACGGGGATTACGGTGCAGCAGTACACAAAATCGAGCAAGAAGTGGAGCGAGCCTCTGCGGAATTCCCTCCCAGCGGTTGCGGTCAGATGGGGCGAGTCAGGACAGAAGCTGGTTTCTCTCAACGGAGAGGGAGTTGTGAGCGTGCTGGGCGTGAAGAACTAGGCGGCTGGCGCAGAGTGATTTGGGTCTGCTGATGCAAGCCAATGTTTTTGATTTGTTTCTGGTTTTTTCCGCGTCTTCTTAATATTAAATATGCGCCGGGACTTTTTGGGAAATCTGTTGCATGAAGGGGTTAGATTGTGTCACAAGGGCTGTACATTGAGGCGTTGAGGAAAGGCTCTCGCCAAGTCTACACGCAGAGGAGCAAAAATACGATATCAAGCAAAGAGCATGCAGCTCTGTCTCTCTTGCAGCACCGTGAAATGACAACCTAGGGCAAAGACTTGATGTTTACTGCCTATTTACGAACCTGGTGAGCTGCCTGCAACGGGGCTGGTCTGCTTAATCTTTATACCTGATACACCAAAACCTAGTACCGGGTAGGCAGGCAGCTATCCTTGAGACAGCGCTTGGCCAGGAAAATACGGGAGCAACGCAGCAGAACAATCGCGGCGCGAGTCATGGAGCTCTTGGGATTAATATAAATGCGATTGGCCCCGTCCGTCACTGCAAAGTGAGCCCAGCGTGAGTGCGTCATATCTCGTTTGGCGCCGAAAGTTGCCTCTTCCTCGATTTTTTTCCCTCCGCATTTGTCAGGTGCCGAAGGTGATCCGAACATGGCACCGGCTCGTGTGATTTTTCACGCACTGTATTATTAGACGATAACCGATTCTGTCCCTGTCAACAAACGCGGCTGAGAAGAAGAAAAAACAAGGCGCTTGTCAGCAAACTCGTCGGCGCTTAGAGGAAGCGAAGAGGCAAACAATATTGGCTCCCTTTTTTCGAGATATCGCCACGTGAACCGCGGACCGATTGCAATTTAAAAAGAAAAAAAATATTAAAAAAATTAAAAATCCAAAGCAAAACATAGACAGAACCAAAGGCTGCGCTTCCCCACAGGCTGAAAACGCTCTGGGAGGGGTTGGTTATTATTGAGCTTGTTGGTTACGGCGCTATCCTCGCTATATCGAGTCTCGATTCCGCACAGCTCGTTCGACTTAACCCAACGCCACCCTTACGCAACGGTGAATGCCCTCCGCACACGCAGACAATCAGGGCTCGGACACGACTGGAGGGAAAGGGAACCCATCGCTCGCCGTCTTTTCCGCTGCTGCTCTGCTCTGCTCTCTCGCCTCCGCCTCCGCCTCTCCCTCGACATCTGTCTGGAGCAGCATCAACGCCAAAACATCGCACCAAAATGTCGCGAGCCGGCGACGACGTGCTGGGGTCCAGCGACGACGACCTGGTCGAGGTCGAGGTCACCGAGACCCGCAGCATCTTTGAGAACATCCTGCACCCGCGCGGCGTCCCATCACGGCGGCCAGACCTCAGCTTCTCGCCGAATCCACCAGCTGGCCATTCTCGCCGGCCTCAGCCTGCCGGGCCGTCAGCCTCACAGCTGCGGCTGCGGCCCTCCAACCAGGCTTCGACTCGCCGCAGCAGACCCCCGCCTGCGGAATCCGCCGTCATCGACCTCACGGAGGAGCCAGATTCACCCGTGGACCGACGAAGAATCCAGGGCGCGGGCCCTCAGGTAATGCTGCAGCAGGTGCCGCATAACAGCGCCGGGAGGCATCCGCGGAGGACGAATTCACTGCGCATCTCGCCGCCGCAGCTCGCGAGGAGCGACAGCACGTTTGTGAACGCATCCAGCGTCATCGACTTGACGGCAGACTCGCCCGAGGACGAGCAGCGACCCAACCGCGAGAGCTGGCGGACTCGTGCCCATCCGCCGCGGCATCACCACCACCACCATCATCACACCCACGATCATCTCCGCCACGGCCGCGACCGCCTCGTCTCGCTCGACTTCATTAACCACCACCAGCTCCAGTCGGATTTCCAGGTCTTTGGTAGAACCTTGGCCGGGTTTCTGAGCGGCAACCTCGGTGGTTTCGGTCCTGAACTGCAGACCATCTTCCCGCAACGTGAACCGACGCCCAAGCCGCCAATGGAGCCCGTGCCACCCACTAGGATGGGGTTCACCCGCGATACCCGAGCTGACGGCCAGGCTGAGCAGATGGTGGTTGTATGTCCGGCCTGCAACGAGGAACTTGCCTATGACCCTGCAGATGCACCGTCCACGCCCTCGAAGAAGAGGAAGAGGGCTCCTGGAGAGCACCATTTCTGGGCACTAAAGAAATGCGGTCACGTAAGTAGCTTTTTTTGGGTTGTCTTTTTTTCTTCGAGGTTTAATGAGCCTCGCTAATTGGATTGGATATCCGTCAATAGGTGTATTGTGCCGAGTGCTTTGAAAACAGACGGCCGACAAAGACGTCTCCCGATGGAGTTGGCTTCGTCTTGGCTCCAGGAGGCAAATCGACTGCCAACCCCGACATTCGCTGTGCTGTGGAAGGGTGTGAAAGTAAAGCGACTCACAAGACCGAATGGGTTGGCATATTTCTTTGAGAGCAGCGAGCGTTGCAGCAAGATGTAGACATTCTGTTTATATGCCCATGTCCTCATCTGTGCAGATTCATGCAAAGTCGGAAACCCGGTGCGGCCATCACAACACACGGAGGACAGAGTAAATGGAACCACCAGCATGAACGAGATACATCAGGAGAATACTGTGCTTTCTACTACTTCTTTTTGTTAGCACAGGACAAGAAGGGCGGCGTTTTAAGGTCTGTTTAGCACGGCACATAAGCGAGGGAGGGAAAGGGAAAGGGAAGGGAAACCTCTTTTTTATATTTGCGAAAAATCGTTCAAGGCGTTGAAAGGGGTTAAGCAACAAACACACAAATCTGGTAGAGGACAGCAAAACCAAATGTACGCTCAGGAACAAAGGCGGAGGGGAGGGAGGGGGGAAACAAAGGAAGCGGAAGCTTTTTTCAGTGGCAGGAAGTAATTTTTGTCTCCCCCCCCTTTTTTTTTCTCTTCCTTTTAATGTATGCACATAGACGGCTCATTTTTCTTTTGTACTTTTTTTTCTTGGGTTTCTTTATTAAACTAGTTGCTTTTGGCTGTTGTTGTGAGAAGAGAAGAGAGCGAGAGAAGAGAGAAGAGTGAGAGAGAGAGAAATACCCCTCGGGAAACTCTAGGTAATAACTTCTGTGCAGACTCTTTTACCAAAAGAGTCTTTTTTTGCTATATAAACGGTGTGTTATCTTTTGAATGTGTCTGATAATGCAAAGTAAACAAAACAAAAGACATGGGCGCGTGATGGGGTGATTGATGATTTGGGTCTAGTTTCGTGGGATGTTGATGCGTGCGGCTAGCCGGGGATGTTTAAGAACTAATGCAGCTTGTGCATGAGCTTGAGCATGAAGGATGGATGAATCCTTGGTGTTATTATATCATCTGGTTGGTTGGTTGGTTGGTTGGTGTTGAGATGGGGATGGCTGTGGTGGGAGATTTGGAGGATCGTGATAGATGTAGGGGATGGATATAATGGAACGTAATATTGATACAAGCATATGGATAAAGGATGTTGAGGACAATACATGATGACGGATAAAGAGAGAAAAGCATATATAAAAGCGAGCTGAAGGCGGAGCTCATCATCTATTTCACATCTCACAAGTCGGCATCTACAGCAGACTAAATCGTACACAATACATAAAAGGCTAATCTCAACAGTAAAAGAAAGAAGAACAAAACGCACATTCGCCACGCAATGCAATGCAATATCAAGCAGTATGCCTCAAGCCCTTTCGCCGTAAACCCCTAGTAAATCAGCCTAGCCCACCATATCCGTTCAATACCTGTTGTCCGCCGTCTATCCAGGGGGTATATCGTTTCTCGTTGCCGCGTCGTCTGTCTAATCATGCATTATACGGAAAGTTCTGTCGCCAGCTCGTCCATCCAGCTTCCTCCGAATTCCGACTCCTGGGAAGCCATCAGGTGCTTAGCCTCGCTAAGCCCAGGAGAGGTAATGTTTTCTTTGTTGGACACCTTTTTGGGTGTCTCGTATCTTTTGTTTTGAGCCTCTGGAGGCAGAATTTTATTTGCGATTTTAGCAGCGGCTGAAGCCGACTGCTGTCGGGGAGGATTGCCAAGAGGTGAAGGTCTCTTCATCTCAGCGATAGGTGGTGATTTTGTGGTTGGTAAAGGGTTGTTGGCTCGTGTCTCGACGAGAGGTGTCCTCTGCACAGATGTATTTGCGAGTGTGCGGTTGGAGTTCGTAGTAAACCCCCTCCTCATCGAAAATTGCGGCGTTGTTGCAGCGACTGGCCTCGTTTGTCGAGGGACCTGCCCTTTCTCCCAAGACTCTGTCTTTGATAGAGCTTGATTAGTAGTTGTGGTTTTTAGTTTGCTGCCTGCGAGTTTCTTCTCTCGAGCACGACGTTCGGCTTCTTTCTTCTTGGCCTCTTCAAGCTCAAGAGCCTCCAACTGAGCGGCACGCAGTCTCTGCTCCTCCTCCCGCTCTGCTGTTCGTCGGCTACGTAGCAAAGCGACGGCTAATCTTTCGTTGGACCCAGAAGAAGTGAAGAAAGGTTTCGGTGGTTCGGGGGACGAAGATGCTGTGCCCGGGGGAAGTGCGTCTTTCTCTGGAGCTGGACTCGGAACTTGAGGTTTAGGTATCGAGGACGATTTTATGGGTTGAGAGATGAATGTGGTCTCTTCTTCTTCTAGCTCTGCTGCCTGTTGAGAAGATGTAGGAAAGAAATCGTCCATGTTAAAGAGGATTTGTTGAGTGCTAAGAGGGGGCGCTTGTGGCTTCATAGCGACAGGTGATATAGGGGAGCGTGAGTGCTGTGGAACTGCTGGTATCGGCGGTGGTGGCATAAGGCGCGCTTGGTTGTGTTTCTCAGAGCGTGTCTCTCGAGAAATTTCATTGGAGAGGCCAGCGGCAAGTCCGAGATCCAACTCATAGCCTGTTGCAGTGCGAGCTGGCTTCTGAGATTCTTCAAGTACAGGTTGCTTCATGGGTTCCTTTGAAGGCTGCTTTTGGGAGTTTAAGGCATCGTCCAGAGCCAACATCTCCTGTTCCAGATCGTCCTCATCATCAGATATCAAGTCAAACTCTTCAAGAGTCGTTGACTTTGGGTTCTTGATGGAGATGGGAGAATCTGGCTTGAGGAGTGTGGTCTCATGGTGCGAATGACCCTTTTCCTCTTCCTCTGGTGCAGCATCTGGACCTGCATGAAGGCAGTCTTTTGTGTTGCTCACACTGCTCTTTGGAGCCACCTGGTTAAAAGACAACTTGGAAATCTCATCGTCCGACAAGATTTCAAATCCATCCAAGAAATCGTCTTCGGGTATCTGCTCATTCTCCTCTGGCAAAGTATCAGCCTTGGTGCTGGACTCTTCAACAGCAAAGGTGACATCTTCTCCTTCTTCTTCCGCTTCGTCGAAGTCTTCTTCCTTTTGCTGTTCCTGGTTGCAGAGTCGCTTCGGGCTGGGAACATCATCGTCGTCCTCTTCGGCTTCTTCCACTATAGGCTCTACCAGGGTCGTCACAGCAGTTTGCCCTTTCAAGTCTCTCTTGATACCCGATCCATTCCCTCTAACAAACCGAGCAATGGTGTCTTGGCTTGGTCGGACATTCACCAACGGCAGGCCTTTCTTCCTCTTTTCCTCTCTCTCTGCCTGCTCCTTTGCGCGCTTCTTCTCCCTCAGCGTCTTTGCTTTCAATGCGGCCTTTTCCTTCTCAAACTCCTTCCGGATGCGCTCCTGTTCGGCTCTCTCCTGTCTCAACTGCTCTGCTCTGGACACGCGCGGGACACGATTGGCCTGTCTGTAGGCCTTGCGGACTTGTTTAGATGTCATGGGACGATTGTCGACGGGGGTTCGCTCGGCCGGGCCTGCGGGCGGCACTACGGTGAAGGTCCGCTGAACCATCGTGGCAATTGCGATGGAGTCAATGAACGGAATCTCTTGGGGGCGTCTCCAAGCAGTGCATGATGGCGATGGACTGTGTTGTTTTGTTGTTGTCGCGGGGTAAGATGGACAAGCAGCGGCAGATGGGCGTGACAGCTGTTGACGCGAGACAGATACGCTGTCACGTGATGACAATACGAGAGGTGCCTACATCTCAGGTACTGCTACCCTGCAACTCGCCCATGTGTGCAGGCGACGATGCAATCTCTGCATCTTTTTTCTTTTCTTTTCTTTGTACTTGTGTTTCCTTGTTTTCAGCCTTTTTGGATTAAGTACCAAGAACGCCTTGTGGAGGCCCCATTTTGTAGCTGATGTGGCATCATGCAAGTCTGCAGGGCATCTGCAAGCTAACACGGGAAACGTATAAGCATCAACCAGCCCTCTTTGCTACGTTCGCCGCAATCCCTTTTTATTAACATTGAGCACTTATATATCTTCCCTGGCTGTGGAAATATTTTGGAGAAGTCCTTGAGAAACTGGTCAGAACCATTGCAAACCCTAGTAGTATATGGAACTAGGATCAACCCCCAAACAAGCCAACCGGAGCTATTGATGCATGTCTTTAGAGAGAGCAACAGGGGTGCTCCAAATGCACATATTCTTCCCAATTGGAACTAGCCCAGAATCTTAGGCAGCAAGAAATGTTTTTGAAGTAGAGAGTCTCGTTGGGAGTTTACTATGATACAGTAGGTGGTAGTTGGATGATATAGGCGGTATATGAATCGCCTCGTACAGACCAGTTATTTGGCCACGAAATCATCTCCATCCATCCAAATTGTCACTGCCCTTGCATGATAAAGAGGAAATCGCCTAAAGCAGCATCGTCTTGGCCGTTACGGAGCAGATTGTTGGGCTGATTATTACTCATTTCGCTCTGAGCTCAAATCCTGACTTACAACCCGCCAAGTCACTTCATGATATAAGTAACGCGTTGCGCTATCAACTTACATGTACCCATTATTCATCATTTAAATCACCTCTGCCTGCAAAGCTACAAGATCATCATGCCTGACACCAAAGGCCTCTTCCAAGCAGCATATGATGGAAACATTAGCGTTTTTCGGAAATTTCTACTGGATGAGGAGGACATTGATTCATATCGAGACAACGACAAAAACACTCTTTTGTCAATTGCAGCCAAAAGCGGGCACGAAGAAGTAATAAACTTCTTACTCGCGAAACAAGCCAACATCAACGCAAGAAACATCAAGGGCGAAACACCGTTTTCTCATGCTGCGGAGAATGGCCACACAGATGCAGTAGAGATACTGCTGCGACAGGACAATGTCGACTCCAAATCCTATGAACAGGCAGTTTCCGCGGCAGCCAAGGAAAGTCATGAGAATACAATGAAATTTCTTCTTGAAGACCTCATTTTCTCAAGTGCAAGGGACAGATACGGTTCAATAGCACTAATCTCTGCTGCAACTCATGGTAGCAAAGCTATTGTCGAACTGCTGCTGACGAGCGAGGGCATCAACTTCAGCCAAGATGCTATTCACGAAGCATTAATCGGAGCTGCGGAGACTGGACATGATGATATAGTAGAAACACTGCTTGGAAGAAATGATGTCGATATAAATGCGGCAAGCTCGACTGGAAAACTGCTATTAATACAAGCTGCAGAATACGGGCAAACGGATGTCGTGAAAATGCTGCTTGAGAGGGACAATACCGATGTAAACGTACAAGGCGCATACGGCAGAACGGCACTAGATGCCGCCGTGAGAAGTGAGAAGAAAGATGTGCTTGAGCTTCTATGGGCAAGGGAAGATCTGAACGAAATCAACTATCAGGGATTGCTATGGGTGGCTGCAGGGGATTACTGCGAGGATGTAATGGATTTTCTACTGTCCAAAGCGTGTGCTAAATATCCTGGTCGAACTCCTCTATCATTATCCGCAGAAGCTGGCTCCAAAGAGGCAGTGCAGGCCCTTCTGAAAAGAGATGGTGTCGATGCAAACTTGAAGGATGAAGACGGTCGAACACCGCTATCATACGCCGCCGAGAAATCGCATTGGACTGTGGTGCAAATCCTAGTCCGAAATAACGCTGATGTAGACCTAAAGGACAACATCGGTCGGACGCCGCTATCATACGCTGCAGCGAATGAAGGTCCGAAAATAATAAGGTATTTACTACAACAGAACGCCGATATAAACCTAAAGGATAATGTCGGCCGAACGCCGCTTTCATACGCTGCAGAGAACGGACATCAGATCGAGGTAGAGATACTGCTACAACACAACGCCGATCCCAATTTAAAGGATAATGACGGCAGAATGCCGCTCTGGTGGGCTATACAGAACAGCCATGAAGCATCGATGAAACAACTCGCACCCATTGACACTGGCACGCTGCTTTTTTTGACTCAACATGGGGAACAGGCTGCGATCAAGCTGCTCTTGCGCCATAACCCAATTGTGGACCAGAGAAACCACCGCGGACAAACAGCCTTACATCTAGCGGTGATTTTGGGACATCAGGATATTGCAGAAACCCTCATGTTGCATTGCAAAGTCAACCTGAAAGATAATTACGGTATGACGCCGCTTCAACTAGCCATGCAGAGAAGAGATGGGCATCTTATCCAAAGATTACTTGAGCTCAAAGCACATACAAAAGGGATTATGGCGAAAGAGTGGCGCGATGCATACAGGAAACGGAATGAAGATGTGGTCCTATTACATGAAGGACTTGGTGGGGAGCACTACGTTACTTTTCCTGAGACGCTCCAAGCTGGAGAAGATCTATTGCATACCTCGTCTACAATACAGAGCCGCCTGTAGTAAGTCGTCCTTCTACCTTTCTGTAATGTTTCTCAAATAGAACACTAATTCTTCTAAGCATGTTGACGGACGACTTGAATAGTCCGATTTGGTCAAGTTTACCAATCAAGTTATTTGAACAAAAGAAATTGGAGTCAAATAAGTTACAAATAATTACGGAAAAGACGGATAACATTGTGGATATTTCCATCTCATTACAGCTATCCATTTACAAATACCTCAACGACCAACATTTGGGCATGGATGATAATAAAGTAAACAGAATCATGTGGAGAATTATACAACCGGCAATCCCTGGCAGCCCATGGACTTCAATAGCGTACTTCAGCACACTGCCATATGGCTGGATTCCAGAAGATGGTGTCGATCTATTCCAACAATTTTTTACCCACATCAAAACAGAATGGTTGGATCTGTGTGATAAATTTGCTGATTACTTGGCTAAGCGGGTATGCTACAACTATCTCATATTACACACACTTCCCTCTTCAGAAAAATTAATGGAATCCAATAGCGACTTGAGCAACTTGAATCCAAGGGAAAAAGGCAGGAGATGATAGATTTCCTCGCAAAGGACGCGCAGAAACTGGCCAACCTTCGCACTATTTTGGCAAACCATACCTTGGAAGGCGAGAAGTTTATAAAGGATTATTGCCTGCATTATAATGCGAATCAATTTCCACAAGATCTACTCGGGCTACTCAAGGACGACATTGAACTTGGAATAAGGAAAAGGATCGAGGAATTGGATCAAACAGTCAGAGACCTCCTCAATATCGTAAGTGAAGAGTCGTATTTTATTGGTGAAGAACTTGTACTTATGTGAAACAGGAATTTGCATGGATTACAATACATGAGACGAGAGTTTCAACCAAATTAGGACAGAATGTAATGCTCCTTACTTATGTGAGCATTTTTTATCTCCCCTTGGGGTTCTGCGCGGTAAGTTGCCACAGTCTGGTCGATAAAGACGGCATGATGCATGAGTGCGTATTAATACATCACCGTTAGGCACTCTGGGCAATCCCGAATATAACAGATCCGAGCACGAGAACGCCATTTATTTTGACAGCAGTCATTGTTTCTTTAATTACTCTGATGGTCACATTCAACATGGAGAAAATAGCCGCTATTCTGCAGCAAGGCTATGAGTATTATGCTTCTCTGAGGAAAGAAAAGACAAAGATCCAGAATCTGAGTCTTCCTTAGAGTTGCCTTTGTTACATACTGTATTTCATTCCTTTCTGAAACCACTGTGTCTTATAATTTTCTTGGACTATGTAGATAATGCATTTTCCCACCAGCTCCTCTAAAATCATCTTTACCTGTCCAGAGGCTCAACTGTAGGATCCCAAGCACAAGGGCTGTACTCCGTCGTCGTCAGGTCCTTGACCTCCTCCTCCGTCAACTCAAAGTCATACAGATCCGCATTCTCCGCAATACGGCTTGGCGTAACACTCTTGATCAGAGGAACAAGGCCCTTCTGCAAGCTCCACCGCAGCAAAACCTGCGCCTCCGTCTTGCCGTACTTCTTGCCCACAGCAATAACCTTGGGATCACCGAACCGCTCGCCACGGACAATGGGGCAGTAAGCCTGGACAGCGATGTTTCTCGCGTGACACCACTGCACGATGTCGTCTCTGGGCAGCCAGGGGTGAATCTCCCATTGACCGACGGAAATCACACCGCCCTTGCCGGCACCACCGCGCTCGGACTCGAGCTCCTTGATGTACGCCTCCAGCTCGTTCAAGTGGTGGACACCATAGTTGGAAATACCAATGGAGCGGACCTTGCCGGCCTCGACAGACTCGACGAGGGCCTTCCAAGCGCCCTTTCGGTTCTCAATACCGCCGTAGGGAGAGTGAATCAGAACGAGATCAAGGTAATCCAGCTTAGTCTCCTTAAGGGCAATGTCGACCAGATCGAGCGTGTTCTGGTAACCGAGGGGCTTCTCGCGCACGGGGACCTTTGTGGTGAAGAAGACTTCCTCGCGGGGGACGCCAGAGGCGGAAATGCCTGCGGCGGAGGGGCCCTGGTTGCGGTATGCGGAAGCAGAGTCAATCTGTAATTTGTTATGAGTATCGTAAAAAGCGAGATAATTGCTTCATGCGTCAAAAGGCTACACATACGTGTCTGTATCCGATTTTTAACGCCTCTTTGCAGACATCGGTAGCAACAGCCGCAGCACTGCCAAAAGCGTCAATACGACTCACTCATTGCGAATTGCATAGTATCAAAAAGTGACATACGTTTGGTAGACCTAAAAGCGCACTTGTAAGCACCATATCGGCAAGTTAAAAAGGGGGCATTTTGAGTGAGCTTGCAAGAACTTACTCCAAATCCTAGGAGGGGAATTGTGTAGCCCGAGTTGAGCTTGACAACAGACTGTAATGTGAGTTTCTGCGCCATTGTGTCTGTATCTAGAGTTAAATCTGAACTGTCAACTCAGTTGTAAAGTCAACAATTAAAGAAAAAAAAAAGACGCAATGAGAAAGCAAATGGAGTGCCTGGAAACAATTTATATTTATATCATCGAATGATGTCAACTGCGCTACTGAGGGGTCACAACCTCCCATGAGGGGCAATTCATTAGCCTCCCATGATGCGAGTCCCACTAAGCTGCACAATGCCCGGAGTTTGTGGCATCTTTTCTCCTCTTTGGGCGAATGCACGCTGAATCGTCGACTTTAACGCCGAGGTGCGAGAGCGGCCAAAGTTGCCCGCCGGGTTGCATTTAATTGCATGCATTGCATGAACAGGTGGTGCTGACAGGTCTATCTATCTCTGTTGGGAATATGGAGGAGGAGGCTGTTGACTCACAGCTCAATCAGTAATCATCATCAACAAGAACTCGCTTTTTGAACTTTGTATGAACCTTGTATTTATCCAATCTCGTTTAAATCACGCTGTCTAACATGTCTATTTCATCCTCCTCATTCCGTCTATCCGGCGTCGGTTCTGCAGCCTGTTCCTCCTCGTCCTCGTCAAGATCGTGCATGGGATAGTTCAAAATGGCCGCAATGTTCCCCAGCATCTTGAGGCGCTGCCCGCTTTCGTGATCGCTGCTTAATATCCGTGCCTCGCCACCGTCCAGCTTGACCTTGTCCACCAGCGCAACGTACTTTTTTCGTGTCGCCAGGTCTTGACTTCGGAAGAGGGAGTTGTTGATCAGTAACACTCCTCCGCCAGGCCCGACTGCGCCGTCAGCAATGGCCTTTTCCACGGCTCTGCTTCCGTACCATGCTCGTCCGTCGTCGAGCTTGAGCAGCTCAAAGAAGTTGTCCATGTACTGCGCCTCTTTTGCGTAGTTCATATCCTTCATCTTGGCCAGAACCTCCGGGCTCTTGAGCACCTCGTTTAAGCTGTGCACATGTCCCGAGTTGGCATGTATTACCGTCGCCTGTCTTGACACGGCCGTAAGAACCTTGTCTGACTTGTCGCGGCCCTGTTTCGCAATGTACTCCTTAAAATCCGTCGCAACAAATCCAGGGCTCGCTAATAGTAGAGGTCTTGATTCGGAAAAGTCGACTGCTCTGAGTAATGACGACAGCGTCTTGTCGAAGAATCGTCGCATGCCGGCATCCTGGTCTGAGGCGGTATCGCGCTTCTTGGGCACTACGCTCTCCACGCGGGTCTTGAGGACGGTTCGGAATTGTGTAATGAGGCAGATATTGGCGAGACCTTCCTGCATCACCACGGCGGCCATGGCGCCGTTCTTGTCGTCTGATAGGGCTTGCGCCAGGGTGGCCTTTGCTACGCTGTCCCAACCGTCTGGCTTGACCACGGTAAATGATCTGTTGATCTCGATGTCGAGAGTATGATGGGCGCCCATGGAGACATGGTCGTTTTCGGCGGCGACAACGCCAGAGACGCGGAGGGAGGAGACGGCGGGATCGAAAAAGGTCGACTTGACTCGGATGGCGAGGTTTGTGTGGACTCGCTCGGCCGCTGGCACGCCGGTGCCCGGGTTGATGTTGACGACTTTTCGGACGGCGTGCGCATGGACGAGATCGCCGGGAACTATCAGGTTATATGCATGCCACTGCGGGTAGATGCGCCGTTAGCCGTGCTGTTGCTGTTCATGTTCATGTCGCGACAGCTGCAGTCGCAAATGAACATGAACTGGCGGGGCGAGTGAGTGATGCGACTGACCATGTCCTCTGGATCCTCTGGCAGGAGCGAGACCTGCTCGTCCTCGAATTCTTTGGGAATGTGTCGCGACACGAGCTTCATGGTGAATCTGGGATCAAACGCGGGCTATGACTTGATTTGGTTGATCCGGAAGCAGATTCAAGGCGAGGCGATGCTTTTGTTTGGAAAAGATGACTCGCAACAAGCACAAGCTGTCGGGAGAGGCAAAGATGCTTATCGCGCCGATAAGCTTCAGTGGCTGTGATCGCTGCCTACAGGCCCATGTCCAAGGTTTTTAGGGCGGTGCTCCACTAATGACGTTGGTGAAGATATTAACAATGGACACCTCATTATTGGACAACATGTATACATGTCCTGGTACCTATGTACCTATAATGCATTGGATCTTTGCGCCTTGGGCCCTAAAGGAGCAATAATAGCTGGGGAGCAAGCTTCCTGACAATACAAACAAACATAGGTACTAGGAAGCTTGGGTTACCTTATATCAGATTGCTGGATGTGGATAGGTAGCTGGACAGCTGTTTGCAAGTGTATGTACTCCCAGCAACAACCTGTAAGTGCCCAGATATAGGTAGATCACTTGCTTCAGTGTCTCTTGACGCTTTCTGCATGTATTTTGTCTTGTTATATGGTATACTTACCAGATGGCTCGGCAATGTCCTAGGCAAGCATTTCTTCGTCTGTCTTGCCATCAGCAATTTCTTCTGCTTGGATGTCAGACACCCCCAATGTCCAGGAAGGGGTAAAAGTTGGGGCTTGAAGTGGAAAATCAAGACGGGCATCTGGGAAGAAAGAAATCGAGAAAGACGTTCATTTTCGCATTCAGTTTCCAAGTACTTATATTCCCCTGCATGCTGTCTTCACGCCAATCACTCTCTCATGAGTTGTAATACGTCGAAAACTGCACAAGACAGGATGTCAAAGCAAGACCCATCATGTAGAGAGTTTAGAACATACATTTTGACCAGCACAGTTTTAAACGACCAATGGAATCATATGATAGACAGCCAACTAGGTTAACCAAACCAAAAGTTTCCGCATTCTTAGTACTTTTTCCGTAAATCACCTTTTGCTCAATAGCATTGAGACCTTTAAAGACATACTACAAGTATCTCCTTCGTGGCCTGCGCACATCTTGAGACTCCTGTATTCTCGTGATACAACGAACCACAGCTCCAACACATGAAGCACCATACTTAAATTGACAACTTACATGATATCTTTACCACGAATATGCCTCGACTTTGAGCTCAAATTCCGTCTTACCAAGCTTGCTAGCTGCCGCAACAGCTGCTCTGGCCTCGTCACACAACCCACCAGGCCCACAGACAACTACGCCTACCGTTTCCCAGCCCGCCTCTATTTCCTTGTCCAGCAGCTGCGAGATATCTAGCCTACTCCCAACCCTCACATCTTTGTCTGAAATGGCACTCAATGCTCCTTCCAGGTCCTCGACCAGGCAGCGGGCAGACTCCTTGGCACTCCATGCGAGCTTGACGTTCCAGTGGTTGTTGACAAAGGGCAAAAGGCCTGTGATTCCAATCCCGCCACAGATGAGCAAGAGGCGATCGCAACGCAGTATCTCACGCATCGAATTATTTGCGTATGGACCCTCGATAAACGTCAAGAGACTCTCGCACGCGGCCAGGTGCTTGGTCGCTCCGGCCGACTTTCGCACGTAGACCGTCAGGCCAATATCGGGGCGGGCGGTTTGCGAGACTGCCATGGCCTTTGAATCCACCGCGGCCGTCTTCTCCACATCACAATGGTCTTGTGGTCTGTCTGCGGAACTCTGGCTGATGGAGTCCGAGCTGCTGCGTGCTGGGCATGACTGCAGTGTAGCCGTTTGCAGAACGGAAAACGGATGGTTCTCCCAGGGCCGGAGAGGATGCAGCGTGGGGAAGTAGATGTAGACATGCTTGCCAGGCTCGGAGCCCCAGCGGATGCTAGGGATGTCGATGCGGACAAAATCTTGACTGAGCTCAGTGACCTTGGCTCGGCATGCACCGGCCATGACTATGCGTAAAACACGTCCCAAGCGATCGAACGCCCATATTGCTGAAATGGCAATCATCCAGTCCTCGTACCCTCCAAGGAATTTGTATAGATCGTAGGCATGGTACCAGCAGCCGACAATGAGCAGGGCAGAAAGCACAATATGTTTCAGCAGGAAGAACTCATATGCATAGTTGCGAACGTAGAGGCGGCTGCCAAACGTGAGAATGCAGCAACACAGCGTGGCCGCAATGCCCCAGATCCAGTACGGCGCTTTAACCTGGTCGTCGTACGTTCCCTCGGCCTTGTATAGCACCACGGCTATAATGGAATGGATCAGGACTTGCAGCGTAAAGATTCGAGCGATCCAGCGGTGCAGCACGAGAAATGTCGAGTGCGACCAGTTCGTCACCCACAGGAGGATATTGTTCCTCCCGCCAAAGAGCCATATGAGAGGGGCAATGATATACGCAAAGGCACCGGTTCAGTAGAGGACGTACGCCATAATCTCGCGCCAGGTGCTGGAGTACCACGCGTTGGGCTGCCGGGACTGGTAGCTGACAGACGTTAAAACGATGTTGAGGATGAGAAACACGAGGATATAGAGCGTCTGGCCGATGGTGGGCGCATTTCCAAGCAGAAAAGGCAGTGGACGGGCTTGGTAGGTGCCAATGAGGCTTGGCCATACAAGATACGGCTTGAGCTTCCTGAAGAGGGTCGAGAAGAATGGCAGATACCCAAGCCAGGTGAATACTATGGGCGTTCCGAAACCAAAAACGAGCATTGCAATACTACATTACGTGCCGGTTAGATTTTTGGTAAACTCTCTATTAGACAGGAGGAGGGGTTTTCACCCATAGGCGTTCTCATGCACTGTTTCACGCTGCACACTCGTCAAGACGTTCCATTGCTCTTGATAGACTAGAGGCGAGACGAGGGCCGTATCGTTAAGCCATGTATCCTGTGGAGTGAGCTGAATTGTAGGCGGGCTAGATATCGTTTGCAGCGTCTCCGAGTACGACCATTTTGGAGGGACACCTATCTCGCCGGCGTTGGACTGACCCGTGGCTTCGGTTTCCCAAAAGTACTCGAGCTTTGAAGTCGCAATGCCCTCTGGGACACATTTGTCCTGGATGCACCAGGCAAGACTGGTAAGATAGGGGGTGTTTTGTGCCCAGCACGCCGAGGTGGTCGTCATGGTCATCATCCCAACGGTATCGCCCATGCTGGAGCAGGAGAGCATCAACGAGTATAGAGACCGCAGGCAGGACATTGCGCAATATGGGTCGTAGGGATTCACCGGAAAGCCATTGAGAGCGCCCTGGAATGGAGCACCCGCAATCACGCAGGTGCCCAGAAGGACGGGGAGAAAGAGAGTCTTCTTCATGGGCGCAAAGCAACAGCTCGGATCATCGAGGCAGAATTTGAGGAATAAGAATCACTGAGGGGCATATGGCGCCAATTCTATGGGATATATCTACACCTTCATGGTGGAGTAGTCGAGGAAAGACACCAAAAACGTGCACCAGGATCATATTCACCGATGGTGAATAGGTAAAACTCAGGCTAATGTCGAAACTGCCGATGAGGGGATTTGAGGGAGTTTTTCATATCTCTACGTGTTTAGAGTCTTGAAGTCACATATCCATAAAAGGATCTATTGCAGCTAATGATGTGACAACGAGTAAGAGTCCGCGTCGCATGCTTAGTGTGAACTGAAGAGAGAAAGAAATATATAGCGTGATCCAAGCTGCATGGTCATAAGACACGGAGATATGGAAAAGAGGTTCGCTTAGATACCAACGAATGAGAGAGTCAAGATTATAATCAATAAAAATATGCTAGTTTAGCTTCGGCAGTAATAATAGTGGGTTCATGGAGGATGATACAATTCATGTCTATTCATTTTTGTTCATTTTCTTCTTCTATAAACTACTCTAGGTGGGTATTCGTATGATAAGTCTCTCCTATGAACGTTTTATTCCCTATGAATCATATACTCTTGTATGATGAGTCTACTCATGCCCAAGAGAAATGCTCGGAATGAAAATAGACTTGACCGGCTTTTGAGCCTGTAAGAATCTTTAGGTTTTCTCCGGCGGCAGCATTGCGTACATCGTTCTGCATCGTACTAGGCCCACACACATAGACGTTGAGTGACTGCCCAGCTTCCATGACCCGCGTTGCCTCTTCCTGGATGATCTGGGGTAGCTGTGGTCGACCCTCGAATTCCTTTTCTGGTATAATGAGCTTGTGTCCCTCCTCTGGAACAATTTTATCATCTGCCGATGCGGCGGATTCTTTCGAAGCTGGGTCTTCTACAGCTATATTCGTTGAATTGACCTTTTGTGAGTCCTGACCAGTCAGATACACTTGTACATCAATATTAGATGATGAATTTGTTGCTGAAACCTCCGATAGCAACTCGTTGACAGTTCGGAGAAACCATGTGCGGCTAGCAATGTCTCGAGTCACCAGGATGACGCGCAGCGAGAGAGGCTCAGAGTGGCGGCTTTTCGAGAGGCTTTCGCTGTTCTTGCTGTCTGTGGCCGCAACTTGGCCTTGCTCTTCATCTGCTGCCATCCAGCGGTGTCTGGCAAATTGCTCAATGAACGGGAAACACCAGCCAGCGCCGGAGCCACCTGCAATGACTAGGAGATGGCCACTATCAATGTACTTCTGCTCATTAATGCCTCCATAGGGACCATCGACGAGTACGGGAACCGAACTCCCGGGCCGCTTTAGAGCGTATTGCTGCAGTCTAGCGGTGAGGCCGCTTCCCTGACGAATATAAAAAACGAGCTCAGACTGCTCATTCGGATCCACTTTAGGCAAGGAGCAGATGGTAAAAGGGTGAGACGAGAGGGCGTGCAGTAGACCAAAGCTTGTAAATCGCAGGAAACAATGCTGTCCAGGTTTCCAGCTGAACTTGACTGGAACTGTGATGCGAATGAAACCATTGTCTTCTACAAGAAGCTGAGCTTTCTGGCCGAAACCATACTCAAAGTAAGTCCGGAGCCAGGGGTAGACGTAACAGGGAACATATACAGCCGCTGTAGCGATGAAATAGTCCCTGTGGATGTGTTAATACTGGCATCGTTGTGTGCTATGTACGCTACAGTTGATTATTCTTACCATGAGGAGAGCCTAAAGCCGCAGTGCCAAAAGAATGTCAGCATAAATAAAACGACAGCAATGAAATGCGTCATCTTGAAGAATTCATATCCAAGGTTCCTGAGATCCGAATTAGTCACGTCCCTTGACATTAATGGCCTTTATATTTGCAGCTTACCGGATTGTGCTATGAGATGCAAATGTGAGCCATGCTTGAAAAATGAGGGCAACGATGCCGGTCCAGTAAAACACAAGATTGGAAGAAAAATGGTGTTGCATGTCGTGAAACCGGATGTGGTACACAATGAATGGGAATGTGTGCATTAGCGCAAGGACAAAAAAGGCATAGGAAATCCATCTGTGGAAGACCTGGAGCCTCTCGTACGAAACTCCCGTCGACAGCGTGATCCAATTCGCCTTACTTGCGGTTGCGCTGGACACTGTTAGCATATTTGCAAACTCTGTCGCTCTGAGTTGACGTACAAGACAAATGGCATACATGCCAGACTCAACCATCCAGATCTAGTCGCCAGGGCAGGCGAGTTACCATACATCTTACTTGACCAATAATAAGGCTGTGGAATCAAGTCTATACCTAACCAAACCATTAGTTTAATCTTGACGTGAGTTTGATCTCGGCTTACAGAAGAAGAAAATGGTCCCAGCGAGTCCCAATAGGAGAATTCCAACCGGGGCTGAGTTCCATTGAAGCGACTTGACGTGGAATCCACGGTAAGAGAGATATCGAACAGCCGCAATTAATTTCTGCCATATCAGAGGCCCTCGGAACCTTCTATAACCAAGAGTTTCCGACAGAAAATGGCCAATAATGAAAATACCAATGGCGCACATAAAAAATGCGATGGTTGGCAGGGCAAAGACCCAGTCGGCGATGTACCTTTACGGGAAAATGCGTCAGTTGATCACTGTTGTATGAGGATTCCAGTTTGTCGTACCAATAATGCCAGCGTTGCTTATACCAGTCACATTCTTCTGCAGTGAGTGGATCACACTCAAATATACGGCTCGAATGCAGCTGAACTGGCTGAGGAAGCCATGCGGGATTGCCCATCATCTTTGCGGACTTTTTTGGGAGTTGATTGCTCCCCTCTCTATTATTCGCAAGTTCAGAGTGAGACAAACGAAAATAATACGGCGACAGAAAGAAAAAAAAGGGACAAGGCAGAGATTTAAGCAACTTAATAAGACTTACAAACCTCTTGCTTAAAGGTAGCGGACTTGTTTTCTAGCACGAAATGTCCGTCCCGCCATTGGTCCAGAATTATTGTCCGTATATTGACTGGACGGAAAATATTAAACAAGCGTGCTAGAGAAAAAGAAGCATAAAACTCCTGTGAACTGGTGGTCTGATTAGATTTCATTATTATGAGAGCGCGTTTGAGCAAGTTTCCACGCTGACTTGCAAGGGTCTAAGAAGAGATGGTGTCGTATCACATCCGATAACCTTCATTACTAGCCAGTTAATGGGCCCTTCTTTTTGCCGTATTTGATCCGGCAGATGGGATTTACAAGTTACGAATCCAAAAAGAGCAGAAGGCGCAGGAAGAGTGATCCATGTAGTCCCCACTCCTTCAAAGGAGACTAATGTTGCACCTACATGAGAGTATAAGCGCGTGTTCCGGCTTTACAAATATAAGGGTTGCCACAGAAATTTGTCGGCGGATTCTGGCTATCCATCTACATACTTATTCCGAACCAAGCATTAAGCGCGTTGAATTGGCCATACAACTTGGGCTCCATTTTTGACCGCACTCGTTACTCATACAAGACTCTGTACCGCAGTATCACATCTGTCATTTGAAGATGGATATGTCTATGCCTGGGTCTTCAACAGGCACCATGGCGGCAATGCCCATGCCAACTTCAGCAGACGGCTCCATGCCTATGGATTCGTCTTCTGGTATGATGACAATGGACTCGATGGCCATGACTTTCTTCGCTGCTACAAACACACCTCTGTTTTCATCCGCCTGGACTCCCAACTCAACAGGACAGTATGCCGGAACTTGCATATTTCTGATAACCTTTGCGACCATTTTCAGAGCTTTATTGGCAGTTCGGGTCAACTTCTTCCAAATCGCAGACGTACTCGAACGCCGACGTGGTAACGGCAGAATACCATCACACCAAACCATTGAAAAAACGACAACCCGCCCATGGAGAGCTAGTGAAGCTGTAAATCTGGCATTTATGGATGTTATTCTTGCTGGCGTTGGCTATTTACTGTTAGTACGACTTAACATATAGGAACTCAAAAAGGTTGCTGACTTTGGGATAGAATGATCGCGGTAATGACTATGAATGTCGGCTACTTTATGTCCGTCCTTGCTGGCGTTTTCTTAGGAAGCGTAGTGTTTAATCGCTTCTTGCCTTCTTCTACAGCTCATTGACATACCCATCTTATGGAACTGAAGATAAGAGGATATCCATGTTACATTCTTGTTTCTCTTTGGGGAGACTAATGCAATATGTATTTACATTGTCATTACGTCAAGCTGTTAATAATTCACCGTAATTATAATATTTTCCCCATGGATTATCATAAGATCCATTCCTTGTCTTTCACATTCTTTGTAATCCACGATTTCTGCGGGCCATGCCCCTAGCAGAGGCAAGAGAGAACCAGCAGCCGACAAAATTCATACAGTGATGTTGAAAGAGAAAGGTTTGGTATCGTAGCTACTGTTGAGATGAGAAAATATGTAAACTCTAGGGCCTCATGACCTACTTTTGATTAGCAATGAGTGATAGACAGGAGGCCATAAAGAGGGATTGCAACAGCATCGTGAGACTAGAGAGCAATGGCCTTAGTATATTCAAGTTGAATTGCTATAAGAATGTGAAAATTTATATTAGTACATTTTTCACACTGCGCTTATTATCGTTAATGGTTTTGCTAGTTATACTTAGACTAATTATATCCGCCTGAAGGTTGCCTTCGCGATGAACCCCTTCAAACCGTAATGTATTGCCAAAATAATGCAAGCAGAGATTTCAAGTTGACATTCAGAGCTAGCTGTATGCAGAGACTCTAGCTAAATTTGGTTAAGGAGCTTGTCAAGGATCTCTGGGCGAATGACTGGCAGCTGGATATATCTATGGCTGACGTCTCATCGGCCAAGATTAACAATAACATAGGTACACATGCTACAGCCTCTGGTAAATAATAAAACTTATATTTCGAGAGAAATTATTGTGGGATCTGATGTCTTAATCGTTAGGTGAAATATGTGTTCTTCTCGTCAAGTAATCCAGATGATTCAACCGCCACGTCTTCCTTTTCGTATCGCCTAGAAATCTAGAGAACTTCAATCGCTGTTGTGGAAAGAACCTGACCTCTACATATCAAATATCCACGCGGTTAGTATTGAACATGGGATCATCGGCGAGACTGGCGATGTAGGTGATGGTGATATCCCGAGCAAGCTCGATTGCCTTCGAGTCGTGAGATTGAGGTAAATGTTGGAATACGACACGGCCCTTCTTGTCTTCAAACTCTTTGCACAACAAAGGCTCAGCGAGCGACGAGTAAAGACGGAATTCGCAGAAGTAGAGCCCAGCGTCTCCTGAAACACATGAAGTGACATCCTCATGAACGTCAGTATACTACAGTATTAGGTTTTGAGAAAAGATGTGGGCTGAAATTAGATTGAGGGACTCACTGGATAACGTCGTTTTACCTTGCGCCATGCAGTCTTGACATCCAATGACGTTGATAGCATCTCTGGCAAGCCAAGGCGCCTAAGCTGGTCGGAGTCGACGAGCTTGCCATCGTCACCGGGGAGGTTGTATCCATCTCTGTGCGCTATCGTCTCGAAGCGGAATTGATTAGGGTCCCATCCCAAAGCAATCATACCAAGATGGAGAATAAAGTCGACATTGACATGTTCCTCCTTGTCATCCGGCTCAGGCTTTGGCAAAAATAGCGAACGTTTGCCGCTCCATATGTCACGAGAGACATACCGGACATCGTCGTAGGTATCCAAGGTGTCACGGAAATACTTGAATATCCGGATATCGTTTTGGTTCGACCTTGTGATGATATTCGGCAGAGCATCTCTGACCAGCTGAGATGTGTTGTGATCATACTCCATGAATGGCTGAGGACAAAGTGAGTGTGATTTCCAATGTCCACCCGTCGATCCGAGGACTCACAGGATTGCCGGTCACAACCACATTCAATGTGCCTGGTGACGCCATCCTAGAGGTACTGGATTCTCTCTCGAGTCTGAGGGCCAAGACTGCCGGGGTGTGATAAGGGGCTTCAGGTGAGTTCTCAACGCCACTTTTGGTGAGGCTTGGAGCGCGTGAGTGTAAAATGCTAGGTTCAGCTCCTTTTCTTCTCGAAATGACGAAATGCAAGCGCTCATTCGTCATGCTTCTGTCAGCAAGGCTGTTGCGTGTTGGTGCCCAACGCTGTGTTGCGAGGCAGCCACTGATGAATGGCTGGGGGGCAAGCGTCTCCCCCCCTCTCTATGTCTGCTATGCATGATGCTATTGGGTTACGATAATTGTGATTCACATTATTAAGTAGGTAGGTGTGTTGCGCGCATGGGCCACGTCACTGTGTAGCTTCTCATGCACGTGTGCCGTCCGCCTCAAGGGGGACAAAGCACTGGGAAGTCCCTTGTCTCTGTCTAGGTACATATTCAGCCGGGGTACAGTACAGGTACTGGTATCCATATGGGAGGTACGTACAATGCCTCATGATTTTGGGGGCCGCACTGCCAGGATTCCGCAGCCAATTGCGCGACTTACGATTCTAATAGTCGGGGGAGTCATCCGGCTGCTCTCGCCGGTGCTGCTGCCTTGTTCACGAGGCCTTTGAATTCCTGGTTTCTGGTATAAATTTCACCGAAAGACACCCGACTTGTATCATCTGTAAGTCTGTTTGTATTAAATCTGTGTTTAGACTGTATCCCGTAATTTTCACGGGGAGATGTCGAGCTGTACGAAGTAACTTTGCATCGTTTCACGGCATTCTAGCTCGACTAACTTTATTTCAGTATCGAACCAAGGACTGTCCTGGAAGCAGTATCTTCCATTTAACCGATCTCCCAGACCAATTCCCGACCCCAGCAAGAATGAACGCCGACTGCTCGAACGCTGTTCAAACAAAAACCTAGAACAGGTCTCATCAGGAGAACTTGGGGCATATTTGCTCCATCTGCGATCACTTACGAAGAAACTATGGTTGGGCAAATGGGACTCCCTGATTGATCAAGAGTACATATTGCACGAACAGCCATTTGAGAAGATTGTCCAGCTCTGCTACGAAGTTGCCGATGTGCTTCGGGAGCATGGCGCGATCTCCATTAACAAGATAGTGCAGAAAATGCAGGGAAAGAAGATTATTCGTGTAGATACCGACCAGTCCTATGACTCATACGGCCTGATTTTCAGTATCTTGGGATGGCTATCGCTACTGTACATTCCGGCGATACAAGATCAATCAGGCGAAATGAGGATCATCACCCAGTCCACTCAGCTGACAATAAAAGATAAAATACCGACGGAGTTGGTAAGCAGGCCGTTGGATGAGCTACTGCGAAAATTCGGAGAACTCCTCCCCATTCGAGATATCGGACGAAACGAACCTGTTTCCCAGATCAATGCACAGGCGGCCACGCCTACTAGACTGGAAGTTTCACACATGAATGTGGCAACTCTCAAAGACATGGCTAACATGCAAATAATCTGGGTGGACTCATTGAGCGAGCATCTAGAATTTGATCCGGCCCAACCATCACTGAGCCTGTTCAAATGTCCATCTTTCTGTCGCATCCAGAAACAATCCGATGAATCGACTCTCGCTATGTAAGTACATATAGCTTCTCCACTTTACCCATTCCCCCACGATATCAAAACTAATGACCGTGTCTTAGTATGTTACGTGACTTCTATGAGGATTATGAGAAGCCCAGCGAGGACTTTACCGTTGCAAAGCTGCTCAACGAAGTCATCTTGTCTTACGTGTTGCTGTTCAGATCTGACAGAAGGTCACGGAAAGTATATGAACGCTCAGAGCGCGCCAGGGCTGCACTGTACAGAGAGGGGAGCCACTTCTACACGGATCCCTTCCTGGATGAGCTTTGCGGCAATAGAAGCTCGTCCTGGTTTGCGTTTGGCGGACCGATACGTGAATCATATGATTCGAGTGTTGATTTTCCAGTGTTCAAGGCCCGTCTCGAGAGGATCCAGCAACATGTCAAAGATATACAGCCGAACCGTTTCATGTCACTCTGGCGTGATCAGCGGGACCTCAGGCTCTGGTACACTATCTGGGCGGTCATAATACTCAGCATCATTGGCATTGTCATTGCAGCGATTTCCATGTTTCTAGCTGCGATTCAAGTCAATTTGGCAAAGATGGCTTACGAGCTACAGCTCAAAGGTCAATCCTGATGACAAAATCCCACTACATCTCTCAGAATATCAACGATCAACAAGATCGGAAAAGCAGTCCCAGCTCTGTTCCTCGTCGGGTGCCTTTGGGTGAAGCCCTAAACGCTCCAGCTCGGATTTGACCCTTAACGCCGCTGCTCTGTACGTCGCCGCATCAGCCGAGCGTCCTTGGCGATCCCATATTTTAGCAATCTGCCACTTGACACGAGCAGTCTCGCCTTGATCTCCTCGACGTGACTCGTTGAATCGGGTAATGATGAGTGCTTTTTGGAGATACTCTAATGCCTGTTCATCGTTCTTTTCGCGATCGGCCTGCCGCTGCATGCATACGAGAGCTTGGTGATAGAGGGCCGAGGCAACACTTTGATGGGTTGGTTTTCCAGGATATTGAAGGTCGTAAGCTCGTTGTAGGTACTGCATAGCAAGATCTATATCATTTTCTTGGAATGCAATCTTTCCTAGTATGTATGCAGTCCTGTTGGTGCCCATTAGCATGTGATACATCATTGGAAACGTTGATAGCAAGTAGTATGGGCACAGTCACTTACTCCCCATGAAAATGGCTGTTGGGGCCATAGACCTTGGTTTGAAAGGACTCGGCACCCGCGACATCATTTTTGGCGATTTCGAAATTTCGTAAAGCTGCTTGCGGTCGACTCCGGTTGCGGAGGTATCTATCTATGTTGAAGCTCTGTTGAAGTTCTTCTGGTGCAGCATACGATATTGCGAGCGCCTTATCGACGTACTCGATCGCCTCCTCACTTCGAAACAAGCCAAACAAGGCTAGTCCAATAGCACTATATGCATCTGCCAATTCTGGACCTGTTGTACTCGAGTGTCGCTCTCGTATTTGAAGAGAGTGCATGAAGAATTCGTAGGCAGTTTGGTACCGTCCGCGCCGATGATCAATAGTGGCGACACTTTCGCAGAGGTAGGCATATAATAAAGAATCTTTATCGTCGTATGCGTCCGCTGCCCTTCTTCCAAGTCTTTCGCCAAGTACTAATGAGGATATCTCGCCACAGAACCTGAATCATACTTCAATATTAGCATTGGAAGCATGTGTCATGTCTCTCTCAAGAGATACGTACCACGTTGCGTCAGCCAACATGGTGTACAGAGCTGCGTCCTGTACATTCAACCCAGTAGGCCTAAGCGCCTCGTATTTGTCCTGGGCAGCCTCAATGTGATGGATTAGCAGCTCGCACGTGTCCCATACTTGATACATCTGTCGTCGCAGCTCTCGTTTGGGAAAGGCTTCACACAGCAGGCGATAGATGACTTGAAAAGTTTCATGGCGCTGTGTGTCTGATTGGTAATCGTAGTATGCCTCTTGGACAAGCCGATGGAGCGAGATCATCTCAGAGTCCTCGTTGATCTTAATCAAGGACATCCGAAGCAATTGCGCTTCAACCTCTGCGTAGCTATCAATCATATTAGGCTCATATAATTTGATTCAAAGGAACGTTCACGTACTCATTCACATCTGTCAAGAAAGACCAGGTGTCCGGAATTGCGTGTGTCGTATTAATTAAATGGCGCGGTATGTCGTCAGGGGCACAGAAACAAATCAAACCTAGTAGACGGGAGCTATTTTCATCCAGGCTCTCGAAAGCGGTCTTCCACACTGTCTCGAGATTATCGGTATAATAAGGGTTCCTTGGGGCGTATTTCGGTGGCATGCGGAGGGATTTCTTGTTCTCTTTGAAAAAGGGCAGAAAATGCTTCATGGACTTTCTTCTCACAAATATCTGGCTAGCTGTGATCTGGATTGCCAGTGCCAGGCCTCCAAGCATCTCAGACAGCTCTTCAGCCAAAGAAATATCTTCGCTTGTTGGATTCTGCTTGCGAGCAAGATTAAGCAAAAGCTTGCCGCCTTCTTCGGGCGTGAAAGGAGGAATCTCCAGTGCGCTTGCGACGGGGGAGGCCGCAACGAGCTCGCTTCGACAGGTCACCAAAATTTGGCCGTTGCCGGTAACAGGCCAGTTGGAATTCAATAGATCGTTGTCGTCTACATTGTCGAATATGATGAGCCAAGACGTGTCTGCATCTTATCAGTAAGGCGAGATTGCCCAACGAAGAAAGGCATCCCTCACCAGTTGTTTGGAGCCAATTCCACATCAAGAAGCGAATCCGTTCTGCAGACATGTTCTCCTCGTAGCCTGGAGGGCGTACTTGGCCTGCCGCATGAACCAGAGCTCTCGACATGTCCATTGCTGTCTGTGATGGGATCCACAGGACAAGCTGGCACTCCTCTTGTATCTGCTTGTTGGCGTATTCAAGTGCAACTTGGGATTTTCCAATACCTCCAATACCCCACAAAGCGACAGACCTAACTGATTGCGGTTCATCCGCAGAAGTTACCAGAGCATTACGAATCTCATCTAGGAGATCGGCACGGCCGAAAAAGCTTGGATTCCGACCAAATGGTAGCTGCCAGTAGGGGAGGCTTGCGGCTTCTTTAGGTTCCAAGTTGTGCGTTCGAAGAGATTGAAGAACCCCTTCCTGCTTCAAGCTCATCTCAGTAATCTGACGGGCTTCAACCAAGCGACGCAAATGTTCAATTCTCGACGAGAAATTCTGCAAATTCTTGGAAAATTGATTATTGATGTTGTCCCAAGATGCGAGCCCAATGGTTCGGCCGTCATTCTTTCGGAAGTGCTTGATGGCCATAGCACCCGCAAGCAGGAGATCAACCAGGATGGCGAAGAACCTGTCCAGGAGTTCTGGATCCAGGTCGACTGATCTTCTGTACACTTCGAAGAGTTCAATTTTATCGCTCAGTTCCAACAGGTACTGAGTGACATCTCTCAGGGCTTCATCGGAACGGCTACCAAGCTGCACAATTCAAATATGAAATTAGCTACAATCGTTTTTCTAGTGATATAAGTATAGAATATATTTGATCTCCAGAGTTACTTGCCTGGATCAACAAGAACACCACTCCCCACACACATGCCAGACTAATCGAGCCAGATCCGGCAGCGGAAGCCAAGAAGATGGCAAACGTTTGTAGGTGTAGCAAAGGGGATTTGAGCTGTCCCAACAGACGAGTGGCGATCCCTCTAACTCCTTGTTGCTGGATTTTGTGAATCTCAAGGAGCAATTGATCTGTACTCCGGACGTTTTGTACAAACTCGAAGTCATCCTCACCCAAGATGTCTCGAGTAGACTGCAAGGCTTCATCCCACGCATTTTGGAAATCGTCCTTCCTTCATGCACGTCAGAAAACCAATATGTTTCATCCCAAAGGCGCATTTCAACGGGTAGTCTCACGTGTTTGCCATGATCTAGATCTCAAGCCTCTGAGCCAGATTTAAAATGATCATTGAGCAGAATCAATTCGCGGCTGTGGTGCTTAATACAAGCCCTAATGCGGCCAAGCACGGTTTGTGCTGGAGCTAAAACCCGGGGAATCCCTGCATAAAGCGGACGCTCATGTACACACCAGACTACTACACTAGATATTTTAGTGTCTACCTCTATTGGGAAGTATATTGGCGCTATTGGGCCACCTCACCTCGTGGTGTCTCTCTTACACGGGCTTCTTGGTTATAAGCTGGATCAACAATGGGGGAGATGAGTCTCCGCAGGGCGAGCAGCGCAAGGCGGCCACTCTCAAGTTTTCTTATCGCTTAGAAGGTAGACTTGCTCTGTGTAGCATCATTCATTGGATCGGATATGAGGAATGGCGGTCAGACCTATAGTGGCGGACACGGGCCTTGCGAGCCTCAAGGTGATCAAAAAGTTATCAAAGCGGCACAATTCGGGCGGGGTTTGTGTACATACAGGTACTTGTGAGGGATTTTTTTTTGCTTTTGTCGAATCATACCATCTTGGTTTCTGCATCATGCAAGAAAGTGCCAGGCTGTCACAGCAACCTTCACACAAGATGGCTGGTTACACCATGATGTGATTTGTCAGACCGGGGCATCAGGCGGACGTAAGAAAATCAATCTCGGCAGTAATTTGCATGCCTTGGCGTGTACGAGCATTGAGGCGATTCTTGTCACTCTCTTATCTTTCTCCGCGGCACGAGGCCTGCCCTAAATCATTTTGCCCATAGGTATCAGTGAATAATGATAATTTACCATATATAGAATCAATATTGCTTAACACAAAAGTATCATCGATGGGTTTGGCAAGTGCAATCCTATTATTATTTTCTCTTTCACCCACAGTTCCTCACAAGGCACGCCAACATTTCCTACTTCAGCCGCATCAATGATTTCTATTCCTTTGCCTACCACTGCCAGATTGTCCCATCTTTGTGATGACCCAATCTACAAGGAAGAAGTGCCCTATGAGATCTGGGCCGACAACGTGCCCAAGGATATTGAGCGAACAAATGTAAAGCTCAATATTGTGCCAGACTGCCCTCTTACTGATATCAGAGGCCTTGATGACGAGGACAAACCGCAGCTCGAAACATGCGGGTTCCAGTGGTTTCATCAGGACTTTCCGTACCATACTGGCTTGCATGGCGCTGACGATGTAAATACTACGACCCAAGCACAGAGCAACACTCTGGACGGGTACCTGACCACCATGTCTGACTTTCTTTCCGAAAGACTGGGATGTGAGAAGGTAGTGTGCTGGGACTGGCGAGTAAGCATATTGTGTCTGATAATCATTCAGCATATAGCTACTAACACGGGGATTGTTTGGCAGGTCAGGCGTTCAAAATTGACGGCCCCAAGGACGAGACCTAATATTTACAGCTTGGAGCATGTCGATGCCACTGACCTCAGAACAACAAAAATCAACAGCTCTCATATCATTCATGCGGGTCCGTATTGCGTTTCCAAATATTGACAATATAGACTCAGCTGAAATTGGACCAGATGGCTCGCCGGAATGGATGCAAAAGGTTATTGCTAAGGTGACTACACAAGACGAACAAATGTGGGCGAAGGGTGGCAAGTATAGGACGCGAGTACTTACGTAAGTGCAGACTCAGACTTCACAGTATAGTAGAAAGAAACTGATAAATTTTACCAGTGTTTGGCGCCCCCTTGTAGACGTTGTGCAGACTGATCCGTTGGTGTGCTGCGACGTGCGTACAGTCGATGAGTCCGATTTAGATATCGTTCAGAAAGTCATGGATAACACAGTGGAAGAAAGCATGTATCTTAAAAGACGGGAGCAACACCAATGGTATTGGATGAGCGATCAGACCCGCGACGATGTCCTTGTCATGACCGTATGGGATTCGAGAAGGCCTCTCAGTAAGAGCGGTAAGCAGAACTTGTCTGGTGTCGATAGACATCACCTCATCGCTAACGTCTCTCTTAGTGGCAGTCCCTCACTGTGCCATGGTCCTCTCACAGCATGTACCGGATGCCAAACCTCGCGAGAGCATAGAACTTAGATTCGTGGTATGGAACGCGGAGTAAAAGACGGCTGGACTCCATGACAGAACTTGATGCAAGGACCAGAATTACACAGATTCCGATATCCTGGGCACGGGTGGCCATTAGAAATGTGGCTCATCCTTTCCCGCCTCTCACGTTCTATTTTCACCATTCTCCTCTGTTCTTTCCTCTTCATCCCATTCTTTCAGTCTCGAGATATATTCAATGCTGGAATGGAAAAATATGATTGTCTTCAGCAAATTTGAGGTGTCCGCTAAACGAATTACATCCGCGCGTCTGTCTCTATCTTTGAGCATCAGACTGCTGAATCGGGTACCGGGTAAAAAGAATCACATAGGTATTTGCGGGGAATATTCATTATCAAGCTATATCATATCACAGACAATTCTTATACACTGGTTTAAATACTTTCTGCATCACACTGTAGGAAAGACCACATGCCAGTCAACGAATAAAGTGGTTTCAATTGATGTGTATTTAAGCAAGTATCCAGCGCAAACACTTAAAATCTTCGGGCTACACGCCTTATTACTTGGTACTCTCTCATCCCGGAGACTTTGTTAGGATCATTCATTCTTGATAGATCGTAGGTCAAAATTACTTACGAGAGTTGGCGGTGCCATGGAGAACTCAAGAATGTGCGTTCACATTGTTGCCAAAAAGGCGCATGTCCCGGACCTGACTGACATGGACATCGTCCTTGGCGGACTTGAACTCTGGCAGCTCGCGCCAGGGCTCTTTGCGGTTGTCCCCAGCAGAAGTGTCAGAACCCTCCAGAGCCTGAGTGTGCTCGGGTGTGTTTGAGTGAAAGAGCTCGTTGGGAGCGTTAGATCCATTGTCAGTATCTGAGGGCATATTGAAGAGTTTGATTTAGGCTTGGTGGCTAAGTAAACTTCTGCTTAGTATCAAAGATTCAATTATCAGGTGAGTGGATGGTTGGTGAGTTCAAGTAGGAGATTAGGGAGTCGAAATCCCTCATTATGTATTATTCCAAAGGGCAAGAGGGATGGGGGTGGGAGCCGTGTCAGTACCCGAAACATGCTCTCAACAATTCTTCTGTGATAGCGCAGGTTATGTGAAGGAGCCTCATTTGCCTTTTGGTGGTAGCACCGCATACAGGATGGGCGACAGTTACGAAAGCCAAGGCTACCCCGCACGTTATGACCAATTTATTGGCGGTCAGGTAATCTGAAGCTCAAATCAAATTGTGCATTCATTTCTCTCCTGCAAGCCTCACCAACTTCGTCACCGACCATAAGAGCTCGTGCAAATCCTACAAAGTCACTCCAAGTCACTGCGACCGGTTGTTCCTTTCTCTTTTGCCGCTTTATCCGAGCTGGTCAGCCCGATAGTAAAAACACGTCAGTGCTGGATGCCTCTTCTGCGGCTCCGCGCTCGGACTTGGATAATTGGCACCGACCTTCTACGCAGTCATCGTTTCCCCCAGCAACAGAAAGGCGACCTGCGTCTTCTCCATACGTCCAAATCCTTTCAATCGCTTCGCTCAGCACCAAAGATGGACATCCCACTTTTGCCCCTTTGCGATGGCAACCAGATACCGATGGTGAGCTCCATGTAGACAGAACAGTCGCGTATCGTCAACACTAACGAACGTCTGCAGCTTGCCTTAGGTACTGGAACGGCCTGGTTCAAGGAAGTTGGAGACACGAAATTTGACCAGCGTCTTGTGGACCTAGTCAAAACGGCCATCGAGAAGGGTTTCTACCATCTCGATTGCGCTGAAATGTATGGGACCGAAGAGGAAGTTGGCCGCGCCATTCAAGAATCAGGCGTTCCCCGCGAAAAGCTTTTCATCACCAATAAGGTCGCCCAAGGCATCGACGATATCCATGCAGCAATTCAGGAGAGTCTCAAGAAATTGCAGACGGACTATTTCGACCTGTGTGTTTCCCTATCCGATAGTCAAAACGATCTTGTGGCAGAAGAACTAACGCCATCGCAGTTATCTGATCCATATTCCATTCTTTGCCAACTCGGATGCTGACTTCCAACGTGCGTGGAAGTCAATGGAAGAGATCAAAAGGGCTGGCAAAGCCAAGTCCATAGGCGTAAGCAACTACTTACGCCCTCACGTCAAGGCTACGCTGGCCGGTGCGACTATTCCACCTTCTTTTAACCAGATTGAGTTCCATCCTTATCTGCAGCGCGGAGACAATTACTTGTCGTGGTTGCGTGAGAATGGCTTGCAAGTGGGCTCGTTCAAAGGCCTGACTCCCGCATTCAGGGCTCCTGATGGACCACTGCTTGAGCCCTTGGCCCGCATTGCCAAAGCGCATGACACCACTGAGGTAGCTGTCCTCATCAACTGGATCATACAGAACAAGGTTGTGGCTGTGACCACCACCACAAAGCCTGAGAGGCTGGACGAGTATGCCCAGGCTTTAAAGATCAAACTGACCCAGGATGAGCTACAAGAGATCACGGATGTAGGCTCCACGTACCACTTCCGCACATCTTGGCCGGAGCATTTTGAAGCAGATGATCGATCATGAAAGATAGTTGCCATGTCGGTATGGGGACTCAAGCAAGACCGAAGAGCAGTTATCATAGTTAGCATATCCGCGTAACTCAGAGTCAGCCTCAATCTCGTGTTTCAGACGAACAGATAGACAGCTAATACATGGGACCTCAATGCTAGAGTCATATTGATAGCTTTCTTAATAATGTTTCGTTTTCAAAAGACGCTAAACCTAAGCTCCCATGGCCTTGCGCTACGCCATCAAATAAGTTGTTGACAGTAGCTCTACATAATACTAGCTCGGTAATTTTCTGCTCATCAAGAATGTGGCAATTGATACGAGGCGCTTTTGTATCTCTCTTAGTCTATATGATGGATTATATGGTAGAGGAAAATATTGATTATTAACTATATTCGACATTTGCAACGCAGTATTTTAAAGTGGCAGATTATTAACCCGCCTTCTTGCGGCTTTGCAAATAGACTAATCCACTAACTCTTCTACGCGAGCCTTAACTCTTTTTAACTTTTGGGGGTCCCTAAAAGGTAATTTACTGTATTAGGTCCTTTTTGATGTAAGCGTTTTATTAAAAGTAAGGAGATTAGCAATTTAATGCATTATATTTATTAGACTATAGCTATTGCTATAGCTAGAAAATAGAGCTTATAGCGGTTATTTTGGTACCCTTTAGAGCCTTTTAGCTAGCTTATAGCGTTAGCTACAGCAATTTATAGCTAATTATCCCCTATAACCCCTATAACCTTTGGTAACAAGCTATACTTGTATACCGATATTCCAACCTACCCTATAGCTTATAAGCTATTGCCTAATTAGGTTTAGCTCATAGCTTTTTTAATAGCCATTGCCTAATTAGGCTTAGCGCCATAAGGCCTTATAAGCTTATAAGGTTACAGGGAATTATAGTGCTTCAAAGCACTATAAAGCATAGCTTTCCAAAAGTTCAAAAATCGGATTTAATTTTAAAAGACCCACTTTAATAGGAAATCTAGCCAATCAGAGGGCTAGAATCCTGCTTATATAAGCGCTCTAAGCCAATAAGATTGCTTAAATAAGTGGGTCTCCAAGATCCTAAGGGGGAGCCTTGCAAAAAGCTTGAAAATCGCGAAATCCGGATCCGGGCCGATTCCTTTACCAACAACGAAAACGGATCCCCAATAAAGCTTATAAACACTCAACGATTACGCAACCGGCAGAAGGAACCAAGATACATAAGCTATACCAAAAGATAGCCTGATTTCAGGGCTATCTAACGGTAGTCTTTATGTATCCCAATTCTAGCTATTAGTATCGATTTTTGGAATATAAATAGTAGAGGTTTTTCCTGAGTTTCCTGTACTAGTAACTAAAATCAATCAACGAATTCAACAAGCAAAATTGACCACTTTTGACCACTTTTGACCCTTTGTTACTAGACCAGTGATAAGTCTAGCTACCCTATAGCTTCAAAGTCTTATAATATTATAGAGAGGTATTCTGGGAAGTAATATACTGGAAGATTAAGTTAAGCGTAATGTTACGACCTAAACAGAAGTGCATACCCCCCCCGGGTAAAATGCAGAAGGAACGACCAATTAGGATTAAGGATTCTAATGCTTACTCCAGTATATATAACTTAAGAAATAAGCCTTAACACTAAAGTTACAGGCTTATTTAATATAAAAGGATATTATAATATAAATTTAAAAAAATAACTAAATATATAAATTTACTTTATTATAATTATTTAAATAATTTAAATAATTAATTATTAATAAAAATTAAAACTAAATATAAATTATATTTTTTATTTTACTTTTATATATTTTTAATTATAACTGCTTAAAAACTATTTTTTATTTTTTTTATTAATATAAACCTATAACTTAGGTTTATTACTTTAGGAACTTTTACTTTATATTAAAAATAAAAATTAAAATATTATATATTAATAACTTTTATTTAAAAAAATACTAACTATTTTTTAAATAAAAGAAATTATTATACTTAAATTATTTAGCGTTAATACTTTAATTAATAGCTTTAATAGATTTTAAATAAATAATAAAAGAAATATTATTATAAAAGATATAGAAAATATTAATAAAATATTATAAAAGTAAGTTATAGCTTTTTTAAAAGTATTTATTATTAAGGTTAATAAAATTAATAAAAAACTAAAAAAAAAAAATATTAATATTTTTATTAAGTATTAATTACTGCTTATATATAATAAAAATATTAAAAAACTTAAAGGATATTTAATTTAATTTAAAGCTTACTTTAAAGACTTTAAGAATATTTTTAATACCCTTAAGAAAAAGGTTTACTTTACTACCTTATACCTTAAAAAATAAGCCCTATAGTAATTTAAACCTATTTTAAATAATTACCTAAAAGCTAAAACTAAAGCAGTTAATAAAAAAACTTAAAAAATCTTTAGTAATTATAAGAAATATATAAAAGAACTTAAAAAAGCTTTTAGAGATATTGGAGATAAATATCTTTAAAAAAGTATATAAAGAAAATAAATATTAAATAAACTAAAGTAAAAAATAATAAAACTATATTATTAAAAATAATAGTAGTAAATTAAAAAAAATAAACTTTAATATTATATAAAAGAAAAAAAACTTTAAATATTATAACTATAGTAAACTAAGTTATATAATTAAAAATTATAAAACCTTAAAAAAAAATAAAAGAAAAGATAAAATCCTTAAACTTAAAAAAAAAGTTTATTTTATAAAAAAAGGAAGCTAAATAATAATATTTTTATAATAAATAGATAGCCTTATTTATAAAAACTTTAACTTTAAATTAAAAGGTATTATCTTAAATATAAAAATACCTAAAAAAACTAATATTTAGGAAAATAACTATAAAAAAGACTTATAAAACTATAAAATACCCCTAACCCTTTAATATACTATAAATATTATTAACTTTAAATATAAACTACTAGAAGTTAAAAAAATTAATAAATTCTAAATATAACTAAATATATATATTAAAAGCTAAATATAATTAAAAC